CCCCAACCCCAACCCCAACCCCAACCCCAACCCCAACCCCAACCCCAACCCCAACCCCAACCCCAACCCCAACCCCAACCCCAACCCCAACCCCAACCCCAACCCCAACCCCAACCCCAACCCCAACCCCAACCCCAACCCCAACCCCAACCCCAACCCCAACCCCAACCCCAACCCCAACCCCAACCCCAACCCCAACCCCAACCCCAACCCCAACCCCAACCCCAACCCCAACCCCAACCCCAACCCCAACCCCAACCCCAACCCCAACCCCAACCCCAACCCCAACCCCAACCCCAACCCCAACCCCAACCCCAACCCCAACCCCAACCCCAACCCCAACCCCAATTAATAGACACTTTTCTTATTTGTTAGAAAAAGAAAAATAATTTAATCAATTTTTTCCAAGAAAAACAATTCATTTCTTTAATATAAAATTCTTTTTTTTTTAATTAATTCGAATTCACTTAAGTGTTAATAAGGATTCTAATGTTATGTTAATTCATAAATAAATGTCTTGAATATTCTTTTCAACAATAAATTAATTTATTAATTTAAACAAATATTTACAAAAATACTTTTAAAATTAAAATTTACAAATTTTATCATTAAATGCAAAAACTAAACTTTTAACCTTTCAAAAACAAATGATTTTTTTTAAAGAAAAATCCTTTTGATAATATTTAAAAAAAATATTTTGATCAAATTCAAAATCAAATTGCATAATTCACTTTTAAAAATTACATAAATTGCTTACTAGATAATTATTTTATTTTTATTTATCTGAGCAAAAGTTTTCAAAAAATATATTAGATAAGAATTCATGTAATGATTAAAAAAATAAAAAAAGTTCAACTTAATTAAAAAATGAATTTTTTTAAAAATTAGTCTGACTAAACACAACATTGATTAGTGTTAAAAAGATTTTTAAAAAGATAATTTAAAGATTTTATGATTGAAGATAAAAACTAAATTTTTGGTTAAAATGTAATTTACATAAATAATTAGTTTATTTGTTAGTGAGTGAGTGAGTTAGTTATTTATATAATAAAATAGTTATTCAAATCTTTCAGTACTAATTTTTATTATCAGATCCTTAAATATTATATCTAAATTACTTTGAAATTTATATTCCGAGAGACAATAAGTCCTCAAAAGAATGTGTTTATGGTGTAACAGTTTCGTCTATTTCTGAATCGAATGCCAATAAAATTTTTATAAGCATACTAAAATAGTTTTTAGTTTTCATTTCTAACACTTCAAATTTTATAGCTAAATCTTATTAACTTAATCTTTATAGATTCATATCGTCTTCGTATTGTTAGCGTTCTATTAATAATTTTTCATATTCCATATTAACTTCACGAAGCTAGCGTTGGAGATCACGAATCTAACGTTTTAAACCTTCATTTATGTTTTAGTCTTATTTTGCTTCAGCTAATTATTGCTTTAAGCGATTTACTTCACTTTAAAGTTCTGCTGTTGCTTACTAGCTCTATGCTAAAGTAAGTTCAGCTTTATTTTTATAGGTGCTTTCCAACTTAGCAATGTACTCATATTTAAGTTATAATTCTTATTTTAATCTTTACTCTGTTTCGATTTATAAGTTATCTGATTCTTCAAGCTACTTGCGTTTTTTTTCCAAGTTGTTCTCTAGTTATGAAGCATAATTTTTTTACTCTTTCAATTCTTCCTCAACGTGCTTAAGATACTCAGCTTAGCTTTCTATCTTATCCTAAAGTAAAAGGATTGTTTATGACTATTAATCAATTTAATTTTCTCCAAGAACTATTTCTTACTATTAAGCAGAAATACGCTCGTTTTATTCTAAAATTTCATCTTTAGCTAAGTTTATTTATTATTGCAATTATTATATTTATTACTTAAGTTGATTTGACTTATTCTATTCATCAACAATCTAACGCTCCATATTCTAAATATTCTTACTCAATTTTTTCTCATTTTCTTAAGAACTATTTTTAAACTATTCAAACTATTACTATAATTTTTTTTCTTTAATCTCATGTGAGTTAACTTAATTAGTGAGATCCAAGTTATCAGTTGTCATTTTTTCATTTATTGATTTTAGCTTTTCTATTTGATCATTAAGTTCCTAGTTCTCGCTTTGATAATTTAACATTTATTAGCTAAGAGTTTCTATTTCAAGCTAAAGTTCATTTAGCTTGTCTTATAATTCCTCTATAATCTGGTTTTATTGACTTTAGACTTAAGATTCAAAAGGAATTTACTTCGAAGATTGATTTTAACTTTTAATCTTTGGTAAACTTTTGTTAGAAGCAATATTTTATAAATCTCTATTATCAATAGATTTATTCTTTTATGAGTTAAAATCTATTTCGAACTCATTAAAATCTTCTTAGCTTGGTATAATATTATATTCTTCAGTTTTTTCTGCCTTCATACTCATCTCTCTTTGGCTATTTTTTTAATTTCCTAAATATTCTAATTCTTCAAATTCTTAGTCATCTTCTTATCCTTAATTTAATGATTGTTGATAGTTTTCACTACTCTTACGAGAAGATATGTTTGATATTTTAGAATAAGAGACTGATTTTTTAGGGACATTAGCCTATTATTATGATTCGTCATCTCTTTCCATTCTTTTGCTCTTCTCTTTTTGAGAATTATCTAAATTACCCTAAAACTCAAGTTATTCAGATTCATCTTATAACTAGTTTTCATTATTATCTACATCATAGTGATCATTATTATTATCTTAATTAATTTGGTTTTTACTATGTTTGCTACTCTTTCTTGATGGAGGATTTGATATCTAAGAATAAGAAACTTGTTTTTTAGGATTTTCTGATTTTTGTGATGCAAATTTATTTATTGGATCTTAAACATACTCTTCTTAATTTGGTGAATCTATGCACTCACTTATCTTTTTTAACGAAGGGGACTTAGAAGGATACCTCACTTCATTTTATTATTAAATATTTTGCTGGGTTACAGCTGCTTATTCTTATAAAGCTTATATTTAATCATTTAAATTTAATACTTTTTAATTCAATTCTTGATTTTCTTGTATTTTTAATTCTGTATTTATTTTAAGAGTTTGAGCATCCTTCTCAATCTAGCTGTTTAGTAATTTTAACTCTTATATTTCTTAATCTTTTAAATTTAAGTTTTTCATTAGATTTAAATACTTTTTATCTCTTTCTTCAATTTACTCTTTGTGGGAGTTTTGAATCATTTGAACATTTTTTTATGCTTAATCTAATTAGTATTGTAGAAGTTCTTTTTCTTGTTTTAATTATTCGTGGGCTGAGCTCAGTACGTCTTGTTTAAATTGAAGTTCACTTTTTTATTCGTTAAGCTCAGTTACTCTTGCGTACAATTAATTTATTCTTTCTATCTAATTTGGGGCTTCATATTCTAACTTTCTAAGCTTTTCTCTCTCCTAGTCTGTTTATTTTTTTAATTCTTCATTCTCTGTTTACAGCTATTATATTTTTTTCTTGTTCTCAGTAGATTCTAATTCTAATCTTCGAGTTACTTTTTTCAGCTCAGACTATACTTAATCAAGTTCAGCTCCCTTAAGTGCCTCTTTTGCTGTACCAGATGCTAATGAAGTTTCTAACTCTAATAAAGCACTCTCTTTATCTCTATGAATATTCTTGAAACTTTCTTTTAACACCTGTAACTCATCTATCATATTTTTTTCCCTTTCTTCTAGTTTTTAACATTTTTAATTCAAATCTCTAATTTGCTCACTTTAATTTCTTTTTTCTTCCTTTAGCTTGGTCGATTCTTTTTGTAATAATTCATTTTCTAATTGAGTCTCCTAATTTCTTTTAGAAATAACTTCTAATTAAGCTTAAAGTTCTCCTTTAATGTCATTTAGCTGCTTATTTTCCTTGCGAATTATTAAAAGCTTCTCTTAAAAGTCTTATAACTCTGCCTAAGACGAATTAAGCTAGTTAATCAGTTATTATTCTCTTTCTTGATTAGAAGAATTCATTTGCTATTTAAGAGATGTGAGTTCATCTTTCAGCTATTTAATCATTTTATTGAGCTTGTCTACTTCTTAATTCTGCAAGTTATTTCGAAGCACAGAATCATGCTATTAATCAATTAATTACTATTAAATAGCAGCTATAAATTCTTCTCTCTGAATAGCATTTAATTTCATTTCTTCATTTTCTCTTGCAAGGAGGATAGAGCGTTCATTAAGCTTTTCAGACTAATTTTGAGAAAGTGAAAGCCTGTATTCAATCTATATTCTTTCTTGCTTCAATGCAAGGTTTTCAGTAGAATGGCTATCATTTTCTAAAATAAGATTTTCCACTTTTTCTTCGAGCTTAGCATTTGCATTCACGTATTATTCTAACTGCTCTTTGATTCTGTCATTTTCTCTTTAAATATTAGCTTATTTTTCACAAATAGCGTCATTACATTCTTTAAGATTAGAATTTTCTTGTTTTTATTCTCTGAGTTCATTAGTTATTTATTCTACAACACTTTGAATTCTTTTATTTTCTTAAACTAAATTTTAATTAGCAAGACTAATCTTTCTTTCTTTTTCTTAAATTTATGAAATTAAATTGTTGTATTCCTCGCATTCAGACTATAGCTATTTAAGTCTTTCCTAAGTATCATTGTACTTTAAATTAATCAGATTATTTTCCCTTTAGAGATCCTCAAACATTCTAATTTATTTTTCAAGTTACGTTTCTAAGTCAATAACTTGTTTTTAAATATTAAGACATTCTTCTTCTTTATTTGACAATTACTATTATAACTCCATTCTCTTTGCATGCTATTGAGCTTGGATTGTTTTTTAGTCTGTATTTTAAATAACTTTAGCTTATTACTCTTCTATGAGCTGTTACAATTCATGATTCATTTATGTAAGAGATTAAATTTAATTCTAAAATAATTCTATTTCTTTTATAGACTTATCATTAAACAAATTAGCTTAAGATAAATCATTTTCTAGCTTATTCTAAATTCTCATCAATTCTTCTATTCTATCATGCTGACTATCTAATTCTCTTTATGCTTAGTCTGCAAATAACTCTTGAGCTCTTTCTTTTTCCTACAGTTTTTCTTCTAAAATTTGAATTGCTCTCTCAGCATTTTCCCAGCTAAGCTTGATAGCTTTTAATTCTTCTTCGATACAAGATTACTGAGTTTCACGTTATTTTATAACCATGAGTAACTCATCTACCTTCTTTTTTTATTATTCTTCTATTATACTTCTAATCTATCTTGACTCTTCAAGTTAAGATTGCTATTATTCAGCACGACGTTACCATTCTCTTACACTGCTTTATAGGTTATTATTTTCATCTGCAATTTATTGCTGCTTATGAGATGCTCTTAAAGCTTCTAATTTCATTTCTTATATAAGTTCTCTAGATTCATTTAATTCAGAATTAGCAACAGCATATGCTGATTCTTTAATTTTAATAGCATTCTAAACTTCGTGTAATTAAGCTCTCAACGTTTCAATTTGTTTTCTGTAGTTGTTTGCTTGACTTTCTTGATTTAGCTAAACTTCTAGCTTTACTTATTATTGCTTTATGAGGTCTTCTTATATTTTGGAAATTTCCTTTTAGCTCTCTGACAACTTAGATTCTAAAATACTTATTTTTTCATTTAATGCTAATTTATCTCTTTTTAATTAAGCATTTTCCTCCTCACAATCTTATAATCTTGATTTTTACAAAGCTATTTTTTCTTTGATTTGCTGTTCTGTTGCATTCCAAACATGCCCTTCATTTTTTCTATGTGCTAATTCCTCATGAGCATCTTATATAGAAATCTGGGCTGATTTGAGAGCGACTTTTTTCTAGGTTACCTCTTCATTAAGAATTTATATTTTTCTTTTTTGCTCTTAAAGAATGCTGTCAAATTCTTCTTCTCTTTTTTCTTTTTCTTTTTCAAGGGCTTCATATTTTTATTGTATTTCAATTTTTTTCCTTTCATTTTATTAACTTATTCTAATTTAAGCTTCAAGCTCCCTTTATTTTTATGAAATCAATTAGTCCCTCTATTCAACTTCCTTTTACCATTCAGTTGCACATTATTACAACCTTCTCTCCCAAGTATCTTAACTTTCTTACAATTTTCTATCATTCAAGGTGTTTTAATTTATACGTTCAAAATCTATTTATTCTTTTGTTTCTAAAAATTCTTTTCTAATTTACTAGTTCTCTTCTTATAATCTTCTTATTTCGATTTCTAGCTTGTGTATAACATTTTCATAATGGATTTCTGTTTCTTCTAGACGTTTTTCTACTTACTCCTTAACAAATTAAATTTCATTTAATCTCCTTTCCCTCTCTTCCATCTATTTCAGCTAGTTTAAATAATTAGTTAGTCTTTCTTCTAATGTCAAATTTCTTTCAACTTCTCTTTGAAGCTCATCTCTCAGTTTTTCTTGTTCATCTACAGCTTCTTCTTTTTGCATAGATAATATTTTAAGTCTATCTGTGAAGAAATCTCTTACTGATTTCCATCTCATTAAAGTTGTAGGAAAGTCTTCCCTGCATTATATTTTATACTTTTATTAAGCCTCTAATATTGACCTATTTAATTCTTCAAGATTTTCTTTTCTTTCATTTCTCTTTTTAAAAAATGATTTATCTCTTATGCATTATAAAAATAATTCAAATTTACTGAATTAACCATTTCTTGATTTTGTCTTTGTATTTCAGCAATTTATTTTTCAAGAATGTAAATGGATTATCCTCTTTAATCACTCTCTTAAAATTTATTTTGAAAGTTTACCCTTAAATTTTCTAATTCTTGCATTAAACTTTCAACTTCTTTTTCTTTATCTTCTAGTAGGAAGTACAGCTTTTTAATAGTTGCCTTTCTATCTTAACATTTTTTTTCAGTTTTAGCGAGCTATTTTTCAATTTTATCATATTTAATTTGAATAGAGTCAAGTTCATCTTCATATTTACGAGATATTTCAACACTTTCTCTTGCACTTTTTAAAGGCTCACTTACAAGCTTCATTTTGAGCTAATTATTTTCTTCTCTAAGTTCTTCAAATAATTTTTAATATCCTAAATCATTTCCTTTAGTAGAAGATCCCTAGTTGTAAAATGAAGTTTTTAAAATTAATTATGCTTTATTAATCCAAATTAAATAGATACCTATTGCATAAATAAGGTCTATGTTGCAAAATTTTCAGTTTCTTATTCCTATATTAATATTAAATTTTTTTATTAATTCTATTTTAACTTTTTTTTAATTATTTGTGATTTGAAAACTTTAAATTTTTTAATAATTAAATAATACCAAGTGCCTTAATGACTTCTCCATATTTTCACGATCTATTTCAAATAAATTGAGAGCATACAAAATATCACTAGAGCGATTTCCTTCAACAAATTTTTTTAATTTTTAAGAGGATAGAATAAAATTTTTAGCAGAGGCTATAAAGTATTCAATTTTTTTTCTTGCTAATTCGTTCTTAAATTGCTTTGCATTTAATCCTATTTTGTCTATATCTCCAGCAGCTGCGCTAGAAAAACCAGGTATTGCTCCTGGCGGCGCATTATTAATTAAACCTGAACCATATGTATAATTGCTAGCATTATTTTCACTACTAAAATTGTAGTCTCTCCCTTCAGAGCGATCCGTCAAAGGAAATTGTAATCCTTTAATTTTATTTGTACTTTAATAATTCGTTTATTCAGTAGATTAACGTTCAACTGAAAAAAACTTATTGGTACTTTGTTTTTCAAATTAGCTATTAAAAGGTTGAGTAACTTATTTTATATTTTTAAGGTTGGTTGTAAAAAAGTTTGCATGGTTTAAGCTATTTTTTAAACATAAATAATTGATTTATAATGAAAGATAATAAAATCATAAAGCAAGAATATGGCTATATAGTAAGCTATGATTTACTTTTTATTAAATGTTTTATGAGAGTCTTCTGTTTTAAATTTAGAAGGAGACGTCCCAAGACTCCTAATTCCACTCATTAAATTTATAAATAAGCTAAAATAACTAAATTTATATGATAGAATGCTATAATATTTGATTGATGAATATTTATCTATCTATCTATCAAGTTTTTTAAGATTGAAAATTTTAAATAATTAATATATATTGAAAATTTAATTTATTTCTTTTGAAAATCAAACTGAATAAAATTTAATAATCCTTAAGTGGGCAAATAAATATCTTAAAATATGTTCAGTCCTATTTTTAAATGAATAAATACTTTGATAATCTATTTATTTAGATAATAATTAAATTCATTTGAAAAAAAAAACATTTACTTATTATATTCTTTATTTATTTCTAATAAAAATTTAAAAAAAATAAATAATTTAAATCTAATTTAAAAATACTTTTTTTATTAATAAATTATTTTTGAATTTCATTTATTGGTTGTAAATAAATTTTTATTGTTTTAAGTAATAATAATTTTTTTTGCTTCAATTTTATGTAAGTTTTACTTTTAATTTAATATTTTCAAAAACTTTTATCTTGAGCTATCTGTATCCTTATCCTAAATAACAAATTTTAACAACTTTTAAAGAAAGAACTTTTAATTAAAACTATTGAAATTTTGATAATAAATAAATATATAACAATTATAACTTATTAATAGTTAAAGTCCTTAAATTTTAGCATTCGCATAAAATAAATCACTAAACATAGCAATAAGATTATTTAAGACTTTTAAATTTTCATATTACTTAATAAATAAATCAGCATTAGTAAAATATTTGGTAGTTTTAATAAAAATGGATAATTAAGGATTCGATTCGGAATTAAGAACTTATTACAATGATGTAAAAACTTAAATTAAAAATGAACACTCAGAATACATTAAAAAGCATCCAGAATTACGTGAAATTTTGAATGATTTTCTTTCAACAGTAATGCTTGAAAAACCTTAGGATGTTTATGAATATGCATAACAGTATTTCTCATATTTTAACATTGAAAAGGATAAAATTTTACTCAAACCTATCATTATTTCTGGTCCTTCAGGTGCAGGAAAAGTATATGATTTAATGTATTTTTAATACTCAAAAAAAATACTTTTATATTAAATAGGGAACATTAATTAATATGATTGTTCAGTAACATAGTGATAAATTTTAAAAATCAATAAGTTATACAAGTAGAAAGCCATAACGTGGAGAAACTCATGGGGTTGAATATTATTTTGTATCAAGAGAAGAGTTTGAAAAAGTAATTTCAAAGAATATTTTCAAGAAAAGTTATTCCAAATCTTCTTTAAAATTTAGGAAATAGCTAAAAATTCATTCCTTGAATTTTGTGTTTATCAAGGAGAGTATTATGGAACACATAAAGGAAAATTAGAATCTATAATATAATCTTGCAAGGTAAATACTAATAAATATAATAAATAATAAGTCACTTTAAATAAAATAAATTCATTATAGATTGCTATACTTGAAATTGATGTACAAGGAGCAAAAAAGGTTCATAAAGAACATCCTGAATGGAATTATTTATTCCTTAATGCACCAAGCTTAGAAGAACTAGAAAAAAGAATGAAAGCTAGGTATATTTATTAATTGATTTTTATGTTTCAAAATAATTGCTTTCTTTCTTTTATAATTATTTCTACTTAGGGGATCTTAGCTTACTGAATTGTAAATAGATGAAAGACTTAAAATTGCAATTAAAGAAATCGATGAGAGTAAAAAGTTAGGTTTCTACTAAAATCTTGTCAATGATGATTTAGAAGAATGTGTAGAATAATTTATTAAAATACAAAAAACTAAATACAATGATATCAAATGGTGATATTTTAAATATTTATTTATTTATGTATTTATTTATTTTAATAATTAACTAACATTTTTAAACACTTTAAAACCAATTTAAAAATTATTTTTTGTTAACTTAGAACTTATTGATAAGACTAACAAATATTAATTTATATTCTATTTTTAAAAACTTTAAAAAATATATTTTTGAATATGAAAATCATAAAAATATTTTTTTAAAATCTACTTACCTCCTTAATTCATGAAATTTAAAATATGTATTTCTTGTCAAATTTTTATTTCTAAACTCAAATCTGGGATTTAAAATTTATATTTGAAGAGAATTTAAAAAATATTTGTTGGTGAAAAAGATTAATGCTTATGATAAAGTAAAATATAAAATTATATATGGTTTATTAAATATGAGTTATATAAATAGAAGTATAAGTTTTGGAAGTATAGGAATTAATAATATATATTGTGTAAGTGATTGGGTTGGTTTTGAGGTGGTGATTATTTGTATTTTAATTTTTTCGAATGGAACTCTATGATTTAATGCTTAAATTATATTTAATTAATTCAAACAACTCTGTTCTCTTATAAATTTAAGATAGATTAATAAGCAGAAAGAAAATTTGTGGCATTAGAAATACTACTGCTATATTAAGGAAATCTATCATAAAGATTATTAAATATCAACAAAAATAGCTTTAAGTCGTGTAAAAGTGTAACTTAGAGTTATGATTCAGCTTAGCATATTACGTACTCGTATGTAGGAATGAGATCATCGCAACCATATATTTATTATTATTAGACAATGTTATCTTAAAGATTATTTGAGAATGGAAAATTTTCTTCTGTTTATTTTACTTCTTGATCTTGATACTGCTACTATTTGACTAAATTTTATGCTTTTTTTATATTTGATTCCATGGATAAACAAAATTCATCTTCCTCCTCAATAGGATGCTTAATTTAATATGACTGTTTAAACCCAATTTATTCATTCTCATTTATTTCTTCAGAGTTATTTTTCCCTAACGAGAATACACTTGCTTGTAATTACTAAGATTTTTCTGCTAAAGATTGAGGAGACAACAATGATGTACTTTAAAGGTATGAATTTTGGTATAAATTTTTTTATTAAGTTTGTTAAATAGAACTTTAATTTTTTTCTTCCATTATAACCTACTTTACTACATGTTAAATAATTTTTATTCCTTCAATCATGTTTTTTTAAAATATTGGAATAACTTATTTGTATTTTTCTATTGAATTTTTAAAATGACTTTGCATATCGCCATATTATTTTGTTTCTCTGCAGTACACATCATTTTTAAGGTATAATTTCATGTTAGTAAAAAGTTTTTTAGTTTAATTAGAATAAATTTGTTACATCATAAAACGAATCCTTTCAAATACTTTGTGGTTAAAATTTAAAAGCATATTTATAACGGGAAACGCTTTAGAATCCATATTTTGCATAAAAGTTCTTTTATGTGTGGGAGATGAGGATTCTCCAATATCTTTTTCTTATTACTGAGAAGCAAAATTATCCATAATTCTTTCTATGAGTTTTTCAAAAACTCTAACAATAAATCTTATTTCAATTTATATCCTGTTTTCTAATAGTTTTGGTTCCTTCATATATTCTTTAGGGACTTTATCGTTTTCTTTACCATATAGAGCAAAGAAAGCTTACTAAAAGGCTGTAGAAACTTTTCTAAATAATAAAAACATTTCGTCAGACTCTTTCATATAGTGTTTAAATTTTTTTAAGTCTCTTTTGAGTTAATACTCTTCATCGTCTACAGGATAATGATTAAAATAATAAGTTTGATATACTGATAATTTGTTGTCCTAAGAATGCTAATTGAATAAAAATAAATTATGTTCACCCAAAAAGCTACCTATAGAAGAAGATTAGGTTTTTCCTCTCTAATATATATTTTAATCCTCTTATTTATGGCACTCGCTAACAATATTTCTCTATAAACAAGGCTAGAAGTTATCTTTATCACTTTGATTCCTATTATCATCCAAGTTAGTTGCTGAATTAGAATATTTATTTAGGTTTTATTATTATTACCGAATAGTTTTCTAGCTATATTTAAATTATGGTATAGTCTAAAAGCTAGATTTTATTTAATTATTAGCTTTCTAATCACATTTTTTGCGATTCATTTAATGAAAGATCTAATTTTTCTTAAGTTCTTTACAAAAATTAGCCCATTCCTATTGAGAGTTCGATACAACTTTAAGTTCTAAATTAAACAATTATAAATAATCTTTGATTTATTAGTGATATTTATCTAAATTTTTGCATAGTTAAGAAACAAGGAGGTTTTTTTCTTGGATATCTATATTTGAAGATATACTGTCATTTTAATTAGAATTTTATAGGCTGTTATAGTATTAATAATAATCTTTTATCACTTCATCAAAAGATTCTTATTTAACAAATTCCAAATCCTCTGTGATATCATTTTCCCTCAGTATGCTTTTAGAAAGTTAACTATCTTACTATTTGATTTAATTATTTTATTCGCACTCATTTTTTGACACTGTTTCAATTTTGTTTTGTGCTTGATATAAGGCTAAAATCTATTTCTCTCTTGAGGAATATAGTTTCTTTCTATTTGAATTCCCCATTTCTTGTTATCTAAGTGATAGCTAGTTTTTAACTAAAATTTATGTCAGAATTATTCAATATTAGTATTTATTTTTCTGCAATTATACTCTTTCTACTTTTTTAATTATTTTAGGGATTAATAAATTGCAGAAAATAAATTAATTATTTTGATAGATTTCCTAATTAGGAGCAAAAGGTAAAATAAATATTCTTTTTCCATCAAATAACTAAAAAGAAGATTAATAAATGATTAAGATTTGTATGAAAAAAGAATCTTAGTTATAATTTTTTTTGAAGAGAGCAAAATTTATAATCTAAATTTTTACTTTCTTCTCAAATATAAATAAAAATCATATCCAAATCATTTATTTAATTTGATGGATTTTATTAACAATAAATCAAAAATCTAATTATTGGATCATTTGGCATCTAATTATTATTAGTTTACACTTTTTATCTAAGATAATCCATAATAAGTATTTGGTTAAAATAAATATAAAAATGACCTAAAATTAAACTTCATTATTTATTTAGGAAAGATTTTTGATAAGCTCCTTTTCATTAACATTAAATATTTTTTTTATTTTTAATTAAAAAAAAATAATTTTTTTGACATTTGAAATAATTTAATAAGTTTTTCTAAAATTTAGTTAATACTAAGAAATAAATAAAGAAATAATTATTTTTTATAAAATAAAAATTATTTTACTAAATAAAATATGTTTGATTTTAGAAATATAGCCTCAGTGTAAACTTTTTCAACGACTATATTTACAATCAATTAATCAAAAACTAAGCAGATATTTTGAACCAATAAATTTTCAGAAATAAAAAATAAACTTTCTTTACTTTTCTCTTAAAAATAAAATATAGTGGAAAAATAAACATAGATAAAAGTTAACTAATCAATATACAATTTAGATAATTTAGCTAATAAAAATAAAGAAAAAATAAGGTAATATAAATTATTAATTAATTAATTCATATTGAATTAGTATTTTAAGTAATATTTAGTAAAAATACCTGTCAAAAATAAATTCTTATAAACAAAAATATTTTACTGATTTATCAATAAATAAATAACAATCAATATTGAAAACAACAACATACATACATGATAAGTTAGATTTAAAGATAAAAGCTTTGTGATTTGATCCTTGAAATAGGTAAGCTAGAAAAGAAAATAGAAGTAGTGAGACAATTGTTATGCGAATACCCAGAATTTACTCCATATTCTGCTTTTAAAAGGATAGATATTCGATAAGTTAATGAAATATCTTCTTATGATATAAGACATTTTGTATAGGAAAATAACTCTACTATTTCAATAACATAATGTGAACTTTTTATCAAACTGTTTGACAAAGATGGAGATAAAAACCTTTCCTATGATGAGTAAATTAATACAGTTAACAAAAATTTTTAATTAATAAGCAAAATAAAATTTAAAGGTTTTTAGACGCAATCCTTCCTTAAGATAACCCTAGATTAAGATAAAAAGTATTGTAAAAAGAGCCAATTGCTTTACTACCTGGAGAGAGGCTTGAATCAGAAATAGAATACACAATAATTAAATTAATAGATTGGTAATTTAGTTTTTATAATAAATAAATAATAATTTTATTTGTACAATAAAATAAATAGGGAAAGCAAAGGAGTTTAAGAATTAGAATAAGAAAAGTATGAGTTTTTGGGGAAGGGCGTTAACAACATTTCTAAATTTTTGCAGGATTGCTTTTATTTAATTGATGTTGAAAAAAAAGGATTTTTTAATGATAAATAATTGGAATCATTTTTCTTGCACAACTCAAAAGTTATCTTTCCTGAAGAAACTTAAGCCTTTTTTAGGAGATTAACATATAATTGCTCTACTGAAGTTATACAAGAAAATGATTTTATAATAGGAATTGATTTTGCACCATACAATCGTGATAGATAGAGTTAAACTAGAGCTAGAATTTAAGCCCCTTTATTATCGTTTGGCATAAATAATATTTAATAATAAAATTCACTTCAGTAAAATTAAAGTATAAAAACAGCAAATTTTGGACAAAAAACTAATGTAGAAGGCCGCAGTAGAATTTACAGCCAAGATAGGTAGTCATTTGATAATAACTTAAATCATACTACTCCTACTAAAACTCCAATAAAAGGCTATTATACTTAAGATTTTTCTTCAAGAGGATTGAGAAGTAATAGTAACAGCAATTACAAAACTTAGCCTAATAGCAAATTAAGAAGCTCAAGCATTACCACCCCATCATAAATAAAAAATAACGAAAGTAATGTAGGATATGATGTATTAACTTACTCAACTAGTAGCTATAAATAGAATCCTTATTCAGTTTAGCCAGCTGCTACCACTTCGGTGAAAGTGATTAAACCTTTAGAAAAGGATTTAGGTAAGGTAAGGGTTAAAGAAGAGTTAGAGAGATAGCACTTGATGAAGAAATTAGCAATAACTAATAAACCTAATTCAAAAGTAGATTAAATAGCAACTAATAGTGCAAGGATAGTGAGTGGTAAAAAAGTTGCTAAATTTGCACTATCAAATGCAGAAACAGTTGATAGTTTCTACTAACCAAGTGCTACCTATTCAGGCTCTAAATAAAATAGTTCAAATTTGAAGTAAAAAAAGACCACCCCTTTGAAGCAGAGATAAGAAACCTCGCCCAATTACCAAAAGTCACCAATTTAAAAAAACAGTACATCATCTATGAGAAAATAAAAAACTGAAATTCTAGAAAACGAAGATTTAGAAGCTAAATAAATTGACTAAAAGTAAACTCTTCTTTAATTTAAACAAGATGTTAGATGCAAATTAGCAACTTCTAAATTGAATTATGAGCGTTCGTTATCTCCAGTAAAGCAAATAAACCCAAACAATATTAATTCTAAATAAAATATCATAAATATTTGTCTGAATAATAATTCATCAATAAGAAATTCTTCAAGAAATGGTAGAAATGGAAGTGGAAGTAAATTATCATAATCTTACATTTTAATTGAAAACGAACCGATACGCAAATCACCTGAAAAGAAAGTTCCCAAAAATAAAAAGTCAAACACTTAAACATCTAACAACTCTATTCTTTTGTCTAATAACCCTCAAAGAAACGAAGAATATATTGAAAACAGTATTTCTTACTTAAAAAAATCAACTCTCAAGAAACAGCAATCCTCTCCAAACAGTAATAATTCATTATCCCTTTCAAACTAGGGCGAGAAGGATTTATACACTCGTCTCAATCCTAGTGCAGCTACAAAAACACCCTAAAGAAGCTTAAAAGCAAATATATCCTATCATATAAATAGTTACCTGATGGCTATAATTAACAATAATAAAAATCTTGAAAAAATAAAATAAGACCTAGCCTTAAAAGCAGACTTCAATTTGTATGACGCATTTAGACTCATAGATTGGCAAGAGAGAGGAGTAATTACAGCTTATAATATAGAAATGTTCCTATCTTCTCATAAAATTTCTGCTACAATCAATGAAATTATTCTTTTAATTAAGAGATTTGATTTTCTCAAACATGGAGCTCTAAGGTAAAAAACTGTTTTTTATATCTAAAAATTAATTTATTTTTTAAAATTTTAAAGATTCTCTGATTTTAGTTGTGCCTTATTATCAAATTAAGGAGAGTACAAGAGTTTAGTTGAGAGAAGGCAAGGATCTGACATATAGCAAGAAAATATCAAGCACGTAAATTTTAATTATTTTTAATGAAAAAAAGCCTAAATTATCTTAATTAAACAAAGGTTTTTTCAAGAGAAACAATGAAGTTGTATACAAAATTAATTGTAGAATACCTATCTTGTGAATATTAATTAGAAGCAATACGTTAGTCTATTTCTTAGGATAAAAGATGGGATTATGAGTATTGTTTTGATATGATAAATGAATCATAGACTGGCCTTATAACAGGATTAGAGGTAATTATATTCTAAATGTTCAAACTAGAGCTTATATTATTAAAATAAAAAAAATAGCTGAAGCACTTCTTGGAGTATTAAAACTACCTACCAAATGAAAGAGACATCTCAAGTATTCTAGAAAGATTTGATAAAGACGAGGATAATGCTATTTCAATTAGTGAATTTGTTAGTGAGATATCTCCTCGTTCTTCAGCTTGATTGATTGTATCTAGTTTAACTATGATATTTTTTAAAAATAAAATAAATTTAACTTACAATTTTCCACCTGTAAATAATATTACCACTTTTATAATAATAATTTAAAATTTAATTAAAATAGTAAGGAAATAAATTGATGTATTAATAGATTATATATTTCGTAAATATGTTTAAATTTACAAATAATAGCTCCTACAAATTTTCTTTATATATTCTTTTAACCCTAAATTAACTACACACAATTATTTTAATAATTTCAATAAACATTATTAAATTTTTATCAATTTTTATCATTAAACAAAATTATTCTCAGTCAAAAAAAAAATTCTTGATAATTATTTTTTATAAAAATACCTATTTATATTTTTCTTCATAAATTTGATTAAAATATTATTCTTCTTTTATTTAATTTTTTTTCTTCTGAATAAAAATAGCGATTACTTAAATTTATATTTAAAATATAAACTTTTTTTAACTAATAAAAAATTAGAATTTTTATCTTATTTACAAAAGTTTTTTTGTGTGCTTTCAACTATAACTTAAATTATTTGAGTTTATATTTAAATGGTTATTATTAAAAAAATCAAAAAAACTTATTTGATCTTAATATTTGTCAATAAGATTTTATATTAGAACTATGTTTTTAATATTGTTAAAAACAAATTACATTAAATATCTATTTAGTTAAAGATTAAAGCAAAAATTAAAATTAATATAAAGAGAATAATTAATTAATTAACTTAAAAATATATAAATTTTAGCACTTTATTATACTTCATTTATAATGGATCTTGTTGAGGAAATTAGTAATATTCAAATTCTTTTTAAGCTAAATCTATGAATTTAATTTTCCTATTACAAACCTTAAAATAAATAGTTATTTTCTTAGTTGGCCTGCTTATTTTTTTAAAAATAAGACCTCAAATATACTCAAAATTTGATTTGTACTTTAGATAATCCTAAAAGAATTTAGATATAATAAACAATTGCCCAAGCATAAAAAAAGGAAGATACTTTCCAACATTCTACTTGAGCTTAGGATTGCTCTAAGCAGTTTTTGGCTCAAAGTCAAAACACACTGAATAATTTGTGAAATTTAGAAAGTAATACATCACAATAGCTGACTATGGAGAATTTGGAGTAGGTAAATTAAAATACTTATTTCGCTCAAAAAATATACATACAACTCTTTCATTTTCTTTTATTTACTCATTCTTTTAAAAAACATTAGATTGGGTTTATTCAGATGATAAATAGTTAGAAAGAACACCAAAATAAAATAAGATGATATGTATATTTCCTGGTCTAGTATCTTCAATAAACGAGCCTTATATAATGTAAACAAGCAAAAATCTTTATATCTATTTTCCTAATTAAAAGTATTTAAATTTTAATAACAAAATTTAATAAGTAATATTTTAGCCAAATGCTATAAACATGGGTATGAAGTGTGTCTTTTAAATGATAGACTTTATACTAATAGAGATAATGGAAGAGGAGTTTCATTTCCTAAAAATAAACCTTTCACATTTGTAGATGACTATAAAAAAATTCTTGAAATAATTAAAGATTAATATTAAGGTTACACTTTTTATGCAATTGGTCATTCCTTTGGTGCTAATACTTTGGCAAGATACTTAGGATTGTATGCAAATGAAAACATCTTTTCAGCTGCCGTTTGTGTATCAAATCCTTGGGATTTCTATTTGGGATAAAGGTATTTATCTAAAACAATAGATTAATTTCTCCTAAATAGTCGAAAAAAAATTCTCAGATAATATAAACATATTTTTAAAGATTAAAAACCTAATTACACTAATTATGATTATGGTAAATATTTTTGAATTAAGCATAAATTAACTTAAATTATAAAAAAGACGAGCTGTTATAAACTAAAAATTGTAGAGAACTTGATAACAAGTTTACCTCTAAGTTACTAGGATATAGGACAGCTGATGAGTATTATAAAAATATAAGCAGGTAATTTTATTTTTTTTATTTTTGTAAAGATTAACGAAATACTATTTTTTAGCATTCATTACATTGATTAAATAAAAATACCAGTGCTCTTCATACAATCTAAGGATGATCCTATATTAAGTGAAAATACTCTTCCAATAGATGAAGTGAATAATAATAAGAATTTAATAATGATTGTAACAAATACAGGTAAATTAGTTTATATAAATAAAATATTTATCTCATTGTATAAAATTAAGGTGGGCATGTAGGATGGTTTGAAGGTTTATTTTAACCAAAAAGATGGTATCTAAAACCTACTTTAGAATTTATAGATTATTTAGAGCAATTAAATTGACATATCATATTTTTAATTTTAAAAATCTTTTGAAAAAATATTTAATAGTTAAAATAGCCTAAATTGTGCTTTTTTTGATTTCAGTTAAAAATAAATAAATTATTTTTTCTAAAAATATTAAATAAAATTAAATGTAAATACGTACATAATTATTTTTAATCCTAAAAGTATTTAATTAAAAAATTAAGAAAATTATTTATTTATCTAATATTTATTCATTAAAGTGCTGTTTATTTTTTAATAAAAAAGAATAATTTTGATTAATATTCGACTTACAAAAAATAAATTAATAAAAGATTATTCTTTCTTTATTTATTTTATATTAACTTATTAACTTATTTATTTATTTACTTACTTACTTAATTATTTAATAATTTATTTTTGATAATATAATAGTAATTTATATTATTAATCCTTTACTTTTTTATTTATTTATTTAGTTTTTATTTTCAATTTGTTAAGTCTAAAAACTAATTTAATCCAAAACTAGAAGCAATATCGAATCTTATGCCCTTATTGAATTATTCCATTTCTATTATATTAGGAACACCTTTAAATTCTGAAAAGTTTTAGTATATTTTCCTTGAGTTTTATAATTCTTTTGTAGTGGTATTAGTATATGCCCATTATTTTAATTTCGATGAAGGCAAATACCTGAAATCGAAAAGATCAACTTAATATGGATTCTTGAAATGTCCCTATTAAATTAAAATATTTAATTAATTTTATTCTCTAAATATAAAATTTTTTACTTCTCTTTATGCATCTACTATTCTAACTATTATTGATGTAAATTCTGCAAGTTTTGTTTAGCTTTTATTATTACTGAACTATTCTTAGAATATTTCCCAAGGATCTCTTTTAGCCATTTATTACAGTAGAGAAGGATCTACCTTTCCTTTAATTAAAGGAAGCTAAAATGCTCCTGATAAAACATACCCATCTGGGCTGAAAAGTGGTACCATAGTCCAACCTACATCAAAAGTCTATTTCTGATTTTTGGTTAATTATACAGCTTTGACATCGACAATAACTGACAAATACCTTTTAGAAAAAAATTATTAAAAATATGTTTAAATGATAACTTTTATACCTATTAAATGGTTGGTTCCTGAAATACATGAATTCTGAATTAAATGAAGGAGACTCAGCATAAGATAGCAAATTAACATCTGAAACTAAATTAACATTATTTGAAATACCTTCTTCTTAGTAAAACTCTCCTGGAGGATTAAGTGAAATAATAGCTCCATAAATCCACTTTGAATTTGGAACTTTATGTAACCCATCTAAAGCAAATTTAATACCAACTCTTTAATCGTATTTAGCAAAGTACATCATATCAATAACTTTTACATCACGTGTATAGATAAGCTTTTCATCTAAGAATTATCTGTAACCTGCAGTTTTCTAATTAAATAAATTTAACAAATTTTTAAATAGAAATCTCCTTATTTAATTAAATAATTAGTTAATATGAATTACAATATTTCTATCAATTAAAGTGATTAATCTATTGAGTTTTTCATCAAGTCTATTTTTCCTAGATTCAAATAGCCCTACTTCAGGTTCTGTGAGTTAAATAAATTAGGTATTATAAACACCAGTTGAGTAGTTAGGCTTAGGATCTACAATACCTTTACGTATCCATTCTTTTTCAGGGAAATCTTTCTTGTTTAGAGATCTTTTACCATCATCTGATAGAGCAGCTTTTTTAATTCTGACTAATAGTGAGGCACATGGTATTCTTTCTAAGGATTAACTAGAAATTAAATTTATATTAACAATTTATTCAGATTAGTTAAAAAATTTACAGATAATCTAAGTTAAAAGGTCTTTTTGTCCTATCGAATTCTTAGCAGTAAATAGGAAGTTAATATGCTCCTTCAAATATACAGCAATTCTATTTTTTTGATAATATTAATTTTTCAATAAATAAATAGATAAGCTTTTTTCAATACTTCTTCATTGACTTCTTCAGGTTATTTATTTGTAAATTGATTTATGAAAAGAGGTATAGCAGAATAACCTACTCTTCTTGTTTCTTTTCTTGTTGTATCATAAGTAATTATTGTGAACAAAAGCATGGAGGTTCTATCTATTTCTTCTTTTCTGAGCTCTCTTCTGTAATCATATTCAGGCATAAATTAAGTAGAGTCATCCTTTGGTAAACAAGATTCTTGTTTAAACATTTCTCCAAAATCTTTATTCACCACATCAATCAAAATCTTTGTAATAGTAACTTTGTCTGGTAAAAATCTCATGCCATCGACGTAAATATCTATACCCATGTTTTTAGTATATGCATCAGGATTCCATTAAGGCTCCAAGTTTTCTATAAATGCATTTTTATTTTCTTTTCCTTTTTAACCCCTTCCTTTAAGTGTTGTATCAACGATGAACTAGGTGATGCTTTTTATTTTATATAAAAATATATATATAAAAGTAATATAAAAACTTAGATTTACTCATTATCTGTAACTTTCTTTTTTTTGATTGCATCTCTAGCTTTTTTAAGATCTCTTTCAGAAAATAAAATTTTTTCTAGATTAAGAACTACCTAGGTCTTTGTAGACATTTCCTTTGCTCCTGTGTAATTAAGATTTGGAAGAACTTAAGCAGGAAGTTTAGAATACAATTTTATCCTTTATTCTCTTTCTTTGATCCTCCCATCTTCTACTACTTTAAAGTAGTTTTCTCCTATTAATTGATAATCAAGCCCACCATAATTTATACTGGTATCAACTAACTCCTTTTCTTATAACTCAATAGGCTCTGGTAGTTCCAGAAGTTTTACGTGGAGCCAAATATCTTTCTTATTTACTTTTTAATATCTTAGAACATGCCTTAAAAATTTATATCTCTCTTAAAATCTAATATCTTAGCCTTGCTCCTTGTTATTCATGTTTTCGAAGTGAGGATTTTGCACTAAATTATCTATAACTTAGTTAGGAGGTATATTTAGCTTAATTTTATTATTGAGTGGATTATGAATCGATGTATGAAAAGTGCATTATAAACCATTTTCATCATGAATAGGTAAAGTATCCATTAAAGTAATAGCTACTCTGCAATGCGAACGTGCAACATGATTTAAAACCTTTTATATTATTTTAAGTTTAAATAATTCTAATACTCTGAATGAATATTAATTTTACAGCAACAACCGTAACAGCTAAACCTCCTGACAAATCATCTTCGACAGGTGGAGGTAGCTATGCTTGAGAAGCCCTGGGTGGCTGATATAGCTGCAGTTGAGGTGGCGGTTCAGGTTCATCTTCTTGTGGGATATTTGAATACTAGGGAGGTGGCTACTAATAAGAAATGCTTGGAACAGGGACAGGATCAGGTTCTTACTCTATCTCAATAATATCTTACCTCGCACCATAAGCATTCCTTAAATGAATTTGAGGAATAATATATTCATGCATGGTATGATCAGGGTATAATGAAGAAACTCTTCCATACTCATCATCGTTTGGATATGCAATACGGAAATAAATCCAAGCTCCTGGTATAGGCTCTAGGTTTTTAATTTCTGGAATTGATATATTTACATCAGTAGGACCGTAATATAAGGGGCATTTGAATTTGCCACGTCTATAAGAAAATAAAAAATTAATATTAAAGATAAAAAGTAATCGATTTACTTAAGTTATCTCTTAAAATCAAATAGATCAACCTATGTCCACCCAAATGTGTCTGTCCTTCCGATATTATCAGCTAAATTTTTTGAAAAGGGAAACTAAACTTCCATGATCATGAGGGTATCTGGATCTGCAGGAATATCGAAAATTTGATTTGATTCTCCAATTATACACCTTACAGTTTAAGCACTTTCCACTTCAGTATCATGCGGATCAACTAACTTAGGCTAATAAATAGTGTCATTCCTATTATAGATCCCAAAAACTACTTGTGATAAGGGAGTTCTTGAAGGCAAGCCAAGCTTATAATCCCAGTGCACTATAAATCCTTGATTTGTATCATAATCTTTATTAGGTAACAATTAATCTCCTTCTTTTCTTATTCTTGCTGCTAAAATCCATCTTCTTTGATCATCTATCCATCTAATCGTAAACAAGTTTATAAAATATGAATTTTTTAAAAAAATTACCTTTAATTATCAAATCTTCTATCTAGGTATTTTCTTTCTTATTCAAACTTTCTTCTCATCTTTGCCAACCTCTATTCTTAAACGATTTTTTCAATTTCTGCCCTTGTAGTAGATATTTACTTGTACTGCTCCATTTTGAATCTAATTTTTTATTGCATTAAAATTCATAAAATAAATGTTTGTCTATCAATTTATACCTATAAAGTTCCGTGCCAACAGGAATTCTAGATAACACTCTAAGAGCATCTACTTCTTGCTATGTTAGATTTATCAAGCTTCTTTCTTCTTTATCTAAGTCAACCGATCTGACTTCATTATGCATAAAAAATTCATTATTTGGAGTAAATATCGAAAAAGGATTTGGTAGTTAACTCTCGCTTTTACCACCCATGTTGCCTGATGAGTGAACCATACTTCTTGTTTAATTGTGGATATTTTAATTCCCAGATTTAAGCAAACTAATTTGTTATTTAATTCTTTCGTTTTCTTATTGTTTCATGTTAATCATCATATCTATCGAATCTGGAGGCTAAGTACTAGCTAAAGAAATATTCATATTTCCTTAAGGAATCATACCTGATTTAGCATTAGTAATTTAGTTAACCATCTAATAGTTTGTAAATGGATCGTTTATCATACCTGGCATCATAATTGGAGGTGCAATAGCATTTTAAAACTGTGATCCAGGCTAAATGGTGGGTGTTATTTCATTTTATTAAGTATTTATTGCGTTTTTATATAAATTTTATATATTGTTCATATTTTCTATAAACTTAGGATCATTTCCTCCTGCTTTCATGTAGTCATTTTTGATTGCATTTAATTCATTGAGCTTATTGTCAGCATACATAGAAATATCGTTTTTAGGATTATCTATTTAGAAAATAAAAGAGATTTAGATAATTGTAAATAATATATTTATTTATTTATATTTGTTTACTCGCTATTTTTTCTACATTTTCCCTAAAAGCATTCAATCTCATGGGATCATTATTCACTTTTCCTTAATAATTGTTGTAATAATCTTTCACTCTGTTTGGAAAATTTCCATCAGGATTTTACTTTCCTTAATATAAAATATAAATATTTTTTAGAAGAAAAAAACTCTTTATTTAATTAATTATTTAAAGAAAATACCATAAATTTCATCGCCATCGTAAGGCATCATTTCTCTCTTATACATTCCTAAATTATCATCTTTCATTTATCTCAAGCGTTCTTCCTCTGCTCTCACTTTTTCTCTCATTCCAGGTACGTTAAAATTTCCTAAATCTCTCATATCTCCTAATATGTTTTTCGCTGTTGCTAGTCCGAAATTAACATTATTAGATCCAACAACTCCTTTTATGTCACCTGATTTAATTTTTTCTAAATTATTCATAATCCTAGCTCTTTCATTTTCAAGTTATTCCCTTCTTAGTTTAAGTTAGACCATTCTTTCTGCTTTTTCTTCAACCATTTTTTCATTTACTTTGTTATTCTCTTTTTTATTAAACTACAAGCCATCGACTACCTAATCATAATTAACATAAAACATTTTTGGCGTAAATATTTAATTAAATGAGTATGCATTATTTAATACCATAAGCATATTTTAATTTTACCTTTTGCATTCTTTAAAGTTCTTCTTATCTCATTATATCTAAATTTTTAGAATTTGACTCTAAATTTTCAATATCTCCGACAAGCTCTTACTCTTTTAGCCTTAATGCTTCTCTTTCTTATATTAATTTTTCTAATTCCCTTTTCTTTTCTTATCCAACAGCTGTAAGTTTTGCTTTTTCTAAATCAACTAGAGCTCTTCTTATTGAATCTTTTTCTATTCTAGCCCTTATTTCTTTTTCTTTTTTCATTTCAAGCTCATAAAGAAGCTCTTGTAAAACATTTTCATCTTCTTTTTTTTTAAGCCTTATTTTCATGCGTTCTTCTTTTAACTTATTAAGTTCTTAATCTAGAAGGTCATCTTATTTTCTCATATCCTGTCTCTCTAATTTCTTAAATTCCTAATCTTACTCTTTAAGTTTTTCTTTTAAATCCTAAAGACTCATCATATTTTCATTTTAGAGTCTTAACTTGTCTTTATCAGATTATTTTGCTAAAAACTATTAATAATCTTCGCCTTTAATTGCTCCCTATGTCTATTTTAAATTCCTTAATTCTGATTAATATTTCTCCTCCAACTTCTATAAATCAGCATAATCGCTACCTTGACAAAACTATTTTTTTTAATAATAAAAATAAGAAAACCATATATATATTTTATTTTAAATCAATAGCCATTTAAATAATACCTTTTTTAAATGATTCTGAAGTTATTCAGAAGATTCAAATTTCATCTTGCATGATCTATATATTTATGAAATATAAGCTATTAAATTATTGCATTGCAATGTTTATTGCTATATCTTTAAAAATTAAAATTCAAACATACTAGCATTCATTAAATAAAGTCGTCATTTTTCTGAGGCTTTTTCTTAACTTGTTTATTTAAAGCCTTCTATTTTCTATTATATTTTTATAACTTTGATATTACTTAAGTATTAGTATAAAAATTTAAAAGGAAGATTTAATATTCTTAAAAAAAATTAATGATCATAAATTTTTATTAAATTTTGATAAATATAACATCAAAATATAAAACTGGATAATAAAAATAGTATCAATCAATATATTTTAAATTATATGTTTGCTAAGATTACCCAAGAAAAATCATTTTTATGATGAACGATCTTAATTTTTTTGCTTCTTTTAAAGTAAAAAAATAATTTAATTTAATTTAATATTAGAATTATTAACAATAGATTTATTTTTTATTATAAATCTAAAATTAATTGTGTAATATTTTTTATTATAATTCAGAAAATATTCTATTTACAATTTCTTTCTAATCTTAATCTAAAAAAAATTATTTTAAAAATAATAATTATTTTTTTTGTTTTGAAATTTAAGAATCATTTATTTATTTTTGTTGCTAAATTATCAAAAATACTTCATGCCTTAAATATTTAAAATTAATAGGAAAAAAATATTTTGCTATCATTAAAATATCATTTCTAAAAAATTAAATTGATTTTATTGAGATAATTTTAAGATATTGTTTTTTTCATAAAAATATAATATTTAAATTTATAATTTAATAATCAAGTTTTGTTAACGTTATTTCATCTTTATAAATAATCTTTTTCTACTTCTAAATAAAGGAGATAACTTTCTTTAAATTGTAAAAAAGTAATTTTGTTTTGAAGAAAAATATAAAAATTCAAAATAGAAAGAAAAAATTATTAAAAATTTCTATATTTAACTTTTAAATTAAAAATTTAACAAAGTAAAATTTATTCTATATTAATTGATAATTTAGAAGTTAGTTAAAATAGATGTCAGTTATTTTTTTTTATTAAAGTAAATAGAGAATGTCAAATAATTTTGAATATTAATGTTGGAAATACTTTATATCCAAAATTTACTTTTGTCTATTTAATTTATATTTCAATTTATTCGTCATACATTGCGCACATCTCAAGTTATTCATGCCACAGAGTAAATATACATTCGTTCCAGATATTTATTTGCAATTAGAAAATATCATGCTATTGAGTGAACATAATAATAATCAAAAAATTCTTTTCAAAAAATATTAAAAAAAACAACTAAAAAAAATTACTCGATATTTGATTAAAAAGAAATTGATTGTAAAACATGGATTCTGATATTTAATAAGATTTGGCTTAGACTTTAATGAGGTAGCTAATATCTGCTTATTAAACAATTTAACCATCTACATATGACAAAATTATGCATAAATTAAGATTTTTTAATCCTTTGAAGATTACCAAAAATAGAAAATTTGGTCCAATCATTTTGGCATCAGTAAATCTATTGATACATTATCTCAAGCATAAGCAGATAATCTCACCTCAAAATTTTAGAAAATTTTTTACCCTTAACATTAGAAATTTAACTGAAAAAAGGTTTGTTAATTTAATATCATATGCGTTTACTCATGTGTCGCTTCCACATTTATGTAAAATAATTATTAATTTTCTTTTTAAGTCACATTTAGGCAATATATTAATTAGTCTTTTATATAAATAGTATCTAATATCCTTTTATTCTACGGATACAGTGATAATATTAGCAAATTATTAGGCATCAAAAAAATGTTTTTGATTTATTTGACTGGTGCATTGATAGGAGGTGTGATTTTATACTGGTAATAAAAGAAGAATAGAGACTAATCAAATTTCAATGGCTCAAATGCAGGTTACACTGCATTAGCAGGCTATACTGCCATGCTCTTACAAAATTATAATAGACAAATGGTTGGTATTAACATACCTGCTTGGTTTGAATGTCTTATTTCAGTATTATTATGTATAAGCTAGTAAAGCAACGACTTTAAAAATAAAGGAGTTATTGAAATTACAGGTTTTTTGACTGGTATATTACTATACTACATATAATAATTTATCCCATAAAAATAATACCTCAAAAGAGACTTAGTGATTAGTATCATATGATAAATAAAAATATTACTAGTCAAAAGAATTATAACTTAAAAAAATACTCTATAAAAATTAAATAACAAACTTCAACAAAATTACTATTTAAATAAATGAATAAAAAAATAATTTTATACTAATTAACTGTAATAATATGTAATATTTATTTGTTTATCAAAATTAACAATTTATTAAATTCTAACTTAATTAGAGCTACTTTTCTTTTTAATAAATAAAATAAAGAAATTTAGAAAATTCTTTTATTGATTTAAGCCAAATTAGAAATTTGTAAAGCAAATTTATTATCTCTAATTAAAATAGATTTTTAAGTTAAAATAAATATGATTTGTTAATAACTTAATTTAATTCAACTTTATATAGAATTTATTTATTTTTAAAATATTTGTGTTTTAATATTATGCTAACCATTACTAATATTTTTAAATCTGAAATAACTCTTAATCATTTGATAAAAATAATTCAAAATTGCTAGCATCAAATTTTGACTTTCTGTTTTTCATACCATACCAAAATCAATAGTTACAAACCTAAATGTTGAGTTTATTAGATAAATTTAGTTATCATCAATTAATTTTATTTATCTCAAGCTTTTCAAATAAATTTAACAACAAAAATTATTAATAATTTTTTCTTTGATCATTATAAAAATCAATGGTTAAGGATGGATTGCAAATATTAAATAAAAAATGAATGCTTTCAGATATTACTAAGTTTTTAAATTAATTTTGATTAATGTAATATTTTGTAAAAGCATATCTATCTTTAGCTTAATAATTTTTTAACTATTTTTATTATTATTAACACATTTCAAACAATTTAATAACTTTAATTTACTTTAGGAAAATAAATTTAGTATTAGAAATAGCCAAAGTATGTCGTAGACAACTAGCCCAGTAAAGTCATATAGGTAATAGTAGTCATTTAATGCAAGTAATACATTAAGTGGAACAAAGCAGTTCTTTGAAGAAGTTAAACAAAAACTGTATCCACATGAATAGGTGCTATTGATGAAAGAATTTTTAGATACATCAGCTTCACCAACAAAGGGATTTTAGGATGGAAACAATGAATTCAGTAGAACAAATACTTTAGACCAAACAACAGATAGTGCATACTATTTTTAATAGACTCCTGGAAAGGAAATATAAGATCTTTTAAAAAAATTTTGTTGCCTAGATTGTAGTATTCACAAAATTCGTTAATATGATCATATCTGCAGCTCAGAAAATTGTGAATAAAATAAGATTCTTTACTGTTCTTAATGCTTATTAGAAGATGAAAATCACACTAGATTACATAAAAGTTAGTTTAAGCCTCTTGAGCAATATTTACCTTAAAAAATTGACAATTTAAGTGGTGAAACATAAAGCAAAAGGGTAAGAAGAATGATGAAAGATATAATATAGTTGAAGGATGAGTTAGATTCGTAAGAGCAAGAGCTATGTAATAGAATTGAAAGTGATTTCAATGAAATTGAATAAAATGTGAAAGCTTACTGCTAGTTAATCAAAGAAAATCTATTTACTAAGGTAAAATAAAATACCACTGATAGGACAAAAGATCTTAAGAGTCTTCTTGTTCTTATTTAAGAACAAGAATAAGTTCTCTGGAAAGAATAAGAAGAGATTCTAAAAGATTTTAAAAACATTTTAACCCAAAATTTTAACTATAATGATTTGATTTAAGTAAATGCTTTTGCTAGAAAAGTTCGTGCAAAGACAAATCGCTTCACAATCGATCCTCATTTGTAACTAGGAGATGAAAAAATAGCTTGCTTCAGGTAATAGGAAGCTGAAAGTAAAATTTCATCATATAATACTGAACTCCTTGAAAAAATTAAAAAAACAATTTATGATGCTCTACAATAACCATTTGCGAATGAACAGTACATTGATTTTGCTCCAAAAAATTTCAAAGTTGAAACAGGTAGCAGATTAATGGCTTCACTAAGAGGTACAGGAATTTCCTTACCAAATAGCAGCAGTATATTTGAGCCATGTTTTGATGATAAAAAAATATGTATCAACTAAATGATATTATTTGGATGTGATTAGCAATAAAACAATACAGAAACTGTAAAAAACGTATAAAATTTAGTAAAATATTCTTTACAAAATGAAATAGTTGCTTAAACTACACATAAAATGGCCATTAATTCAATTGCTGTTATCGATACAAACACATTTGCTTGTGTCTCAAACGATGCTAAATTAAAAATTTGGGGAATCACTCCTACAAATTTAGTTCTTCATGAGAGAGCTTCTGTAGACTAAAAGGACTTGTGCTTGAGTCTCAAATATTATGAACCTAAGAAGTATCTTCTTTGTGGTATGAGTCATCCTACTATTGAGATGTATGACATATCTTAAGATATTACAAAACCTCAATTAATTAGAACTTTCGAAGGACATGAAAGAACTGTACGATAAATTTCTTTATTACCTAAATAAAATGGTTTTGCCACAATCTCGTATGATGAAAAGCTAAAGTTTTGGAATTTCGAATAATCTAGTGCTTAAGTTACTTTCAATTATAGTACAGATGTGCGAGTTATGGATTCAAATGATAATTTTGTTGTGCTTGGATGTAATAAAGATTCTTCAATTATGGTCTTTGAAATAGAAGCATAGTATTCTGATAGAAGCTTTTTTAAGAATTTTAAATTTAAAGGCTAAGTAAAGAATGTAACATAAGTTAATTAAGTAACTTGTGTTTCTTTATTCTAAAAGGCTTATTAATTAGTTCTCTGTGGTGCTCATAGTGGTTTAATTTCATTGGTAGATCTTTAAACATCCCAAATCCTTAAAAGGTTTGATTCTCATAAGAACAGAGTTTTTTCAATAAATCCTATTGAAGTACAAATTCCTCAAAACTATATCTCTCCCACAGCATCAAAATATATCTAGCCAGGATTTGAACTTTCTTTCATTAGCACCTCTTGGGATGGAAAAATAATTGTTACGGATATTTAATCAGGCTAGCAAGTAACGAACACCTCATATGTCTTAGCTAACGATAAAAAAAAGCATTGGAATACAGATGGAACTAAATTAATATCTACTGTGTACAAACCTCCATAAAAAGACAGTTAAGTTACTCATTCAGGTGGTTCTTAAGATTACAGATTATTCTCAATAGGTAATGATGATCGCAGAGTTTAAGTATTTAAATTGAGTATAAGCCATAATTGAGGAAAATTACATATATAAAATAATAAGAAATAATTTATGATAAAAAAAATGTTGAATAATAAGCATGATATATTTATTTATATATTATTTCTCATGTATTTTTTATTTTTGTATTAACTAATTACTAATTAACTAAATATATATAGCTCATGATACTATTTAAAAATGTTATTTAAATAATATACATTTTCATATATTTTAAGAACTTTAAATATTATAGTGAATAAATTATTGATTCATACCCTAAACTTTTAGCTATTTTATCTCTTACTTTTTAATCTAATTTGTTTTAATGTTTTCATTAGATTTTTCTTTTTTTCTTACTTATCCTTCATATTTAGTGTGTTTAATATCGTTTTTTATTTGATTTTCTGGCACCTTTTTGATAACTATTTCTTCATTTTGTTAGGTGATTTGCTTTTAAAAAATTTAGGTTACATTTTCATTCTAATTGTTTTTTTTATCAAATTATTATTATTGTTAATCTAAGTTACTTTACTTATTAAATTAAGCTTCTTAGTTATTATTTTTGAATAAATTTTCTTAAGCTCTAGAAGGTAAATCATTCTATTATAAATTTTGATTTTTCATTTATTGTAGTAGACTATCAAATTAGTTTTAACTAGCATATTGCCTTCTTAATTGAGAAGATGAGCGGAGCTTACGATTTTTTGAAATCTTTGAATAAATTTACTAAAAAAATTCAGTGCTTGTTTTTTATTTTAGGTGAGGATGAAGAAGATTTTTTTTGAAATTAGAATTAGTTAACAGCTTAATAAAATCTTTTTAATTTATTATTTAGTTGCAAACTAAATTATTATCTTAACTAAAATTCAATTGATTTTATATATTTTAATTATTATTTTATCTTTCATCAAGAATGAATTCACTTGCTCTGCTATTTAAGTTATTGTATTAATCAATAACATTGAAAGTAGAAGCAATATAAAAATCACTTTGATTATTTTATTCATTATTTTCTACATTGTATTTAATATTTACAGCAGACTCACTTCTTTTTGTTTTTCTTTGACTTGATATCTCATATTTATTTAAATTATTATTTGAATTAATTTACTCAAAGAGTACCTTTTAATTTTATTCATTATTTATTTTATTAACTTATATTGACTCATTTTCAGGTTTAATACATTTATCTGATTCTATTGGGTTCTGCTCTGTCTTTTAAATCAATAGCTTAAATTTTTCACTAAAAAGTTTTTTCTTTTCATAGTTGCATTTTTGTTCAACCGATTAATTTCTTGAAAAAGGGGAAATACTTGGGCTCATTTTTTTATCAGATTAGCTAAAGTTTTTCTTATCAATTAAATTTAAATTTATGAATTCTAATTTATTGAAGTTTTAATCACAATTTGATGGACTTTCTTACAAATCTTTTGTTTGAAGTTGGAGGTTCTTATTTTGAGTAGAGAACAGTTTAACTTCATTACTATTTAACTAATTCTATGGTGTTTTTGAAAAAGGTGATATCCTACTTATGTTTTATTTAGAAAAATAAAGTTCTTCTTATACTTCATTAGATTAGCTTTGCTATAGCTAAGGAAAAAGCTAATTGATTTCTAGCTAAGAGAGTTTTTGAATAAACTCTGTATTCACTTATGGAAGAGAACTGGTTGGCTAATTTGATTTTTACAGTCTTTAAAGTAGATTTTTTTCTTGTTAGAATTTACTTTAGTATGCTTATTTACTGAGGCTTTTTTACAAATAATTTTAAGAAACTTTATTCAAATTAGGTTGATCTTATTAGTAATATTAAATAGCTGTTTTTATCTTTTTTGCAGCATTTTAAGTTTAGATATTTCCATTTTTGTTTGCTTAACTCTATAAATCTTTATCGTTATGAAAACTTTTAATTTTGTATAATTTATTAGCTAAGTTTTTGTTTATTGTAATAGCCTTTTTATTATCTACCTAATCATTTTATTATTCAATTCCCATATAATTGCTTTTATCTTAGTCTGTATCAGCCTCTTAAATGATAGACTAAAAATTTTAATCATTAAAGACAGATATTGGGTTTTAGTTTGGTTGTAATTTTATAATTTTTGTTTTAAATTCTATGAGATAATCTTAATTTTTCTATGGAGATACATTTCTCATTTATTTTTAGTTTGAAGCTTTACTTTAGCTGCTCTTTATCAAATTTTTAGAAATATTTTACATTGATAATTAGTCATTTGGTAATTTTTAATTATTTGAAATTTAACTAAATTTTGGCTCATCAAAATTGTTGTTCACCTCTGATTAGCTTTAAAATACTTTTTGCTGAGAAAAGTTTTTGAACATTCTCAGTTTAGGAATAGAATTTTATCTTTTCTTTGTTGATGAAAATGCTTAAGTTCTGTTAAAAATTGGCTGTATTTCTTTTTTTATTAAGTAATCCTCACATTTTTTAAATTAGATTTCATCAGTATCTTAGTGTTCACTGCTTTTAGTTTCCTTAATTTCATGGTTAAAGCATGAATCAAGTTAGTTTAAATTTTAAAATGGATCTTCTATTTTACAATCTGATCTCTAGTTTATCTATGAATCTTATTGAGTATTTTAACATTTAGATTATTAATCTAAATTTTAGGAAGAGTGTATTGACATCTTTTTACTTCTTTATTTTTTAGAAACTGGAGAATTAGTTAGATTTTCTAGATTCTGTTCACTTTAGAATTTAAAGTTTTTCATAAAGTTAACTTCAGTTTTATTTTTATTAATTTTTTTTTGAGCCATTACAAATCTATTCTGTTATATTTTAATTATCAAACTACTAGTATCATGAGTTTCAACATTATTCTTAATCACATTTGTTTTATAAAATTCTCCTAATTTACTCCTAAAGTTGAAATTATTTTTATAGCACTCTTCTAAAATTACAAGATATCCTTAAATTGAATTAGAAATTCTTTAATTTCGCGAATAGCTAACTTCAAAAGTATTTCTCATCCATAATTGCAAATCTTCTTGCTATTATTTTGTATCTGTAGAATTTAGATTTAAAAGCTTTCTTAATTTATAGTTTGTAAGTGTTATAGCGCCTTAGTCTAGGTCTGGCATTACATCTGAGAGTTATCCGTATGACATAAATATTGACTAAAACTCATTTATTCTATTTATTTTTTTATTAAACTAAAAAGAAATTCAAGAATGGTTCGAATTAAAAAGTTATATTTTACCCAAGTATTGCTGAGAGAAGGATTATTAAACTGAATAGTTTCAACTGCTCTTCTGGGTTATATTTTTATTTATTCAGCATATTTTGTTTACCTTTTTGTAATTTTGGAGAATATATCATGAATTTAAATTGAATTTACCTCATAGGACTTTATCTTTTTTACAAGGCTTAATAAGTTTTACTAAAGTCTAATTAGGGAATATCTAATTCCTAATTATTTTTACTTAAAGGAGAAACATCTTTACTCTGTAATTAAGACTTTTGGTCTATTTAATTTCCTTTTTAATTATACAATACAAAGATATTATTAAATTGTTTTAGTTATTTAACATTACTAATCTGTCTATTTAAATCATTTGAAACTGTATCTTCAGTTGCTAAATTTACATAATTATCATTACAATTTTCTTTTAATTTTATAACTTCATTTTAATCTAAGTCAATCCCTAATTTTAGAGGAGTATCATATCCTTATTCTTTTTCATCTTCATAATTCATATTTTTAAAAGTCTTCTTAAAATTCTATGTATATAAATTTTAATGGTCATCATCATCTCTTTCTTTTATTTAAATGCAATTAATTTAATCAAAAAAACCTATGTTTTGTACTTGCTAATCAGCATCTTAAAAACTTAGCAATTACTAATTAGCGGATTACAAAGATATTTTTAATCTTTTTTGGTTAAAATCTTATTATTATTATTATTTTTTTTAGTCTAATTAGCTTTGAATAAAAGCATTATTTTAAATTAAATTTACTTCTTTATTATTTTAAGTTTAATCATCTATGCAATTTTGTTTGATTAAGCTACTTATATTATTAGATGAAATACTCCTTTACTGCAATTTAAATTAAGTAGAAACTGTAACTGTAAAATTTTAATTATTATTCAAAGTCTTTGTTTAATTCGAAATTGATGTGTTTTATTATTATTGAGGATTATTTTACTAAAAGGCTTAGCCAACAGCAATAACTTAGCTACTTTTATTATTATTCAAATTTTAGATATTTTAATTTTTAGCTTAATTAATGAAATGAGAAGCTATTTAGCTTTGCTAAAATAATTGAGTTTATTTAATATCTCTATTTCTATAACTTTGCCAATAGGTTACAAACTGAGTAAAGTAGTCTCTCGAAAATTCAACTAAATATCTTATCATGTCATATATTATATATTACTAACAAAGAAAATTTTAATTAAACATCTTAACTAATAAACAAAAAAATTACATTCTAAGGCCTTATAATAAACTTGAACTGTTATTTGAATTCATAGCATTTTTCAAATGTCTAAAAGAACTTTTAGTATAAAGTCACAAATTTATTGATAAAAATATGCTGCTATTCTATTTATTGTGTCTATTGCAAGTACGAGTATTCGAATTAAGGAAATATTAATTTCATAATATCAATTGATCTGTTGTATATAAAGCTTTTAAAAAATTAATAATTTTTAATTTCAATAGCATTAATTTTATTAAAATATTTGATTTTAATGAAGAATCTTAACTAATTTCTTAATATTTTAGGTTGTATGGAAAATAAAGAATAATAAAAGTAAGAAGCATTAATTTAATTTAAATACTTTTTTTGTATTGAGTTAGGATCTTTGAAGGCTTTAAGAACATTGAGTATCCAATTTTCTTTTTCAATTCTATATTTTTCATCTTCCTTTGCCTTCCTCAGCATATTAGATAATATTTTTGTTCTTGATAGCTGGCTGAGTATTTCATTGTTTCCTATTTTATTAAATCAATTAAAAAAACACATTACTTTGATTAAATAATAAACAATACGTGATTATCCATCATCTTAGCTTTAGAAAATCTCATTCAACTCTTATGCTTTTTTTACCCTTTGTTAAATTATTTCATGTAGTTCATCCATAATTATTGCAATCAATCAAACAACTCAAAGTGTAAATATTTGAATTGTTAACCTCCTTTATCACGCTTGCTAAATAAATCTAACTAAAATTATTTTTTTTTGAAAGCTTAGATTAAATTAATCCTTCAACTTTAAATTTAGTATATAATCAGCTATTTATTTTTATCTCTACTAATTGTATTATATCTTACTCAATACTTTAAGGAGTTGTTGAATTTCTTATTAATTTTTGATTATTAAGAACTTAATAAACAAACAAGTAAAAGCCACAAAAAGAAAAAGCAAGCAACAATAGATAAATATTTAATAATTTTAATTAATCATTTTAATTTTTTTCTATAAATTATTTTGCCTTTTTTTTATTTTAAGTAAATTTATATTATTTTTTATGAAAATAATTTTATTAAATGATAAAAATGTTTTAAACTTATAAGAAAAAAATACCTAATAAACTGAATGTTTTTTTTAAAAAATAAATCTTTTTTTCGTTTTGATAAAGATAAAAATAAATAAAATATTTAAAATTAAAAAATGTATTTATTTATTTTTTAATAAATTTTCCAAAAAATATTTTCTGTTAAATAATATGAAAAAAAATATTTAAAATAATCAATAATACCAAAATGAGTGTGTGTGCAATTTATAAAAAAAAATATTAAGTTTTTAATAGAGGTCTTGAATTGGTTTGTGTGCATAAATACATGCAAAACAAAAGAAATAAATAAAGTAAAAGGTTAGAAATGGTTGAGAGATGATAAGAAAAAAAAATAAATGAAAATGAATTGGAATAAGTAAAAGATGAATATTAAAATTAATAGAAAATTAAGAGTGATAATTGCTAGTTTTGGGAGAGGGTATAAATTAAAAAGCGAAAATAAAAAATATGAGTGGGAAATAGTAAATACAAAAGAAATTAAATTAATAAGGAAACAAAAAGAGATACTTATATATCTTAATAAAGAAAAAAAAGAAAAAAAAACATTATTATACAAACAAAATCAAGAAGATCAAAAATGGCCAAATTGTAATAAATATTATTCAGTAGATGTCTTTTTGATTTACAATATTTTTATTAATTAATATAGCCTCAAGTACGGTAGAGTTGTCATCCTTTTACAAGGTAGATTCGCTGGTAAGAAGGCTGTCATCGTCAAGTCCTCTGAAGATGGTACCAAGGTATGTATTTAAAGATTCTACAATTTCAGAAACTTAGATTATTACAAATGATGTTTTAAAGAAATTAAATTTGCTCCTCTTTAATTAAGACAAATTAAGCAAATAAGCGAATTTTTGAAAGAAAAAAAAAACTACTTTTATGGAATTTTCATTAAGTTAATTTTAAAATTGGCATCCAAAAATTTATTTGCTTTCATTTTCAGACAATGAAAAGTATCTTTTAGCCTTTCACTTTTAAGGCTGATATTATCAAATTTACTGAGGAACAAAAATGTGTTTATCAATAAATTGATCTAATATTCAAAATTTAATCAACAGGACAGAAAGTTCGGTCACGTCTTAGTTGCTGGTGTTGAAAGATCCCCCAAGAAGGTCACCAAGAGAATGGGTTCCAAGAAGATCTAAAAGAGAACTTCCGTCAAGCCCTTCATTAAATACGTCAACCTTAACCATATCATGCCCACCAGGTAATTAATTAATTATCTATATTAAGAAAAGATGGATTACAGATTAGACATTCTTTTAGCTAAATTTAGTAATACAGTTATTAGAGGGTAAATAAATAAGATAGGAGAATTGAAAATTATTAACTGCAATATGGGTAAAGTAAGATATGTGAAAAAGGAATAAAAAAGATTGTGAAAACTACCTAAAATAAATATATAACTAAAAGAAGAAGCATTTGTGTTAATTAGGCTTGAACAAAATAAATATTAGTAAATTAAAATGAATATAATATATAAAGTAGAAAGCCTTAATTAAGTAGGACCACTAAAATTAATTACAGATATATATTGCATGAACTTAGGGGTTTAAATAAATCTTTCTTTTGAATTCATTAAAATGAATTAAAACTGACAGGATTTCATTTAGTAGATAAATCTAAAATGACAGAGTCTCAATCAAAATAATAAAATTTATCTATTGTTTCAAGTTAAATTAAGAACTTTTAGAGTAGAAGTTCATATAAAAAAATAAATTAGTGGAAGATTAGCGATAATGTTAATATAAATTTACTTACTTACCTACCTACCTTCAATCTATCCTATTGGCAATTTAAGATAATTAATTAACTAACCCTTAATAATTATGAGCTGGAGATCTATAAAATTTTCAGATACTTATTAAGCTAATAAGACAGACTAATTACTGAAAAATAAGTTTTTAACGTATTACAAGTTTTAAAGCTAAGAATAGAATTTTTTGAATCCATCATATATTTATTTATCATTGATTATGTTGAAGAAATCTTTTATTAAAAAATTTAAATTATTAAAATTTAGATACTCCGTTAAGGAACTCTGTGACTTCAAGGAACTTGTTAAGGAAGATAAGATCAAGAACAACGCTAAGTCTGAAGTTAGAGACACCTTAAAGAAGGTCTTCGTCGAAAAGTACAGAACCATCAACCCCGAAGAAAAGAGCGCTTCTCACACTAAATTCTTCTTCTCCAAGCTTAGATTCTGAGCAATTAAAAATTTTAATAACTATCCAAATATACTATAACAATAAATTTAATGTGTACTCATATAAAATAATCGGTTAGTATAATCCTATGAATGCTACATAAAATTATATGTTACCTTTATTTAAATTTTTACAAATATATTGATTTGAATAATCCTCAACATCTTCATTTATTTATTTATTATTTGCATCTTTGTTATAAATTAATAAAACTCCATCCATAAGCTACAACAAATCTTATTAATTTAATTCCTTAAGAGAAGCTAAATAAATAAATAAATAATATCTTTACTATAAACACAAACAATAAATATATCAATTACTCTTTTTATACTTAGATAATTTTGAATTTCAAAGATCATTAAAAAAATTGTATTTAAATACTATGCAAAATATTTAGGCAATTAGTTAGTATATAATATTTATTCAAATTTATTGATATTAATAAACTCCGTTGCAATTAAAACGTAAAATAAATAAAAGATAGAAAATTATCTACAGCATTTAGCATAAAATTAACAAATTTATAAATATTTATTCATAAATTAATTTTTATCCTTTTTAAATAATATATATTTCTAAAAATAAAATATAAATTTTAATTAAAATCATATATTCCATAAATATTTCTTATTTTTCTTTATCATTTAAATACAGATCTAACCTTTAAAAAAATATTAATTTTAAATTCTTTTTTTAGAAAACACAAATTCTTAACTTAAATTATTTTTTAAAATTAAAAATTAATCATAAAAATAAGATTTTTTTCATAAAAACTTTTCTGCCTTGAAGATTAAAATTTATCTGTTAAGGAAGTAAGTAAGTCTTTTAAATATTTATTATTTCTAAAATATTTATTAAATTTTTTTGCATTAATCTTCTTTAAAATTATTTTTAAATAAAAAATAGAATTTTCTCTATTTCTTTTAAAATTTATTTTAATTAGTCTTGTAATAAAATAAAGTGTTTTGTTTTCAAATTTGTTAAGATAGAAAATATAAAAAATTTTTAATCTTATTGTTTTATGTTGATATATTTTAAATAATAATAAAATTTAATAAAAATAATTATTAAAATTATATTGTGCTATTTATATTAATATTTTCAAAATTTTAAATATATATTAAACTTAAACGTAATTATTAAAAGATAATTTATTTCATCCACAATTAATCATATAAAAAATTCAAGTTTTTTAATTTTATTATCATAAATTATATTTTAAATATAAAGTAATTTCATTAGCAATGATAAATTAGAATTGCACTAAAATTAATAAATAAATAAAAATTTATTCGTTCAAGAATTTTAAATGGAATTTTACAAATTTTCTGATTTTAAATGCAATTTTAAACAAATAAATTATTTCATTCTTTGAATTAATAAAACATAGTTTTTGTTAAGATTATAAAATGTTACTAATGGATTTGAAAATATATTTAAGAAATTAAATTGTATTTTTTGGATTTCAGTAAGTTAATAATATAATAAGTATGCTCTTTGACTTTAGACTTCAAATAAGATATAAATATTAGCAAAAATATTTTAAAATTTATATAATTTATGCGAATTAAAAAAGTTATGGTCAATAGTGAAGTTTGGCAAATAATTAATATTAATTTAAAAACTAACACTTCTATTTTGAATAATAAACTATATTTACTTTTGCTTAACTCAATTAATTGAATTGGAGTGTGTGTATATAATATTTAATTACTATTAATTTTTATCAATTTTAAGATAAATAGTATTTTCTAATTAGTTTACTTATTTCATAATAAAATGGATAATGATTTTTTAAAGATAAGCAATAACAGCGAATAAAGCAATGCGAGGTTAATATTTTAACTATACAATGTTAAACATTCTTTAAATACTTTTATATTTTTTAGAACTAAATTTTGCTTGCAAGACTTTGTATAAGAGAAGATGTAATACCCATAACAATATTCATAAAACGAAAATTTTCAAGTTTCAGAAGGAAAGGTGGATAATCAAAAAGAATATTTGATAAATAGGCAATTAAAAAACTCAAACAGTTATTCGATTCATACATAGTCGAGTTTACAAACAAAAGATTGTATATAATTTCAGTTTAAAATTTTTTATGCCTATTTATTTATTCGAAAATATAGGTACTACACCATTACTAAAAAGCGATTATGATTTTGAATAAAGCAGAATCTTTTTAAAAGACTGCTAATTGTTAGATAGTTCTCCTTTGCTAATTCAAAAAGACAAATTCTCTTTGTCTCACTAAAATGTAAAATTGGTTACTAATTTATAATTAATTAATTATATTTGTAAAATGCTATCTACTGAATATTTAATCTGTTGTTTAAATAAATAAAAATAGTTTAGTAATAAATAAGCATTTGAACCTCATAAAGAAGAAACTTATATTACATTTAAATCATAAGATAGAAATTAGAGCAGTGATAATTTTTCTAAAAATAATTAGCAAAAAGTAGTTGTTAATGATTTTTTGTTTTAAAGAGATACAATTATTGGCTAAGGAGCTGATTTAAAATTAAAGAAATATCATAGCCATCAAACAATTAAAAAACCTAATTTTAATTTTATTGATAATATGTTGAACACAAATTAAAAAAATACAGAGGAAGATACTAATTTACAAATTTTAATTTAATACTAAAATTAAATAAAGTAACTATAGTAGGACTCTAATTTAGAGAGAAAAAAATATTAAAATGAAGTTAATGATTTATTAAAAGTTAATAAAGATTTGTAAAGAAAAATTTCATTGTAAAATTAGGAGTATTAATTTTATCCTTAAAAATAAAATGACTCAAATAACTTCTCGTTTAAATAATATGATGTTTTTGCCTCTAAGTAGCATGAGAACTTCTCTTTTGCAAAGTAATATTTATATTTAATTGTTTTTAATAGCTTCATTTAACAAAAAAAAAAAGTAGTTTGAATAAATAAGGTGATAACAGCTTGCCCAGTAATATTGATGAACTTAAGAAAATTGTATTTGATCTTAAATTTGAAAATAAAGAGCTTTAGCTTAAGTAAGAGGCTTTAAATCAAGAACTAAATTAAAATAAATACTAATTTGAAAATATATTAGCCAATAAGGTTACCTAGTTTGAGAAATAGAAAAAAATTTTGAAAAATAAATGCAAATAAATTCTTCATTAAATGTCTGGAATGAAAAATGAATTGATTTTACTTAAAGATAAAACGTTAGAATTAAAAGATAATAATTAGAATTAACTAATATTTATTGATCAATAAGCTTTTAAGCACTTTTATGCAAATTTTTAACAAAGCTAAAATATTAATTAGTAATATCAATATACTACTATTTAACAACTTAATTAGAAGTTAGAGGAAAATGAAAAAATATTTGAGCAATATAAAAAAGAAAGTGCTAGATAAATTGATGAAAAAAATATACAAATTTAGGAACTATTATAGAAGATAGAGTAATTAGAGTTACAATAGTCTAATAGTAAAGTATACTAAAAAATATAAAAAAATAACAAATTAAATGAAAACGCTAATTACAATGATTAAAGCACAGTTAACGATTCTACTAATTTATAATCTTAACTTACACAGTCTATAAGAATAGAATCTCCTAAAAATTTCATTTGTGAAATCGAAGAAAAACATAAGTAAGAAGAGTAAATAGAAAGGCAGAGTAATTTTATCAAATAGCTTAAGTAAGGAAGAAGAACTGAGGAACAAATGAGATCTATCTAAATAGAAAATATGTAAAAATATTTAAATTTAGAGCAAAAATATAGCAAAATGAATTCATACTACTCAGATAGACTACAATAATCTGATTCTCAAGTTTTGTTTAAAGAGTAGAGGATACTACAAAAAGATATACAAATTAAAGAAAAGGAGTAATAAATTTCAGATTACTAAGATTTTCTTTAAATCAAAGAAGAAAAATAAAGAGTAAATAAATACAAATAGTTATAGATCCAAAAAAGTTTGGAGGACTTTTTGAATGATAAAAGTAATCAGCATTTAGAGTATAAGAGGGCTTCATCTTAAGAATTGTTGAGATTAAAAAAAGAGCTTAGTCAAGTAAATTTTGAAAAGCGAAAGCAGAGCGATATAATTCAAGAGCTATTATAAATTAAAGATAATTAAAAAAAAGAAATTTAGACACTTAAGAGAGAGTCCATGAATGTTTCAAGCAATTCAAGCATCAATCGTTAATTCAGTCTACAAAATAATAATGTAAACTAATTCCTTTATTTATAAAGATATTTCATAATTTGAATATCAAATTAATGTAATAGACAAATTATAATTTACACTTTTAAAATTTAATAAAATATAAAAGCTAAATACTAATAGCAGTGATATTATCCGTGAAAATTTTGCTAAAAGTGATAGTAAAACTACTCCTTTAAGCTCTAGTGCTAGGGTAAATGGAAAGAAACAGACTGAGCTTTGTGATATTATGAAGTAAATAGGTTCATATAGTTCTTAGTAATAAAATAAAAATAAAGTTAATTAGAACAACCACTATGTAGTAATATCTGATTCTAATTCAAAAAATCAAGATTATTTTATTGACAAGTAACTTAAGTCATTATCTTAGAAGAATTTCAAAAAGTCAAGCGAGGAAGCTATGTAGTAGCTCAAACCAAAGAAGTTAACATTTTTTGATCATAAAGACAACAATTTATCAAAAATGTAATTTATATATCGTCATTAGAATCAATTTTTGATTTATTTTAAATGTATTTAATTAGGATAAATGAACTTGATTGGAGTAAATTCTTATAATCTTAAAGTAACTAATTTTAAAGTCGTAGTATGAAATAATAGATGTGTGGTATTTAGACTGATAATAATGATACGTCATAGAAAAGTAAATAAAAAATAGAAAATAAAAACTGAGATTCTTGATAGATTATAATACATAACTAAATATTTAGAGATGAATAAAAATATAATTTTATAAAAGAAAGACTAAACTCTATTTTAAAAAAAATATATTTTAAGGGAAGTTTATTTTAAGAGGGCTTTTATGATATATTTAAATAGTTGAATTATTAAAAAAATGAATATTTGAGGAAAAATACATCCAAATTACAATAAATTACTATTACATTAAAATTTTATGTTATAAAATATCTAAATATAAATGAAAAGTAAACAAATAGTTAAAATAAATGATAAATTAAAAATTACATATTTTTTAACATTCTCTTTTAAATTTATTAAAGTAACTTAAAACTGTTCTAATTGTATTAAGCTTAAAAACATTGTTAAACATAATTTATAATATTCTTATATAAAGTTAGTTTCAATGGCTTGTATTTATCACAAAATAGCTGAAATTTGTAGAATGTTCCTTTTTACAACTTATAATTATAAAAACTTTAGAAAATTTCATTTTTTTAAAAAAAAAAGTAATGATTAAGTTTTTTAGTATCTGCTTGCTGCTTTGTATTGTTTATGCTTAGATTCCTACTAAAGTCAGCGAATTGAGCATAAAAAATCCTGGGTTTACTTCTTTGGCTTCTAACTTTTTTAAAAATTAGTCAAAGAATGCTGTTCTATTAACTACTTTTGGAGTAACTGGTTTTGACTCTTTATACTAAATTTCTTTTTAAAATGATGATTTGTCAAAACCTCAAGCTACTTCTTTTGACACAAAATCAATTTGGCCTAATCAAGCTGATTACTATCAGTAATATCAGCTTATAGTTGAAGCAGGTGGATTTTTCCCTAACCCTTCTAAAGCTACAGGAGATATTAACCTCTACTAAGTAAATGATGATGGTTAAGTCACTAACAAAATTAAAGTTTCAAAAGATAAAAAAAACTTCTTTTATCACAGGGCTATACTAGTTGACCTTAATAACGATGGTCTCCCTGATATATTAGCAGCTAGAGCATAAAAAAGTGTGTTTTCTTCATCAGGAGAACTTATTTGGTTAGAAAATAAAGGAAATTTTTAGTTTGAAGAACACATACTAACTAGTGGACCTGACGTATTCTTTATTTTTGTTGATCTAAATAACGATGGTAAATAAGAAGTTGTAGCTGCATAGTATTTTTCTAAAGAGCTCGCTATTTACTCCTGCCAATAATCTAATTGGTCTCTTTGCAACCAATCAACTATTTAAAAAACTTTGATTGATAACACGATTGGTAGTCTTTTCAACTTGGAGCTTACTGACTTAAATGGAGATGGTAAAAAGGAACTTTTAGTTACCAATAATTCAGCTTCAGGAGATGGTTAAGTATTCATTTATGAAATTCCTGATAATTACCAAACAGGAAAATTCATAAAACATCCTATCGGTAGTACTTATAAGCCTTCTCTTGCACTTTTACCAGGAAGAGGTGCACCAGGAACTGCATCAAGCTTTGCACTTGATGGTTTAAAGAATAAATATATCATCGTAAGTGGAGATGATGCTGGAGTTGTTAGGCTCTTAATTCCTTAAGATGGTTTATTCAATTATAAAGAAGTAGTTCTTTGTGAAAGCAAGAATAACAATACTATTGGTGAAGTAGCTCATGGAGATTTCAATAAAGATGGAATTCTAGATTTAGTGATTCCTTTTTATTCTGAAGGAAAAGTTGAAATTTGGAGTTTTAAGAATTAATAATAAGAAGTAACTAAACAAAATTAAAATAAAGAAAGTATCTTATCTTACTTTGATAACTTAGTAAGTAGTTTGATAAGATTTATTAATGATTTAATTAAAAAATTAACAAATAAATTATGATGAAAATCTTTTTTATATGAATAAACACAAATTTATCAATGTTTTTATATAAAAGTAAAATATTTTATAAATAAATAAATAAATAACTTGGTTGATATAATTCTCTGTTTTTTAATAAAATTAATATAAATATTATTTTTTAAATAAAGCTTATTTTTTATTACTTTATTATTGTCAAAGTTGTTTTTAAGGTGAATTATTTGAAGGCAGTTTATTAATACTCAAGGATCATTCTTTTAATTTGAAATTCTAGTTTATTTATTTTTGGATCAGTTTAGGTGATTAATTCATAAGAAATTAGAAAGGAGTTTTTAATAAATATGGTTATCTATTTCTTTTTTTAAATTTTAAAATATTAGCTCGCTAAGTTTTATAAAATTTAGAATTTTATTGTTAAAATAATACACTTAATATTACAGTTTTTTAAAAATAAATATTTCTTTGTATTTCAATTTACTAAAAAGTTAATTATACACTATCAAATCAGGTCTGTGTTAAAATATTAAAAATTACATTATATCAAGACAATTAAATTACTACGAAAAAAACAACCATTAAAAACTCCCCTAAAATTACAAAAATGTTTAATTTTATTGACTATTAATGCCATTTAAAATTACTCATAACTCAAATAAATATATAAATTGCTAACGCAAACATAATATAAATACTTATCCTTTTGTTTGAAGAAAAAATAAAGCTGATTTAGACAAAATAATAATTTTGACAATAGATTAATATAATTATCATAAAAAAATCAATCAAGCAGTAATTTTATTAAATATAATTATTGTTTTATTTATCATTTACCTTCAAAATTATTTCATCAAGTATATGAATCATAAAATATTGATATAAAGTTCACTAAATTATATTACCTGATTTACTTTAATAATTATGTAATATATATTCAAAATTTTACTTAAAAGATAATAGTAATAAAGATATTAAAAATACAAAAACTATAATTTATTTATTTGTTTTTTCATTTGGAAGAACAAATATAACTTATTTCAATAAATTAATAAAATTGATTATAGATATATAAATATTAACAAATTATATTTATTTATCAAAAGAAGGAAGAAATCAAAAATAATTTTGGTTGTGAAGCCATTAATAAATTTATAAATCGTTTACTTATATATATATAAATCTATATATTAGTATATATAATGATATTTAATAATTAAAAAAAAAATGTTTTAATATAATATATGTTTAATAATAAATGAATAATAGATAGTTAGATCATTCTTCTTTGTTTAATGATTTAAATCGCTTAATCTAAATCTAACTAGATTTATTGTTAAATAGATAGAAAGTATGCAAAGGGATCGAAGTTATTTTCTTTCTTTTCTTATTCATTATCAATTATAATCATTAAAAAATTAAAAATTATTTGGGAATTAGTATATAATTAATGACTTAGAATTTAGAAATTTAGATTAAGAGGAAAATTTAATAGTTAATTATTTATTTAATTATTAATAAAGGATAAGGTGTTAATTAGATTGTAGGAGTGATTAGAAAAGAAAATTATTACTAATTTTAAATAAATGAATGATTGTTTCTTTGTCTATTTTATTCGTAAAATCATAGACATTTTTCCAATCCTGAATTTTTTCATTATGACAAAATTAGTTAACTATCATAGAAATTGCTTTCTTAACTGAAATTATTGTGCATGCTCTCAGTAAGAAAAGCAGCTAAGTTACTTTCAACTAAATACTAATCGGCCATTTCAGTTAGTTCAGAAGAATCTTAAGAAACGTACTTTTTGAGACTTTGTTAGGTAAAGCTAGTTGGCATTTTAGCCATTGAGTAATTGCCGATCAAGTGCTCAAAGAAGTTATTCATATTAGGATAAAGGTTTTATGTCAAAATTTCAAAAATTAGATTGATTTTTAAATCTAAAATAGTACTGCTGTCTATTCCATAGATGCAAGACTACATTTCAAATTGCTCGTCAAATTGATAGAAATCAGTTATATAGATGTTTACTGCCACTCCTTGTGATAAGGTAACTGTAAAAGTAAAATATTCCAGCAAGTTTTCATCAAGCATTCTCTTTAAACTGTAGCCACTACAATTTGAGAACTGGTTTGTCATTTGATCTCCATAGAATAACTTATTATTATTACCTTGTTTTTTTCTTGGGTTTTTGTTTTGATTGTTTTTATTATTATTTTATTTCTTTTTGGTATTGGCCACAGTAGAGGGAATAGCTACGGGATTAATTGAATTATTAAGATCAGTTTTTTCGCTTCCTAATACACTTTGAGTATCACTTTCCATCATACTGCGCTCTAATCTCTTTTTGAGCTTTCTTTTGCATCTTCTTTTTCTTTTTTATTCTTTTGATTTCTTCTTTTTCTTCTTGATTTTAGCCCCATCTTCAGAAGCTGTATATGTTCCTGACATCGATAAATTCAAATCACACTTTTTCATACACATGTCATTGTTAGTTAATTAACTATCATTCATCATATCTAAATAGTCTCCAAGATGAGATTTCAACTCATCAAGTGAATAAATTTCAGTGTTTTATAACTAGCTTTATATGAGAGTACTATTGTTATCAGTTATAGACTCAACACCGCCGCATTCTTAATAAGTATTGAAACCTGCATTTTTATTTAAACTTAAGAATTTCATCTAATCGTTGCTGGCTCCTTTACCATTGGTGTTTAACTTAAACTAGTTTTTAGTATTTTAATTTTCTTCTTCTTCATCCTCATCTTCATCATCATCGTCTTCATCTTCGTTATATTCTTCATCATCTTCATCGTCGTCATCATCATCTTCAAAATTTTCTTAGAACTAATCTAATTCCTCCTCTTCATCATAATCTTCATCGATCATGCATTGTTAGTCATAAAAGATTTCAAAAGGTGTTTTGCTTTCTTAGCCCTAGCACTGCTCTTCATCTTCGTAATAAAACTAAAATGGATGTTGCCCTTGCTGATTTTACTAGCCACCATTCTAACCATATTGTTACTTATTAATGTTGCATTAATTCATTTTTACAAACTCTTCAAAGCACTTCTAAGAAGGGTCTTAGTAACTATCTTCAAAGTATTAATTATGCTTGAATTGAACATTTTTTGAGCCACAAGTTCGAAGTCCACTAGTTCGAGAGCTAGGAGTTCGAGATATATTATCAGAACTGTAATATTATTCTTCATGATATTATTATTCTGCATAGCTCTAGTAATAGCATTAAGTTTCTTAATTTAAAATATCATTGAACCCAGTTTATTCAAAATGCTATTATGCATTATTTCTTATATAGTCTTGTTAAGAAATTTGTTATTGATATTATTACTATTGTTTTTGAGCGAGTGTGAATTAAGCCTATTAATTCAAAAGGTGCTATGATAGACTTTTGAGATTGGTAGTATTATTATTTTGCTTTGTATTCATCTAACCATCATAATTTGAATTAATAGAATTAAAGTTACTTTCATCGTTTGTTGAAATATCCAAATCATCTTACAAGAATTACTAGTCGTGAGATGATAGGTTATTGTTATGAGATTAATAATTGTTTCCTCCCTAGATGTAAGATAGATTATTATCGTTCTAGCTTAATTAACTCTAGTTGATAAAGTTACTATTGTTATGAATAGAATTTTCTTGAATACTTTAGAGAGTAGTTGATGAAGAATTAAGGTTCTTCTTCTATAATTTAGCTGCTTTTTGCTTCAATATCCACTTTTTGCGAAGCTCTTCGTTAACTTGTTCAATAATTAATTAGTCTCCAAGCTATTGATTTAATTTATTTTAATCACTACTATTTACCTCTTGTTATTATTATTATTGTTAATTAATTAAATTTGATTGGAGACTTATAGAATTATTGATTGAATTTTCTTCATTTAATTGGGATTAAGAGAAATTCATACTCACTTGCTATGGTTATGGTTTAGTCTATTCATTCAAGCAAAAATCAGTGCTTTCATAGGAATTCTATCTCAATATATCACTCCTATTCTAAGTATCATTTTGTTTCTAGTTTGATTAACCAATAATAGGTGAAATAATGGAACAATTCATATCAGGAGATTTGGTACTGTTTATGTCAGGTGAGCTGATTAAGTTATTAGATTTAATTGAATTAATACTCTGTTATAGTTCTGAAGATTAAATTTCAGGTATTTAACATGTAGATGAGTTTTAAAAAGAATCTAAGTAAATCTGAGAATTTTAATTTTAAATTTCAGATTTCTTAGAAATTTAATTAATATCAATTTATTGTTACTAAATTTAAATTTCATTTTTTTCTTATTAGTTATAGCTGCTTTCTTATTCCTTTTCACTTTTTTAAAGTTTGTTTTCTATTTGATTCTCACTAAGTTCTACACTATCGATTTTTAAATTTTCATCTAATAAATTAGTTCCCAAAGTTTCTAATTCACTATTTTTTTAAATTACATCTTTTTACTTTAAGTTGGTAGATTTATTTTTTTTTTCAACTTAAAATTAGACCACTTCAGTTGCTTGAGTACTTTTTTAACTTTGTATAATATCTTGAGCTTATGGAGCAGCACTTACATCGAAATTGCTTTTTACAACATTTTTTGTGGTACCTTTACTTTTCTTATTTAAATTCTATTTTGGAGAGTTGTTAATTACTTCAAGAGTGTCATTTGTTTCAATCTTAATTAAATCTAAATTTTCTTGTTTTTCTTTGAGTAATTGAGGCTGAGTACTTGTTTAGTTGTGTTTTTACTTTTTCTGTTTTTTTGAGGAGTTATCAGCTTTTTATGTTTATTTGATATCTTAGATTGTAGAGTTTGACTTAGTATTGCTTGTTTTAAGTGAGTTCTTTCGTATTTGATTATTTATTCCATCTTTTTAAATTTGTTCTCCTTATTTTTTATTATTTTTGCAAGTAGTTTCTTTCCTTGGTGATAATTTTATCGCTTATTAAATTTTCTTCGAACTAACTTTAGCAGATTAAAGCACCTTAGTATTTTTGTAAAGCTTAATAGAGTTGATTAATAAAGCAACAATTCTTGTTATCAAGCAATAAGCAATAATTGCCCTGTTTGCAATTAAGAAGATATTGCTCTATGCATATTGCAAAATCTCTTAATCTTTAGAACTTATAAATTACATATTGTATGTTGATATATTTGAATTAAAAAGTTCAGAATCAAAGCGATTTGGCTTTAAGTTTGAGAAACTGTATGCAGAGTTAAAGAAAATTAAATCTGAAACAGTAATTAAAACTAAAAAAAGCACTAATATATCTATTTTTTATTTTTTATTTGCTAACTCTATAATATTAAAACAAAGGCTCATAATCAAGTAGATTGGGGCTATGATGCGCAAAGTATTTAACAAACTATTAGAGTCCATTTTGAATTAATTTTAGACAAAACCTAAGATTTATTCTTAATTCATATTTTACTCTAAATTTTTTTCATAGTGCTCTTCTTATAAACTAGACCCAATATCTTGCATTTAATTCAGATGTGCAAAAACGCTACTGCATCCAAACTTAAAAGTTTAATCAAAAGAAAAGCAAAAATTGATGAGTTAAGTAATGCGAATCCTTGTCAATAGTAAAGCATTTGAGCTGACACTTACAGATTAGAATAAAATTTTAAATATTTCTTTGCGTTGTTTATAAATGTTGCTGTTCTAGATGATTAGGACTATTTTTTGATAAAGACTTTATCTTAGTTGTTGTTAATTATTTTATTTTTAGTCACAATTCTAAAACATAAAGAAAGCCAAAATAAAGGTGTTAGCTACAGAATATTTTCAACTGTCAATATATAAAGTACTAAGAATGGCGTGCGCTAATTGCAAATATAGCTATTGTACTATTTTGAAGTATAGAATATGCTCCCTCTGATAAGTTTTAGATATTTATAATTCTTAAAAAGAAGTTAAGGTGTTTTCAAATAAATTGTTTGTCTTTGCAAATTGGAAAGTGAATAATTTTATTATTCTTTCTGAATGTTTTCTCTTTTTGATTTATTATCTAATTTTTTATTGGAAATATTAATATATATATATATATATATATATACACACACACACTTTTGTATGTTTGTGTGTTTTGTTTTTTTTTTAATTTTAAGATAATAAATTGAATAAAAGGGTTTCGTGCTCTTTTTCCAACAGAATTTGATGAAATTGAATAAATATCCCTTTTTGATTACAAACTAAATCTCTTTTTCTTTTTGATAAGTCTTATTGAAATTTTTATTATCAATTTTATTCAAATTTAAAATGATAATTAGATTGATCAGACTTATTTTTATAAAAGCTTTACAAGCATAGTCATACTAAATATTTAATGTATTTGAATAAATGTTTTTTTCTCGAAATTCTATTTCAGCAGTACTCTTAAAATTCTTTTATTCATTTAATTTATTGAAAGACATTAGTCAAAAGTAAAATATTTTTTTATTCTATCTGAAAAGAGAAAGAAAAAGAAAGTAAAGTGAGAGAAAAATTATATACCTTTAGTAAAAGTTCCCTAATTTCAATAAAATTTTGATATGAAAGGCAATTTGAGTAATAAGAGAGAGGGGATGGAGTGATCTTTTTTGTTTTGTATTTTATTTGTTTATTAATTTACTTTTTGTGGGTAGATCTAAATCAAAAATAACTAATATTTTTGGCAAATTATTTATATTAAAAAGTTTCTGTTTGACTTTGTTTGATTTATACCCCTCTTTTTTTATTTAGGTACCTTAGATTTCTAATAAGGAAAGAATATTATCAGTCGCCTAATCTATTATGATAGGAATAGAGTAGTTAAGTGTAAATTTTTTTATTTTTATTTATATTAATACTCACTATAATTTACCTAACATTAAATTGAATATTAATTTTCAATTTTACTTACTTAATTTCTTATTGTTTTTTGGTATAATTCGCTTTTTGCAGTACAAACGCAAATAGCTTTAAATGAACTACTGCAAAATTCCAGCAACCTAGTTTATTTTTATATTTTTTAACATATTTATTTTTCTATTTCTAAAATATTCTTTAATATTAAAACTCCTTTTTTAATATTATTTTTTACTTAACTCTAATAAAGAAAGCTCTGATTATTTTGTAAAAACATTGTTAAATAATTAATATTTTGAAAATATCCACTCTAAGAGAAAGAAATTAATATTTTTTTTCTATCAATGAAGGATTGGTTGATTTCTTAAAATAAATATCAAATCGCATGATAGAAGAGTATGTTAGTAGCTATTTTTTGAATATCACCTAGAAATCAAGAGAACTAATTTTATAATTAACTAGGGGAAAAAATGTATTCAAAATTCGAAAAACAATTAATTAATCTGCATTATAAATTTTTTATTTTTTAGAACAGTTTATTTGCTTTAGTTATGAAATAATCTATTATTGCTATATAAATTTTTTACCTGTTTAATATACTTTTGGATTATCATTTATCGCTAAATCAAGCTCGCTCTCAACTTAATCAAAAATAGTATTCTATTTTTATATATTTGGGGTCTTAAAAATTAAATTTTTGAGAGAAAAAATTAACTCCAATAGCTGCTTTTAGTATTTTAGATAATTAATTAGTATTATTTACTTACAGTTTCGTAATTAATAAATATATATTAGTAGTCAAATTTAGCTAAAAAAAAATAACTATAGTCAAATAAGCAAATTTCAAAAAATAGTATCGCCATTCAATTGCTACAAATAAATAATTAGAATATATTCAGATGTTTTTATTGGTATGTAAAATTTGATTTTTTTTCTTTCCTAAATTAAATTTGAAGAAATAAAAATATTTTTAATCAGCAGCTTTTCTTATTTCAGAATATAAAACTATTTTTTAATTTCCTCTATTTTACAATAATAAGTTTCCTTTTACATTTAACTCAATTTTAAAATTATTTAAAATAAAATATGTAATTTATTTAAAAATGTTGTAAAAAATACAAATTTTATTTTATGAAAATAATTGAAAACTCCTAAAACACTTCGATTTTATTAACTAGAAATTTACTCTTAATAAAATAAAAGGTATCTTTAGATAAATTGAAGATTTCTTATTTTTAACGATGTCGGATGTATATTACTTCACTAGAAATATCCCACTAATGTAAAAATTATTTAAAGCAATTGGAGAAAAAAATCTTAATTTTTTTGCTGAAAAAAAGAAATTTATTTTGAAAAATATCAATTAACCCTCAAAAAAAATTTATTTTTAACTTGATTGTCCAAATCTTTTTGTAGACTTTGTTTGTTTAAAAGGATATCTTAAAAAATATACTTTTACTTCTTCAAAAATTAAGTTTTCCCTTAATTTATTTGAGTAAATTTTTATTTATTTTCATTTTTGAAAATGTCTAAGATGCGTGCACAAAAAATTTTAATTAATATCAAGAAAGAAATAATTTCAGTAATAATAAAAAAGAATTTTTTTGAGATTATTTTTTGTTTCATCTTAAATTTGCCTTTATTGCTTAATTTAGATGCAATTTGATTAAGAAAAGTTGAAATTAAATTCAAAAATATTTTTGTTTATAATTTTTATCTCACCTAAACTTTTTTTTCTTATTTACTTTAGAACCTAAAAATTTTGCAGTGAGAAATTAATTTGATATAACTAAACTTATTTTTTTAAGAAGAATGCAATTACTGTCTTAAGGCATTGAATACATCTCTAGCATTACAGAAAAATAAAAATGTCTCATGCTACATTAAATAATTTTTAAGATTTGAAGATAAAATTATAAAAACTATTTACTTATTAAATTTTGAAATAAATACATAGAGAACATATACAAATAAATATTGATAAATAAATAAATAAATAATGCGATTATTGGAATTCTGAAAAAATATATAAAAATAAATGAATTATAAATGAATAGTGTAGCTTTCTTAAATTGTTTATAACCACAAAAAAGTTTAATAGAGATAATACAAACAAACAAATAAAAAACTTACTAAATATTATAACAAATTTTATATTATAATTTTTATAGAATAAAATAATATCAAATAATTAAAAAGATTTATAAAAGATTTAAGTCTTAAGGTTAAGGTTGGTTGGTTTATATTTTATAACAATATCCTTTCATCAAAGAGATAAAAGTATTTGGTGATATCAAAGCTTATCTAAATATTTTTCATAATTTTGTTTTACTATCTTTTAATATAGAAAAGTATCTTAATCTATGCAAGATTAAATAAGTACACATTATTGAGAAATTTAATATCGCATAATAAATAAATGTTCTTCATATCATATGCATTTTTATACAATAAGAGTGCTCAAATTGTGATCTGATTTTGGTAATTATATTTTTATTTATGATGTTTACTATTTTTGATTATCATTTTTAGAGAATGGTTGTTGCTATCTACTTTTTAACTAGTAAGATCATTGTATTATTTGTAAATATATTAGTAAGATTATAAGCTCTTGAACTAACTAATTGTTATTATCATTAACGAATAAATAAATAAACCAATCAATCAGTCAGTCAATCATTCTTCTATTCATATGATTAATTTGTGTTGTATTAACTATTTTGTGGTTGGTTTTATGCTCAAGTGAAAATAGAGGGATAGATAGATATTTATTTATTTATGTATTTATTTTATAGGTTAAAGGAATAAGTATATAAATGTTAATAACTTCATACGTAAGACGTAAAGTAACTAAAAAGAGAAAAAATTAGTAACTTAGGTAGTATTTAGAATCTATTTTATATTAGATTTATTATATTATGTTATATTATTTTTAGCTTAATGTTTCATTTCTTACGGAATTTAGAAGAGTTACTCAAATTACCTCCAGTTGGACTTCCTCCTAGAGATTGAGTCATGTAAGAGGTAGGGCTACTTTATCCTCCAAGCTCTTCGCATTTTGAAGGAGTGTGTTTCATCTATTTTTCAAAATTCATTTTATTTAATGAGTCCGAAAGTGGAGAGTTTTCTTCAGAGACATCATCAGAGTCTTCATAATACTCTTAATCTTTGCGCTCTTCTTAATACCCACGATACATGTTATTTTTTATAGCAAGTTTATGTAAATTTTTAGACTCTGATTTTTTATGAGCACTCTTTGGAGAATTATCAGCTGAAACAGGATTATTTTTTAAATCGATACTCTCTGATCTTGGCTTAGAGAATTTTGAAGAGAGAGGTATAACACCTTTATCTGGACGTGGGGGAATGTTTGAGTTAGAACAGGTGCTTAAGCTACCTACAGTATCAGTTCTTCCATTCATAGCAGGAGTATTTGAATGAAGTTAGAGAGATCCTAACATATCTTATGAATCTTAAGACCCGTTTTTGTTACGGACGTTAGCCAAATAATCTACTTCATAGTTACGTAGATTTTAAGTAGCAGGAAGATCGTTGTTTACAACTTCTCCACCATTTATAAAAGGATGGTTAAGGCATTCAGAAGCAGAAATACGATTAGTAGGTTTTGGTTCAAGCATTTTCTTCAATAAATCTTTAGCTTATGCTGAGATGCTATCGAATTCAGGAGTGTCATAGCGTATTTCACAGGCTTTGTTTGCACGCAAAATTTATTTGTAATCTTTTCCTTAGAATGGCTATTTTCCTACTAGCAGTAGATAAAATATAATTCCTGCAGAAAAAATATCACATTTAACATCATAAAAAGGATCTCCTTCCTAATTTGAATAAAAATATTTGTAAATTAAAACTTGAAAAAAAATTTTTAATTAGTAACTTCAATAGAATTACTGAAAAAAAATTATTGATTGCATTAAAATTAATGCTAATTAATTATAAAAAAAGTAACTTTAATGAAGTAATAGTTTAGGGTGTGTATGGCTATAAAATAAGATATTTGATAAATAATCAAGTCAATTAAATTAAATAAGTAAGTATTTATTAATATTTCTTATTTAATAAGAAAATTGAGAAGATAATTAAATTGTCTATTAAAGCAATAGTAATAAATAGTTTTTATATGTGTTGAATTTTTGTAGTTAGTTTTGTAATAGTGCAAAAATAATTTATTAGCTTTTTAATTTCTTAAGATAGCACTACCTAATTTATTTATTAATATTTTATAATGAATAATCTAATGCTGATCTTGCAAAAAATTATATTGAAGAAAATATTTTTAATTTTTTCTAAAATCATAAATTCACTTTAATTTAAATAAATTATTTTGCTTTTCATTTTAATTTCTTTAATTAATTAATAAATAAATAAATTAATGACTAAAAAGCTTAGAAAATAAACTGAAAATAAGTTTTTTTCGAAATTTTATGTTTTAAGTTTTAAGTTTTTTAAGTACTTAGTTAAATTAATTAGCTCTTAAGAAATGACTATTAAAAATAATCTAATTCTATAAAAAACAAAGTTTTAAATATGTTCTACTATGAAACTTTGAATTTATTATTTTTTGTTTAAGAGCTGTTTGCTATAGCTAATACTTAGCTTGTAATTTGCTTGAGTAGAATTAAGTAGTTTAAATATTTTGGTTTTTTTAAACAATTATATTAAATTAGAAAGGCTAAATGATTTTATATTAAGAAAGTTGCTTAGTTAATTATTTAGTCAAATAATTACCTTATATAATAAAACTTCAGGAGCCACAAAACCAGGAGTTCCGCAACGTTTAAAGAGAATGTCTTTAATATCAGTGAAAGTAGCTAAACCAAAATCAGCAACTACTATGTCGTGGTCGTTACTCTTAGATTTAAGAAGAAGGTTTTCTGGCTTTAGATCTCTGTGCATAATTCCTTTCTGATGCAAATGATAGAGTGCAGAAAGGAGGTTGCGCATTAGATTACGAAGATCCTACTCATTAATTGTTCCTTTGTCGCGAACACGGTGAAGCAGTTCACCTCCATTTAATAGATCAACAACAAAGTAAATAGAGTTAGTAGTCTCATATACTTCATACAAATTAATCAAAAATTCACTGTGGAGATTTCTCATTATTCCTATTTCATTTACGAGAGACTCCTTACCCTTATGTTAACCAGCCATAAACTCCTTATTGAATGCTTTAATTGCATATTATTGGCCATTTTCCTTTTTTGTGGCAAGATATACTTTAGCGAAAGAACCCTTTCCTATCATCTTAGTAACAATAAACTCTTCATGGAAAGTTGACTGTATCGCTTTATAAATCAAAATATTTTTCCACTTTTTATAAAGATTTTAATCTTTAGTATAAATCTCCAGAGTCTTTCCATTTCTGCACATCCTAAATCCGAAGAGAGGTTCTGAGCAGCTAGCTTCTATTGGTTTAGGTTCAACACTCACTAGCAAATCTAATTTAACACAGCATAGTTCAAGGACTCCTGAAATTTTATCAGTTTTTTCTGACTTGCACATATAAAGAGAGTCATCGTCTATAAGAAAGACACGCTATTTTGTCTTGCCGCTCTTCTTAGTTTTCTTCATCCATGTACTCTTAAGCTACGTATTTTTTATTTTGTCAATAGTTTCTTACCCTTTGTTAGGCTTAACCCAAATTTTCTTTAGGTTCTTGGCTGTTTCGTCATCAAAAAATGATACAGGTTTCATCTATTTTATGATTTTAAAAATGGTTAGGACTACAAAAAAATTCTCTTGTTAATGAAAGTTTAAAGAAAAGATAGGGTAGAAAAAGTATTCTCAATAATATTTCTAGTTATGTGAGCCATTTGCTGGTTTGTTTGAAATGGAAATTTATTTTAAAGTGAACTGGAGGTATAGAGTGAGCTAAAGTAGAGGTAAGAAATAGAAGATTTAAAAAGTTTATTTATTTCAATTAATCATAACTAATAGCATTTGCAGCTCTGCGAAAGCTCTGCTTAGCACACTCCCTCAGTCCACTATCTGAATGATTTTAAGATAAAAATGTATAAAATATGATCTGTCTTCTTACTTAAAATTTATCTATAAAATCTACTACCGTCTACACAGTATTATATTTAGAGTTGGTAGCTCTTCTTTTTTATTGGTCTTTTTTATTATATTTTAACTATACTGAATGTTTTAAATTAATTATATTATCTATTCACACTTTTAATTTCTTACTTTTAAGTATATTTTTTTATTCTTTGCAAACTGACTAATAAAAAACCTGATTAAATTACTCTCTTGATTTATTTATTGTTTGTTTGTTTAATTTTTTGTTAAGTGATTGATTGATTGCCTGTCTGTTTTTTTGTTTATTTGATTGGTTTTTTAGAGATTAATAACTTTATTTATTTCTCTCTTACTTGAAAAACTTTATTTATCGCCACCGTTTAATTATTTTTATTTGAGCATATGATAGAGACATAGTAAAAAAAATAAGGCAGTAGAATAGAAAAATCATTTTTTAAATGGTTAGGTTTGAAAATTAAAAATTGAGATATCATATAATATTTAAATAAAAAAATTTAGATTTTTTTTATTTATTAATTTGTTTGTTTGCTTGCTTGCTTGTTTGCTTTAGTTTATATTTCAACCAGCTTTTATGATTACTATTTATCACTTTTGTAAATTAGTTAATTAACTTTAAATTTTATGCAAGGGCAGTCACAAAATTTTTGATTCTACTTCTCCTTTCTTAATTTATCATAAGTTAGTGTATTTATTTATTTGATTTACCCTGTTAATGTACTTTTAATATAAAATATTAAATTTTTTAATTTTACAATCTTCCTCCACTCAAATCTAATAAAACTTTATAAATTTTTCTTTCATTCTTATTTCATTTTTATTTTTTCTTGATAGAAATTAAAATTCTTATTTGTATATTTTATATATTATTTTATTTTTATATTTAATTTATTGATTTATTTAAGTATTTTCCAATAAATTTATACAATTTGATACTAATTAATTTATAAAATATTAATTTTTTATCTATTTAAATATTATTTTACAAAATTGATGAAAATTATTGTAGTTTTTTCAAACCATTTTTAAAAGCTCAAGTTTAATTAATTTAAAATTATTCTATTCAATTTACATGATGTTAGCTAGCAACTCATTTATCTTTAATAATTATAATTTTTACTTCATGCTAAAATTAAGAAATTAAAAATAACAATCAATCTATTAATTTTTTACATTTTATAGGTTAGGAAATAATATATTAATCTTTTCTTTTATATTTTAATATAAATCTTTTTTTATTATTTTAATTTACAAATTTCCAACAATCAATCATTAATTTTTTTTATTGTTTTTGATAAAGTTTTTTTAATAAATATAAACATTTTGATTAATCTGCTTAATGTTTGATTAAAAAAATTATAATTTATTTATTATTAGTTTTTATTAAAATTTTATATTGAGAAGATTAAAAATATTTTTACAATAAATACTAAAAATCAAATTCAATCCAATCCAAAAGTATTCTTAAACCAAAATTAGTTCAAATAAAGTATATATTATTTAAATTAGTTGACAGTAAAAACTAACGATTAAAAAAACAAATCAGCTAGACACTTACTACTTATCAAAGCAGTAAAGCTAGCCCATTTTTGCAATATTTATTTATTTTATTTTCTTGCAGCTCAAAAATGCATTATATGATTATATGGCAGGCATAAATTTATTATAAAAAAAATTCTAATTAATAAAAGCATTAAATCAGAAAATTAAGAGTAAAATAAATTACAAAAAATTCTAAATAATTTACAAATAGATTTTTTAATAATTAATTATTGAATTATTTAAAAAAAAACAAAACTCTTTACTATTTTTGCATGAATAAATTAAAATTATTTTTTTGTTATAATTCAATTTTTTAAATTTTTGATATGCTTACTTTATTAATAAATATAAATTATATGAATAATTATTCAAACTTAAGAGTTGAGCATGTTATTAAGCTTATTCATTATTGACTTTCCTTATCTGTAGTTAGTTTCTATTATAAACAGTAAAGTAAATTTTTAAAGTATCAAAAAATATAAAGATAAATTACTGATGTTTCTACTTAGGTTACTGAAAAGGTTTACATTTAAGTCTTCATTTGGGATATCTATTTGGAATGAACCTTGTGAATTTTCTAGTAGCATTTATTCTTAAATTGTTTCAGGCTATTCTTTAATTATTTTATTATTTGTTGTAGATTCCTAACTTAAAATAGATGTCTAAGGATTTTTTTAATTTAAGAGTGAGCTTTTATTAGTTTCGTTTAAAGTAGTTTTGTGTATAGAAGAAGTGCTATTTTTTTGCTCTCTTGTGACTTGCTCATTCGTTTGTTATATCTTTACTGCTTTTTCTTAACTTCTTTCGATTTTCTATTAATAACTTGACAAGGAAAGACTTTCAATCTTTTAACCAGAGTTTTATAAATCATCTTTATTAACTGCTTCCTTTAAATCTTTACTACTTGCTTATTTATCAGTACCCCTAGAATCGAACATTTGTTATTGGTTCATTGTACTTTTGATCATTTAACTTATACTCTAAGACATTTACCTATTTCTATTGACCTAACTTTTAGGAGCACTGTCAATTTTAAAAAATAAGCTTTTAGCTAATTCATTTTGATTCTAGATATTTAAATTAGATCTATTTGGCAGGTTACTCATACTTAAATTAATTACGGAGTTTTCTAATATATTAATATTAATTTGGTTCATAGGAACTTTGTTATGCCTACTTTGTAAATAGTTTTAGCAGACGATGTTTTTTTTTAGCTTTCCTGCTTCCCATAAATCATAATATTACTTTTAAGAAATAAATAAGCCATCTTTATTTTCGTCTGATAGTTAATAATCGCTGCTAATTTCTTTAGGTGGCCTATTTAATAAAAAAATAAATAAAAATGGAGAACATAATTTTTTTATTGTAATTTATTCACATTAATTAATAATTTATTAACTTTTTTATTTTAAATAAATCTATACCAATATTCGTTAGTAATTGGAGCTGTTCCTCCAAATTTTTACTCGACTTGCGATTTATGAGTGTGCTTAAATAGTTTTTCAGGAATTCCATCCTTAGAAAAGTTTATTTTTTAAATAGTAGCCTCTTCTAAAAATCCTTTAATAATACTCCAAGGTAAAAATATAGAGGTTGGAGTATTTATGACATAAGTGGCAAACATTCTACTTCTATAATTACTAGAAAGATAAGTCATCAAACTTTTTAATGCCTAAATGGGAAGAGAAGAAACACCAATTTTATTTAAATTCATGATTACCACCCAGTTTTCTATTTAACCAGGAAGCATAGCATATTTAAGAATAAATTCAAAAAAGTAGGTCATGGACTCAAGAATTTCTTCAATTTTAATCTAATTATTTTTATTATATTTATAGAAATTTGATGATTGAAAACTTAATTTTTAATTTTGAAGTTTTATTACTTCGTGAACATTAATTTTTGATACATCTATAATAATAATTGGGCGATATCTATGGTCTCTTCCATGCATATAAAATACACCTTTCATCTATTTTTAAATAAAAAATTTTCATAAAAAATAATTAGCATATAATTACTAAATATTTCTCTATGCTATCTTTGTATTCTATTGGAAGTGTTTTTAATCTCCATTCACTATGAGATTTTATTGTTTTTAGAGTTTTTTCATTTTTAAATTAGTTTGCATATAAAAAACGAAGTATATGTCCATCTTCCCACCTAATTTATCGAATGTTGAAATAAATAAATAAAATTAGCAAAATAAAATGATTATTAGTTAAAATTTAAATGTTTTTTTATCTTTTATTAATTTAAAATAATTAATAATTATAGATAGTTCTACCACTCTGGAATTACAACATTATGTTTCGCTAGGTACTTTTTCATTTTTTCTATTTGACTATTCTCAAAATCATCAAATTCTACTTAACCTTAAAATATTCTTCTCAAAGCTTTTTCTTTAACACCTATTTTGATTTCTTACTCTGCAATAAATAAAAAAAATGATGACTAATAAGATCAATATTTTAATCAGTAGTTAGATTTGTTAACACATATTTAAAAAATAATCTTAGCAAATTCAATTTATGATTGGGTTATATAAAATTGAAAAATATATTAACGTACTAACTTTTACCTTTAGGGAAATAGTAAAATGCTTGAGGAGGCATAAGTGGATTTAATTCTAATACCATTACATCTAAGTAAGCTTAATCCATTTGTATTATTTATTTTACTTATTAAGTTCTTATTTACTATATTCAGCTTTTTGATAAAACTTAATTAAAATTTACTGAAAAAAAATCAATGTTTAAAGATAACTAAAAAAAAATATGATTGATATAAATAAATCAAATGCTAAAAGATTCATTAAAACAATTAAAAAAATCTTAAAATTAGTAAGCCATTAAGAAAATTGCAAAAATATAAATAGCAATTTCTCTTTGTAGTTAAATTAAATCAAAATGATAGTAACCTTCATAAAAACCCCAGATAGAAAGTGTTAATACACTTTTTAAATTTACTATAAATTGCTATTTCCTTTATAAATGAATTTTTTAGGAGCAAAAATATTAGAACATTAAAATAATTGATAATGATTTAAGATATTTTAATTTTATTTTATTTAAAATTTTTATAATAAATAGATTGATGTTCAGTTTATATTTTAGCACAAACACCTTATTAGAGGTAGTAAAAATAATTTTAAAAAAATAAATAAAAATCCAAATCAATTGTACATTTAATAAAAAAATAATTTACAAAAATTTTTAGAATTTTTAAGTGATTTGCTAGCAAAGTAACATATATTTATAGCTTTTATTGTTAATAATAATTATACTTAATAAACTCAATTTATAAATAATATTCTTAAATTTAGAGTTTAATAATAAATGTAAATTTAATTAATTATTTTTAAAATAAATGTTTATTCAATAATCCCATATTTTAAACAAAATATTTTTCGAAAACTAAAAAATAATAAAAAAACAATAAAAATGAATTGTAAAAAAGAGCACCCTTATTGATAAAATATCAAATAAAAATAGAAAGCTAATGAAATTGTATCTTTGATATCAAAGATAAAATGCACTAAAAAATAATTTTAAATGTTTGTGAAATTTCTTTAATAAAAAAGCTAGGCTACAATAATAGTTTCTGAAATATAGTACACTTAATTTAAATATTAAAATTTTGAATTATTTAATTTAATTTATTTTAATAACAAATTACTCATGTTATCAAATAAACCTTAACTAAAAATTATTGCATTTATAAAATAATTATTACTTATTAAATAATTTATTTAAGATTATTAAAAATAGTAAGTGTTTAATTTAAATATTAAAATTACTTGAGAAGTGAATAATTAAATGTTGTTTAATTAATTAATTTATTTGCTCTTTAGAAAGTATTCATAAAAATGTATGTTAATTTCTTATTTTTTGATAAGATGTTAAATAATTAAATTTATTGAATATTTTTCTTGGTTATAAAGAAGCTTTATTTAGCATGATAAATTTCAATATTTATTTCTTTTTCAATCTGCAGCCATCTAATATTTTTTGAGAAACTTAGTTAATAATTTTTAATGATTAACAATTAACAGTGTAAAATTATATTAATTTTGTTATTATTCATTTAATATTTTGCAAATTAATTATTAAGATTCCATCAATCAGTAGTAAACAAACAAGCAAGCAGTCCAATAAAATAATTAGGAATTAAAATTATTGAAATAGAAATAGCATATAGCTTAATTCTAGATACTCTAAAAATACTATTCATTATAGTTATATGAATTAATAAGGGGAAGAAGGCAGAATTGTTTTGAATAATAGATCTTCAGGTTCAAACGGAAACAATAATTTGGGTAATAATGCAAATAACAACAATGAAGGAGGAAATGTACTGCCAGCTTTACCAAATTCAGGACTTACTCCTAAATAAACAGCAAAGAAAACACCACCAATGTAAATGACATAGTAGGCTCTTCCAGATATACAAATTTCATGTTAAACTACACAACCTAATACTAACAGTAACATAAATGGATTATAATTAGGTTAGAATTCTTAATTTAATCTTAGCGATAACAGATCATGTAGATCAATTAGCTCAAATAACACTCACCAAGTAACTAATGGAAATAATAATAAAAGCCAGCTATATGGATTTTAATAGCAAAATATTAACTTAAAAGTAAAAGAACTCTAGCAAACAAATCCTAAAAAATCAGTTTATAATTAAGAGGATTTGAGATAACTTTTAGAATTGTTTAATTCTTTTGACTTGCAACAGATTGGATTGATTACAATAAATTACTTGCATTAAATTTTGTTTAAACTCCAAAAAGAAACGACCCAAAGTAATATTTTATATAACTTTATTCATGAATTTTTAAAAATGCTCTTTATAATAAACTTTATCATTTATTAATATTATTACTTTATTTGATATTTTATACTTACTTACCTGAATGTTAATAAAATTATAGTTGATGATATAATTATGAGAATTGCAATAACAAAAGAAGGATATGTATCTTTTGATGAATTTTTGGCTATATTAACTGAAATAGAAAAAAATAGTGGAAATGGAAAGAAAAGTAAAAGTTATCCAATTTAAGCAGATCCTAAAGTAGTAGAGTTCTTAAGGTATTTCTAAATAATTGGTAAATTGTAAATCAATAATTTTACTGTTATATATCAGGTTACTTGATGAATACAGGAAAAAATGTGAAAACGATGGAAATTATTCAGAAGCAAAGAAAGCTCATTTAAAAATACTTGAAATAAAATAAAAAGAATAACTTAGACAGAAAAATAATTTAAGGTTTATGTAGGAGGAAGAATTAGTTAATATTGAATAGCTGTAGAAAAATTAATTTGAAGAATTTACAAAGGCTTGGGATAATTACATGGCCGAATATGAGGCAACAGCTTATTTATCCTTAGAAAAGCTAAAAGTAATACGAGTTTATTTCTTATGAAGATTCTGTTAATAAAAACTTGGATTTGTAAACATTTATTTTTTGTGTAAATAGGAAAAGCATTTGAAGGAAATAGAAGAATACACAAATGAAATAAGATAAGATCTCTTTTCTAAGATAAAATATTCAAAATAGCTCATAGAAATGAGACACAAAGAAAAAATTTTAGTAAAACTAAAGTAATATAACGATGCAGAGAAGATAAAATAAAAAGCAGACTCCATAGAAGATTATGAAAGAAAATAAAAAGAAGCAGAAGTAATTTTATGTAAATTTCAGATCAACAGAAAATTATTCTAACCAATTAAAATGGTATACTCATAAATTAGATTGAAGAAAAAATTGAAATGAAGGTCTCTATACTAAGAAAAAACTAATCATAGGTTTTGTAAGCTCTACTAAAGAGAATTTAAGCAGATAGAACTCATCAGTTAAAATAAAGATAGCAAGATTCAAACAGGTAATAATTTTTTGAGACTCTTGAATGAGATAAATTTTATATTAAATAAATAAAGGATTTACTAATCACTTTAAAAATAATATATTTAGGCTTATCATGAAAAATAGAAATATAAGGAATGAATTAGTTCATAAGCACAACAACGAAGTTAAAAAGGCAGTAGATATTCTAAAAGAAAATTTGCATTTCCATGAAAATTAATTGGAAAATTTAAAAAAGCATTTTAGAAATGCATAAAATAACCCAACTGAAAAAGAAAGGAGATAAATCACCACAGAAGAGAATTCTTTGTATAAACCTGAAACCAAAACCACATAATAAAATTCTAAGGAAAACAATCATCTAGAAAGAAATAAAAGAAGCACAAGCCTTTAGCAAAACACAAATAATTTAAGTAATTTTTAAATCAAACCCACAAATCCTTCATCGGTTACAAACAGATAAAAACCAAGAAATATAAGTAATTGATTTATCATTTAATTTATTTTTTTTATTTACTTACTTATTTACTTCTTTTATTAATCATCTATTGTAAGCGTTTATATGAATCAAAAAATTTTATTGAACACATAAATATAACTAAATACTAATTTTATAGGTGTGAATGGAAGAAAATATCGATAAAATAATGGTTCTAACGACCGAATAAACTAAACATTCAACTAATGAGATATCATAATAAAAGAAATTAATAATTCAAAGATTAAAGAGATGTTGATTAAGATAAAAATCCACCTAAGAGATATTTAGCAAAAAATACTTCCTTATGTATAAGGCAAATAGAAAATTTTAATTGAAGAGAAAAGTATTGGAGTTATGTATGCCCTCTTAATATATATATCAAATAAAAAAATGGATTACTTTATTTCAGAATATTAATTAAAAACCTTAATAAAAATAATAATTTTAAAAGTTAGTAAAAATGTATATAGTGTATCATTATATTTTATTGCAAATTACTCTTAAAATAAAAAAATAATTATTATAATGAATAATATTTATAAATGAATTAAATAAACAAAGAATAATTTCCTAACTTAATTTTCTTCTTCTTTTTTTTGAGCGTTTTTGACAGTTTTTAACAAATTATAAGGATCCTAGACTGTGAAATAAATTTACAGATTACAGCTATGATAAACAAAATTAAATATGTTAAGTTAGTAAGAATATATATATAAGAAAGAAAACTAACTATTTTTAGTATAATATTAATTAGAAAATTTATTTTAGTTATTGTTGTAGTTATTTATAGTTCGATAATTAAGGAATATTAACTATTGTAAAAAGAATAATTATTGTTTGTATAAAAATACTGGTTTATATAATTAATTCAAAGAGTTTCGTTAAAAGTGTTTTGATTATAATCTTTGTAAATATACTAATTTGCTTCTTTCTATGTTTTTGATATATGAAATAAAAGTTATAATACATTTTAATAATGCGTCAATAGTTATTAATAGTGTTAAATTCTTATTTAGGATATAAAATTTGATTATATCTAAAATAAGATTCATTCATGCACGGATAGAAAGAAAATAAATATTTGATGGATTTTGTATGAAATTTATACTCTATTCGTATAGATAATAAAGTATTTATTATAAACAATAGTCTTTTATATAAATAATAAAAACGAAAGTTGCTATATATATCTATTCGATTATTTATAATCGTATATGAAAGGATAAAAATAGAATTTTTATTATATTTTTTCAAAAAGAAAAAGTTTAAAAGCATTATTTTAACTCTCAAATTTTCACACAAGCACACAGATTCATAATCAATTTCATCTGTATAAAAAGTTTTACCCCACTAAACATAAAGTAATCAATATAAGCTGACTAATTAATTCAAAAAAAAACTAATATTAATTAAAAGCCCTAAATCTTCCTCTTAATCTTCTTAATTTGCTTTGACCTAGCAAACCAAATAAAAAACAATAAAAGATAAAAATTTATTAAAATATTCTCAAAGTTTTGATAAAGGGTAAAGATAAGGTTAGCACAGGCTTACAGTCTAAAGACACACATTAATTAGTTGTAGAATTGCTCTTAGGTCTATTAAAAAGCTCATTTGTTCTTTTAAAGGTGGAAAATTTTGATTTAGAGCACAATTTTAATAGAAAATTGAATCTGAAATACCAAATCAATAAAGAAAATGATTGAAGGAACTATCGTCACTATTATTTTTTGCGGAAGCTTGATAGGACTTGGTAGCTACCTGCAGTCTAAAAAATAAAGAAATTAAATACAAAGAGAGAATATGATTAACTTTTTCTTACAAAAAATAAACTAATTTGAAAATGACTTGAAATAGGAGACAAGAGATTTTAAGATTCTTATAAATTAAGTTTACAATGAGTTTTATAAGATTTCTACTTAATTTTAAAGTCAAAGCATTTTTCAAGAAAATCATAAAAGAAATACCTAAAGTATATAATCATAGGTAGACCATTTAATTTCTGAATTAATTAACTTGAAACCATCTACCTTCAATATAATTGATTAAATAGAAAAAAAAGCAAGTTCATCCATCTAAAATCCTATTTAAGATAGCTTCTACAATCTGCTTACTCAAGAAATTAGAGAGGACGTATTTAAAAAATAGATCAAATTAGAAGAAGTTTACCTCATATAGATATTTTTAATTCTCATTAACTCCTTTCCTATTTAAGAATCCATAGAATATGTTTGCTTTAGAGCACATTATCTTTTTAATTCAATAGTTATTAAATATTTGAGAAAAATTCTCATCTATAAGATTTCTTAGTAAAATGAAGAAACTATTCTTTCTATCTTTGAAAAGCTTGTAAATTTTTCATATTCTAATATCTCATTAAATTAAATATAGATCATAAGAATTATATTTCTTTATTTTTTTTAAGAAAATATTAAATAACTTATTAATTTGTTATTAGTATAAAACAGACGACTCCAGAGCAGATGAAAAAACTTTAATCTAAATATACTCCCTTCCAAACATCAGCTTAGAAAGCAAAAAGATTTTCATAAAAGGCCACATATATAAATTTAAAAATGATGATAGCAGCTCAACACTTTTAAATTCTGCTGTAAATAATTGGATTTTAAATGAACAAAATTCAGGAGATTTCATGGTTAGAATAAAGAGATTAATTAACATGCATTCAAAAAAAGAATGATTTTTGTATTTGAAAAAAATGAACCATATTTAAACTACTTAAAAACTATTCTATAAATAAATAAACAAAAAAAAACTTAACTAAACACTAAACACAATACTATTTAAAGCACGAAATTATAAAACATTAAAATAATGTTATTTTAATATTTAAATATTGTCTACTAAAAAACATATTTGATTTATAATTCCTTTTATCTTATTAAAAATTATTAAATAAGTATAAATCTTTTTACAGCATAAACCATTGAAGAAATAAAAACTATATTTTTTTATTGAATTTTCTTGATTAATTTTCATCGCCTTTATTAATGTTTCATACTTTTTGATAAAAAGCTTAATAATGATCATATTATAATCTTGAATTGAAAACTTATTCAATAATTTCCACAATTAAAATATTACAATATTATTTTAAAAGCCTTGAGAAAATAATTTTATTTTCTAAATTAAATTAGTATTTTATATAAAATTATTTATTATTATAAGTTTAATTTTTTGTTTCTTTCTTTCAAATACAGTGATTAATACAAATAAATATATTAATAAATAAATTAGTTGTTGTGATATTTTTTTTTTTAACTATTAATAATATTTCTTGATTTTAAAAATTATTGTGGAAATAAAATTAGTTTATAAAATATAATTTAGGTCAGTTTTAGTTTTTAATTATTTAATTATATCATTATTTATATAAGATTTCAAAATTATTAAAGAATCTATAAATAACCCCCTTTTTAAATAAGAAATTTTGTTTTTATTAAATATAAATTTAAGAAAATTTAGACATATTATGAACCAAAAAATATTTATTTATTAACTGTTATTAGATTTTAAATAATTTAAACTATTTAATAGAGTATAAATTTATAAAGATTCTTGTTAAGAAATTTAATTATAATTCATTTTTATGATTTTATTTAAAAAATAGCATGAAAGATTTTCAAAAAAGTTATTTACTTGAATTTTGATATTGATTGATTTTATATCTTTCATATGAAAAATAAATTTATATATATAAATTCATGCTTTTTATTATAAATGTGTTTTTTTATTCAATTAAAAAGCAAAAAATTTAAAAAAGATTATTAAAACCTAAAAAGAGTTAAATTTTATCAGTTTTTTTCTTCAATAGAAATTAGATTGGTTAAGTGTTTTCCTTCGTTAAAATCGGCTAAAAATTAATTCAAGCTAGATAGTTCTAGAACATGAATTTGAATTATGTATAGAATTTGTATCACTCCAACAATGACTTTTTATTGTTAAATTCCTTACTTAGTATTTAGTTTTAAGAGATTTTAGTTGTGTTAATAGGATTCATTTTGTAGCGTTTATTATTATAATAATCATATCAACTTCAATTAGAATAGAATGCATTTCACTGGATAAATAAAAAAAATATAAATTATTTATCTATAATTTTGGGAATATTCTCAAAAGCAAATATAAAAAATTTCAAATTTCTAATTTATAAAAATTAGTTAATTGAATATGTCTTTTTAAGATTAGAAAGCTTACATTTTAACCATCCTTGAGCTTAAAAATAAAAACTATTTCATTTTTAAATATTACCTTGCTATATATCTTCATACTTACTTTTAGTAAAATTTCTTTTATGTGTTTATTACATTTTAGTTAAAAAACGAATAAAAATAAAAATGAAGAAAATAAAAAGTAAAAATATAAAATATACATTAAAAATGAATAGAAAAATTTTAAATGTTGTTTTTGTACTGTCTATCTTTTTCAAAAAAAAGTTATCTATCTAACTAACTAGCTAATAAATAAATAAATAAAACAAACTAATCTGTATCTTTTTTATTTATTTAATTTAAAAAGATAAAAATTTGCAAACAACTATTTAAATAAAAAGAATTTATTTATAAAATTAAATATTCAAAAAAAATAAAAAAAATCAGATCAATCTCTGTAAGAAAGTAAAAAAAGAATTTAAAACTATCTTAAAATGAACTAATCTAACCCAAATCGTGGATAGACTTCAAGTAGCATGTTTATAACTAGCTCTTAAGTCGTTACCAGTAGCAAGGTTGACACAAATAAGGTCTACAATCCTAACTCTAGAAAGGATTGGAAGTCTGGTACCTAATAGCTTGCTGAAATTTTCTAAGGCAAAGACGAAGAAATAGAATACTGGAAGAGTTAGGTCCAACAACAAGAAATAACAATTTCCTAATTGGAAATTGTAAGAGAATAGAAGACCAACTGTGAACATGAAATCTTACAATTGAAGCAAATTCTCAATCAAAGAGATTATGAAAATGAAGCTCTCAAGAGAAGGTAAAAAAATAATCCTTTACTTATATTTTTAAAAAGTTTTTTAAAAATGACTTTCTGTTTTAATTCCTTAATGTCTGTACATTCTTTTTACTAAGGAAATACCTTATGCTAAGGCTATACTAGTCCATTGATAGCCTTAGTTTATTATTATTTGATAATTTTATCTTTGTTCGATATGAGTTATGTATTTTAGGACTGAGGATGTTCCATCAAAACATAATTTATCAAATTTTAAAATCGATGTTTAAATTTTATTTTTAATAAATAAAGTTTGGATGACACTAATCGTGCTAAGGATGCAAAAATTAATGAACTTGAAGAAAAGTGCACAAACTTAGCTGTTGAAAACGAAAGACTTAGAAATATCATCAATGCTAAAAATGGAGATATTGAAAAGAGTAAAACTATTATAACATAGTTAGAGATTAAGGTTGGTGACATGAAGAGACTTGAAGCCGCCATCCAAGAAAAAGACGGTCAAATCCACTTACTCTTGTAGAACATTGAAGAATGGAAACAAAGAAATGTTTAATAAGAGAGATACATTGAAGAATTAAAGAGATATTAAGACCTTTGCAAGGATTACGAATTCAAGATGGGTTAACTCACTAATGAAATCGAAAGACTCAACAATGTCATCAAGAACTACATTCAAGAAAATGAGAGTCAAAGATCTAGAATCGCTGACCTCGAACTTCAATGTGGTTAAATGCGTTCTTTGGAAGCTCGTATCAAGGAATACGAAAACAGAATTGTTATGCTTACATCTGAAATTAACCGCTTAAATGAAGTTATTGGACAAAGAACTATGGAAGTTCAAGGTAAATTTTACTTTCTAGCTTATTTAGCTAAAAAAAGCATTTGATCAATCAAAATAGGCTCCAATATTGATAGATATTAAGTGTTGAATTCAATAGAAAAAAAAATTCCAAATTTAATTTTGCAAAATAAATTTTGAGATAAATAGATTAATTTCTTTTTAAATAATATTCAAACATATCTAGATAAATTAATTAATTAATTAATTAATAAAAACCAGTTTTTAATTCAAAACGATATAGCGAATCAATTATTTTAATGGGAAATATTTGTTTGCAAAAATCAAACACATAAACATAATTTCAATTAAAAAAATTCCAATTTATTAATATTTGCCTATCTTTATCAATCAAATATAACATTTTTAAATTCACAAAGATGATTTTTTGCTATGACTTAAAAGAAATAAATTGTAAATAATAACTTTGTATTATTAATAGACTGGAAGGATAAATGCAAACAATTAGAAGTTACCATTATTAACTTAAAGGTATTCGAAGAAAAGTGCAGAGATTATGAATAATAAATCAGAAATCTCAGCCAAATGCTCTCCGATGAAAAGGCTAAGTATAGCAATTTGGAAAGACTCTACGAACAAGCCAAGCTTTTGGAAGTGAAGATTAGAGAATACGAAAATAAGGTTGTTTTACTTACTTAAGAAATCGAACGTCTTAACAATGTCATCGGATAAAAGCTTTAGGAATTAGACTAAGCTCGTAACCAAATCTTATAGCTTGAATAATAACTTGTTAAGTATAAGGGTATTGAATAAAAGGTCATTGAATATGAAAATAGAATCAGTAAATAAATAAATAATTTATTTGTATCTAATATAATTTATATTCTAAATAAAATAGTGAGTTTCTCATAAGAAATCGAAAGATTAAGAAGTCTCTTGGACTAACGTTAAGCTGAAATAGATGAATGGAGAAATAAATGCGCCATTCTTGAAGATAACTGCAGAAATTATGAAAATCAAATCCGTATGTTAAACTAAAGAATAATGGAGCTCACCCAATAAATCGATAATTTAACAAGACAATTACAAGATGCTTTAGCTGAAAATGATGACCACAGAGTAAAGAGAAGCAAATAACAAAAGGATTTAATTGACTGGGAAGCTAAGGTAGCCTTGTTAACCACTGAAATCGAACGTCTTAGAACTTTACTTATCAGAAAGGATGAAGAAATCGAACAATGGAAACAAAAGTACTTCAAACTCGAAGCTACTCTTTCTGAACTACACATCTTAAGAGAAAAGAACAGAGTCTTGAATAGTGAAATTGACAGATTAAATGCTTTGATTTCTGAATTAGAAACTGAAAATGCTCAATTAAAACTTTCATTGGTCAATATTAATGACTTATAACTTAAAATATAAGATTTGCTTATGCTCTCAGTATAACTCTTCGCTGAAATCGAATCATTAAGATCCAGAGTTAAGGATAAAGAAAAATAAGTTGACGAAATGAGACGTTCTTCTCTTGCTGCTTACAGAAACTGATATTTAATGATATGAAATTGTATTATAAAAAATCTAAATTAATTAATCCATCCATCCATTTATTCATAAATCCTTCATAATAAATAAATAGTTATTTATATATAAATTAAAAATTTTTATAATTCAGCATCTTGAATTACTTCATAATAATTAATTTTTTAACCTATTCATTTAATGTTCTTTTCATTTTATATTCATTTTTAAATCATTATTATAAGTTTTTTAACTCAACCAATTTATTGGTATTTTCAAAAAATATTCATTTTTAAATTCTTTATTTTTTAATCACCATATGAAAAATACAATATATCTTTATTAATATGTCTTGAAATAAAGGCTTTAGTAAAATGTGATCAAAATTTATTAATATTTAATAAAAACAATTTCATATTAATTTTTTAATTAATTAAGAAAATTTTTATTTCAAAAAAATTATCAGAAAATTAATAAAAATTTGAATTTTGAATTTTTATGAAAAGAAAAGTAAATTAAAAGATTTCTTATCAAAGTAAAAATAAAAGTAAGATATAGATTGTAGCGAAATAGTTTTTCAATGAATATTTTTCAAATACCTCAATCATACCTTGAATGGTTCAGGAAATGATTGTATACCTATCTCCAACAGTACTTAAAAACCAGTAATAACAAGCATCAAGGGGTTTGTTGACTCTATAAAATTCATAAACATAGATTAAAAAAGGATTCGTTGACTCATCCTAAATCATGTTTATTCCCCTAATCGATAGCTTTTTATAACTGTAGTTATTAATACTTCGATGCTTAATGCGCTACAGATCTTACTAAAATACTTTGATAAAGAAAATAATAAGTCAAATGGCAAGGAGATCTAATGACACAGAGACTCAAATAAAGGCTTCAGGTCTTCAGGTAAATTAATTTAGATTCAAGGAGGCATTTTTTCTCAACTTTCAACTGAATACCAAAATATTTGAGATGAACATATAGATTTTAAATAAATTAACAAATTACAGCTATCTCCCGAGCTGCTTCCTATTTATTTAAAACCTACTAAATCATCCAAATAACCAAAATTCAGATTGGACATCTTTCAAAAATTTACTGGAGCAGGCTTACTTAATCCTTAAACCAATAGCGGTTCCTAGGGTAAGTGAGAGATACTCTCCTAAAGCATTCTTCCCGCTCTTGTATTACCCAGTCTTATTTCCCTAGGTAAACGCTCTCCAAGGCAAGACGATAGCTAAATACTTTCAAAATTATTTAAAATGATATAATGCGAGAAATAATTTAAATTTTAGAGATATAATGCGAGAAAAATTGATATAATGCGAGATTGATTAAAAAATAAATAACAATATAAAATAATCCCATAAGATAAATAACCTGACTTATGTGGAAATAAAAAATAAAATAAAATAAAAAAAACAAATAAATAAATAAATAAAATAAAATAAAATAAAAAAATAAATAATAAAACATATAAAATAAATATAAATAATAAACCAAATACCAAAGATAAAAAATAAATATAAACATAAGCAATAAACAATAAACATAAAGAAATATAAAAGCAAATAAAATAATAAATATACAAAAATAAAATAAATAGTAATAAGTATATATGTACACGCATTTTTTTTGAAATATTTTTAATTAAAATTTTATTAATAATTTTTATTTTTAATATTTGCAATCTTAATCAAATTACTGCAAACTTTAAATTATTCGAAAAAGTATGATTTTAATTGGTATGTTTTTTAAAAGAAATAAACATTTTTTATAATGTGAATGAATTGAAAATTAAATAATAATATTCATTTGACTAAAATTTCGTTTCTATTTAATAATAATTCATAAAAGGGAAAAAAATAATACTATAGTTCTGTACAGGCATATATTTTATGTTAAAATTTAATACTATTTTATTTGTAATCTTATAAACTTATTGATGATTTTCAATTTATTTGGATTTAGTATTTTCAATTTGATTGATATTTTCTTTAAAAGAATTAAATTATTTTATTTTTTAAAATGTAAATTAATTTTAAAAATTAAATAATATATTGATTTTATTAGAATTCTAGCTTTATTTAGTAATATTTAATAAATTAATACTAGAATTTATTTTTTTTAATTAAAAACTCTATTTATGAATAAAAAGTTTCAAATTGATTTATATATTTAATTAACATTTTGATTGGTTATTTTTTATTAAAAACTATGAAACATAGTCAAAATATATTGCAATCTGCAAAACAAATTCCCTAAAATGATTAGGGAGGTATTATGGGAAGAAAAGGATTAACAGTTAATATATTATAAAATTAGTAAGAGGGTAGTAGATAACCTATTACTAAAGAGTAAATGGAAAAGCATAGGAGAAATGTATTTGAAAGGTAAACATATGTACATGAGATTATTTAAATTATTTAATTGAATTGGAGCATTTTAGATGAAATTATTAAATTATGCTTCACAATATATACTATTTTCGTTATGTAAAGATTTATATAATGATAAAGGCTGAAAAAAAGAACTTTAAGGGGGAAAATTATAAATCTCATCGATGAAAATATGTATTTTAGGTGCAATCATTTATTAGAGCATTAAAAGAAAATGAAAAATCTTCACGAAAATGGAATGTACTATAAGACTTTATTTTATAAAGAAAAGTTGTAAGAAGAAAACTTCAAAAAGAAACCAATGGTGTTTTCTAAACCACAATCAAATGATTTTTATCCTATGTCCAAAATTATCAGTAAAGTTGATGAAATTGAGCTTAATTAAGTCTTTGATAGATATGATCCTTAATTCACCAATGAAGATGAAGAAACCATGATGGCTTTTAAAAAGATATGCTAGCGCTTGACAAAAGAGGAGTTACTTGAAGTAAAAATAAAAAAGTTTTAGCAATTTCAAATAATTTTTGTTTTTATAAGGTTGGTGAGGATCCAAATTATTTTATAGTTAAACAAAATCATAGATAAAGGTATTAGTTGCTTAATCCTAAGCTTTGGGATGATGTAGCTGGACTAAAATATTAATTAGAGTAATTTTTAAAATAAAGCTTAGAAAATAAAGTAATGTCTTTATTTTAACTTAAAGCAACGAAGAACAAGATACTAAAAAAGACGCTTAGGAATTTTACCCTACTAAAATTGTTCATTTTAAAAGTGAAAGGATATTACAATCTCTTGATAAATCATCTAGTAAAAAAAAAATAATACACTAAATAGATCCTATCTAGAAGAAAAATGAGGTATAATAAATTTAAAGAGATATTAAAATTTAGTTTCATAATTATTAAAACAAGTTTATTGAATAATTGAGAGGCTATTTAATTGAAAAACATCATGAAAGACAAGAAAGATTTGAAAAAAAGGCCTTAATTGAGGAATAAAATAAATTAGATAAGAAATATGATATAGAACAAAAGTACACTGAAAAGATAATTAGAGCAGAAAAAACTATAAATGAAATCAAAGATGCTGTGTAAAGATAGAAATTAGAAAACCAAAAAAAGGAGGAGTAGCAGTTAATGTTAATTGAAAAAAACAGGTAAAAAATTATTTCAAAAATTTTTATTTTATAAAATAATTAATTTTTATAATAAAAGATTAAAGTAAAAAGAAGATGATGAAATATTTCTATTAAACACACATCTTAGAAGGATGCTTATTGAGCATTAAGTGGATGAAAACAAAAGCAAAGGTAATTTTTCTTTTTTTTGTAGAGAAAAAATTTACTTTTTTAAATAGTTATAAATTAGAAATTAACAAAAGTTAAGACTCTGTAAAAGTATTAAGCAAACAAATAAACTTAGTTAGTTGATTAACAGTGAAATTAAATGTTTCATATAATTTATATTTTAAGAAACTATTATAAGCATAAAAAAACTTCTATCATTTTTAAATTGCTTATTTTTTATAATTTATAATTTTTCAAGAAGTTTTTATCATTATAATTTTTTATTAAATTTATTTTCTATGCAAAATTTATAAATTTAAACTTTATATTTTCAAAATAATTTTTTTACATTAAAAAATGGATTACTATTCAAAAAAATACAAATTATCTCAATCATATGAATCAAAAAAAATCTAAAATATCAAGATTTTTAAATTTATAAAAATGAAAATTGTCATTTATTATACATTTTAAATATGTTTTTTTTATTTTTAATAACTTTTAATAATCCAATTATATATTTAATTTATATTTAAAAATTGTTTTAAAAATTCGTATTTACAGTTTATTTTTTAACATTAAAAACAGAAATAATAATAAAATAAACACATTTAATAATTTTATATAAATAATGAATGATTTCTTAAACTTATTAGTTAAAAAAGCTAGAATTTTATTTTAAGTTAATAAATATAAAGAATATAGTAATTAATTTAAGTTTAAATAATATTTTTGCATGTAAATAATCGTGAAAATTTAATTAAATATTTGAAGTATTTATACGATTATAATTATTTTATTTTATTTTTAATATAAACGAAATAAATTTTTAAAAATCTAAAATGAATTAATTTAAAACTTAGAATGTTTTACTCATTTTATAAAATTTAATGATTTTTTTTAGTTAAATATGTTAAAAATATTTCAATAAATAAATAAATACTTAACTTGATGATAAATGAATAAATTAAAATTTTTCTTTTGAGTGTTATCTGCTAATTTATGTAATTGATTTTAAAGATATGATTCTTTTTAAAGATAATTTCTGTTTAAAAAATAAATTATTTACAATTAATCTAAATGAGCTTTATTAAATTAACATAAAGAATTAATAGAAAATCTTAAATTTATAATTGTTTATCATAGTATTTTTTTGGAACTGCTACTTACAAAGGTAAACCATACTATGACGTCGTGATTTCAGGTATTTACGAGTTTTTATTTAATTTTATCCTACAAATATTATAAAACTACTTATCAGAACAACATTTTTTCAATATTGAGCAAGTAGAAATTTATTAATTTAATTAATTAAGGATGTGGTCCAGTTGGAGCAGGATTTGCATGTGCTTTATCTAATAGCCCATATTTTTAAAGAACTTCCAAAGATGAAAGTAAGAGCATTTTGATACTTGATAATTAGAAGCCTCCTAAAATCGAAGAAGTAAGCCTTAATCAAACACCTGATTAGCGTGTTTATAGTATTAGTGGTTCAAGTTAAAAATTTTTGTAATCAATTGGAGCATGGAATTTGCTAGATCACAAAAGAATAGGCAAAACTGAATAAATGTAGGTATGGGAAAGTAATGGATAAGGATACTTGAAATTTCACTTATCAGAAAGCTAATAAGACTCTAATTTAGGTTTATTGATGGAAAACAATAATATTGTTGCAGCTATAGTTAAGCGTTTAGAAGAATTAGACCAAGTTGAGTTTGCCATTCCTGATTCTATTGAAAAGTTTGAAGATAGCTAAGAAAACGATAATATATAATTGATACAATTAAAGAGTGGTAAATAAGTTTATGCAAGATTAGTAGTAGGTAGTGATGGTCGCTATTCAGCAGTTAAAGAAAAAAAAGGAATCCCTACTTATGGCTGGATGTATAATTAAATGGGTGTTGTTTGTTCCATAAAAACTACAAAGGCAACCAAAAATACTGCCTATCAAAGATATTTAGAAGGTGGCCCACTTGCAATCTTACCCCTTTGGGATGATTATAGTTCAATTGTATGGAGTGTACCACCATATTAATACGAAGAATTGATGAAGCTATCTGATGAGGCTTTCCTTAATGAGCTAAACCATGCTTTATGCAAACCAAGCATTATGGATACTCCTACATTAGCATTAACTCCAGAGGCCAACAAGAGTGATTTTACTTCTCCACCAATAGTTACATAAATTTGTAATAAGAGATTAGCTTTCCCTCTAGCATAGCTCTAAAGTAGAAGATATATAGATAAAAATGTAGCTCTTATTGGTGATGCAGCTCATTCTATTCACCCTCATGCTGGTTAAGGAGTTAACATGGGATTTAATGATGCAGTAGCATTAGCTAATATTGTTATTAAAAATAAAAGAGTAGGTCATAACATAGGTGATATTATTTCACTTTAAGAATATGAAAACTAAGCTAAGTTATTTAATTATGCAAATGCTATATCTATGGAGTTTATCAAAAAGATGTATGAATTACCTGGCCCTTTTGCATTCATAAGGAATGTTGGTGCAAATATTATAAACAATAACTCCTTTTTAAAAGAAAACTTTATGAAGGTTGCTTCTCATCATCCTCTTGCACCTTCATCTTATGAATGGGAAAGTTAAAATTGATACGAAACTAAAATACCCAATATTATCTATTACTATGCAAAAAAATAATTAAAAAGTGATTGAATTAATAATCTACAAGAAAGATATGTCATAAAACTAATTATGCTAAACTTTACATTTCTTTAATTTATATATAAGTAAATCAGTATATAAATATTAATTTTGCAAATAAAAATTTTCATCCCGTATTTTAAAAACTTTTTTTTGAATTTAAATGAATTAATAATACAGGTAAAAGCAAAATTGCAACAAAAAAATTAAAAAATAACGTTAAATATGAAAGTAAAAATTTGAGAAAATAATCACTGAAATTAATAATAAATTCATTGACTTAAACCTGCATTAAATAATTGTAATTTGTTTCTTTTCCCCAAGAAAACTCTTTTATAATTTTATTTAGGCCAAATATTCATGAGTAAATTTATAATTTAGTGTATGGCGCTCATAACTTTTTTGATGAGTTAAGCTGATATTATAATTAAGTATTTTTGATTATAAATTATTAATAAAATATATTGAAAAACCGTTTTTATGAAATTTTCATCATTTTTTTATCAAATATGAGAATTAATTTTTAAAAATATTAACAGAAATGCAAAAATTCTACTTACTCTTTAGTAAAAACAAGGGATAAAAATGATAAATTAAAGTAGCATTGTAAATTTATATCTTTTGAATCTTTAGATTGATAAATTAGCCTTGAAAGTTATAATTACTGAACTCTTTCTTATGTTTTTGATAAGGATTTTGTTTTTTATGGCATAAAAAATTTAATCTAGCTATTAAGGAGATAAAAGGAGGGGGATAACTACTTACAATAGAAAAAATAATGCAAATCAAATATAGGATTATTTACATACATTCAATGAAAATTGATTGACAACCGTTTAAAGTAAACAAAAAAAATTTGGTATTCTTTTTCTATTTTGATAATATAAGAAATTATAATTAAGGTATGAAACATAAAAAGCAAATGTATTAACTAATTAGATGATTAATTAGCTAATAATGTCTTCTAATTATTAAGGTAAAATACTCAGACAAAATTAATAAGTATTGATTTCTTCATTGCAAAAAATAATGCAAAGGTAAATAAATGAGTTGGAATCAAATCAAAGCTAATTAGACGAGTCTGATAACTTGTAATTCTTATTTTAATAAATAATCAAAAAAGTATTAATTCGATTAAAGCAAAAACTAAAAAAATACAAGAAAAATCCTTAAAGGTTTACCAATAATAAATAGCAAAAATTTACACATCCAATAGTAGAAAAACAAACAAGCGAAGATAAAAAATAAATAATCAATCATTTGATCACAAAAAGGAAAACTAAGAATAGCTTAAATATTTTTATAATAGAATAAAACTATCCTTTAAAAAGTTTATAACTAAAAACTTAGTATATTTTAAATGATTTTGGGATAAAATAGTAAAATTATCTTAAATACTAGTAGTTTAGTAAACACTACTATTTACAATAATTAAATAGTATGTCCAAGAGGTTGCAGGGGATATAATGTTGTTTAGGAAGGTAGTACCTCATGCAGCTCTTGTGGTCTTGTTCTTAAATAGGAAGATTTAGTACCAGAGTCTTTTGGAGGTATTGGATTTGACTTTTAATCAAACAAAAGATAAGAAAATGCTTACGGATCAAGCAGTTCAAATGGAATTAACTAAGAAAATAGATAGCGTGAAATAAGCAAGTAGATAAGCGAATTCTGCACATAGTATACCTTGAATCTAAATGAAAGAGAAGAAGTAAGCTAAATAGTAGAAGGTATGTTAGGCATTATGGATGCAAAGAAAAAAAAATGCCGCTCCCTTAAAAGTTTAGTAGCAGCCTGCTTCTATGAATTTAATAAAAAGTTACACAAGTCTATTCCAATCAACTAAATGTGTAAACATTTCATGATCAAGCAAAGAAAGCTTTTGAAATACACTAAAAAATTATCGAAGTATCAAATTTAAATTAAATCAGAGTCAATCACTCACTCTGAGCGCATAAGAAATGAATGGGATGAAGTAATGAACACAGTAACTGATAAAATAAAGTGCTTCTTACTCACAGGCAATTCTTCATCAATTTATAACAGTACTTACAAGCCTGAAGTTAACAACTTTGCCTTTGGCTAAGGCCTGAATTTACTTGGATAAGAATAAAATTCGAATGAAATAACTACATGTAATATAGCTTATAAATAGCAAATTAAAGATATTGAGTAAAACTAAACCACTAAAAAGATTGAAATGATTAAACAAAAGATTAAGGCCCTCTATAATTGTGAGTATTTAAGCGTCACTCGCATGGGAAAGCACCCAACAAATTACATTTGTACTTTGATGTATGTCATCCTTAAATCTATGAATATTGAATTCAAGAATAATAAATTCTGTGACTAAGTTGGAATCAAATATTCTACCTTATCCCGCGAAAAGAAAGAAATTATGCAATACTTGTGTAATAGCTTGCTCATAAGCCCTCCAATAACTCCAATACCGCCGCGGATTTAATCCGTACTTACCCAACTTAATTAGCTCTCTGCTTCTAAATAAGAGAGTCCTTCTTTTACTAATAAGCTATCTGGCGATTTTATTGCTTATACTTTAGAGCATGTTATTAGTATTAATAATAATATGTAAAATGAAGATGAAAATCACTCAACTTCCTCCACCCCTGTTGAAGTTAACTAAATTAATTAAACTACTTTCTGTGATTCTCTTCTTCTTCAAGCAATTAACGACAAAAATTCAATGGGCTTGATTGATTCTGTTATAGTCACCCCAGATACTCAAATCAATAAGTCTAAAAGAATCAATTTAGATGACTCTTTTAGTTTTGAGAGTTGTCCAAGCTCCCAGCAGCAGAGTCCAATACGGAGGCAGGCGCAGGCGACGAGTCTGAACCAGCTTACTAGCAGTAGTAGTAGCAGTAGTGATAGTAGTTGTAGTGGCAGTAGAAATAATACCAGTAGCCCATCTTCTGTTGGTAATTCTGAAGATGAGAACGAAGATGCCAAAGCTTCTATATCCAGTGCTGTTGCTAATGCTAAAAAGCAACCGAATCCTAAAATTGAACACTATAAACAATGAGAAAATAAATATTTTACTCATTTTTATCCTCATAAAAAGTGAGGATATTTGTTGTACTTGAAAATAGTACACACACGAAGAGCATATTGCTTTTCAATAAACCAACCTTAAATAGTTTACTAATATATTAAAGTACAAAGGAAAAGTGCAAATTTAAAAATTAACTAGGATAAATATTCAAAAAATGTGATCTTTCTATTAATAATATTTTCTCTTTTTGAAAAGAGTTAAATACATAGCAGGAGCTCATTTTTAGTTTAGGTACTTTTAGATAAAAAATACTTAAAAATAAATAGATATTTTTAAATTGTTTAAAATCAAAAAGAACTTTAAATGTTAAATAAGAAAAATCTTCTTAGTGTGTATCTTGATTTAAAGACAACTTAATATCGATATATCTAATAATTTTCTACTCTAAAACTAATAGAATTTATCCAATAATATATAAATTTAAATTTATGAAATCTAATATATATATATGAATAATTTATATGTAGTTTAGATTTGTAATAGATATTATTCTTTTTTAATACTTTTTTAAATAAAATATTTTTTAATTAAAAAATAATCAACTCTTCTATTTTTAATTAATAAGTGAAGGCTAAATAGTCAAATCACTCATTCAATTTAACTTTTTTATACTCAAAAATTTTAATACATCTCCTTAAATTATTTTAAAAACACACTCATTCAGATTGATATAAGCAATTAGCTAATTAATATTTATTACCTTAATTCCTTATTAATTCTTACCAGCCAGCCGATCTCCCTAATATTTTAATCATAAATTAACTTAAATGTTTATTATAATATTTTAAATTATCAAATATTGATAAAATAATTTTTCTGGTAATAATAAAATGCTATGAAAAAAATTTTATTATTTTATTATTTTAGTTTTTTTTATTGTATTTTTATTAAATTTTAAATGAATTATCCTTAAAATAATTCAATAATAAAATGTATGTTTATTTGCCTAAAATTATTAAATTTTTATTTACCTTAAAATGTGATAAGGTAAAAAAATAAAGGTAAGTGTTTGTTATAAAAAAGTTAAAATAAATAGAAATATAGAGCTTATATGAGTTCTAAAATAACTAGAGATTTTAAAGTAATAAAAAATGAAACATTTTAATATTCATCCTACTTTATATTTATTCCTCATTATACATGATTTTCTGTTTAAATCTTTTTTTTTGAGAGATTTCTTTTTTCTATACATAATTATACAATCAATTTTCTTATTTATTTTATGTGATTTATAATTTAAGGTAATTAATTAACTATGTTTTCAGATTTGTTATATTTTAAGTTCATAAATAGTATTTCTCTACTAATTTTAATTCGTTATTTGCACAAATATTTATAAACAATAATTATAAAAAAAAATATCAATTTTAATATTACTTATCTGAATTTAATGAAAAAGTTTTAAAACATAGAAGAATATACTAAGTATAGATACTCCTTCCAAGATAAAGAGCAAAGAGAAGCAAGATATGTCCCCTATCCTCATTAAAGGCCTGGGCCAGAAAAAAACTCAACAAAAAAAAGTGAAATATAGCCAGATATAATTTTGAGAGAGTTTAATTATGCTACTAGACCTGTACCAAGTATCAGAAAATTCGACTGGGAAGGAATAAAAGCTGTAGCTATTAGTGAATCAGGATCTCAGGGAGTCATATTTGTTGAATCAGATGATGGAGCTATCGTAGTTAAGGGATCTTAAGATGCTGCAGTTGATTATTTTCTTTACAAGCTCAAAAGAATTCTTAATGTGACTGTTCCTTAAATGAGAGTTATACGTTGGTATGATAATGAATTTAAAAAAATAATAAGAAATTTAGAAAAAGCTACTTTTTGTGATGAAACATTAGGGAGAAGAGTAAATTTTTATTTGCTATTTTACATATTTAATTTTTATTTTAAGGTGACTTCAAGGATAGATATGGCTTATCTATAAATACAAGAATATATACCTGGTATTTCTATATAAGGAATGGGTCCTCATAGAGCAGCATTAGTTTTCGACCACATAACACCTGAATCTAGAGATAGATTGATTCGTTTAGGAATGATTATAGCATTTGACACACTTATAAATAATTCTGACAGGTATAAATAAATATTTTGTTACAATCTAATTTATTTATTTTGCTAAGAAAAATGTTATAGATTAAATTTTTTTTTAAATAGATATCCTCTCTTATGGGACAATGGAGGAAACCCAGACAATATAATGGTTAAAATGAAAACAACGTTTCTGAATAAAACTGAATAGTTGAGAGATCCTAATAATTTAACTTTTGACTATGGTAAATTCTATGCTTTAGATAGTGGTTTAAGCTGTGTGAACTCAAAATCTGAATAAGGATTGCGTGCTTTATCAAAATATTACATAAAGTTAGAAAACTTTTTAAATGAGTTGTTTTTAGATATGAAAGCTGTTATGCTTGCTTAAGTTGACCCAATGACAGGAACTGGTAGAAATGGAGAGCGCAAAAAACTAAATTCAATAAATTAAATTACAAGTTTTGTATATCAGCATACACTCTATCACATGTCTGATATGCAAATACTTTAAATTATGATAGGTATTATTGTAGGAGTTGAAAATGCTTGCTAGTTTGGTATTGACAGGATTTAAGAAATGTACCAAAGATTTTTCATAAAGGAAAGCGATGACTGGAGAGGATTCTGGAATGAGAATCTAAGAAGAATCAATTTATAAATGTATAATGATTGCATTTTGATTTATGGAAAATTTAGAGGAGCTTACATAGATGTAATTAAATGGGTTAAAGATATCACTCTTAATTAGTATCACATCAGAATAGAAGAGTTTGAATAGATTTTAAACGGTGATTTAGAATTCGAAGTAATTGAGTAGAGCCAATCAAAAATAGAAGAATTGAATAAGAGTGGTGACCCTTTAATAAACTCACTATTAGAATAGCAATAAGAAGATTAAGTACTCCCCTAAGACATAAATGAGCAAGAGCCTTAAAATTAAAATGAACCTATAGATCCTAATGATAACGAAGCTCTTCATAAAAGAATTAAAGAAATATTTGATGTAGATTTAGATGAAGTTCATAACAATGCCCTAAACTAATCAAATTATCAAGGAGTTGACAGCTAGCAATAAAACTCAAGTCAACTAAACAAGCAAAATAATAACAAAAATAGTAATTAAAATTTACAATAAAATAGCTCTTAATTGTAAAGTGATTAGGCAAAAAATATTCAAAAATAAGAATAGCAATAAGCTCAAAATGAATAAATGTAATAATCTTAATTACCTTAGCAACAATAGAATAATTCTTAACAAAAAAAATGAGTTTAACAAACAATAAACAAATATAATAAAAGTAACAATATATATTATTAATAAAAAGACTAACAAGATATAGCCATAATAAAGTAGCAGATAAGAAAACAAAATAAAAATAAATTTATTTAATCTAACTAACTAACTAACATACTAAACAACAACGACTAATATCTATTACAAAGAATTTTAGAAACATTTTAACAAATATATTTAAAGTATTTTATAAATTTTTTATAAATGTAATGAATGAATTTCAGTTTTTATAAAAATAATTTTAACTATACAAATCATTAAGAAAATAAATATCTTTTTTTTTTTTACAATTTATTTAACTCTCTCATTCGCTGATTTATGTTTGATTGATTGTTCATTCAAAAAATTGAATATTTTTTATATTTTACAAATTAATTTTTTAGAACGTTTATTATTACTAATCTTACTTTTAGTTGAAAATCTTTCTTTTTATTTCATTATTTAGCTAACTTTTCAGCTAAAAATTTAAATAATTCATCCAAACCAGTACCTTATGAAGCTGATACTTCAAAATAATCAAATTATCTTGTTTTAGCCCAATTATATGCATCATTTTCGCTTACTGCTCTCACTGACATATCTTTTTTATTTCCTACGACTACAGTTGGTATTCCTTAAACACCCATTTCATGAGCTTCTCTTAGCCACATATCTAGTCCATCTAAACTTCTCCTTAAAGTGACATCTAACACTAATAAAATAGCATTAGCATCTTTATAAAATTCATTTCGAACTTCGTAAAATTCAGGATGGCCAGAAAAATCCCAAAAATTTAGCTAAACACTTTCTTTTGGTAAATCAATTGTTTTATTTTTATAATCAATTGCAATAGTAGCTCTATATTTAGCATCAAATGTATTATTTATAAATCTGTCTAATAAAGAAGATTTTCCAACACCTCCATCTCCTAAAACTAAAACTTTAAATCTTTTCACTTCTTTAGGCTGAGATACATTTAACTTACTTGGCTTTTAAATCATTCTAAAAAAATAAATTATTATTTGAATTTTCTAAAAAAATCGTTTAAATTTTTGATATAAAAATTAATTTTTATTTTTTTAAAGCAAATTAAAAATGTTTGAAATAACTTTTTTTTCAAAAATAAATAAAATATTTTCTAAACTAAAGCAGTAAATTATTTTTTACGAATCGAATTAAGATAGCAACAAATTAATTTTTAAAAACAAAATAAAAGATTCTTTTTTTTCTAAATTTAGATAAATTTTGTATCATTTTACATAAAAAAATTAGAAAATGAATAAATATGAATTAATTAATTTATGTTTTAGAGTATGAACAAATAATATATTTTAAACACTTTTTTAACTTTTAAATTAGTCTTTCATAAAACTTTTATTATAAAATAAATTAATCACTTAATGCTTGTGTTATTATTTTCAGAAATTAACAAATCATTAGGAACCAATATAAGACCATTACTTTTTTTATATTAATTTATTATTTGGTTTATAACTGTATTTTTTTTTAACTTTTTTCTAGCAGTTGCTGAGTGGATTCTTTTAAATGGTAATATTTTTTACTATTCTATACTACTTACTTTAGGACTGCTTTAATTTTAAGTTAAGTTTTACTTTTATTAATACGATAAACTTGTTTTGTTCTGGATATCTTATATATTTGATTAGAAAAATTTTCTATTTGACTGTATCAAGGGTGAATTTAAATTTAGTGTTGTCCTTAATTATGAAAAACAAACGCTATTTTTTGATGAAATTAAATTATTTATTTAGCTTTGTTGATTTGATGGAGAAGCTAAAGAAGTATTATTTTAATATGAAACTTCTGTAGGCATGAATGTTTATTTTTGGTAAATGTTAGGTTATGTTGGGGACGTTTTAGATGCTATTAAAGAACTGTTTGGTCTCTATTTAGGGTTTAATCTTAGTTTATCGAAGTTTATAAAATCGTTTAATTGCAATGATTTAATAACAATTGGCGACTTTTCATCAACTTTATTAATAAACTGAGTGTTAATAAATTAGTTTCTTGTATTTGTTTTCAAATTTGAATAAACTTAAGAACTAATTGGCCTAGCTTATTAATTAAACTTATCCCTATAATCTAAATTCTAATTATCGATAAGTACATTATTCAAATAAGGATTAGATTAACTTTATAAATTTTTTTCTATGCCTTTCCAAATAATAGCACTATCTCTTTTAGTATTACATACTGTTGAATTATTTATTTAGGCTATATTGCTAATAGAAGACTCTTATTTTTATTTATCGTGTAATTTTGATGTAGAGTTATTACATCTAATAGAAGACTTAAATATAGTATCCGTTTTAATATTTTTAGAACTATCTAGCATTTAAGACAAAGAACTCTTTTAAAGGTTTTATGGCTCAGTTTTTAAGGTTATTTCGATATTTTATTAATTTTATTTAAGATTATTTAATTAATTTTGTATTGACAAAATCTAAAATTTATAAATAAAATGTTATCAATTTAATTTATATGAAAAAGGAAATTTACTTGATATCTGGGTTATTCTATTTAAATATCGTTTTATTTATATTTCTTTGCAGTTTGATTATTTGAAGAAGAAGAAAATGATGATGAAAATTAATACTTAGGATTATGGTTTCTAGAGAACAATATAGGAGATTAAGGTTTATTTAACTAAATTCTTGCTTTACCAGATTAGACTCTTCGGTGTACACAAATTGCAAGTTAATTTTACTGATAAGATTACTCAGTCAAAATTGAATAACTTGTATCAACACTTAAAGAATTACACCCAATTTTTTATCTATTAGATTTACTTTCTTCTATCACACTATCATTAACATGATCATTACATATTTATTTTATACAACTTTACTCAAAAAATCTATCAGTGGTACTTAGGGGAGAAAAATTTTAAGGGGTAGATTTCATTTAATTGGAATTCTGAGAAAATAAATGAGTTGATTTAAATATATTAGGAGAAGAATCAGAAGAAGTAGGTGAATTAGGTTAACTTAATTATAATTAATTTATAATTTCAAGTTGTTAGCTTTGTTTGCGAGATACAGCCAACGAATTAGCTAGGCTACTCCTTTTTGATTTAATATGTGGGGAAAGGCATAAACTTTACATTCCAGGTTTTTACTATAGCTTTTAATACATCTTCAATTAAAGCTATTTGATTGACTACTAAGTTTAGACTCCCTTGAAAATAAAATCACTCTCTAACTTTTAAGAATTGTTTAGCAGTAGAGATTGTAATGCTGTTTTAATTTACATCTTTTATTCATCTGTCAATACATTTTTTTATCCTTGCCTTATAGGTTTTTCTAATAAACTTTTCTTTACTTGCTGTTACTCGAATATGGTTAATTTATTTCTATCCTTATAATTTTCTTTTTATGTTAGTTTTTTGATAGCAAGATGCTCAATTTGCTTGTTAGAAAGAAAATGTTTTAAATTTTAAAATTATTGTGAATTAATTTCTTTCATTAGTTTTTGTTATTAAATTTACTATCTCTCTTTATATGTAATTTTCTTTTATTTGTCTTTTTAAGGGTTAGAGCTTCCTGTGATTGATGAAGATATCTAAGGCTACAAAGCTAAGGGTTACTAATAACTTGAATTAGAACTTTGAACTTTTGTCAGCTTTGGCTAAGAATTATTTGAATTGCAAGGCTTTTAACTATCTAAAATAGTGTCCACCTCATTTGAAAAAAAATCATTGTAAGATGGAATATTAGAACCATCTTCACTATTTTTTGAACTATCTTTTTTTGTTTTGAACTTAAATAAAAATTTATTGAGATTCATAACATTTTTAATTGATTTTCTCATTTGATTTTTCAAATCTTGTTAGCTGCTATTCTTTTTTTTTTATTGATCATCATTTAATAAAAGAAAAGAACAATTTTGAGAGCTACTTTATTGTTAAGAAATATTTTTATTTTATTTAGATTATTATATGCTTAATTTATTTCTCTCATCTTTTTAAGGTGATTATTCTTACTTTTTTTAAATATCAGTGAAACTCATTACAGACTCCAGTGAATTTAATGTTGAATCTATTTTTAAATATTATTGAAGAAAAAATATAATTAAAGTAATAACCATTGAAAAACGAAAATGATTTACTGGATAAAACAATTTAAGGATTATCTTTGATCATTTGAAGATATCTCTTTTTGCCGAATTCACTTCTAATTAGCTTATCTATTTATTTTATATCATTAGTGTTTGTAAATTTAGTTTGCTCTTTGGTTTCTATGAGCTTTTATATCTCTCTTTTTTTATCCTTTTCATTTAAATTTTTCAATTATCTACTATGTTTTTAATTGGAGAGTATTTCTATTATAGATTTTTGATCTCCTTTTTAATTATTATTTTAAATAGCAATATTTAATTTTTAATCAAGATTTCGTTTTTTTGAATCTATCCTGCTTGTCAATTAAGAATATATTTCTGAAATAAAATTTTTTATAATTCCTAAATCATCTAAAGATAAATACTAAATAATCACTATTTCACTTTTAGCCACAGCTGAATAAGACCTTATAGATTCAAATAAATCCTCTTCTCCAATAAAATCTCCTTGATGAAATGTGCAAACCTAAGTGATTGGTTATCATAAAATATAAGATATTTTAATTAAATATAATAATTTACTTGTAATAATTAGACCTTTTAGTCATTCTTAACTATCAGCTCCATTTCTTGTTGATTTAAATTGTCTTATTTCTTTATTAAACTTGATTTTGTTTTATAAGATTTTAAATATTCTACTTCACCGCTTTAAATAAAATAAATCCCTTCAACTTTTTCATTTTCTCTCCATAAGTGTTCCTTTCTTTTAAATTCTTTTTTTTTGAAGTGATAAATAAATTTTAGTACTGTATTCTTAGATATATCTTTAAATTTATCCCCAATAAACTTGAGTTTTTCTTTTTGTGAATCTGGTTAGTAGTTTGATATAGATTCATATGAAGATCTTTTCATTGTAATCATATGCAAATCATCAGCTGCTACCATCAAATAGACTTACTTTTCTTTTTCCTAAAAGAATCTCTAACTTGAGAAATGATCTCCTTTAATATAAAATATTTTTGTAAAAATTTAATAATTTTAATAAATTATCTAAACCTGAATAAAATGATTGCACTTCAAAATATTTAGGAATTCCCCACTCATTAAAATAATAATCTGTTCTAGGTTAGTACCATAGCAATAATATTTATTATTATTCATGCAAATCCATTTAACTCTAAGCTTATTAGTCAATAAGTTAAAATATTCCTTTAATAATAAGTTCTCTAACTATTGATTATAGTATTCTTAACTCTTCTTTATCAAAATAACTATAAAATATATTGTTTGATTATTGTTCATTCACTACTTTTTGTAAGAACTATTTCTAATTTTTAAATGTATCACTTTACCTTCTTTATTTTATGTTTGTATTTGCTATTTAGCTATTATTTTGTTAAGTTATTTACTGTTTAATTTGATCATCTTGTTGTATTTCTTTACTACTTCCTTTACTAATTTAATTTGAAGTTTATTATATTTTTTTATTTGCTGAGGAAGATAAGTCTTTCATAAATTCTCTTAGTTTCGTTTAAAGATTATTTTCTTTGATTTGTAAACTTATTTAGTGGTAGTGAACTTTAAAATATTCTATAAGGTCCTCCTCAATTTGAGAAGTGGTCTTTTCTTAGTAAATTGATACTTTTCCTTTAAGCAAGAAACAAATAATATCTTCTGTTAAATCTATATAACATTAAAATTGGAAAGTAAGGAAAAATATTTATTTCTAAATAAGCATTTTTAAAATTTATATATTACAATTATATAGTATCTATTCACCCAACTAAACAACTGTATATTACATCTACTCAATGAAATGATAACAAAACTTATTGCACTCAATGTCCTTCATTTAATAATCTTAAATGATGGGAAATTGCTTTATTTCTGAAACTGCATACAGCACATCTGATTCATTTTTAACAATATTTTATCTCTGATAAAGTAGAAGTAAGCCCTTATATTTTATGAAATACAAATTTTGTAAAACTTTTATAAAATTAAATATATACTTCCAACTATGGAAGAATACAAGTAGTCTTTTTAGAATTATACTCTTTTTCGACTAAATCGTCCAGCTTTTTTTTGTGCAATTCTTTTATCTACTAATTTGTTCTTACTTCTAGTTCACTTAGTTCCTATCTTTCTTAAGTTTTTTTCATCCTAACTATGAAGAAGTAGAGATAATTTAATTGAACTAAAAATTTTTATTATATATTAATTTATTATGTAACAAAAGATTGATAATAATTCTAAAGATTATTTTTATAATTAATAAATCAATCATTTAGTAAAATTAATTAATTAGTGGAAAAAAAGTAAATTATTTTTTAATAAATCTTATTCTATAATAATTAAATTTAATTCAATATACTTTACTTAATTTTATTTATTTTTAAAAATTTGTTAAATTTCATATTAAGTTTAAAAATATAGAAGTAAATATAAAATTTAATTTATCAATGAATATATTTACTTTAAAGGAAGAAAATTAAACTATTGCTTTAAAAATACAGTTACTATTTTGATAATTTTTAAAATATCTTTAATTAATTTCAAAGTTTTGATTAATCAATCATTTTGTATTTTAAATTACTATATTTATCATGTTATACCTTTAAAGCAATTAGTTTTTTTAGTTAAAATATATATAATTTTTTGTAAAACATTTTGAATTTAAAGTTACTTACTTACTAAATTTATTATGTAATATCTTTAGGTTAAACAATTAGTTTTTTAATTAAAATGTGCAAAAGTTTTTGTTAAAAACTATATTTTGTTATGAGACAAATTTAAATATGATAAATTATTAATGTTTTTAAGCTTAAAATTTGTGATTATATTTGCAAGCTTAAAAATAATTTAATTATAAATTTTTGATAGGTTTATTAAGTTTAAAAATAATGTTTGAATTTATTTTTAATTTTATTGGTGATTTGTTCTAATTATACATTTTAACTTTTTTTTATTTCTCTATGAATGACGGTGCTTTATATGTCTTAATTAAATAAACTTAAATGTGTAAATAAATTTTTTTATATGAGAAAGAGATTACTTTGTTTGATAAATAGAAATTTATTTTTTTATCTTCCACAATTGTAGTTTTGATATTGAGAAGTATTTTTAAGCCCTCTCTTGAAATTTATATCTATATCACTTTTGGATATTTATTAATAACAAAAAGTATAAACAAATTTTTTAATTCTTGTTGTTGCTGCTTCTTTTGTTATTCTGAAATTAATAAGATTAGCAATCCTGACCAAGAAGTAATTAATTATAAATACATAATAGGAAACAAATTAGAAGTAAATAAGGACTAAGATTTAAAAATCAAATTCAACAATTTGTTAGCCTGTTAGTTAAATTTACTCTCTCTTAAAGACCCATAAATATAAAAATAAGTGAAATGAGTAAAAATGAAAGCAAAAATAAAAGTAATGACTTAAGCTAAAAGTTGATAAGTAGTTCTGATAATTCCGAAATAAGTATTAAATCAGTTGATCAACCATAAAATCAACATGGAATTTCTCTATAAGGTATTGGAAAAGATGATAGCAGTAATTGCAGTTAGTAAAAAAAAAATTAAAATAATTTAATTGAAATAGAGGAATAGAAAATAAACATATTTTAAGAAGGTTCTTCAGAGGTTCTCGAATCACCTTCAAAAGCTGATTAGCAAAGTAATTAAAAAAGTGCTAATAGCTCAAAGTTGAAATCGAATAATAATATGCAATAACCAATTAGCTTTTACTTTAATGAAACTCCTTAATCTGATTAAGTTAATAATAATGATAAAGAAATAAATGTTAATGGAGCTGGGAATGGAAGTAAAATAAATCAAAATCAAAAAGATGCTTCATTAATGGAGCTTAATGAAGTCAAATTGCAAAATAGCAGAGTAAGTTATCAAGATTTAGATGAGTTACATGAAGATTTGCTTGATGAAAGAGAAAATGATAATCAAGAAAACTCTGATGGATGCTGCTTTTGCATGTTTAAAAAGAAAAAGTAGTAAACAGAAAATTGGCTAAAGCACTTTAAATTGCTTGTTAAAAATACAAGGTTCATTGAAAATAGTTGGTCAGGTGGCCTTTTTGATTTAATTAATAAAAGATTTTAAGGCTATAAAAATGCTGATACAGAGCAATAAGAGCTATTTTAAAATGCATAAAATACATTAGACGATTCAAAATTAAAGAGATAGAGTTCAAATTAGGCTTTCTCATCTCAAAGAACTACTTTAGATAATAATAAAACAAATAGTAAATTATCTTAGTAGAATAGCAATTCTTTAGATATCAACAAAGCACAGTCATAGGAAGAAATGCAAATAGCAAAAGATATTAAAAAAGCAATAAAAAATTCTGTTATATTGGAAGAGGATATTGAAAGCTTAAGGGAAAGTTTAAAAAACGATTAGATTTTAGCTCAACTAGAAAACTTTCAAGATAGTCTAGATCAATCTTCAGGAAGTAAAAGCTAAGCAAATAATAAAAGCTCTTCAAATAAAGATTAAGAAGATTTTAAATCTAGCTTTAATAATAGGATAGATTTAGTTTCTAAAGATGGGATTGAATAAAAATCAGCTAATAATTCTAAAATTGCGTCTATTCAAAGAGAAGACCGCATTAATTCTAGAATGGAAATTATTGGTAGAAGCATAGATATAGTCACTCAGCAAATCAGCTCTGAGTAAAAATAAAAATTGAAAATAGATAGTAAATATAAAAGTAGAATACGCTCTAATTCATTAAAAAAAAAAATGATGCGAACCTAAAGCAGCTTTATAAGAAATGGAAGTGAAATAACTACAAGAGGTTTATCATAATAAGGAGTAAATGATTCTCGATTTGAAGATAACGACTAAATAGACTAAGTAGGAGATGATGCTTTAGGTATTGTTTCAAATGTAATAAAAACAAATACCCTTTTAATAAATAGTGAAGTACTTCAAGAAAAAGACTTCGAACTCTATTAAGCAGTTGTTTACTATAAATCAATTACATTTGTAATAGAGCAGCACTTGATGGAAGAAAATAATTTCACACAAGAAAAGCCACTGCGTGTTATCCGTGATAATTTTATTGAGTACTACATCAGTTAGTATGGAAAAAACCTTTAAAAGCTAGAAGAAAATGAAATTGTAAAAAGCATATAGGATTTAAAAGAGTTTGTAACATTGTACTTAGAAGTAATTAGAGAGTATTACAAATTGGATGATTTAGTTGATAAATGCAAGTATGCAGATCGCTTTATAACGACAGATAATTTAATTAACTTTCTGTGCTCCATATTATTTTAAAACGATGCTGTATATTCTATCATTTATGTGTCTCATTGTCATTTTGAGCCTAAATTATCTAATCAGTATTTCAAAAATGCCAAGCAGCTAAACAAACATATCTAATTAGATGCTTTGAAGGTAAAAGATGACTATTGTCTCAATGAAAAAACACTGATAAAACTATAGACTAAAATGGGAAAACAAAATTGTTCAATAAATGACACTAATACATTAAAAGGATATACTTTTGTACCTCCATATCAAAGAGCCTTTGAACATTTGAAAACAATATCCTATTAGAGAAGTCCAGTTCACAAATTAAAAGTAATAATTAAAACTCAAGACCTGATCAATGAATGTATAAAAGACTTTTACGAATATTTTGGAATCGATTAATCAGATATTTATTATGATGCAGACAATTTAGTTGGAATATTTTCTTACATTTTAATTAAAAGTGAAATATATGATATAATTGCTCACTGCAAGATAATTGAAAATTTTGCTACTAAAAATACATTAAACAGTCATTCCGGATATTTACTAATAACCTTATAATGCTGTATTCGTTTTATCTCTTCAATCGATGTAAATCTTCTATTATAAGAAAATAGACTAGAATTAATCTAAAACTGACAACAATTTATTAATTTCAAACTTGTTTTATGAAAAAAGAACACATTTATTTATTATATAAAAATCAATAATGCACATAATCTTTCTATCTTTCTACTTACCTATCTATCAATAAAAAAATGTTCAAATTTTATGTTATGAATAAAAATATGGTGAAACTAATTAATAAATATTACAAAAATAAATAATAAAAACAAATAAATTTAAGAAATGTTCATCCTCTTATAACAAATATTATTCTATATAAAGTTTGCTCATATATAATATTACTTTAATTTATTGATCACATTTTTCTCTATCATTCAAAAAGGAATTCATTTCATTTTTAAATTAAAAAATCAAACATTTAAAAACAAATTAATTAATTTTTATAATTTTAATGAAATTAATTAATTAATAGTTTTCTCTTTAAATAATATTTCTATAAATAGTTTAGAAAATAATCCTTACAATAACTATTTAAAACAGTGAAATATATATTCATATTTTAACATTATAAAGATATGCATATACTTTATTTGAATTTTGAACGAGAAATACTATAAATAGCTTCTAAGTTAAAAAATAAAATATTCTTATAAAGAGTTTTAAATTTTTTTAGATCTAATAAGGATAATTAGGTAAATTGATTATATCTCCATTAAGTCATTCAATTATAATTTTTCTGGAATTGGAAATAAACATAAATTTATTAATAAAGAGTGTTTTGAAAATAGTTAAATCAAATTTCTAACAACTTCATAACATTTATTTTAAATTTTTGAACTAATTTTTGATGATATTTTTATTAAAGACTCATTTTATGAAACAATAGATAATCAATTCTATAAATAGATGAAAATATTATTTTAATATAATAATTAGGACAGTTTAGTTATTATTTTTTTAATTAAATGATGATCAGGCAATTTTCACCAAATCAAATTATAACTTGCAATTTTAAGAGTATTATAATATAATAATGACATATTAATTAATTAAATATATGTTTATATTTATTTGATGATAAATTATGACATCCTTTTTCAAATCTTTCTATTTGATTATGTATATCCTTATTTTAATTCATTTATTCAACAATCCTTACAAGGCTCTCTTTCTCTAGATTCTCCTTTACCATGGCAATAGCTACAGCATTTAGTATTTTCATAATTTGAGCATACTCCTCCATGAGATTGGTAATTTTTTTCAAAAACATAACCTTGACCATTACAATTTGAGCATAATTCACGAGATTATATATATCCTGTGCTTCCACAAGTAGGACAGTACCTTGACCAATCAGGAATTTAAACATCATTTTTTACATATGATTCAGCTGATCCCATTTTTATATGTATATTTTATTTTGGATTAATGTTGGGTTTAGAATTTTTAGTCGTTTTTTAAGTAAGTAAATGCTCAGAATATACTAAATAGATGTTGATGACTTTTTTATATTTTGGATTTATTTTTATTATAATTAATTATAAATTATACTTTTCTCTCTTATCAATTTTTAAATAGTTATTTGTGGAAATTATAAACAAAATATTGATTTCGGTTCGTTTAGAATATCAAAAAAACATATCAATTATAACAATTTCAGAGGTCTAAAATGACGTATTTATAATAATAATAATAATAACTAAATAAATAAATTGAATTTTGGTAGTATCAGATTAGAGTCCAAATTAATAAATAAATAATATCTGTAAAATTCTTAGTTTAAAAACAATACAAAGGAGTAAAAATTAATAGATAATTAGAATTTGTTAATTAATACTATTTACTTTATTTTACAACTAAATTTTATGATCAAAATATAAATGTAGAGCATTTGAAAATTATCACACTTTCAAAAATATTATGGAATATTTATTTATTTACTTTGTTCTAAAAATAAAAAAATATTTTCATTTAACCTTGTTAAAATTAAGAAAGATCTTAATAGATTATAAAATTTTACAACATTTGTTTTTAGCTATTAATAGAGTCATTTCATAATTAATTAATAATCAATTTTATTTTAATTTTTTATATATATCTCTTAGTTATCTTCTAAGACTTCCCAAATTTATGGTAACAAAGAAATTATTCAGTTTGAATTATAAAAAATCGCTCTAATGAAATTCTTCTGATTAATGATAAAAAAATGAACTAGGTTAATCAGAAATATCGTCAGAGTTAACCAAAATATTTCTCTAAATTAAGCTTGCAATATTTACTTGATTTGATTATTTAGTTTATCTCAAATATTTAAGATTTAAAATTGACTAAAAGGAAGAATAGTCACTTAAATCCCAGCATTTTAAAATATAATTATGTTCTGCTGTATCATAAATAATAAATTTGAGATAATCTATTTTTATAGAATCTTATTTTTATTTTTAATTGATCTCATTTTTATAGTAAACTTCTTTAATAATTTTTTCATTTTATTCTATGTAATGTCTTTTAATTTCTATGCAGCAAATAAAATCTGTTATTGTTTATGGCTTCAGCTACCTCCATTCTTCCTTTATTTTATAAATTCTTATATATTCTAGTTTTTCTCTTGCTCTTTATTAGAAGGTTCTAATACACTTTTTATTGATAAGTAAAACCTCACGAGGTCTATTGCGAAAAACTTAAAGGTTTATGCTATCATTAAGCTCAACAATAAGTGTCTAAAAATATAATAATAAAATGATGCATAAAAATGTAATATAAAAAAATAGAAATTTACATTTTAATAAAATAGCAGCGAGCTCATAAATAAATTGAAAGCTTTTTCTTAGCTTAAATATAATTTATTTTCTCTTGAAATAAATATCAAAGTTTCAAATTATATGTAATCTAAAGTCCATTATAAAATACTCTTGTAATTTTAATCAAGCACTTCAATAACAAAAAAATTCTTACATTTGTAATACATTTACTCAGTTTAAATTCTTAAAAAACTGTTTTAATCTTCTTAATATTCTTAAACAATAACATTTACTCTCTACCTAGATTCCGAATACAAAATACCCTTTTTTAAGACCTTTTTATTTTTAATTATTAAAAAAATATTTAGTTAACCAAAACTTAGGAAATATTTGCCTATTTTAGAAAAGATAAAACTTAATTACCCTTTTAATGCACTAAACAACAGGTTTAATTACTAACTAATTGTCTTCCAACATAGGTTATTCTTATTTATCTGATTAATTTTAAAAATAGTTGTTTTTCCTACACACTTAGCTAATCTAGATTGCTTAAGAATTTATAGAGCTACAATCCATAATAATAGATCCATCGTTATATATTTATATATTTTAAGCTATTTCTTCAGCAATTTGTTGTACTGGTAAAGTTTACTTTTTATTTTTTTTGCTCTTACCATATATTCCATTTCTATTTAATTACTTTACACTATTAATGTTTACATTGATAATAAAAGCATCTTAATTATTTTTTTCTTCTAAAGGACTCTATTCTTTTACTGATTCTTCATCTGATATTTCTTCTTTGTTATATTGTGAAAATAATTTTTATTCCTTAATAAACTTTTTTATTTAGAAATTGTTTGATTTTTCTGTAATATCCTCTATATTTTAAATAATTTTTTATCCTTTATTATAAACTACTGTTAAATCAAAATTTTTTTAAGGAGATATTTGTGTCTTTTTTTCAAATTATAGATTATCTTAGCTACTAATTTAGTTCTCTGTAAAATTAAATACTATTTTTTAATCTTTTTTTTGTAAATTGGCTTTTTTCCAAAGGTACTAAAATTTATTTTCTCCAGTCTTATTAAAATGAAAGTTTTCCTAGTTTTCTTCAACTTATCCTTATAAAAAAATATTAGAAAAATTAGAAAATGCTTTTTTAATTTACCACTATAGGTCTTTTTCTTATTATCTAATTGGAGAGCTTTTACTGAAATTTTAGAATTATCTTCTTGAAATTATACATAAAAATATTTTTTGTTTTTATAGCCAATAAACTTTTTAATCTTATTTTGCTAATTTTTATTTTTAAGGAATAGTTTTTTCGTCAATATTTGATCTTTAACAAATTTATGTCTCCAAAATTTTTAAAGTTTTATCACTGAATTTACATAATCTATTTTAGTAACTTAATTTTTTTAAAACATTTCTTTTTTAAACTATTCCCTTAAAGAATTATAAGCATAAACTTTAAGAATTTCTTTTATTTAGTTATAATCTTTGATCAAAGAATAATTTTATATTTATTTTGCTATATTTTATACTTTTTTTAGATCAAACGAATACAAAATTTCTTATTTTTGCTAACTGTTTTCTCTTTATATCTTGAATCCTTCTATAAATAATATATCTATAAAAAAAATGAAAATTTTGTTATTTGTGAAATAAAAATTTACTCTAAAGAATATTTAGCTTGACAATAAGATCAAATATATAATTTTTATCTTCTAGATATAATATTCTGCAAATAAAAATTATAATCTTATCTTTATGTTGTTTTTTTAGATTGTAAGCATTCTGATAAATTTTTTATTTTACTAAAGCTTAAAGTTTACAAACTAAAATCTATTATCTAACATTTTCGTATAGCTAAGTGTTTAAATTTAAGCTAAATGTATTTTCAATTTAAATTATTTGTGTTTGCTAAAATATTAAATGTGATATTTTAAACAGTAAATTTCTTATTTGCTCTCTATCTTCATGTAAAACAGTCTGCAAAAAAGATATTTATTTAGATACTTATGCATGTAATTTAGGGTAAATTTAAAATAATAAAACTTCTCCAATAAATATTTTCCAGTTTTAATTATTCGAATATGCTATAATATTTATTTTCCTTTGAGATATGTTAAGAAATGAGTCAATAAAATATTCTATGTCATTTTTCTCATTATAAAAATATTCACTTGTAATAAAAATAAATTCTCTTTCCCACAGTTTATTTTAAGCTTTTACTTCTTAAAGATTTGCTTTTAGGCATTCATGCTGTTACAAAAATTGTAAATACTCATATTCCTTGTCAAAGAAAATTATTTTATTATTTTATTTGATGAGTTAAAATTTAATTTCCCAAAATGTTAAAGGGAAATATTAAATGATTTTATTTTCATCTGAGTTAGAAAAATAATTTCCTTTATCATTAAAATGAATCTTTTAATTGGTTTAAAATTCGTGACTTTTGCTATTTGCTGAAACATTCATTAGCGAAAATTAATTTTTATAGTATTTCAACTTCTAATTGAGTGCATTCATAACTACTTTTCGAATACTAAAATAATCTTTAAAAAGCAAATGATCTTACAAACCTAATTAGGCCAAATTAATGATGAATAAATTTTATTGCATATTTTTTTTATCTAGAAGCTTATTACTGAATATGATTATTTACTTATCTTCTTTGCAGCAATATACTTCACATCTAATTTAGTTTTTATTTTGATCTTCAAATCCAAAATCATTTAATAATATTTTAGATTTATTTATCATGTTTATTTACTCTGCCTTCAAGGTAAAATTGTATTAATTTACATCTTTCCATCTCTTTGAGATCTTACCTCTTAGTAAATTTATTTAATTTAAGAAATTGTTTTTTTAATGTAATAAATTTACTTGTTGTAAGAAGGAATCAGTTTATTAAAATTATCTACTAGAGAATTAACTAAAAGTATTTAAGAACTTTTAATTAGTTTTAACAACAATGTCTTATCATTCAGATAAAAGTTATCAAAGCTTGATTATTTATTAAAAATTTTATTATAATTACTATTCATTTCGATATTATTTTTTTGATGTTATCCGTTAATTAAGTAAGCCTCTACACTCCTTTCAAATAACTGATCAAGTAGCTTCTCAGCTTTATCATATTTTGATACCTAAAAAAAACAATAATTAAACTAGTTTTTTATAATGAATGAATTAATTAATTACTATCTTTTTTCTATCAATAAGCTCACAATATTAATAATTCCTTTTAAAACTTATATTATTTTTAATAGGTTTTTACTACATTAATTTTTTTGTCAAACTTTTACTTACTGCCATTCTATTTTAAATATTTTTAATCTTTTCATAAGAGATAGATGGCAATAAGTTTGAGCTCTTAATTAGAACTTCTATTTCAGGAGAATCAATCGTTAATTAATTTTTCAAGTCAAATTAAGCTTTAGTTAAACTGATTGTTTTATTCAACAATATTTAAATTTCTTCATTAGAGTAATATCCTTAAATATGTAATTCTTTTACTTCAACATTTTTAGATACTAAGCAATTTCTTCTTTAGATATTTTAAAGCATTGCTTTTATTTATACCTTACTTCTGCATTAATCAATTGTAAAATTAACTACACACTTCTCATCTACGATCATTTTTATTCTTTTTTTTTAAACCCATATTCCATTCTGCTAGTCTTCTCTAAATTTTCTAAGATGCAATTCTTTTTTTAATAAAAATATTGTCAACAAAAATATTTATCTCTCAAAAAAATACTGAATAAAGTTCTTTATAGACTTGATTTCACGAAAGATTAAATTTTTATAAGTGATTTTAGCTTATCTTGATTGAAAATTTACTTAGTTTGCTTATATACCTCCTTTAATCTTTTATTGATAAATGAACTATTTATATTTGAATACAAGAGCTGTCCCTCTTCTGTGAAGGAAACATATTCTACCCAAGAGTATTTTAGTGATTTTTATATTTCTGCAGCAACTTCTTGAGTTAGCTTAAAACGACTTTTATTTTACTAAGCAAAAATTAAACATGCAAAAATAAATTAACAAAATTTACGTTTCTTTACAAATCTATCGATTTTAAATAGAAATCATTTTCATTTTTCACTAACAGGATTTCATAATATTTATTACTAAAATTGCTGTTTTAAAAATAAAAATAAACTTTATTATTTAAATATCAATTTTTCAAATTAAGCTACTCGTAATATGTTCCTTTTTTTAATGTTTGTTGCTTTATTCTTTTTTTAGAATTTTCAATAAGTGCTTAGAACCTACTTTAGCAGATTCGTCTCCTAAAATAATTTTGTAATTATATAGTTTTTTCAAGCATATTATATAATTTCCCTGTAAAACTTTTCTTTCTATTGAGAAAGTTAATCAAATTAGCACTGCTTTGATTTAAGAGCTTGCTGCACATTTAAATGCTTTCTTCGAACACAAATGGATCTTCTTTAACGTTATTCTAGCTCATTTTTTCAAAATTTTATTTCTTTTAACTATTCCAATCAATTACGACTTAATTGTTTTCAATAATTCTGTTAAAGATAAATTTATTAACCTCAAAAATTAAAATAAAAAAATTTACATAAAAGGACTGACTTAGGTTATAAATGAGCATTTTAAAGTACTAATGGTGTAAGCTACCTAATTTTTGCATCTATTTAAATTTAAGTTCATGAGTATTTCATCTGATGTAAAAATGCTTGAAAATCTCTCTTTTGCATTTTGTTTAGATATTAATGTAACATAAAATTTAATTCTTTAACTCTCCTATCCTTCAAGCTAAACGGTTTTTACAAAATAATCTTCATTAATAAACTTATTATCTTAATAGATTCTTAACTTAACAAAAGTCTGCACAATATTTTTTTTTTCATTTTTAAAAAGTTCACTTTATTATTTTTGCTTTTGAATATATTTCATTAGCACAACATAAAATTTAAGTAAGAAAAAATTTTTCTAAACCATTTCTTATTTTAATCTCTAAGTTTCAGTTATTAATCTATTTTTGTTACTTTCAACGAGTTTAAATCTAAATTATTAAATATGTTTTATTATCTATCTGGCTTTTATTTTCTTCCTTATTTCTTCAAGTTTGCTTTATCTAAGTATCTCTTATTATTAGATTTACCATTTTTAATACTCTTTTTCTTATATTTATTAATTTATTCCTAATAAAAATTATAACCTCTCTCTTTTATCAATGTCAAGCAAAAAATCCTCTCTTTTATTAATTGCATTTATATTTTGATTATACTCTCTATCATCACAATCTGAGCTGCTTGACCAACTTAAATTTATCTTAATAGTTTCTAAATCATTTTCAAATTTAAGTTGGCTTAGTTTGTAGCTTTTGTATTCATCCTTTAAATAAAATCAAAAAAAATTATTAGTGTTTTATATGAAAAAATTTACTCTTGATTAACTTTAAATATGGCTATCTAACAATCTATCCAAATTAGTTTATCTAACTATATTATTTCTGTAACAAAACCTTGAAGGTGACATTTACCTAGCTTAAAATTAGATGTGTTGTAAGTTATCTTTAATAATATGATTAGGAAATATTTCAATTTTATTCCTTATGCTATCTACTCTTTTTACTTTTAATTCTTAATCTAAAACCTTCAAAGTATTTTTCACTTTGGCTACTCTTTCCTTTTCATTTTAATCTTTGATTACATCAATACGATTTATTTACGTAGGCTAACATTATGTTTTTTTTATTAATGCAGTGATAACTTTTTCATTTTGCTCTTTTTAAGTATCAGGGTAAGAAATTTAAATTGACTATTCTAAATCTTAGCTTTTTTTACTTGATTCTTAAATAATTGAAATTTATTGTACATTATCAAATTAAGTTTATGCTGACAATTAATTTTCATTCTATTTTTATATAATTAGTCTATTTTTGGGTGGTGATAGAGATCTAAGACCTTACTTTTAAGTGCTTATATTTACCAATTACCTTTATGGGGATTAAAATCGTATTCCTTATGAATTATTTTCAATTACTCTTACCTATTTAAGGTTAGGTGATTTTGCTTAATTTTTTTAGTTGAATTTAATAAATTGCACTTGTTACTACTCTAATATTTCTTTGTTTTCCTTTATGTTCTAATCTTAATTATTAGAATATTTTAAAGTACTTTTAATACCAAGGCTAGAGCTTCCTGAAATATTTTAACTTTCAGTAATAAAATGTTTATAAAAAGCATTTTAACTAGATTAAACAAAAGAAACTAAAGGTGAAATTGGAGAAAGTGGAAGAGATTAAAAAGAAGTACTTAATAATTTATTTGTCTTTTCATAATCTAAAAGCCTCTATTGTAATTAAAAATAATTACTTCATAAAAAAATTATATAATTAATTAAACAATAATTACTTCTTTTGTCTCTAAATATTTATTTTTAAAGTCAAAATAGAGATTTTAAAGCTCATGAGTTAGATTAAATTACTCAATTACTTCAAAAGATTTTTTTATGTAATCAATAGATTATTTATAATTTTATTGGTTATAAACTAAAATTCCCATATTAAATAAGCAAATACATTAAACTTTAACAGCACTTTACAGTTAGCTTTATTCTGTTTCAAACCCATTTTTATTCATTTATTGTAGCTATTCTTATGTCTCTTTTATCATTTTTTCACAGATTTAATTACATTCACTTCCACATTAGATTGCTTGCTAATAACTTTAAAAAATAAATTAAATGATAAAAAAATATCTTTAAAATATAATAAAATAAAATGTAATTTATAGAATTAAAGTTAAAATTATTAAATGAATAAAATCAATCAATCTACTTTTTTAACTCTCCATATAATTCACTTAAATTTAAAAAGGTAATATGTCTTTCTTAGTTAACCTTAAAATAATTTATTAATTCTAAAGAAAACTTCGAATAAGTTAGAGATTCCTAGAGCAACTTCATTCTTTTTAGGATATCAGATTTTAAATTCAAAAGTTAAACAATTAAGTCAGGATAAAACCCATATTTTGATGCTTGTAATTTATGCTGCTAATCAACAACTTATTGACTTTAGATTAACTATAATATCTAATCTGAATTTACAAAAAAAATACTCTCTATAGCATAAGTAGATATTTCAAGTTTTACATTTAAATACAAAGGATCATCTAAGATGGAAATAAATTCAATCAGTTTATTGACAACCATATTTAACCGAATTTTATATAAACTAACCGAGTTTTATTTATTCTTCAAAATATCATCAATTACTTTATTTATTATAAAAATTTAATATTTAGTATTTAAATTGTAAATTAACTAGATATTAATTCAATACATCTATTTAAAATTCTACAACACTCTTCCCAATCTTTACTAAGATATTTTTCTTTTATTTAGGACATCCCTTCAAAGATAGTTAAATCAGGGCTAGTTAAATTAAGTTTACTGACAGGTGAATGTGGTCTGCTGTTTGAATTTTTTTAAGAGGGTGATACAGGTCTTTGTTTATTGCAAATAAAACTTTGCTTTCTACTTATTTAAGTTGAATAGGCTTGATTAAGACTTTCTATTTTTTGTGCAATCTTTATTGAATTTTTATGAGCTTTTGAATTATTCATTTATAATAAATTAGCATTTACAGCCTATGCTTCTTTTGTTATCCTCATCTTAACTTAAGATGGTGATTTTGATTTAATAATTACTGTTTATATTTTATTTATTTCATCTTTCTTGTGATGAGTTACATTGTTTAGTACCTTCTGAAATTTTACAATTTTTAAATTAGTCTACTATCTATTTGGTTCTTTTATCTCATCCGTATATTGATTATTCTAGTTTTCCAATATGTCATAGTCATCACTCATGCTTTATGATAGATATTCTTGAATGATAGAATTCATTTGAACTTTAAAAATTAAAATATTATTTTCACAGAAAATTAGCTTAAAGCGTTTGATTCTACTTAGGATTGATTAAGTAATTAAAATATTCATTTAATTTAAAATAACCAAAAAAATTCGAAACAAACTATTGAATATTATAAGTTCACTCAATCATGATCGGAATTTTAATTCTATTTAAAATTCACATATTCAAATTATTTTCTTTTAATTGGCTAAAAAAATAATAAACAAACAAACAAACAAAAAATATTTATAACAAAAAAATTTTTTAAAATAATATTTTTTAATAAAATAAAAATCTTTGAAATGATCTATCAGTTAGGTGATTCTTGGTAGATTTCAAAATATTATTAAATTTATTATTGTAAATACTCTTTGTGTTATGTATCGAATATCATGTTTGAAGAGTTAATAAGTAATTATTTGAATTACTCTTTATTCAAATTGAATGTTTTTATTATTTTTTAATGCTCTTGAGTAGAATCAGTATCAAAAACACCCGTATCATCTGTACTTAAACTAACTAAATGTCCTTAAAAAAAGAAGTCCTTAAAGTGATGTTCTGACATATCTTTTAGACCTTTAGTAAAAAAATTACTAGTTGGACAAAGCTCAATTGGAATCTTTTTTTAAATTATTCGATCATACAATTATTTGTTAAAGAAGTTAAAGTGACCTACTCTATCTGGTTGAAATTCAATCATTTGTAATGTTTCATCTATAACTTATTATCCATCAATAACTGCAGCGTGCAGAGTAGTTTTAATATTTAATTACTTGCATTACTAAAAGTATTTAATAAAATCTGAAAATGAATTTTTTTCAGGATTACCACTGAAATCTAAACCAACTACATAAGGTTATTCTTTGTGCATTTTAAGCATCAAATTAAATACTTTTTGAGCATGCTCTTAAGATCTGCCTCTATCAATACTGAGGAGTAACCTCACTTACATTGTTTAATCTTTTTATTAATTATGATCTTTAATAACTTCAAGTATAGTATTGACATATTCTTCCATAGTAAAACTTCCGTTTTCGCATTATTTTGGGGTAGTTCTGATTTCCAAATAAATTACATTTTATAATTTAAAATCTTCAAGCATTTCCTTAGTGACTCTTCTAAAATCAGGTAAAGTTTTTATAGTTTATGATATGATTCCAAACACATGAAACTATCCATCATTATCCTTGCGATCGAAGCATGAAAAGTCTAGCTACAAATTTTTTTCTTTAGCAAATTACTCAAGAGTTTCTTTTCTCACACATCCATTTAAGTGTGCATGCAATTCTATTTTAGGTGCTTTTTTTATAAAATCTAGATCTATTTAACTCATTTTATCAAAATTAAAAAAAAAATTTATTAGTGATTTCTATTTACAAAAATTAAAATATTGAAAATTGTAATCAAACTATTCAATTGATTAAATTTTTACAGTATTTAAAAGTAAAATAATTTATTTTATATTCAACAAACACTAGAGAGAAAGATTTTTAAAGCTTTATTTTATACTATAAAATAGTTTATACTTTTACAATTACTGAATCAAGTAAGACAGAGTTAATAATACATACAATTTAATAATATATTTTTTTTTAAAAAATAACCGATCACTAATTTATTTTCATTTTTTGGAGTTTGCAATAGAAGATATTTTAGCAAGATATCCAGAAATCTGCAAGAATGTTGGCAAGCCTTCAAGAACTTTCATCTTAAGGAAAGCCATTTCTCTCATAAATTCATATTGAAGCTATTTATCCATATCTTGAGTTTGGATAAGTTTATATAAATTGTTAACTAAATCGTAAGCAGTATATCCTTCTTCCCATAGTGGATAAAGTTTCTTTTAAGCAGCATGGAAGTTTCCATTAACACATTCTGCAATAACTTGTTAAAGGACTTCAACATTTGGGACATCACAAACCTTAAGGACATTTTCTTTATTTACAAGTTTGAAAGCAGTGTAGGTAGCTTATAAATTGTTAATTGCTTATCTCATATCTCCTTCACATGTAAAGAGTAGAGCTTCTTTACCTCCCTTATCTATTTTGATATTTTCTTTTTCTACAATTTCTTCAAGTCTTCTTAATATTTATTCGTCAGTTAACTTAGTAAATCTTAAAATAGCACATCTACTTTGAATAGCATCAATTAATTTTGAACTATCATTACAACTTAATACAAATCTAGTAGTATCAGCAAAATCACTAATAATCATTCTTAAAGCCTATAAATTATAAAGAAAAAAATTAAACTATCTCTTAATTTGTTTATATTAATCAAATATTCTAATGCTCAGAGCCATTTTCCTTTTGGCGCACTTGTTTAAAAAACAAAAAAGAGAGGGAAAATAAAAAAATGAAAATAATCCTAATTACCTGTTAAGCTCCTTCAGTTAATGAATCAGCTTCATCAAGAATAATTATTTTATGAAGACCAGGCTTTAAATTTACCTTTTTTTATGCAAAACTCTTTATTTTTTCTCTGACAACATCAATACCTCTTTCGTCAGAAGCATTCATTTCAAGAGCACAGGAATCAAATACATCTGCAAGTAGTGTTCTTGCTAAACAAAGTACTGAACTAGTTTTACCAATACCAGGAGGACCAACTAATATCATATTTGGGACGTTACCTTCCTCTGCAATTGTTCTTAACTTGATCAAGGCATCTTCATTACCTTAAACTTCATCTAATGTACGAGGACGATACCTAATAAGTATATTATATTATTTATTTAATGGCAGTTAAAATATAGCAATTAATTATTAATTTTCAATGCTAATTCTAATTAATGCTAAAAAAGTACTTCTCAAGCCATATTTCTTTACTTGCCATTTCTATTCAAAAATTTTATTTTTACTTTAGATAACCCTTTTTTTTTTTAAATAAGAATGCTTATCAAATTTTTTTTAATGAATAAAAGATATATATATTCTACACTTAATCTAAAATCTAAGCTTTTAAAATTAAACTATCTATCAGCTATTAATTTTTATCAAATTTTGCGCGCAAAATTAAATACTAATAAAAAATTTATTGCCTAGCATTTATCTCTAAAATTAAAATACTTGATAATCATAATTATATAATAAGAAATCCACTAAGTTAAATTTACTGTTTATTTTATTAATATAATAAATATAAAGATTAAATACTAAATAAATTTAGGGAAATAGAAGAAAGAATGAATGGAAATTTTTAATATAGTTTGTTTTTACATTTATATAGAATATTTAAACACCGTATTATAAAATTATTTTTTTTTGTACTCAGGCATATTTTATTTCTTTTAAATTAGATTAGAATTTTTAAAAAATACTAAAAAAAATATTTTACAACCTCATTCATTAAAAAAAATTCTAAATTCATATTCATGATAATTTGATATGATTGTAATTACTTTATGAAAAATTTAAAAATAATCCAATATATTTTTTAAAAAAATCTTAATAAGCAAACAAATTATTTAACTTCTTACTTAAAGGAATTAATAAATACTAAAAAAAAACTATTAAAATTAAGTAATTTATCAGAAATTAATTTTTATTAAATTTTGTGCATAAAATTAAATGTTAATAAATAAATTTTTTACCTAGCATTTATATCTTTGCTATTAAAATACTTGATAATTATAAAAATGTATTTTAATACTTTTAATATAAAGTCGTAAATTAATTAATTAAATAAAGTTTTTGTCTATTTCAATAATGCCTACAAAATAATATATGTAAAAATTAAATCTTAGAAAAGTATAGGGTTATAAAAAGAAAGACGAATGAATGAGGGAGGAAGTTTAGCAAAAATGCTGGCAAAAGAAATATTATAATAAAACTTATAAAACTAAGAGAAGATTTCTTGCATTTAAATTAGATTAGATATTCTTAAATAATAATCTAAAGTATTAAATACTCTAATAAATTATTCAAAAAAACTCTTAATAAGTAAACAAATAATATATTGATTTTCTTTCTGAAAGGAAACAATAAATACTAAAAAAAAAAATAATTTTAAAACATTCTTTCCTTAATTAAAATTTAGAAAAATAAGCTTTTGCGACCTCTTAATCGATCCGCTCAACCACCTCTTTTTAATAACAGGAATTATTGATCCTGATTGGTTCCTTTTTTCAGGTAAACTAGATTATTAAGGAGATTAAACATTTCCTAATAATAATAACAATAACAATGATAATGATAATGATTATCCAATGAATGATGAAAATTAATAAGACTTGATAATTGTCAAATCTCAAGGTCCTACTGCTTAGAATTTAAGATATTTAGTTTAGGTGGATTAAGGCCACCATGGTTCCAATTCTAGTACAGGTGATGGTTTATTTAGTGAACCATAAAATAATGATAACTAATAAAATGATGAAAAAATAGAAAGCTACACTGATTCAAATAATACGACTGAATAAAATTCTCTTAAAATAGAAAAAAATTAATAAATAGGAAGAAAATTAGATATTTTTTGCACGTTTTTCTTTGATGACTATAGAAAAAAAAAAGGTTATTTAAACTCAATGCCATTTTACAATAAGAATGATCAAAGAAATATATCAAAATAAGACTTCTACTTTTTGATTAAATAATTTGAGATACCTGAAGATTTTGATACTTATTTTTAAAAATGGAAAAACAACAATGAAAATTCGTGCTAAAAAAAAAAAAAATAACATATTTCAAAGGGGTAAGGAGAAAGACATGATAAAAAAAAATTTAAACAATTTGAGATATTTATGAACCATTGCTAAAATATTAATAATTTAGATGAATTTAAGAGAGCATAAGTAGTGATTAATGAAAGAAATAAAAATTATGTTGAACACATGAGAATATTTTGCTAAACAGATCACATACCTATTATGAAAACTAAAAAAATAAAGAAAAATAAAGAAAAGTATGAAGATGGTCAATACTTTATTAATAATTTAATTTAAACAGAATTATTAGACAATCCTGAAAAATTAATATGAATATATATTTTAAGTAACAATTTGTTTAAAATAGTTTATTTTAAATTTACCTAGAATAATCTTAACTAAATTTAATTTCAACTAAATCATATTTATTTTATCATAAATAAATATGATATGATTGTTATTATTCATTTTACTAAATAAAGTAAAATATACTATTAATACTACAATTTATTATTAAATTAATACAACTAAGTATTCTCAAGAATAATTATTAAATAAATGATAAAACTGTAAAAATAAACAAATTTCTTAAATTTCTTGCTAATAAATACAAATTAATATCCTTTATTATAAAGAAAATATTAAATTTATATTTCTTATTTAAGATTTTATATTAATTAAATAAGCAAATAATAACCCCACTTTAACTTATGAGTAAAAGTGAAATAGAGAATTAATAAAAAACTTCATTCATCTATGAAAATTTTTGAAAGATTAAGATAATTTGAGTTATAATTCTTAGAATAAACTTAAGGATTTGGAATATTTGATATTTTAAATTTAACTAGCTAATATTCTATCAAATGAAAATATACTCTTATTCTTAAAAAGCTGTTTTTATTTTAATTAAATATAAAGCAATAATTTTAATACAAAAATCAAATTATTTTAATCATTTTTATTGGTATTTAATTTTCAGTTTTATTATTTCAGAGTTTTATGATAAATTAAGTTTTTATTTCTGATTTTAAAATGATATTAGTATATTTATTAAAATTTTAAGTGATTAAAATTAACTTGATAAAAACTAAAATAAAATGCTTTGATTATAATACTAAAAAAATATAGCTTTTTGGTTATTAAATAATTTATTTTTTAATTAAAAATAATTATTTTAGAGTAAAATCTTCTTTTTAGTAATTAAATCTAAAAACATTTATTTTTTAGTTATTTAAAATGAAATTTGAACAGGAAATTATTATCTTGATAGAAAATTTTTTTTATTTAAATATTTAAAAATTAAAAATACAAATTATAGAATAAATAATTTTAATTTTATCAAATAAATAAATAAAAAATGACATTTCTCTTTATAAATATTATTTTACAAAATAGCCTCTATGTATAAAAAATAGTGATTAATTTATGTCAAAATGGCTACTCTATTATCATACAATCAGAATCTTATTCATATTCCATTGGTTGGATCTATTGTTTTTACTATTAATTTTATTTTGTTGGGTTTTTAACAATTTTTAATTTTTATTATTGTAAATTAATATTCTTCTATTATGGTGTATTATTATGTGATTGTGAATCTTATTTGCTTTTATCTGATTTATCTGCTGATAAGTATTCAGAAATTAATTTTTGAGAGTTATTAAATTCACTTTTAGAAATTTCTTCATGGCTATCTGGTTTCTTTTTCTTACTTTATTATGATTATGATCCATTTACACTTTAGCTTTACTATGTTTATGCTTTTACTTTAAATATATTGTGGCCTTTCATTAAGTTTGCTAAATCTTCTATTGAATATCTAATCATTTTATAAATTATATTAATTTCCTTTAAAATTTTATCAATATACATTTTTAATACTTTTATTTATATATATATAGTTCTTATAAAAACTATTTGAAAATTAATTATTACTGTTTAGGAGGTTGTTGATTATATCTTTTCTTGAGACATTAAATTTTTATACTAGAAATGTCCTTTAGGGAATCCTCGGCGCATAAATAAGCTAATGTTGTTAAAAGTATCATTAAAATAGTCATATTTTTTCATATTAAATTAAAAGAATTTTTAATTTTCTTAAAGTCTATAAGTAACTCTAATATTCCCTCAAAAAAATATTACTATAAAGTTTTTCTTCCTTCATGATCTAAGTAATATTAGGTAGTCTTGGTCTAAATAATTGAAGCTAATAAATAACTGATAAAGAATCGAAGTTCTCCCTCAAGAGCTCAAGTAAAGTACTATTTGAATTATTTATGTATTTATACAATATATTTTTTTGCACTGAAATATCTGGAATAATGGTGAATGAAAAGTAGAAAATATTGTGAAATTAATTACTTTTAAGTATCTTTATCACTAAAGCTGTAGTTTTTACTGATAAATTAAGGAGTGATCTATTTAATATATATATTAAAATGATATCTGATATTGCTCATAGAAATCTATGAAATGGCTAATAACTTTTAATTACTTGTATATTTTCATCTAGTAAAAAGTGCTTGATTTCATCTTTATTAATTTGCTTTAAATTTTACTGCATTCTAACTTAGAGAAATGATATTAAATTTTTTATTAATTTGAAATGTTAAATTAATTCTAAATAATACATTATAGAGTTAGATTAAACATCAAATTGCACAAATTAAATTAATGGAATTAATTTATTATTTTTTTACATCCTATTTGTGATTTCTAAGCATCCAAAAATGATGAACATTAAAATATTTATTTATTACAAAAAACTCTAAAATTGCTTTTGTCAAAACAAAAAATAGAATAAAATTAACAAATGTTACGGTGTATTTTAAGAATAGAAATATTTAATATTTTTTTCCCTACTTTATATACTTTGATGACAAAAATATTTAAGTTAATTTATTATGATTAAAATATGGAATAAAATCAAATAAGAAATAAAATATGATTAACTTTTAACATTATGCAAATGTTGTATAATAAAAGATAAAAAAGCTTGTTTTTATAAACTAATTAATTTTTTTCAGTATTGAAGTAGCATATTTAAATAATAATTAAATTTAATGAATCAAAGTTTAAATGAATTTCTATTTTAAGTTAATTACTTATTATCTAAAACATTTATATATAATAGATAGATTGATATATATATTGATGGATTAATGATTGCAAAATTTATATAAGATTTTTGTTAGAATAAATTAGGGATATATTAAATTATTTATATATACAATATTTGAAAAGTTTTGAGTAGCTAAAATTCTATTTTATTTGTCTAAGAGTTAAGAATATTTGAGAAAATTTGGTCTAAGAATAAACAATTTAAGTAAGGACTGAGAGAGATTGAGTTTCAAAAAATATCTGATTTTGATTATTATTAATTGATTAGATTCTAGTTATCAATTAGATATTTTAATTATATTAATTTATTAAACTGCTTGCTGCTTTTTGTTAATACTTTGTTAATATATTAAAGTGCTTTCTTTTAAGAATAACTCTACTCTATTAATTAGTCTATTATAATGTTTGTTTCCTCAAATTTTATGACTACTCACAAAGCATTTCATCTTATGTTATTTGCCTTTAGGTTTATTTTCCACCATATCTTATTCATATATTTTATTCTTTTCTTCTTTAGTCATACGAGCGCTAATAATATTTTTAGAAGGCTTAGCAGGTTCAGCTTCAGTTTTAATAACAGTAACTGAGGCAGCCTTTCTTTGTTCTTCTCTTTGGAGTTTCTTTTATTCTCTTTCTTGCTTTTCCTTTTCATTTTCTCTCTTTTTAAAGTTCAAGCATTTAAATCTTCTGTTTCTAGTGTCACCATCTACATAGCAATCGAATTCAACTTCCATTTCCATTTTTGATGTATTAAAGTTATTTATTATTGATTTAATTGTTAATTTTTTGCTTTTTTGTTAGTTTGATTATTTTTTAATTGTTTTGATTATTTATTTTTTTTATAATAAATAAGAAAGCAAGAATTTAATATTGTCGACCCCAGTTTTTTATTCCAAATTTTAAGCATTGATGAATTTAAATTTTTCACTTTTATTAAAAGTGCGTATATATTTATATAAACCACATCACTTGTTATTTTTTATGCATTTTCAATCATAATTTGATGTGAATCTCCTTGTTACCCAATCAAATAATTATTAGATTATTTAAATATAAATGAAGGTAACAAATGGTTAAAATTTTGAACTCTATGCCTTTCAATAAAAAATGTTAGTCATTTAGCTTTTTTCATTTTAGAACTCACGAATGTCTGCTAAAAGAGAACTAATAAAAAACTAATTGAAGTTAAATAACTAATAGTATTAATAGCTATTAAGCCCTTTTATTGAAATATAACTTAATAATGTAGACGACTGACTAATTATAAATAATCAGAAATTAATTTTCTCTATTATTATTAAATTAAATCTTTCGAGTGCAGAAAGAAAAATTAGATCAAGATCAGTGGTTTATCAAAAATCAAAGCAGTAAAAAAAAAAATTTACTATCAGTTTGTCTATAATTTATAACACCAAATTTTTATATTAGTTAATTTTATTCATAGCTAATTTATTCTAATTTTTTTTTATACCTACTTTTTTAATATACTTTTGCATACCGTGTTCAAACTGGACGTCTTTTAACTTTATCCCAAAATTTTTATTTTTTTTACCCTGATTGCAATAGCATGTATTTCCATCTCTTTAATTTGTAGTAATTGCATAAAAATAAATTATAAAACTTATAGTTTATTTAAATAATATTGATGCTTAATAGTCTAAAAGTTGTACTTTTATTTTAAATTTCTGTTAAATCTATTAGTAAAATAGCATAATAAAATAGACTGTCAATACATTAATAAAAAATATACTAAAATTTATTAATATAGATTTTTAATCAAAGAATCTAATTAATTCAGGGTTTATTTAAAAATTTTTATCTATCTGATTAAAAAATTATAAATTCATTCAATGTTTTTAAAAATCATTAATCTATTCCTAAATTCTTTGTTTCATAACTGGTTTTTATACTAAATTAAGGATGAATACCATATTCTTCATACTATAAGTACCTTACTAAATTACTGAAAAGACTTTTTTAAATTAAAATAATAAATGTGTAAGTCCTATTCTAAAGGAGCCTTATAAATGAAAGAAATTTACATACTTTATTCGCTTCTGAAGCATTTAAATTTTGCAAACGTACAAAATCGAAGCATGTATCACAACAAATTTACTCAATAAATAATTTAAAGCCAAAATATTTTATCCTTCTATCTTTTTTCCCACTTTATTTATTATAATGTTTTCTAACAAAACCACCATATCATAATATTGTCCTGTTTGCAAGTAGTAAACAGGAATAAAGTAGTTTATTAAAAATATAAATTATAAACTTTTATTTAAAAAAATTACATAGATTAAAATACATATTCAATATAAATCAATAGAATTAAATATTCCGAAATTTCAAAATATTGCTTTTTAAATCCCAGAATAGAATTTTTTCAAAAAATTTAAAATCTGAATTTCCTTTTTAAGGTTTATTTAAATTAAAAAAAATATAAAAATAAAAATTGTCAATACCAAAGCAGAGTTTTTAAATCATAAATTTTGTAAATTAAATTTAAAATATTTTTAATTGGAAAATAGTTTTAATACATTTTTTATTAATCAAGAAATGAAAAATTAAAATTTGACTGAAAAATTAATTTTCAAATAATTTAAATTATTTAAATATTTTTATAGATTTTGAGTTGATTTTTTATTGAAAAATATTTTATTTAATATTTAAACTAAAAATTAAAAATTAAAAATAGATTTTCATTTGATATCTCAAATGAATTAGTTAGAAATTTCGAAAAATGAGTATGCATGCATGCTTTTATGTATTTATGCACCAATATTGATTTAAGTAGAATTGAAAATTAAAAGTAATGCCTAGGTTTAATTGCAAAGATTTTAATAGTAAAGATATATCATAAATTTGGATAATATCTGAATAAAATAAAGTAAGAAATAAAAATGCAGGACATAGAAACAAACAATTAAATATTTGCTTTTAAACATTTTTTATTATCGTTTTGGAAGCTTGTTTTTTTTGCTGCTACAATATTTTTTAGTTTGCAGAAGACATTTTTTTGAATCCAGATTCATCCTTAATTGTGAATTTAATTCATCATTAATTTGACATTAGTAAATACCTTAACTTGTTAAATAAAAACTGTAATTCGATCATTAAACACCATCGTAAACATCCCATTCAGTAGTTTTACCAGTTCTCCAACGACCCTTAACTTCACTGTGATATTTAGGACGATTCAAAGCACCCATAACATCTTCTTTAATACGAAGACCTTCAATTTTAGCACGATAGTTTCTTGTTAAAGTATACATATGATCATATAAAACTTCGTATTCCTTGCAACGAGGGTCATCAATACCATACTATTACCAGCATTTCATTAATTTACCACTTTCGTTTTAAACATCCATAGGTTAACGAGGCAAATACTTATCAAAAAATCTTTTAACTAATTTTCTAGAAATAACGTATTTAGGAGGAGGAGCCATTTGTTCTTTCTTTCTTTATTTTTCTTTTTTGCAAATAATAAAAAATATGAATTTTTTAGCTAAATTTTCTATGTTTGCTTATTATTTTCTTTATTAATTAGCTAAAAAAATTTAATTTTTGCAATGAAATGAGAAATTCATCATTCTATTAATTAACTAATATTAAATTTAAGTTGACTATGAAAATGCAGCACAACACTCAATTTATCAAAAATCAATACAAAATACACAACTAAAATGATAGATCTCATTATTGGTTTATTAATTTTATCTTTAAAGCTAATAAAAAATAATTTTATATTTAAAATGTGTTTATAAATTTTATTGTAAATTTGATGGTAATTAAATTAATTTATATTATTAGATAATAATAAATGATTTTGATTTTTTTAAATAACATTTTAAAAATGTTATTAACTATTTTAAACAAAAATTAAACAAATTAATAATTAAATTTTTAATTCTAAGCTATGTAATACATATTTTAGGCTTAAGGGAATTAGCATTAGTTAGAATATAAAATTTTATTTAGTAGAAATCAAATAGAAATAAATTGTATGAATATTTAATACTTAATTAACTTTGCATACTGCGAGTGAATATATATATAGAATTTACAATTTTAAATATTATATTTCAGCATGTTAAAAATTATTTTTAAATACAATGAACAAGCTAGATAGACTCCAAAACTTAAAAATAATCCTCTTGTATGTTTTGAAATTTCAATCGATTAATATAAAAGCTTTAAATCTTATAAATCTAAGAAAGATTAAACATATTTTCTAGCTCTTCTTTAATAATTTCTTCAATGCTTCTTAATAGTAGCGACGGATCTTATAATTTAAAGTTAAATTGAATATAATAAAATTTTCAAAATTAATTTACCTAGAACTTTTACATTGATCACATTCAATCATGAATAGACGAGTATTGGTATCCTTAGTAAGTTTAGTGTTAGGACTCTTACAAAGTGAGCATTAAACGTATTCAGCTTTAAAGTTCATATAAAAATTTAAATTGATTGCTATATAAAAAGTGAATATTTTACCAATATATTTCTTGATAATTGATTCAAAATGCTTATCATTGAACTTGCTGCTCTTTAAAACTAAGATAATAAAATATAAAACGGATTAATTGATATATTTTGGAATTTAAATAGATTTTTTTCTTACTAAGTTGATTGTTAGCTATAGTACCTTCAGTACCAAGTTCTGTAACAACGAATTATTAAACATGTTGGGGATCTCTCTTCATCTTGTTAACAATATCCATAAAGTTTAACCAAGCAGTTTTCTTACCCATTTTTTCAATTTGAGGAGTCTTGATACTAATTTTTGTCTTACCCTCTTTTATTAAAAAAAAAATAAATAATGATTTTATCGAATTTTTTTTGTAAAATTGTAGAAATTTATTTATTTATTTAGCTTCTAAATCAAATATTATTGAAAATGAATTATAAATTTCTTAATGGTGAATATATATATTCTAAGTTTTAATAGAGGATGCAATATAATTAGCTCATTTATTGACTATAATTCGTTTTTTTTCATTATTTAGACTGTAAAAATCAATATTTTCGTTTAGCAAACTTATATATCAAATATAAATAATATATTTGATTTTTTTTGTAATTTGCTTTTTTCTTCTTACTCATTCTTTTAATTTTTAATAATTAAGCAATAAAGAATATATGAATCATACCTTGTAAACTTGGATTATTTCTCTTTAAAATGTCATTAATTCTATCTAAAAGTTGGTAGTATTAGGGTTCGAAATCCTTCTTTTCAACTGGGATTTCTTGGTTTTTTGAGGAATCAACCTAAGAATCTTTCTTTTCACCTTTATTAATAATACAGAAAAATTCATAAATGATTTAATACAATTCTAAATTGTAAATGTTAAGTGTAGTTCAATGAATTTAGGAATATATATTATATAATCTATTCCATAATTAATTATTTCTAATTTTAAAGCTAATATATATACCTTGAGCTTTATTGGCATCATCATTTTCTATAAATATATTAAAAATATAATTAATTTATGTTTTGTTATGATAAAAATAAATAAAAATATATTTGTTTATTTATTTACCAGTCTTTGATGCAGTAGCAGCAGGCTTCTTAGTTTTTTTCTTCATATTACCGAAGTCGAGAACTTAAATCTTTATAAAAAATAAAAACAAGTTTATTTTATCTGAAAAATTACGCAAATTAATATTCAATTATTGAATGATAATCTCATAATGAAAAACAAAATTCTAAAATATTTTAAATTTTATCTATTGTGATATTTTAGATGTAATATGCAAATTCTATGTTTATAATCTAAAAATTTATATAATTAGTTACATCTTTAATTTTAGCGTCAGTCATTTTACTTGATTTTTTATTACTTATCTTTTTACTTTTAAATATGTTAATATAGCTATTTTTATTGTTTGTATTTCTTTTTAGATTTTTTTTAATTATTAACCTCTTATTAGTAAAATTAGCTTTTAAATACATTGATTTCTTTTAGAATACGCTAAGCTCTTTCATTTGATAAGGAGATATTTGGATATGTTTAGTAGCTACTTGTATATAGGAATATAGTTTTCGTTAAGTGGAATAGAAAAAGTGAGATATAATCTCAAAACATTCTATCATAATTAAAATTTATATTGAGAAAATGATATTAAAATAATAATAATGAGATAATAAAATGCATTTATAAAATCTAATTAATTTAATGAAATTGGAATAGTAAATATGAGATCTAATCTTAAATGTTCCTATTATGAGTTAAATTTTAAATATTAAACAATTTATAAAATTTATTTTTAATCTAATTATATTTTAATAATTTTATTCTAAAAGATCAATAAAAATAATAAAATTTTTTTCAAAAAACCTATAAAATTAATTTAAACTTTAAATTGCTTAATAAAATAATTTTTCATTATCTCTTTCTTTTCTTAATTAAAGTGATTATAAGGTAGAAGCATTAAAAGTTAAAAAATAAATCAAATAGGTTCGTTAATTATACTTTAAGAAATATAATAATTTGCTACTAAAATTATTAAATATTTATAAAATCATTTAAGTTAAATAAACTTTCATAAAAAATATTTGTTTTTAATAGTTTTTGATTTTTTATATTATTTTATTTAAAAAAAACTTAAAAAATATTTAAATTTAATAGAAAATAGAATTTAAAATGAGATTAATTTAATGAAACAAAATCATTTTAATTAACATTATTAACTCTAATTTAAATTTGTAGATTATAAATATTTTTAATAATATAAAAATTTAATCGATGATAAACATAACACTTTTGGAATAGCCTTTAATTAACTATTGATTAAAACTTAAAAAAAAATTAATAATCTTCTCAAAATGGGTAATTAATTAATTGTTTTTTTTCTCCAAAATTTGTTTAGCTTTCTTAATAAAAAATTTATTCAGAAGAAAAACATTAAATTAAGAAGAAAAAAGAAAAAGAGTAAAAAGAATGGAACTTATTCATCTTATTATAATCAGCCAAAAGAGCAATTAAAATCTCTAAAAAAGAAAAAGTAAAAATAAAATAGTTTTTGGATCCCCTAGTCCATAGGATCAAGATACAACCATACACTAAGTTTTTAACCACTAATTACTTTTTCTTCGGAGATAGACTGATAGCAACTCTGCGCTTTTGATTGAAATAATAATGCATTGAATTCAAAGTGAATTCTCTTATTCTTCAGTTTGATTTTTATAGATATAGATTTACTAATTTGATATTTTTAGCATATTACAACAAAAGTTTTTAATATAAGAAGTTATGTACATCAAAGAGTTTTTCAAACCGATTAAAAATGATCTTAATAGAGAAGAAATTTAACTTACCAAATACAAAGCTTGCAAAATGTATTTATTATAAAGTTAAATCCCTCAACTCTTTAAGATAACATTTACAAACTCAATAAATATGCTATAAATATAAATTAATAAACTAATCTAATAAAAAAAACTGTTTTTATTTCAAAATATAAAATCTTTTCTAATTAAAATATAAAATATTAGTTCTCTTTTAAAAATTAAAAAAATCTTGATTAAAGCAAAGACCTAACTAACAACATATTAATTAAAAAATAAGAAAAAATAAGTTAAAAATTGAAAAAATGATAAAAAAATAAAATTAATTAATAAATAAATAAATAAAAATATTCATAAAAAATATAAACAAATTAAAAATCTTCAACCATAAATTAAAAATAAAAATAAATAAATAAAATCAAAACTAAATTAAAACTCAAACAAATAAATTTAAAAACAGCCTTCAATCACAAACATTTGCTTTTAATTTCATACATAACAACAACCTTTTTTTAATTTATCATTAATTTTTTATTTCAAGATATTTAAAAAAAATATTTGCAAATTTTCTTTAATCAAAATAATTTGATTAGAAAATTAAAAAAATTAGGTTTTAGAAAAAAAATCGATTCCATTTATAATTTAAAAATAAATTTTTATATAAAATTTTAAAAGAAATTTTATTTGTTTAAATATATTTTTTATTATACAATAAATCTTTTATTTTTTTAAAAATTGCGTATAAATAACAAATTAATTTTTCTGTTTAAACAAAAAAATGTGTTCTGTTGATTTTTATTTAAATTTTTGTGCAAATGAAAATCATTGAATTGTTTGTTCATTTGAGCTTATCTTCAAATAAAAAAATAATTTGATTGATAATCATCTATGAAATAAAATATAGATACATAAGATTTATTTAATCTGTTTTTATTTTTGAATCTTAAGTTATAAAACTAATAAAAATATATTTAAAAAGTTATTTTTAATTAAAGAAATTTACTTGCCCTTTTTATTTAATTGTTATTGTGAAAGCATTCGGTTAAGAAAGAAAAATAAATAAATAGATAGAAAGATAATCAGGAAAATTACCCCTATAAAGGCACAATAAAATCATTTTTAGAGGTGTTTTTACTATTAAATCCTTAATTAGCATATACAGTATAATAAAAAATAGGAACTTATAATTAATGGACTTAGAATAGTAAATACTTGAAAGAGCAAAAAACTAAACAGCTTCAGAAAGAAAAAAGTTGGAAGATTAAAAATACTAAGAGCGACTACCTTGGGAATCAAAGCATATCTCCCCGTATATTCCTAAACTTGACAAAATAGGTTTCAAAAATGACTATTATTTACCTGAAACTTACAACTATGAACTGGTTAAATCTTTCTAACCATTTTTGAAAAGCTAAATAAATCCTATTCGCTAAGGAGAAGAGGATTATACAGAATATATTAAAAATTTAGATGAAGAAGAACAAGCTCGCTTTACCATGGATAAATTTCGTGAATTCTTAGCAGAAAAATCTAAACCTTAGCTATCAACAGAGTCAGGGTTAATGAATATCAGGTACAGGAATAGATTACTCAATATATTAGATCTGTACTAATAAGGAAAATTATCATCAGTTAAGGCATTATAAAATTTAAATTAGATATAGTAAGCCTCAAGTAATCCAAATTATGTAGCAGCTGCACCAGCCACTCAGTAAACATAAAATACTCCTTCATATTTAAATGTACCTTAGATAAATTAATCAATTAATTTATAGCAATAAACTCCTTAACAATAAACTGCTACACCATACAACTAATTATAATATAGCAATGCTAGAGGATCTAATTAGTTGTAACCCATATTAGGCTAATCAAGCATATCGCCTATCAGTTAAATTCAAAGTTCTGTATCCTAAGGAAATACCCCTCTGTAACAATAACTAATTTAGCCATCTTATTAGCCACGTCCTTCAAATAGCTTTGGATCTGTAGCAGCAAGGGCATTAAATTAGTAAATATAATAGTAAATACCAAATATTCCTATAAATTAGGTGTAAGCAAGCCCATCTTTATAAATGAAATCTCCACAGTAATTTTCATAAATCCAATAAGCTTAGTAAATGAATTATCCACAACAAGATTATCTGTTAAAAGGATCACAAGTAAACCAATAACCTCAACAATACCAAAATTTTATTCCAGTTCAGCAATATTAATAGCAATAATAAGGTATTGTTTTCGCATAAAACGATGTATTTAATTAACAACTCCATTACGATTATGAAAAAATATTGAAATCTGAAGGAAAGCTAAAATAAGGGCAAGAAGGCTAAAGTTGGAATCAAGCTAGTGAATCTTATTTGTAAAAATTGTTTGAATGGGATAATGACTCTGATAATTGGATATAAGATTAATTATTGTTAAATAAACACATTCAAACTTAGTTTTTCTTATAGCCAAGAGTTTATAGGTAAGTGAGACCTATTGATAAAATTAAAAGAGAAGTAATTAAGACTACTGATGGTTAATTAATACCTTTTGAATCTGTAATCGAAAGAAGATCTGTAGAAATTATGCACCAAAGAGATTTTCTTGTTAAACCAAGCTTAATACCTAATATTCAGGGAGAGTTAGAGATAGTTCATGACGTATTTAGCTATGATCGCTCCTTTATTGTTGAGTAAAATCCTATAACTAAATCAGAAATCTTGCATGAATATCCCATACATTTAAACGAAGATTAATTTTTTGATTTCCTTTTTTAAACTGGCATTGATGTTAAGCGTATGGATTATTTTATATAATAACCTGCTTAGCAGTTTAATTAGACAATTAAGACTGCTGAATTTGCTTAATAATATATGGATCCATAAGCTTACCAATTTTATTAGCAACTTTAGTAATAATAGGAAATGCAAAATTAAAATATTCTATCATCCTCCACTTTAAATAATATTCCTAATAGAACAAAACAAAAAAAAACTACCAAAAAAGCGAATCAATAACATGATTAAACTTAAACATTTGACTATGAAAGAAAGAGAAAAGAAGAATTAAAGAAATACTTCACAGAAGATTAACAAACACAAAAAATACAAAGGAATTCAAACAATTATTAAGAAATTTTTGATTACAATGAATCTAAAATAAATATAGCTTATCCAAAAGAATCCTAAATATCGTTTGATTAAGAGATTGGATAGATAAAAAATTTATGATTGAATGAATGAATGAATGCATTACTTTGAATTTAAGAGTATTTAATAGAAAATCCTCATAAATAAATAAATAAACAAATATAACAAAGCATAAATTTTGAGAAATGAATTAGTAATATTAATCTTTGCTAAAAAGAAAAATGAAATAAGTAAGATAAGGCCAACAGAAAATAAAGAAAGTAAAAATATATTATATATAATCTACTATTATTTTGAAATACTGCTGCTGATTAAGTTTATATTAATATATATATTACATGCATGTTGATATTAATGAATTGCATTTTTATACTATTTTAAATAATGTAGAATCAAAATATATTTCATTTTTTTGATAAATAAATATATTTAAAATAATAATGTAGGATAAATGAGTTTTTATAGAAATTATAAAGTTAGTTAGTAAGTTATTATCATTTTTATTTATTCTGACTGAATTAATTAAAATTATTTCAACTTTATTTAGTGATTATTTTAAATTTATTGATAGATATTTACCTAAAATGGCAAAGAATTAATGGATAAATAAGTTTTAATAGAAATTAAAAAGTTGCTATTTTTATAATTAATTTTCTGTCTGAGCAAATGAAAAATAGATGAATGAGTCCTCATAGTAATTAAAAAGTTATTTATTATTATAATTTGTTTATTCTGTCTGAATAAATTAAAATTATTTTAATTTGATTTAAAAATTAATTATATATTATTTAAAGGCTAAATATCAATGATTTATTGATATTTTTTATATTGCCTCTAACTAAATCATTTTTTTTTATGAGTAGGATTAGCTGATTAAGAATTTTCTGATTTTAACTTTGAATCAGGTCTTGATTAGAAAAATTTTTAATACTCTCTTTCAATCCATTCATAAAACTCAGGATTATTTTTCATGTTTTATTCCCATTTGCTTCCTTTGAATTTTTTATTTTGTTCTATCATTTTTTCAAATAGAAAGTAAGCAAATTTTCTTAATACTAGATTAATTATAGAATCAGGTACAAGTTTTAAGTGTGCATCCATATTGCATACAGAGTATAATTGGAGTTTAGTTTCAGATAAAGGTTTGAAGACAAATGTAAAAAAAGGAATGTCTACTCGAACACATTTAGAAGCAGTTGGAACATCTACCCCTGTTTCTTTTTAGCATTCTATATCTTTATCTATAGAACGTGCCATTATTATAATAGAACCATCTTTATGCAATCTATTAACACCAATCCCATGAATAAAAACTTCTCTATCTGAAATAAATGGAACATCCATTTTCAAATAAACTACTTTACAAGCTTTATCAACTGTTTTTAAGTTTTTTCCAACTTTACAAAAAGGAAACCACATTTAATAAAGCTCAATTTCATATACTATAGATATTAGCACTTTTATATTCATCTCCATTTCTTCGCACTCCATTCTTAAAGCCAGTAGCTTTGAATTAGGAATTTTTTTATATTAGATGCTCATTCCATGCTTAGTCTTCTCTTATTACCATCCCTCTTTAAATAAAAAAAAATATTTCATTAATATTTAATGGTAAAATAATTAGTAATTATTTATCAAACATGCATTTAATAACAACTTAAATCACCTTTTTCTTCTATATAACTTGTGGTTAGAATTAGTTATTAATAGATTCTTTAATAGTAATCAAGCTCTTTGCCTATTTTATTTTCAAAATCTATTACGGTATTTTTTAATACTGCTTGCTCTTAAAATTATAACTTGAAATCATCCATTTTTTTGATAAGTTTAATTCTCTCTTATTCCACGTCATCTAAATATTTATCATCAAACAATTATTTAATTCTCTCAAAATCGTTTTATAGACTTTATTCTATGCTCTTTTAATTCAGTTGTGGTTACTTATTTTCCAATTAGATATTTTATGATTAAGCAGATTAATGATTTTCACTTATTTCATTTTCTTCTTCAACTATCTTAGTGCTTTTTACTTAAATATCTTATTCTTATGATAAAATGTTTTGTTTAACTTATTTTTAAAATATATTATTGTTTGTTTGAATTTTTTCTTCATTCTAGTGTGCTTCATCTTTTTCTTAAGTTTTATCATGAAATAAAGCTGAGTCATTTGATTATGGTTTTTCAATTTACTATGCTGAAATATTTGATTAAATTTTATCATTTAATTAAGTTTAATTGCCATTAAAAAGCATGGTATTAATGCTATTTTATTATTTACTTTCAATAACCTAAAAAAGATCAATTTTTGGATTTTATGATTCAATTTGATTTAGATTTTAAGTTTCTATTATATTCTGTTTCTAATACTACTAAATCAATTCGCTGTTTATATTATCAGTTTAAATTTATGTTTGAATATCAGTTAAATTCGTTTGAATAGATTATTTATAAATTGTAAAAGAATTTAGTTTTATGTCAATGCTTTTTGGTTTATTTATTACTAAATCTTCATTTTCAATATAAGTACTGCTTGCTGTAATTTGAGAATCATTAGCATCCTGATCTTATGAGTTATTTTAATATTTATAATTACTTTTATAGTCACTTAAATTTATTTAAATATATTAACCGTTGTTTGTAGTAATATTTTATTAAAGATTTTCACTTGACTAAAATCTTGATTAAGCTTGTTTTACATTTATTTAATTGACTTAGTTGGTATAAAGATTTTATTAACCACCACTGATTGATAATTAGGAATAGTTTTTTCTATGAGAGTTAGGCTAAAGATATTATTAGTAGTCAGTTTCAGTTTGAATATTAGACTAGCTTGCTTTAGCAAAAGACTTCTATTTTACTTATTGATACTAATCGTTCCCTTTTTTCTTAACTGCGTCAATTTAGGAACTTGATAAATCGTATTTACTATCTGCAAAAACATCACTTTGTTCTTCATAATTTTCGTTTATCAGTTATAAAAGATGATTTATATCATTACATAAATAGCTCAGTATTTCTAATTATGATTCAGTAGTCGGTTCTATTTTTTAAGCAAAAAACTTATCTAACTTTTCTTTAATTTATTCAAATTAAGACCTAGCTAATTATTTGTTTATTTATTTCTACGACACACTCGTTTAAAGCCTGTTTAAAGCTTTACGAATAAGCTAACAATCATGATTCAAATTTGCAGTCAACTCAAATCTAAGTGCATCAAGATATTAAAAACTCATTTTAGCTGCATTTGATTCATCTTCTTCATGTATAACATCCATTCGAAGTGAATCCTCTACTTAAATATTGCAGTTTTACATTTCTAAGGAAACTCCCTAATCTATAACAGTCTAAAAAATGTAAATAAAATATTTAATACCTATATTTTTTAATATTAAGATTGTTTTCTTTTATTAAAAATGTATGAAGCTATTATTTGCTTGCTTGCTTATTGAATGAGTTTGAGTTATTCTGCTTTAAAACTATTTAAATTATTTGTATTTATTTGTTCTTAAGTGTAATTTATAATTGATTTATTAGAAGTTAATAATTGTTTTTTGAAATGAAGCATAATTAAGTAGATTAAATGATAAATCAGTCAAATAAAACTAATAAATTAATTTGTTTTTATATCTTTAGCTTACATTTTTAAAACAAGTATTTTAAGATAACGATAAAATTAAATTTATTTCTTGAATATTATGATTATAAAAGTTTATTTAATAAATTTTAAAGCTTTTCTTTTGACTTTCTGGAGTATTTTAAAATCTAAATCTACATATCAAAATTTATTTCGCATACAATTAAAAGATGATGCGATAAATATAGTAAAAAATTTTAATATTAAAATTTATTTTTAGAATTATGAAATTTCTTGTTTAAATTATTTTTTTATTTAAATCTATTTTTTTGTTTTTATTATATTTTTAATTTAATAATGAATGGAAAAGAAAGATAATAAAATATTTTAAATTTTTGTTATTTTTTATTAACAATTATAATTTAAAGAAATACTTGATATAAATGCCAATAAAAAAATTAATTATTAAGTTTTTTTATACAAAATTCATTAATGGCTTTAAAATAAAATAATTTCTTATAAATTCAATTATGATAGCTTGAATTTATCATCTTCAAAGCTATGAAGTATTTAATGAAACAATAATTCTATTTTTATATGCTAAGTAGAGTCGTTCTCCAACTTCCTTAAATAACGAATTTTCTATCATTTTACTAGCATAAGGAATTAAATATTCAATTTGATATAAGTCGTACGACTTATTAAATTCCTAACAATTTTCTAAATTTTAAGTAGAAAATATAATTTTTTGATATTTTTCATTAAATATGATTGATAAGAAAATTTATGGCTTGAAAGTTAATAATTTTCTGTAAAGTATGATGTAGTTTTTAGCAAGAGAGTTTTCTACTATTCCCATATTTAGATTTGAATTCGTTTTGATTCTAGGTTTCTGTCTCTTATCTCTCTTAATTAAATTCGTTTCAATTACTTTTAAGTTATTGCTATAGATTTGGATATTATCTTTATTTTCGTGGTTTTAATTATCAAAAGCTAACTAATCATTTTTAGGTTAAGAATTATTTTATTGATAAATCTGGTTGCTTTCTTAAATATTTTTTATTTATGGGTTTCTAGTTTTATATTTTGAGTGGATTCCTCCTGCAGTCTTTTAATTTTGTTAGAATGTAATTAGATTTTAACTGAAATCGTCTCCTGATTAGTTAATTTATTTATTGCTAAGAAATGATGTGTTGTTGACTGAAGCAGCATAATATGGTTAATTAGAATTATCTTTCTGCTTTTATGTGAGTATATTTTGATAATTTTACTCGTTATCAGCTTAATTTAATGTAAATACTAAAGGAATACTTATTTAGTTTTCTTGTTATTTTGTTAAATTTTTTTCTTTTGGATTATAATTAATTGGACTATATTTATCGTCAATAACTAAACTATTATCTTTTAAATTCTAGTTTAAATATGAATTCAAGTTCAAATTTAATGTTTTTAGTAGGACATCTTTTTATGATACAGGTGTATTTACTTAATGTTGATTATGGTAAATTTATTATTGAGAATTTATGTTGAGTGAAACAGGTGTAAAAATAGAGTTATTCATATTTGGAATTTCATTTAAAAAGTTTTCATTTTCTTACAAGAAAGATGGCTTGTTTCTTACAATAAGATTTACTGGTTTGTTATGAGGAGTTATTTTACTGATAGAATTGTAGCTTATTGACTTTGATATTAAACTGTGAATCATTTGATTTGATTGTTTTTTCTATGAGAATTGCATATGATCTTACATAAAAAGTATTTAGTAATTACTTTAAATCTTTTCTGAAATGTAAGTTATAGCATCAAAAATTTTTGATTGAGTTATTTCCAAAGAATTAAGAATTTCATCAATTGAGTATTTATCTTTGAGATTTTGGTGATTACCTTGGTATTTGATGTAGTAGGTATCCTTTTCTTTTTCTAGAATAGGCTCATCATTATGATTACCAGTTACATTTTAACTTTCTGAAGTGTCTTATTGATTTTATATTTTATACTGAAGCTTGGATTTATTTTTTTTATGCAGAAGTTTGAGATCTTCCAAAAGAATATTCAAATTTTCTGTGTAATAAGTGTAAAGAGTATTTTGGAGATTGATCTTCTCATTGTATTAATTTACTTTATTGAAGAAATTAATTTTTATGAATAGCACATACTCTCCAGTATTCGAATAATGAATATTTTTAAAAGGATCTGATATTTTATTCGAATTTTTTTTATTTAAATTTTCTAAAAAGACTTCAAAAAGAATGCTATCGTTATTATGAACTCTAATAACTCTATCAAAGATTTGCTCATGAAGAACGCTATAGTAGTTATCCATTTAGAATATTTGTATATTTTATAAATTTTTTTTCACTTTTATTTATTGAGCTATTTAATTCCACATCTGTTTTCGTTAAAAAGAATTAATTTACATTTAAAGTATAAATAAAATCTAAATTGATTACATAATAAAGCATTTAATTGTCTTTTTATAAAGCTGGATTAACTAATTGACAAAAAAGTCTTGGGTCGATCTCTCCTCCTTCTTCCTAATTAAATGATTAAGAAAGCTAGTTTTCATTTATAGCTTCTTCAAATTCTTTGTAGTTTTTGTATTGTAAGCTATTTATTTCACTAGGATATTTGAGAATCTTGTAAATAAATTCAATAGTAAATTGTCTTATATTCTATTCGTATATGAAAGTAGAGTATTTTCTTGCTGATATTGGAAAATATATTTGAATTTAATAGTAATCTAAGTATTAGTATTGCTTAATAGTTAAAATGCAAAATTGGCCCTATATTTTGCTAACACCTTTATAAATTACTTTCATATAGTTCATTTCAACCTTCATAGCGCTAAGAGGACTAAGAGAAAACTTACTGCCCATTTAAAAATTTTTCTATAAAAAATAAAATTTAAAAAATTCATATAAGAAATTTTTTCATTTTATAAGAAATTTTAATTATTTTCTTTAGATTTTATAAATAAAGAAAAATATTTTTTAAGAAATAAAGTAAAAAAATTCAAATCAAATCAAAGAATGAATTCAAATTACTTCTTCAGAAAAAGAATTTATTAAGATTAGCCTCTTAAGATAATTGTTGAATGGATAAAAGGATTTTAAAGGTAATATGAATTTACTGTAATGCTCATAAGGGATTTTTTATACTTTTTTCATAATTGTTAAACTGATTTAAAGAAGCTGGTTAGCACTGAAAATGTTGTCGTGATTAACTTAGCTTTTAAATATCACTTCAATATCTCCTTAGCTTAAGAGTAATTTGTATGATACAGTTTTTTATTTTTTAAAATACGAGATTTTAAGTAAAATATAGAAAATTGGCATAATATTGAGATTATTTCTTGAGTGGAACAAAGTCGATTCCACAATATATTTTTAATTTTATATTTTAAAAAAAAACTATGTCTAAATGGTTTCAAAATAAACTTTTTTGATGTTTTCTGAAACTGAGTTAATGTGCTAGTTAATTAGCATCAAATTTAAATGGTTTGATAATAATTTTAACCCTTCTTATGTTTCTTTTGCATTAAAATCAATTTATAATCTATTCACATAAGTAAAAGAAGTAAGTAATTCCACAGTTTTTTAGTTAAATATTTCTATAAAAGTTGAGGGCTAAGAATCTTATGGAAGTGATTTTTTATAAAAAGATAACACCTTTTACTAAATACCATTAATTTCTCTTGTTTTTTAAAACAACTTTTACATTAGAAAATTTTAAATGTATTTGTGCTAAAAGTCGTTAAACTCCGATTTAAATAATATACTATTTAATATTTTATCTATTATGTATGGATGTTTGAATGTCATGATATATTTTTTATTTTACTTTTATATATTTTTAAAAGTAGCAAACATAACTAGCCTTTCTTCTTATAGGATATCTAGCTTTTCAGAAAGTATTAATTCAAATTTTTTAAATTTAAAATAGCAATCTTAGGTTTCTAAGTAGATATATTTGTTTCCTTACTGCGTATAAAGAGTGTTGTAGCCTCTTAATATTTAAAAATATTTACTATTCATTAACTAAGAGTCAAACTGATGTTCTTAATATCTTAAGTGATATTCCCTATATGCTTATTCAAACTACTCTTTTACAACAGTGACTTTTTTTTCTGCATGGTTTTTCATTTTCTTTTTAGAATTGATTAACTTACTTTTTAAATCATAAAATTTAATATTTAATATATAAAACAGCTAGCTAATATTGTATTTTACAGATGGTATTCTATATTGGAGTTTTGTTTAATTTGCTAGATTCTTTTATTTAGTCTCATATTTCGCTTTTCTTGCATGAATGTAGAACTCTTCATAATATTAAGATTAGCTTTTATGTCTTCTTCAGGATTTTTTATGTTGATGATACTCATCAAATCTTGCAAAGAATTATCAAATGCTACAGCATACATCATGCTTTATATCGAAGTATAATTTACATTTTTATTTTGCAAATATTTTTCCTTCTTTTTATCTAGCGTTTGTTCATAAATATTTTACTAGAAATATAAAATTTTTGCTTCTGACTATTCAAAATAAATGAGTCGTTTTACATTTTTCCTAATTTAATCTAATTAACTTTTGTTGAATCCAAAGCAATCTCTAAAATTCTAATACTAAAAGTTTTTTATATTATTATTTAAGAACCACCTAATAAAGGTTTTAAAAGAAAGAACCAGCTAGCTCTACCAATTATTATTTCTCTTACGAATGATCTCATTAAATTTAATAATAAATCTAATTTAAAACATTTTGAATAAAAAATGGTAAAATATAATAGAAAAATAAATTTACCTGGAATTATTATTAGCAATCATTTTTGTGAAATACTTTCCCATGAAATACTCATCATAATTATAAATAATTTGGCATAAAAGATAATTTTTTTAGTATTTGAGAATTCCTTTGAATAATATTTAGTTGTTTAAAAAAGGATTCGCAGTTGATTTGATCTGATTGTATCTTACTTATTAATAATCGCCATTAACTACGTAATCTTCAAAATATTCTTTCCAGTCTTATTTTTTCTGTCTCATTTGATTTTTTTATGCATTTTTAAAAATATTAAATGAGTCTATTTTTTAATATAAATTTTTAATTTTCTAATAAAGATTAAAAAAAAAATTTTACTCCCACTGCTTAGGAGTGGCTTACTTAAATTAATTGAATCTTCACCATATTTTGTAAGAGTGTCAATTTAATCTTACTACTCTTCTATCCTAATTTATGAATTAAATTTTAAGTTTTTTTGAATATGTCTATTTAAATTACTCTTTAGTAGGTTGTTTTTGAGTTTAATTTTCAAAATCAAGCTGATTTTCAAAAACTTTTGATAAAAGAATAGAGTTTGTTTATTTATCTGACTGAGATTAATTTGATAAAGCTGGAATATGTTAACTATTTATTTAATATTTTTCTGATTACTCTGAATGAATTTATTCTTTAATGTTTAAATTCTGACTTGAATTATTATTAAAGTCTTTAGTTAATATTTATGCATTTATATCATTTTTTTATTCAATGAGATCCAATTTATTATTTTGCTTTATAAGGTAACTTTAACTACTCATATTATAATTTGGATTAAAAGATAAATATGAAATGCTTTTACTATTTTATTCTGTCTTAGATTAAAATTTATTGAACAATGAAGCTGATTTAATTCTAATAAAATCAAAATTTTAATCATTTTAAATTGAATTATTTTTCTTTTTGTATTAATCTGCATCTTTTTCATTTTAGCTTTGCTATTACTAGCTATTTATAACTTGAGAATCTGTCTTTTTTAAAGTAAAGGAACTAATAGCTTTTTAAGGAGAGTCAACCTTATTTTTTAATTTTTCAGTTTTATTTGTATCCCTTTTTTTACTTTACTAAGATTCCATATTTAAACTTATCATCTCTTTCCTTGAAAGTGCATGGAGACTCAAGCTAGCTTTTGAATTCATACTAGACTGCATATTATTTATTGTAACAGTTGGTGAATGTTCTGATTCTTTATCAATCAATAAAGTTTGTTTAGCATTTTAAGAATTATGAAACTACTAAAACTCTAAGTAAGATTGCTTTTCTTTTTATTCCAAATCTTTTTAGAAGAACAAGCTTTACTTTCTTTATATGCCTTTAATTTTAGGTAAATAGCTCAGTTCTTCATAAGTGGAAGCGTTTTTATATTAAAATGCAGCTGTAGCTGTGTAACTCTTTTTAACCTGAATTAAAAATGTATTTAATTTTATTAATGTTTATAAAAGTTATTTTTTTTAATTACATATTAAGGAGTTTAAGAGCAGACAACTTTTCTTCTCTATTAATATCTAGCAATCTTGTATAATTTGAAGATTTGCAAATTCTATTTTGTTATTTATATTTTATCAATATAATCTTAATTAGTACATAAAACTAATGTTTCTCCAATTAATTTAATTTATGGCACTAATAAGCCTAATAAAAGATTAACCAATTTTAAATGAACTATTATGTTTTTTCTAGAGCTATCTAAATTTAAAAATTCTTGTTAATTTATTAAATTCTAATACTTTTTGTCAATAAATATTTATATTTGGTTTTATTCATTAAATTTAAAATAGTCATCTCCGAATTCTGACTACTGTTTGGCCTTAATGCTTGAATATAATTATTTATTTTCACATTCAATGTATTATAAAATTATTTAATAAAACCACTCATTTAATGTTTACATACCACTATAATTATACATTTTAGCATTTAATCCTTTTAGAGAAAAATTGATGAAATTCGAGAATCCTCTCGAGCTCGATAACTTTAAACAAAAATTTATGTCAAACTTCCTTGAATCATTCTTACATAACCTGATATTTTAATGTAATTCTTTCAATTTCCAGAGTGAAAGATGTTCGAATTTTAATGGTCTTTTTTTAAATTATTATGATTCTTTAACAACTATCAAAATATAAGAAATTATTATTTATACCTATAAAAGCTAATTGGAATAAATGGCAATTTCTAAACTAGCTAAATAAAATTATCTTTTTAAAAAACTCTTTCAGAACTGAGAATATTTTTTGCATTCTAAGATTAGCTAGCTAGAAGTTTAGGAGAGTTTTGATAAAATCTTTCAGAGTTTTAAAATGTATTGTTAGAATTTATTTGTTTTTCTTGTAATTCAATATCTTAACTACTATTTTAATCTAATGACTAATTTGATTCGACTTACCTAAAACCATTACTTATTTTATTGCTATTATCAATTTATGATTTCTGAGAAACTGATATGAGTAGCTGGTTGGAAGTTGCTTTGTTTAAATCTGAAATTTTGAATTTCATAACTTAATTATTAATATTTAATAATGTTAAAAATAATTTTATTATTTTCTAGTAAATAATTAATTTTCTAATTTATTACTTCCAGTTTGTGTATTTTGTCTTTTATTTTTTCTGAATATGCTCTATTTAAGCTAATTTTTACTTAACAACTTTCTAAAATAGAAAATAAGAAATTCAAATGGCTATATTTAGTTTTAAATATTTACATCTTTACAAAAGTTTATATGATTCTTGCTGCTCTGTCGTAAATAATAAACTTATTTACTTCATCAAACAAATCAACATTATTGCTATTTTCCTAATATTAATTGGAAAATTAAAAGAAAAATCAAAAATTTAAAAGTTAACTAAGAAAAATTTTTTACTTTATAGGATTTAGTTTAAATTATTTAAAGACTTGTAGAATGATCGTCTTCTGTCTACTTTTTTTAAACTGATCTGTGAGAACTTTAAGAACTGAGCATAGTATTTTTCTTTTGATAATTCTTAATGCATGGAGAAAGAAGTGAACTATTTTGATAATTTTTTTGCAGTTTATTATTGACAAAATTAGAAACACTACCTATCTTTTATTTTAACTGAGGTATATATTGCTATGAAATTTAGTCTTACTCTTCAATTTTATTTTGAGATTTCTTATCACTATCTGCAGAGCTTTTTCTATCAAATTAATATTAACTTATTTACATTTAAGAATGATCGTTTAAATTTCCAGTTGCTTAATTGCAAAATGAATATTAAAAGCCATGTTTGAACTAGGGTGAGTTCACTTCAACTTTTTAATTTTAAAATTAAGAATCTTTCTTTTTTTGTGTAAGAGTGTTTTAATCATTCATAATTTATCTTGTCATTGATCTCCAAAGAAGCCTTTTAGAATCTGAAATAGAATTCCCTAATTTTTAATTTAAATTCTAGCTGATGTTCTAACTTTTAGGTATTATGGATTATTTTAGGCTAGATTACTCTTATGTTTATAGCTTTAAAATTTAATCATCATTTTGAGTTTTTGAACTTATTATGCTTTTCCTACTAAGGTTTAAAGCTATTTAATTATTTTAATCTGTTACAATAATAGATTTTTTTTTACCCATAGACTTAGATTTACTTCTTATGTTAAGATTTTAATACTCTTCCTTTTAATTATCATGCTATTATTCAATTTCCCATTATATTCTAAATATAGAACTTTTTCTTGCCTTTCTTCTTATTTCCACTTAATCAGAATGTTATTGTTATTCTTACTATTTATTTTAATCTTAACTTTTAGTATTAATTTATTTGCTGTTAATTTCAATTATTTAAGCTTAAATTTAATTATTGTTTCTGTTTTATGAGCGTGGACGCTTCAACAAAACATTATCTTATTGAACTTTAAGACTGAATAATTAATTAGTAGATTAATTTTGATGAGTAGTGGAAGGGATCATACCTTTCATATCCATAAGTTGGCATGCTAAATTTTTTAGGCTTGTTTTTTAATTCTTTTATTCCTATTTTTTATTTGAGATATTTTCATCAACTTAACGAAGTTTTTTATATTTTTCCAATTAAGCTTTAATTTAACCTTCTTAAAATGATTTTGAGGATGTTCGTACCTGCATTGAATTTTATTTAACTCTGATTACTTCTAAAGATTTATCTATTTATATTGATTCTTACTTTTCTAATTTAATTTAAGAATGAATGTCATCTCCAATAATTCTATCTTCTGTAATCAGTTTTTCGTTCGGCAAATTTGAACTATTTAATGAAGATAGCATGAAATTGTGAGCCATTTTTATAAGGCTGCTAGTAGGAGAGCTGTTTGCACTGGATGTTTGTAACCTAGTAACATCTTTTCCAGAATGCTATTTTTCAAGCTAAATTCTTGTTTAACTTTGCTATTTTTATAATAAATTATTTTTTGGAATTGTCTCCACTGTTTTTACATTACAATAATCTTTTGGATTTAGGCTTTTATTATTAATTTTTAGCTTCTCAATTTCATCATTATATATTGTTTTTTAAAATAAATCATTTTGCTTTAGAAATGCATCTTCACCAATAGTATTTTCTGATAAATAATTCTTTTAATTAGTTGAATTTAATTTTTATGGTTTTTATTAATTATTTTAAATATCATTTTATATAAAAAATTCATCATCTATATAGGATTTTTAACTTTTTTCTCTTTAAATTTAAAACTTCTCCTATTATAATTCATTTGATTCTGCATTCTGATTTTTACTTTAATTTTTTATTTACAAAAAATTCTATTATTATTTTTCATTATCTTCGCTTTTTAATTTTTGATATGATTAAACACTAGTTTCTTAATTTATTAAATCTGTATCCAGTAACAGTTTTGTGAAATCAGTTTTCTATTCTCTTTACTATTCTTAAGAGTTTTAATTTCTTGAAGACTATATTTTTTCATTTTCTCTTGGCTGTATAAATTATATTTCATTTTTACAAATCTAATTTTTTTAAAATACACTAGATTCTACTCTTTGATGATGTAGTAGTGTATTATATCTAGTAGGATAAACGGTTTTAGAATTAGAAGCTGTATCGTTAATTATAGAAGTTGTATCAAAAACTGTAATTTAAATTTGTTATGAGTTTTATTTTTTTTAATTTATTTTATTATTTTATCTATTTTTAATTTTATTTTCGCTTTCTGATTTAATATCTCGAGCACCTAAAACTTAAAATGAAAATTGGTTTTTATTTTTCATAAATGCATTTTAATTTTTAACTTAAGATGAGCTTTTTCTCAAAAAATTATTTGTTGGTGATTATAAATTATATAATTTGTTATTAAGTTGTGAATTATATTTATCATAATTTTATTGTGTTTTTAGAGTTTTTAACCTCTCAGTTGAATCATAGTTTGTAATTTTTTCACTCTCATTTGTTTCAGTTTTTAGATAATTTTTTATAATTTAATCTATTTATATAAAATAATAAAATTAAACATTTTTAGAATTAGGTTTTTTCAAATTTATTACTTTAATTTTAATAGTTTATTGAAGGTATTTTGCTTTAAGATTTACTTTTGATCATAATAAATTCTTATTAAATTTAATTTTCATATTTTTCTTTACTTGACTATTATATTTTTTTAATAAATCTTGGATCACAAAATAAATTGTTGACAAAAGAAGATTTTATAGAAGAAGATGGTCTATTGATATCCTTTGATTGGCTTAAACTTTTAATCCTGCTGCTTTCATTATGGAACGTCTGTCTTTTCCCTTTTGAAAAATCTTAACTTTATTAATTTAAATTTTATTTTTTATCTTAGAAAACCACACTACTTGGTCTTTACTATTTAATAACTATTATCGGCTGTTAGTTGTTAGAAAAAAAGATTTCATTATTTTACTAAGGTGTGATGGTAATTGAACTTTTTCGTACTGAGCGAATATCGTTATCTAGATTTATTATTTAAAAATCTTTTTATTAATTATGATAAGTATAAAGAAAATAATAAGCACAAATATTATTTAATTTATTTAAGTTTAAAATCTTTTTTAATCTTCAGTAAAGTATTAAATTTTTTAATAATTTTTTGGTTCTTATTGAATCATTTTTAAAATTTTTAAATATTTTGCTTATAAAAAGAAAATTTGAAATATTTTTGAACTGCTTTGCTTTATGTTTAATTAATTAATTATTTATTTATTTAAAAAAAGAAATTATTTTTACTCGAATTATGGAGTAAATTTTGGAAAGTGCATCTAGAATTGCTATTTTGCGCCTAAGAATTAATTGGAGAGAGAATATTATTAAATTTCTACTGTGAAAAAGTCATATTTTAATTCTTATTATCATTCAAAACTTATTAACTTAGCCTATCCTAATTAATGTTTTGGTTTTTAAATATTTCATCACCATCACTATTTTTTTTTTATTCTTCTAAATTATTTATATTCTATTTATTAACATTATCATTTATTAAATGAAAAGCTTCTAAGTGTTAATTTTTTTCTACATTTTCATCTAAATTATGGGTTTTATTTTTAGTTAATTTTGATTCTTGTTATTTTAAATCAATTGAATTATCTAATCTACTTGTTTAATCTTTTTATTAATTAAAACTGTCAAGTTTTAATATATTTTTAGATAATTCCTTACCGATTTAGTCTACACCTCTTCTAATTATAGGAGAAGAATTTTGTGAAAATGATTATTCCAATTTAATAAAATTATTTTCTTTATGATCCTCAATAGAGGTAATTGAGCAATCGTTTTAAAGAATAATACTTTACATTATCATATTATTACTAACAAGACTTTTCATTTTATTTTTGCTTTCAAGTTAATCTTTTTCAATGTCTGAAATAATTTTTTAATATCTTTCTATTTCTACATTATTTTTAGCATGCTATGCCAACGATAAACTCTTTTTAAAAGCAATAGCTGCTTCTTTCAATTTTGGCTTTCTTAAATATAAATTGCCCAAATATTCACAAACTTTTTACAAAATTATGATTTTCTTCTCAAACAATTATTCTATTTCTTTTATTTAAGTTGTCTTTTTATGTTTTAGATTAATATACATAGAATTTTAATTGAAATTTTCATTTAATGAAGCTAGATTCGAACTTAAAAAAATATTATTGTTGCTCGTTTTTTCAGATTAATTTTATCCATTATTCTTTTCAAGCATCATATACCCATTAACTTTTTCTAGAAGCTCGGTAAAAATGTTTTCTAAATAAAAAATACACTTTAATGCAAATTTTTCATAATTGTCAATCTAATTTAAGCAAATAAAGGCCTCGCATATTTAGAAAAGTAAAATATCGTATGAGCTTTTGAAATCTTACATGAAATATTATTCTATAAAAATATAATCAATCTTCACATTTGAAATTAAGTTGTAAACATCAAGTAAAACAGATAAACTTTATCCTATTTCCTAATTCATTTTTAAAGCCACACTAATATTTACTTTACACATCATCAATAATTTATACCACTCATATTCTCCATTCATCTCATAGCTTTAGAATTCAGTTCTCTAATTGTAAATTAGTCTACTTTACTTTTCAAAAAGGTGAATTGCCTCTTCTATTTTTCCTTCTTCCAGTATTTTTAATCCTGATTTAGTAAACTATTCAATACTTTATTGATAAGTTTCAAGATTATTTTAATGTCTATGAGTACTTCTACTTCTCTATTAAAATTTAATTAAATTTAATCCATTATTAAAATAAATTGTTTATATTTACTGATGTTTCAGGCTAATTGATATCCTGCATTTATATACCCCTAGCTAACTTTAATTGTGTTTAAAATTAAATTCAATTGTTTTATTCTTAGTATAAATATTAGAGCTAATTCTACTATTTATATCAACTAATTTATGAATGAAAATATTGTTTTTGTTTTAAAGTTAATTAAATCTAATAAAAGAAGTTAATTCCTACTTTTAATTAAAAATGTTTGTCATTTAAAAAATAAAGTTATAATGCACTTTAATTAATAAATACTAACAGAAATTGTAATTTAATTATATTAAAAGCATATAAGATTTGATTGAATTTATGAATTATTATAAAATTTTGAAATTAACATTCACCTTTATAAAATATATAAAATTTTACTTTATTTTAATTACTCCATCAAAAAAAAGATTTACAGAATTAATTTGATAGACTACTATTGTAGCATCTATATAAGTGTCAAGAATTTACTTAGTAATATGTTGAAATCATTAACGCATTTTTAAATGTCAAAAATATTCTTCTACCTATTTCAGAATACTATTTGAGCTTAAGCAATTATTTTACAAATGGAATTTAGTAGCAAATCTATTTGAATTTGATCTTTTGTTTGACTCTTTTTTATGTTTTAATATTCCATATTTCAGCAAAGAATTTTCTTTTTGAAGTTTAGTAATAAATTGCTATCATTTACAATGGCTTTTTAGTGAAGACACCTCTATACATTATGATAAAATGCTTTTAATTGGGATCAATTAAGCGCTAAATATTTATATCACAATTAATCTAAACCTTAGGCTCAAATTTAACAGCTTCTTCGATATTTGAAAAATAAGAAGGTTAAGCTAGCAGAATTGTTTTTAAACGACTATTAAATCCTGAGAGTCTAGAAGTAGAGGGAGAATTGAAATTAGCCTTTTTCTCAGCACTACTTTAATCATTTTTACTAAAATTAACACCCCTTAATGATTTATTCATTCCTAATCCTTTTAATAATTAGTTTGGTTGCTAATTTTATTGAGTTGCTTATTAGCTTTAAAGTTATTAGTTGCTATTTGAAACTAAACTAAACCTACTTTTTACTTTATTTATGAGATTTTATTATTTTTCTTCCTTTTCTTACTGCTCTGGAGCTTTATCAGATTAATAGGTATTTGGTGTTAAAAAGCTTCTCTTATTTTGATTGTCTTTCTAGTTTTTTGGAGATTTTTCAGATAGGACTATTGCCATAGTATTACGCCTTTGCTTATTAGCTGTGAGAACATTCTCAAAATGCTTATAAGCATTTCCTTGTTTCTTTTACTATTCTTAGTAGTACTCTTCGTCTTCATAGAGTGCAGAAGGCAAATAATTTTCTCTAATTTTATTTTTAATCATACTTGCCATACAAACAAAATCAGAGCTAACAAAACAATAATTTTCTGGATAGTAGTTGCTTTATTCTTGCTCTTCCTTAATTTCTTCCTCTTCTTGATCAAAATAAGCATCATTGTCTTTAAGTGGAATTTATAAAGGGGAATTAATCATAACACTTTTGGCTGCTTTTTATATCATCATAGTTGTTTTATTGTTATTCGACTGCATATCTTAAAAAATATTTTTGAAAGAACTAGATTTATTTTGTAGCTTTTCAAGTATTGATGAGCGATTTGATGAAATTTTAGATTTTGCTTATTGATCTGTTACATTTCTTTGAGGTTAAGAAGGCTTATTAATTAGTTATCTGGGTGCACTCTTTTTATTGGTGCTTCTGAATCTCTCAACATATTAACTGAGATTATTTTTATTCTCATTGAAGTACTATTACAGTAGTAAGTTCATGCACAATTTTTCATTTTCGGTTTACAGCTTCTCAAAAAAGTTAATTCTAATAAAGACATCCCATTTAATAGCCTCCTCCAAGTAAAGCGAAACTGAATTTCCTAACATTTCCTTTTCCAGCAATTCCTTTTCATATTTATTTTTTACTTACTAAAAGTATTCTTCAGTTTCTTATTCCTAAGAGCCATGTGCTAGAATACCTTACTATCTTTCATTTTCATCATCTAATTAAATTATTGGAGATCTTTCATCCTAAGAAGATTATGAGGATGAGTCTGATGAAGAATAAGAAGATTAAGAAGAATTTGAGGAGGAGTCTGAAGAAGAGCTGGATTATTTCTTTTTCTTATGTTTTTTTTATCTTGATGAACTTATATGCTAAGAATCGTTACTATATTGAGGCTTATTATTTATCCTAACATTTTTAAAACTTTTTTGATGCTTTTACTAAAATTTAGGAGAATCGAGATAAAGCAGTAGCTTACTTTTAATTTTTTATGGTTGTTTTTCAATAGTGACTTAAACCTATACATTATCTTAACTTCTTAAGTGTGTTATAAAAGTAGCTAATATTTCTTTAAGTAAACCTTTAAATGAATCCACAACAAACAATAATTTTCCTTACTCATTAACTCTTACCTCCATTTATTCAATAATTTTTTCCCAAATCTTTATTAAAATATTTTATAAATTTAGCTTTAAATTACAAAAAATAAAAAGAAAAAAATTACTTTTAATTCAAGAACATCTGTAGCTTCAAGTTGATTTTTTTCAAATATTTTAAGGAATTAATTTGGTTTATTTTTATAAGAAAACTTATCAAAAGAAACTCTTTTGTGTTTGCTTTGCAGGTATGATTGGTAGTAAGTGTTTATTTAAGAGGGTTGCTCTTTATTATCTATTTATTTAGTTTCAGTTGGATCAATCTTATTAACATAGTTTTACTCAACTAGAAATTCATTAAAGGTAAGTTACCTCTTTAATTTACGCTTTACATTCTGCTTTGACTGTACTTCTATGCTTTCAGATATTTCATCTTCATTAATTATCTCATTACTATCTTTAAATCCAATACTTTTACTGTTTTTTAAGATAGATATTTATCTTTTTGTTTATTTTCTCAGTTTGCTTTTCCTTTATTAGTCATTTATTGTAATACTTGAATCCATATTTTAAATGCTATTTTAAGAGCTACCATCATCTTTGATATGAGCAAAAGATCTAATTTACATTTTTTAGTGATCAATCATACTATTTGAGCTAGCTAAATGTTAAGAAAAGTATTCATTATAATACTTTTCATATCTAAATTTAGTTGAACTTATATATTTTGTTGAAGAGTAAAACTTTTAATTGTGCTCTTACTATTGAATATTCAGTTTATCAATGTATTTTTTAGGGCTTATTACAATATCGCTTTCATATTTTCTAGTAAAATCAAGATATCTTTCTTTTTTAAAAGATTTTATAACCTCTACTATATTAGGATTTTCCCAAAATATAAACGGAAACAAATTTTCCATAAATCCAGGATTAAATCTCCAAAGGTCACTGGGATACATATTTGTAAACCATTTTCTTCCACTTTTAGGTATGTAAATTTCTATGCAATAATAGTCTAAAATGTCGAATCTTTTTTAAAAATAAAAAATTTTTTTTTTCCCCAATTTAAATTAATTTCAATTTTATTTTACAAATAAAATATTGAATTAAAATTAAATATGTAAATATTTATTTACCTTCTTACTGTAATTATTGTATATTAGTTGAGTATTTTTTTGATTCCTATAAATATAACTTTTTAAGACCTGAGCACAGGAGTTAAAAACGTTTTGTTAGTTAAAATAGATTTTGTCAATGCTAATGGCTCTGGAGTGGGATCAAAGCTGTTCAACAAATCGTATTTTGATTTTTTTGTGTTTTTATTTAAATTTGATAGTGGTAACTTAAAATTAGGGAACTATTTTGTGTTAAAATATACTAACTTTTCACAAAGTAAATAAACCATATTAATGATCTTTTCTTTATCAAGACAAATTTCTGATGTGAATTCTTTTGAAATCAAATCTTTTTTTAAATTGGTTAAATAATTTTTAATTGAAAAATATCAAATTATAGTTTATAATTTATACGTTAAATATCTTCTATGGTAAAAACTAATTTGGAGTAGCTATTTCTCATCTTTTTAGAGAATAAATGTAGACATATGAACACAGAGCGATGAGATGTAAACATTGGATTAGTTGAATAAACTACTGTTTGCACTATTGTTTTTCCTAGATCCTTAATATTGCAATACTAAGAGACTTTCTATGAATTAAAATATGAAGTAAGTAAAAAGTTTTATTCGTGCTTGTGGGAAGAGAGGAAATTAGAGATTAATGTAAGTTTAATTCTAGTCAAAAATAGCTGCAAATAGCTTTGCTCTTTGAAAAAGGTATCTGCATTCTTAAGCAAATCATAAAGTGCTTCATCTTTTTCGTTATATTTCTAAAGGAATTTGTTAATGTGTGTCTCTTTATTTTATTCTATGTAGCTACCAAAATAAACTCTGCTAAAAAATCCAATATTCTTATTTAAAAAATTAAGCTAATATACTGGGATTTTAGTTTCTTAGCTATACTAAATAATATTAATTAGCTTTTCTATATTTTCCTTTCCTTTGATAATTACCTGATCAATCTATTAGTTATTTATTGGATTATAAATTTTAACAATAGAAGTAAGCTCTTCTTCATCTAGATATTGGAAAGGTTTATATTTTTTAAATTGTATTATCATAGATTGCATGCTGCCTTATTGTTTATTTCTAATTTGATAAATTAATCTGATTTTCTTATAATCTATTTTCTTAGCTCTTTTAAAAAGTTAAAAGTTATTTATACCTTGAAATCAAAATAAATTAAATTACGTATTGTAAAATTCTAAAATTTCGACATCTCCTTATGAAACAAGTGTTCTTTCATTAACTCTGCTAATGTGTTCGTTATTCTAATCTATCGAAGTCTAATTTACATTTCTTTCAACTTTTAAGATATTTTATTTTAATTTAGCTGAAGCCTTTAAAACTCTAGAAAGTAGAGATACGGACTATCTACTTTTTGAAATTAGGTTATTAAAATTAACTTGTTTATTCTAAGCATTTTAAGTACCTTCAGATTTTTCTCTTGGTACTTCTAAGTTAAGTTTAATTTGGTAGTATTAATTATCTGATATAGGTTTATACGCTTTCTGCTGAATAATATTAAGCAGTTCTCTAATATCATCTTATTCTAAATTTTCTTTTATCGCAGTGAAATCTAATTGTTAATTTCTCTTTTATGGTAAAAGAAATAAGCTTATATTTTCTTTTGCATAGTCATATGCAATATTATTTGAAGTGTTTTAAGAAAAAATCTTTGATGTAGTATCATCACTGCCATATATTTCATATACACTTTAAGCTCTGTTATTAATATCATATTAACTGTTTTCATAAGTATTTTCTAATCCATTACTTGAATAATTTGTAGTATTTTTGTCAAATTTTATCTTTTTCTTATACTTACTAGTATATATTAAGTTAATCTTACAATTTTCAATGTATATTTTTCCTTGCAACTACTTTTGCAAAGAAATAGCTTGTTTTATATCAAACCCCTTTCTATAAATAAACTAATTATAAAATTATTATTATTTAAAAGAATTATATTTTGAATACTTCAATTATTTAGAATGCCAATTATAAAAATAATTTTTGTTTTTGATATAAAAAGAAAATAAAAAAATACTTTGTTGAAATTAAAGGCCTTTTAAAAGTTATAATTTAACTGAAATTCTTAATTTTCTCCTAGTTATTCTTCATCTACTGGTTTTTAAAGCATATTTAAGTCATTACTTGGGAAAAACTCATCAATAAACTAAAATAGATTAAGAGTTAATTCGTCAGACCACTTTCCTTTCATGTTACACTAAAATAATTGCAAAACAACATTTATTCCATCTTTTTTTTCTATATCTATTTCTTATTGCTATTCTGAAACCAAAAATATCTTTAACACAGCTCTATAGAATTCTTTATTTTTTTTAACTATTGCTTACAATATTGTTTGGCTAAAATAGTTTTAAATTAATAAATAAATATTAAAATACATATATTTTTTTAATAAAAAATTACTTCTGATAAAATGGATTCAAGTATAATTCTGGTATATAAAAATATTTGTTATTTGATATTTCTTCAAAGTAACGAAACTATCTCCAATACTATATTTACTTCATTCTATACCTTGTCTTTTTTTCATCTAAATGCTTTATAAGTGGTTTATACTCTTAATCTTCAATATTATTACTGGCGTCTAACTAATTAGGTACAAGTTCTGAATTTGCTTCATCTATTTTATTTGTAATTATCTTGTTGGCTAAATTATTTTAAGGATTGTTTTAGCCTTAATAAGTTGATTACTATAGAGCTTCTTCTTAGTTTTCTTCTACTATAGTTGTCGCTTTCTTAAAACTTCTTTTATAAATTTATGTTATTTTTTCATTTTTTAGCTATTCACTATTAAAAAAAGGGGTGTCATTTATTTCATCGTAAGAGGGAGATAAAGGATATTCAAATTATTGTTTACTCTAATAATTTTTTTATAAGAGCAATTATTAATCGCTATCAGCGTCTTAGGTATATCCGGAACCTTTTTTCTTTAAATCTAAGGAATAATTATTCAAATTATTATTTATATTATTTTCATCTTCATAAAATGATATCTAATTTTTAGGCTGCAATTTTTAAGATTAAGAAAGGGGAGTATATTATTATTGTGATAAAAACATATGATTGTTATTTTAAGCATAAGGAGACTTTGGAACATCATTTTTCGAAAGCTGAAAAGGAGAAACAGGTGTTTAATTATTTTTAGGAGTACCATTCAATAAATTAGGAATAATCAAATTATCATCTATGTATTCTTAAAATTATTCTCCCCCTTATCTTCTAGATATCTGAGAATTTTCTTGTCTACTATGCTTACTTGACGTCATGTGAGTATTGCTTGATGACAACATTACATTATTCTAATTTAAACTTTATTAAGCTTCTCTCATTCGTTATTCAAGCATCTTTTAAAAGAAAAGACTACTTCTTCTTGAATTATTTCCTTTCATCAAATTATTTTATGATTACTATTATAACTAAGGGTGGGCTGAAGGAGATTTCAAACTTTATTATTAAGGAGAAAGAAATTAAGGGGAATTAGTCATTATAGATGAATATTTATTGTTAATCTAAATTAATGGATTAATAGATATATTTTTAGAAGATTTTGTCTTTTTGCCTAAAGTACTAATAATATTTTGGACACCTGTAGGCTCCTTTATTTAATAGTTTTTAGAACTATTATCTTCTAACATTAAATCACTTTATAGATCAATAGAGAGACTATTATTCTGATTTTTATATTAACTTGGAAGCTAAATAGAAGATTAAGAATAATGAATCTAATTTTGAAAATCTAGCAATTCTTGTGCCATTAAGTTTTCCTAGTCTTTACCAAAAATATTAGCTGGAGTTAAAGGTGAATCTATTCCACTTTCGTTTCTCATCAATTTAATAAACTTTTTATTTAATAATAGTTTGACTTATTAAATAAAATATTTATACAAAATAATTAATTAATTAATTAATTACATTTTAACTGCCATCTTTGGTAATATTCTTTTTTAATAAAGATATATTGAGCTTTGGTGGTTAGGTGGTGGCAGAAAGCATGCTTTTGTGTGGTGTAAATGATTCTTTTTATTACTGGTCTAGTGCGTCATCAATAGAACAAGAAGAAGATATTTTTTTATTTGAGATTTTATTATAAGATAGAATTAAGTTAGTTGTAAACTCAGGTAAGTTATGATTAGATATGAGATGAAATTTTTTATCAATTTAATGTATTGAAATTCTCTAGCTTTTTAATTCAAGATCCCTTATCTTTGCCTTTCTAATAACTAAAAACTACCTCAGAGATTTCAAATTATTTTCATAAACATTTGAATTCTCTTGCAACTTATCTTGTATTGATGTATTGCTTGATATATTTCCATTTTAGACAATTTAATTTTCTGAGATATTTATAACTTTACCATTTTCCTATTTATTTATTTTAAAAATCATTAATTAAATATATGTAAAATGTATTGAATCATCTTACTTTCTTTGTAAAAATTGTATATTTTGGAATCAAAAAAGATAACTTTTCAAACACTTAAATTAATTCTTGCACGTGAATATCTGAGATATATACGTAACTTTATGAGTTAGAACAGAATTGATATTTTTTTTTGTTAGTTAATTCATATCTTTAGATTTCTACTTCTTCTTGCTCTCTAACCTATTCTCTCTTTTCTTCCATACCATCTAAAAGCGCAAAAAAGACTTTATTTTCTGAGTCGTTTTAATTTAACTAAAATATCTCCCAATTAGCTAGTAAATTTTTGCTTTTAAAGTAGTAATTCAAAAACTCACTGGCTAAGCTCCACTTAGTGGCCTTTTTTACTTGCGATAAACTTTAGAGATCCTAAATTCCAACTTTGAATTTTAATGGAAGAATGCCTTAGAATTACTCAACTTATAGGTGAAACTTCATGTTTACTGATACTTCATCTTTTTGCACCTATTAAAAAAAGGTGTTAAAATTCTAAAAATTTCAAATTCTTTTAATTACAACAACATTAACGTTAAAATCTTGTATTTTCCATAACTAAAGGCCTACTTAGTACTAAAATAAATAAAATTTTAGAGGTAAAATTGGTTTTATTTGTAAATCATTTAGATTTTCCCTAGCTTCAATAGCTTATTTATTTTTAAAAGCATCCCTGAAGTAACTTATTATTTTAGGAGAAGAAACAGAAGTACTTCTATGATAATTATGCTAATGAGGCATTAAATTTTACTGATTATACTAAGAAGGAATATTTGTTTATGATCCTACAGCCTGACTTGTTTCAATTACTTTTGGGAAGAAATATTGACTCCTTTAGTACTTGGTCGGTGAAGGGGATTTAAAATTAAATGACTATTTCTTAATAGAAAGCTAAGATTTAAATGAGCCATCACTTATCTTTTTCTAACGTGCACCGTGATTAACAGAATTATCAATTTAATTAATATTAATCTACAAATTAAGATTATTTTTGCTAAATTTTATATTTTAAGTTGTAATCTAATTATTGGAATTAGTATTGCTGCTATTGGTTTAACCTTAAATACTAATATTATTATTATTATTATTTCTATATTCCATTATACTAGTTGTAGGACCTTCGATGTTATTTTTAGTGCTCATGGTAATAACTTAATCCATTTAGTTTTTAAACCCATTTTTATAGTCTCTCCAAAATAATTATATAAATCTTGCTGCTGCATTTCTTTTTTGCAAAATCATTTCATTTATTGATTCTCTATGCTTATTTACTCTAATTTTTAAATCACTTATATCCTGAAGAATCGAATCTTTAACCAGCGATTTTCTCTAAAAAATTTAATCAGAGGCTCTTCTTTTCTTTGCCTAAAAACAAAAGTATCTTTTTAGATAAATATTTAAAACTTAAATGATATACTGAGTTATTTGGCGATAAAGAATGTGATTTCCTATCAACTGATGTTTAAGTAAATGACGATTAATTTTCAGACAATAAAATATAAGACTAATTGACCTCTAATTAAATTAAAAATTTAATATAAGAAAGAAGTTATAAAAATGTATTAAATTTTTAGTTACTTTTTAGTTTATCTTCTAATTTGTTTTATTCATCCGATTATGCTAAATTTTTTGATTTGTTAATTTCATTTTTAGATTAATTCTCTTCAATGATGACATCTTAATTCATATTTCCTAATTTAGAAATCTAATTTTTCATTTACACCTCAGAATCAATATCGTTTTCTGTATTCTTAAAATTTTCTTTAAATTTACTGCTACTTGCTATTTCTTCTTCTTAGTCATTATCTATTTCAGGCATTGCTGCAAGGCTGACAATATTTTTTAAATTATTTTTATTCGTGCCTTAATTAGTTCCTTGTTTTTTATTAATAGCTGTGATGCTATTTTATTTATGAAACGATTATTTTCTTTACAGAGCATTGTTATTTTAATTTCCATTTTAAGATAATAGCTGTGTTTAATTTAAATTCTACTTTTTATTAGTGTAATACGATTAAAGTTGTTATTGTGTCAAATTTGTGAAAGAAGTTTGAGATTCTTATCTCTTCATCTTACTGCTAGTCTGTTTATAAATACTTGTTACATATTCAGATTGCTGTCTTTTTCTTATTGAACTTTTAGACTCTTAATTAAAAGAATTTTAAAATGTTTGAAAAGAATTCATTTGATTATTCGCATTAGAAGTCTCTTTCTTTTCCTTGGATTTCATTGCTCTTTAAATAAAAGTTGTATTTTTATTTGAGTCTACTCCATCAATCATTTATTAGTATATCTAACCTCTTGTTTGCTTAGCATCGTCTTCTTCTCTATCTTCAGGAGAATACTGTTTAGTTTTAGCTTTTTTTAAAATGCCAGTCATCGCAGAAGTTGGTCTCGCTAAGACAACCATATTAAGTTTAGACTGCTAAACAAAATCTATTAAATTTGAATCATTTTTTATTTATTCTTTTGGAGATTAATTTGTTGCTTAGTTATAATTTACATCAAGTTACATCTCGTTTGTGTTAGAATACTCTTAATTTAATAAAATTAAAAATATTTTTTCCATAAGATAAATTGTAAAATTTACTTCTATTTGGTAATGTAGGAGGACTGGATAATTTATAAAGAGATTAGTTAACTTTACTTTAAATCATATGATCATTTAATAATATATTATCAATTTACTTATAAATTTTCTATTTTTTATCTTAAACATCTACATTTTAAAAACTGCTTTGGTTTAATTTTAAAAAATTTGATTGTTTTGTAGTATTTTATTTTTCCTTAAATCGTTTAATATCAATTGTTTTCGATTTTGATCTTGTCTTAGAAAAATCATCAATACTATTATCATTGGGAGCAACTGTTAAATACTGGCTCTAGTTAGAAATATCTTTAGATTTCTTTTTAATTTATTGCACATTACTCATTTCAGGAGCTATAAGAAAATAATTCCCAAAATTCTAAATGCTTGTAGTTTTGCTATCTTTTTCTTAATCAATAGTTATAGCAGAAGGAAGCTTTAAAGAATAAATTATAATAATTAGAAAAAAATTATTAAAATTTAAAAATTTTTTACAAATGATGGAAGTTTTTAATCGTTTTCTTCACTATTTATGAATTAATTCAATGAAGCACGCGATCCCTCTATTTTCGTAATGTAATTTAAACCTAATATATATTTTCCAATAATCTTTAATTTCATTTAATTTTTTTGTAATAATTTGTATTTACTCTCAGGACAGACCGATAAAAAGTTGATTTTTTTGCTGTTTTAGTTTTAATTTTCATATTCTTAAGTTTCCTATATTTAGAAATTTACTTGTTTAATATCTGTTTTTTCTGTTTTTGGCTGTTCTTCTACTTATTCTGAGTTTTTGACTTCTTAAATATTTATTTGTATATTTTATTATTATGCTTTTTCCTAATTTTATACAATAGCTGCTTCTGTTTTTTATTTATCATTTTATTATAAAATTATGTTATTATTTTATATTGGAAAAAATAAAAAATTTGTAGACATGTGCAAACTTTTAGATCCTTTAGTTTTCCTGTTTAAAGCTTATTTATTTTCAGCTCTATTATTGTTATTATTATTCTGTAAATTTAAAGTATTTTGGTGAATACTATTTTTAGCTGAAGAATTTTTTATTTTTTAAGACAATTATTAATTTGTTTATAGTTGTTGTATATCCATCGGCTTTATGTGCTAAGAATTAGTAAAAATATTTGAAATAAAAGATTTGGCAGATTGTTGAGTGAAATACTATCCTCCACTTTTAGTAGAGTTTTAAGCTATTTTTTATTATTAGTTCATTAAAAATTAGTTCATGTCTAAAGCCGTTTCAATTCCACCAACACCTTAATATGTAGATACAGATTTTTTGTTTTTAATTTTTACATTTTAATTATCTTTTTTTGTTTAAGTATTATCTAATGTTTATTCATTATTTGTTTTATCTTCTTGAGTATCAATAGATTTTCCAAAAGCAGTTTCGTAATATTTCCTTATTTTTTTCACAGCATTTTTTTCTGTGCTTGTAGATCTTCCTTTGAAAAAATAATTCAATTAGCTCCTTATGCTTAGAGTACTCATTCCATCTTATTAAATCGATTTGGCAGTTGTAGGTGTGATAGATTAACTATTTGTACCAATATTTGTCTAATTTTAATATTAAGTATTAACCAAATATTATTAGAGCTTTCCTTAACTTGCTTATCTTTTTTCATAATCACTTAAAGTATTGTTTCTGCTATTTTAAGCTGTTAATGGACGAAATCTTTGAATTTTTGAATTTTTTCTTAAAGATGTCTTTTATTAATCTTTTTTTAAAAATTTATAAAAATTTTCCACAAAAAAAAAAAAAAAATTTACTATGAAATTTAACTAATAAGTTATCAAACGAGCTGTTATTTTTATCTTTGAAAGATAATTTTTTGGAATACCCAATCTAATTTTTATTTTTTATATCAATTGTTTAGTTTTAATTTTCTTAAGTATCTTCATCATCTTCTTCTTTATCACTACCAAAACTCTAAAAACTAAGACTGCTGTTAGAGTTTATAGTTATGCCTTCTAAACTTGAAAGTTTTCTTTTATTTTTAGGAGCATCTGTATCACTGTAAATAATATTTTATTATTTTATTTTATTTACCAAATTAGTATTAATACTATTTTATTGCTATGTAAAAGAAAAAGGTGAAGGCTCAATTCCTTTTGGACTTATTGCATTTGAAAATTTACCAAGCTAATTATTATTTTTTACCTAGCTTTAGTTTGATGGAGAGGTGTGTAAAGAAACAATAGGTCTTTTTTTTCTTAATGCTTTATTTGATATTTAAGTTCCTTAAGTATCTTATTTTATTGAATTAGCTTGAGTTTAAAAACTAGTAGCATTTCTTATAGTATTTTTAGGTGTATTACTAGTAGAAACTGTTTTTTTTGGTGTTGTATTTGTCGTCTGTTAAGTTGGGTTGCTGCTTAAAAAAGTTCCTTTTCTAGAACCTTTGGATTCTTGGCGCTTATTCATTAACTGCTACAACTCCAATTCCTAATCATTTTTTTCTAAATAAATATCACAATTTTTGGTAAAAACATTATCTGCAAATTCTATTTTTTTTTATTTTTTATTGTTTTTCTCTAAATTATCAGTACTATTTTAGGAGAATAGAAAGTCTGAAAAATTTTCATTATTTAACCTATGAGGTAAATTATTTACACCTTCTTACTAATTTTTAGATAGTTCATCAAAATCATTAGCTAATGAATTAGCTGATCCAAAATTTTTTAAATCTATCTAACTTCCTTGCTTCAATATTTTCTCAGGATCTAAGCTCTTTTGTGATTCTTAATTTTAAGAATTTCCGTCTTATTATTGCTTTTAATGGTTTTAGATAGATGCCTTTTTGACTTCTAGAGTGAATTTAGAAAAATCTCCAATCGATTCATTATTTAAGTTTTTATCGAATTCAAGCTCATTTTTTACTTCTGTATATTTTTTGAAAAACAAAGAAACTTTTTAATTTGCGTCACTTTTTAGTATTTCCTTTGATTTTTTCCAAGCCATTTTAAAAAATTTTAAAGAGTTGAGCTTATTACCTAGCTTATAAAGAGCCCTGCCACCTTAATAAAAACAATAAATCCTTAAAGTTAGCTTCTTAAACAGAAGCTATTTATGCTCTAAATAAATAACTCCCCTTTATTCCCCATATGTTTACAGTAATAATTCCTATTAATTATTCTCTACCATTTTATGTTATTTATTGTATTCCTTTTCATAATAATCTATAATACTAATGCATTTTTTGCAGCAAGCAAATGCTTAGATATACTTCTTTAGCTCGATACAGGAAATTAATAATTAATAATAAGCAAAATCAAGATTAGATTCAATGTTTTACCAAATCTTTTCAAACAAGTGAGATTTTTCACACTGCTCAATAATTTGGTTTAACACATCAAAACAAGAATTATATCTCTTTTACTTTGTATACATAATTTATAAATTCAGTGCAATATTTAAGCGCTAATAAAACCATTCTACTTAGTGTATCCAAATAGATTTATCTATGGAGGGCTCAGTAAATTATTGTGCTCTCATCAAATACATCTCAGCTTAATCAAAATCATTTTCTTTAATTAATTTTTCTCCCAATTTTGTAAGTTCTAAACTTAATATGCAAGATATATTCCAGCACTTTAAATTATTTTAGCCATTTTCCTTTTTTAAATTTAACAATATAATTTAACCTAGAATTAAAATTCAATTAACAAGACTTAGTTATATTAATAAATGCTATTTTAACATAATTTGTTAATATATTTCATTAATGCGTATCAAATGTAGAGAATAAAATTTTATTTTTAGTATTTTAGATGCTTGTTATTTAACCTCAATAAAAAAATGAAAAATTACTTTTTTAATAGCAAACCATAAATTTCTTTCAAGAGTAGCTATATTTTACAACTGTTCTTCATACTTTTCTTTAAGCTATTTTTATCGCATGTTTTACTATCTATATAATAGCTTTTATCTATTTGCTTTTAAACTTAAAGATATATAAATAAAAAGATTGATGCTAAATTTTAAAACAAAAAGGAATAATTTAAAGCTTTTTTAATTAGATTAAAAAGTATAAGTAGAGTATTAAAAAATCAAATCAAACATTCAAAAAGAGTCATCAATTTAAAATTTAATATATGCATTTTAATAATTCTAAGTTTAAACTTACTATATTATTAAGTTATAAATATTTTAATCACAAATAAAAAATATTAAAAAATCAAAAATTATTAAATAAATTACTTTCAGCTTTAAAAAATTAAATTAAAATGATTTTTAAATTGTAATCCTTATTTACAAAAAAAAATAAAAATGATGTAATTAATTATGATATTTTTATGAAAAGTAAAGAAAAATTTGAAAAAAATATTTTGATATTTAGTTTAATGATTTTTTTCTATTTTTTATAATTAAAATTAATTATAATTTATCTAAATCATTAATTAAAATAGAATTTACTTTTTTCTTAATTAATGATTTTGGCGCAAATAATTTATAAAAAAAATATCAAAGTTGATATACTTAGATTATTAACAAAAACTCATAAATTTTGATTTATTTTTGTTAAAAGATAAAGATTATATAATATATATTGGTTTACATAGTTGAAATAGCACCAAAAATAAAATGCAACAATTATTTTAAAACTAAGAAATGCAAAAGATAAAATAAGCATTGATTAATGCTTTTGATATAAATGAATAAAAGAAATACATCTCCAAAAAGTAGTTATTAAGACGTTATTTGTAAAGTAGAAGAGAATAGAAGCCATTATCATAATCTATTAAAATAAAGAAAAATGAAAAAATAGATTTAATTAAAAATTATGAAAATAGGATAAAAAGTATTCAATTTTTATTCTTAGCATTTTTAAAAATATGATAAAAAGTACTTGCTCAGAATTTTATTCATTTTAAAAGTTACAAAAGAAAAGAGCATTATTGACTAAGACCAGTAAAAGCTTTTAGAGTGTCCTATTTGTATGGATTATTTAGTAAGCCCAGTTCAGACATAATGTGGGCATACATATTGCGAAATTTGTTTAACAGAAGCATTGCTCAAATAAAATGTACTTTTTTTAGCTTTAAAAAAAGAAATTTTGTTAAAATTGTTTTAAATTTTTGTTTTTTGGAATAAAACAAAGATAAAATTGTAATTTTAAAATAGATATGTCCTATGTGTAAAAAGGTTGTTCCTAATTTTAATTTTGTTATTGATACTCTGCTAGATGGATTAGTAAAATAGTAAAAATAGTTTTAGATTTAGATTAAATTTAATAACAATTTAAATTTATTATTATTGCAAAAGATATGTAGAAAGTTATAATGACGATAACAAAGAAAAATATATTCAAAGACGTAAAAAATATTTTGCATGGAATAAAAAAAGAAGGTAAATAAATGAAAATAAATGGCTACTGTTTCTTTAAAATTACTTGTAATAAAAAGACCTTAAAAATTCGAAGAAGGTATGAAATTAGATATTAGAGACTTAGATAATATTTGGTGTGAAGCTGTTGTTAAAAAGATTGAAAGAGCACTAAATAAAGAAGAATTTATTTTCATTCATTATATTGTAAATGAGCATTAGTATTCATATGATTAATTAAGTCAATAATAAATAAATTTAGGGATGGAATAATATTTATGATGAAATGCTTCCATCAAACTCAAATAGAATATCCTCATCAGGATTCTTCACTTAGAGAAAAGGTGCCCTTTTTATCTTATTTTTTAAGAATTATTAATTTCAATTTTTAAAAAGATATCCCACAATATCGTCTAAATAGTTAAAATAATCAGAATCCAGATGATCCAAATAATGCTGGAGCTATGTAAGGTGTTGTATTGCTTGGAAGTGAAGGCTAAGCCAATCTTGAAGGAAATATTGACGATGATGAATTAATGGAAATAGATGAAGAAGAATTTTAATAGTAATAATAATAACAATAAAACAATACAAATAATTCAAACTCTTCAAATTAAAATTCTAAAATAGACGCTTTAAAGATTTTTCAAACTATTTTCAAAGTAGATTTAAAAGATTTGCTTTCATAAGAAAAAAAATGATAAGAACAAAAAAATAAATACAAATTTGATTTATTATTAAACATTTATTAATAAAATTACAAATCCAACTATCATATAATTAAAAAGTATATTTGTTTTTTCAAGCTAAAACAAAAACATAAAAATTATAAATTAATCACTTAATTTTTTCATAATCGTTTTAGTTTTTATATTTTTTTGAATTACTAAAAATTAGAATAAAATTTTATTATAATAAAAAATAATTATATAAAATATTAATAGAATCTATAATTTAATGTTATTTTAATTATTGAAAAATAGAAATAACAATTGTAAAATATTGATAAAATATTAAAATTACGAAGTAATTTCACAAAAAATTTATTTTAAATTGATTAAATAAGCTTTTATAAGAGCTTAAAATTTTATTAATTCGGAATAGATAAAATAATTTTAAAATTAAATTTTATATTTTAATTAATGAAAAATGAAAATATTTAAGCATATTTAAAATATGAATAATTAATAAATTAATAGAGAGTATTTTTTCTGCTCTTAATTTTGGTGGAATTTTTATATAAATTATTAATTTAATACATAAAAAATAAATACTGCTTTTATTACCATAAAATTCTTGAGGATTATTGAGATTGGAAAATAAAAATAATAACTAACTAACTAACTAAATAAGTAAGTAAGCAAATAAAAAAGTAAAAAAGTTTTGAATTTATAAAAACACGTATTTGATATTATAAAAATCTATTTGAATATAATAGATTATATAATTTATTTTATGACTGTATTAAGTAATCTTCAATCAATATTTGGTTTAGTAGTTCACGAATGAAATATTTTAGCTTTGGAAATAAGCTTTAAAATCTTAAAAATAGCTTTGCAGTTTAATATAATCTTGATGCATGTTATTTCAAATATTGTAATGGGACAACTAAAGTTAGTATAGGCTTAGCTCTTTCTATAGTAAATTATTTATTTATTTATTTGGAGATATTATTTCAGTTTATACATCAATACTAAATTAATCTCTCACTTTCTATCTATCATGATCATTCCTAATCTATTTTGTATGGTTTAAGGTAATCTTTAACTTAAGGATTAGCTTTTTGAGCTTTTTGCTTTCTTTTCAAGAGCTTTAATCCAAGGGGAGAAGAGATCTTTTATTATAATGGATAAATAATTTACAAAAAGAGAATAAATTAATAGAATAATATTTATACTTCATCAGGACAATCGGGGTGCTTTTCAATGAATTGTGCGATTTCTTCATTGTTAGGATTTAAGGGTTCCTAATTATTGATATTGCTTTCTTAATTTTCTGGTTATTGCTGGGTGTTATTAGAGAATTTGTCTCTACGTCCCTAATCTTACTATCCGAGTTTTGGTTATTGCTAAACTATAGGCTAAGGAGGGACATGTTATTCAGGTTCATATGTTCTTTATTTATAGTTTCCTTGATCTTGCTATGTGGCTATTTTGTATAAAAATTTAGAATAATTTAATTTTGTAAATTAATATATACATATATACATACATACAGCCAGACATATTAATATCATTTATTAATATTTTACAATTACATAAACAATAAATTTTACAATTTAAAAAAAATAGTTACAAGCAAAGCAAATTGTAATAAAAAGCAAATAATTGCAAATTTTTTGCAAATAAATAAGATTTAATCGTTGTCAAAATTATTTTTCTTTTTTTATTTAATATTTTCCTTGAATTTTAATGTCATAAATAAGTTATACAAGCTCTAAATGAAAAAAAATTTGTTTTGAAATTAATGAATTACTCTAGGGTTAAAATAATTGCCTTTGATGAGGACGAAGTAAGCTTAATAATCCGTTAACGAATTCAGTTTCGTTACCATTTGCTTGATATCTTTCTAATAATTCGAAAACCTAAGGTTCGTCATTAATAACCATTTCTATTATTAAATAATAAATGAATATTTATTTTTAGGTTAAATTTAATGCATATTTCTTATAAATAAAAATCCTTAAAAAACTATTTATTCTCTCTCTTTTAGTAAAATTTGTAATCGAATTCTTTTAATTCATGCTCTAATTTTAAATAAATGTTTGTTGTTTTCGCATAGAATGTTTAACAAGAATGCTTGCCTTGTTTAGGTCTCTATCAAACATGTTTTTATTAAATAAACCAAGATAATATTGCTAGATAGTTAAATAATCATTTAAAGGATAAAATTTATCTGGTAATGCTAATGAAATCAAATTTAAAGTAACTAATATCTAATCTACCTTTCAATTTAAGCTTCTCATTTTCAGTAATTGTATGGTTCTTATATAATTCTGCACTGAAATAAAATAGCTTTGCGTGAGGTAATTATAACTTTTCCATTTTTATTGGTTTTTGATGAGTTGTTAATTTTCTAAATTCTTAAAAATTATTAAAAAGAGTTTTTGTTATCTTTTATTAGATATATAATTTATTATAAACATTATTATTGAATTTTTTGTTATTTGTAATGATTTAATTTAAATTAATAGTAATATATCATAAAACTAAAAACAATTTAATTTTGTAGATAAATAGAAAAATAAATTATTTAATCAAGAAATATCATCCCATTAAATGTAAAATCTAAGCTTTTTCATTTTATTTCACTTTTATATATCGTTTTAAATTAAAAGTCTGATTAAACATAATTTATAACACCACAAAATAGCACATTCATAATTTTATTTTACTAAGATTTTTAGATTCTATCTAATCTTTTTTGTTTGTTTGTTTGTTTGCTAATTAATATCCATTATCAAATAGGGTTTTTAGATTTATCTAATAGAGTTTCTCAATAATTGAGGCAGAGTTAATAAATAAATATATATCTACTTTCAATATTTAAACTTATAAAATTTTTTCCTTATTTTTTATAGTTTTTTAGATTTTATCCAAAAGAGTGGTTATTCTTTCTCAAAGCATTATTGAAAAATTTATCATTTTTGTGGTAAAATTAACTTTAAATTTTCTTTCAAATTTATGATTCAATTTTACATAAATTAATTTATGATGAATTTTATTTATTTATTTTCTTTAAAATCATTAAAATTATTATACAATTATTAGTGAAAGTAGCAAATTTAAAATTATTTAAGTTTCATTCATATATTTTTTAAGATTTATTAATTAGAAAATAAAAAACTCATATAAAATTTTTTTTCATAAAAATTTTATTTAAAAATTAGTATTTGAAACTAAGTTAAAAATTATACAAAATAAAATATTTAATATTAGCTCTTTATAAAAAATTTAAAGATATAATTAATAAACTGTAATCAATTAGTTGCTTTTTAGATAATTAAGCATATCAAAAAAATATAAAATATAAACCAGTCAGTCAATATATTAATTTAAAGTAGCAAAAAATTAATTGTCGATAAATGTTTACAGATAGAAATTTACATAGTAAAAGTAATTAGAATTTAAGAGATTAGACTGGATCTTTTGGAGATTTAGACAATGTTGCTTAGATCTCATCAAAAAAATACCTGAAAACTATTTCTTCGCCTCAAATACTTGCAAGAAGTATTTTAAAACTTATTATTTACTAGATTGAATAATTTAATACTCAAATTTTTAAATTCAGAGATTTTTAACTCAAAAACTCAATAAAATTATTTTGTTCTATTTAAAATTGTTTTTTGAATTTACTATGTAAATAAAAATAGAAAATCACTAATAGGTTAATTAGAATAAGTTTAGTGTTAAGCTTGAGCCATTATAACTAAATCACAATCAAAAATACTAAAATAATACTTAGAATAGTTTAATAGATAATTCAGACTATTATTTGCAGTAGGGAGTGTCTACTGGTAAATCTTAGGTTTCAAAAATAGATTTAAGGTCTTCATAAGTAATCGATGAAAGTGGAAATAACTCTTAAAAAAATTCTACTACAGCAAGATAAGCAGAAGGTGGCTTATAAAATGAATTAGATATTCGCAATAATTCAACACCATAAATTAAAAAAAGCATGAATATGACACCTATAAAAAGTACCAAAAATTCTGAATTTTCAAGCAGAAGGTTTAATGAAGTAATTGCTTTTATTTTAATAAATTATTCTTATCTGGATTTTTAATAAGACATCTAAAAGCATGATGCAAAAATCACAAAATGATGAATCCTTACTTGAGAATCAAAGCTACTTTAAATTATTTGAAACAAACAAGCGAATAACAATAGTAAAATAGATTTTATTTATTTAAATAAATTAAATTTTCCATTAGTAAAATCAAAAAAGAGAAGAAGCTCTTAATGAATTAATATCATAGATTTAGAGTTTTTTAAACTAGTAGCCAAATCATTAGTAAAAAGAAGCTACTACTATATCAGAAGCTCTCAATCATCTAATGGTAACAATAGAAAATGCATAGAAAAATGAAATGGAAGTAAATGAATAATTATTTTATTTATATTTCTTATAATTTGAGAATTTTTTACTTAGCTAAATAAAGCAATGAGGGAAATGCATAAACAGTTAAAAGAAAACCTTAAACTTTAGATGGAGAGTGAAATTTATAAAAACCAAACTAAGTTAGGCTCAGAGGAGTTGTTTCTATATAAATAAAAATATGATGGAGCTTAGGCAGACATCAGATAGCTTAAGAAAGAAAATATTTAGCTGCACCACATCAATGATGAAATTAGAAAAAAAAATTAAATTTATGAGAAGAGACTTGAGCTACTCTCAGATTTTAATCCAGAGAAAAAAATAACTATGGAGTCAAATTTAAACGACTCTTTTATTAACTAAGATAAAAACTAGTCTTTTGAAAATAGCAACAAAAAGCCATCGCAAGAAGAGATTAAAAGTATGAATAAAATATAGCAAGATAAAAGTGAAAAAAATAATTAAAGCAAAGCTCCACCTGCATTATATAAGAATGGTTAGATGCAAATTGTCCTAGCTGAACTAGTGAAAGAAAATGAAAATTATAAGAAGCAATTAAAGATGAAGGATTAAGAAATAGAGAGATTAAAAGAACTTAACTATAAATAGTAAGACAAAATGAATAGATTATACAAAAAAATAGATATGATAAAAATGAAAAGGACAAACAAAGATGAAGATAATAAAAATAGTAATAATCATAATGATGAGGATAAATTCAACTTTGAAAAAAATGAATTACCAGTTTCAACAGATTTTAAAGTTCAAAATATATCACTTAGATAGTAAAGTAAGAATGACTTAATTAATTATTTTATTGATTAAAAAAAAAAATTGAATTATAATAAAATAGATTTCTTAAGTGATTTATAAGAGTAAGGAAAAGAGAGCTACCTAAGTTAATTTGAGGATGATAAAAAAGATTAAGTCGAACTCATAATTTCTTAACTTAGCTCCTATAGAGAGTATTCAGAAAAAGTTAATTCTATGATCCATGAAATTATGTATTTAATAAACTTTACTAGTATTAATGATATAATGGTATACGTAAGTAGAAATTTTAAACAAAACTTCTAAGCTGAAAATGTTCATTTATGGGTCAGAGAAGCCGTAATACATAAATAAATAAAATGAATTTAAATATTTTAATAAATTTTTCAGTTAAATTAATTAATTTAATAATAATTTATTTATTTATTTAAAGGAAACCGGAATTTTAAGAACTTATAATTAATAAGGCAAAGAATTGAGAGCTTTAACAACGAAGGGTATATTTTAAAAGTGCATTGACTAATAAAAAATTATTAACTGTAAATTATTTATTTATGATACAATAGTTATTAATTTAATTGTTTAATTTAAAGACAGTTCTTCTAAAGAAGTAACACTATATCAAAATACTGATGGTCACTTAGTTTGCCAAGATAAATGCGTTGTATTTCCCATATATCTACAAAGCTCTCAAAATAATCCATAAAATCAATATCTTGTTGGAATTTTTGAGGTCAGCAAGCTTTTTAGCGATAGAATGGAATTGGATGAGTAGTATTTATCTATTTTCCTGACTAAATTTTTGCGCTATATATTCAAGAAATTGCATGAATGGAATGTAGTCACTAATTAATTAAGGTATAAACTAATTATTTATTTCTTAGCTTAATTATATTTAATTAAATATTGCTCATTAGAACTTCTACGATGAATTAAGAATTTTTTTAAGAGCTCTGCACTAGTAAATCGAAATATCAATTTTCTCAAATTATCAAAAAATGGGCTAGTTCTATTTTACAATCAAATGCTGCCTAATTTGTATTTGTAGAAGATGATTATATTATTTTGTATTAATCAAACTCTTAAAAAATCTAAGTATCATCAAAAATCAGCTTAACAAGCTTGATAATATAAAATAAAAAATCTATGATATTTTATGATAGCAACAAATAAGTAGAATACTAAAAAGATATTGATGTACAGTCTATTCTGCCAATTTATTATCATCCAATAATAATTGAAGATGAAACTCAGAAGCTTAGTACTAACAATGAAAATAAATTTGATGAAACAAAATCGTATTTATTTAATATATCAATTAAAAATTTTGAATTAAAGAATTAAAATAAAATAATTAAAAAAGGAAAAAAGTTGTTGGAGTTGTATAATTTGTAATTAAGTCTAGGAAGTAAATAGCTTAATCATAAATAAGCGAGATAATAATTGTTGATTAGGGATTATTAAGCTATGACATTGATTACAAATGTTTTTGTGAATACATACAGTCAGCATATGAATTGGTCTTTGGTAATAAAAATAGCTGAAGTCATAAATTAATTAATTAAATTTTAATTTATTGTTGAAAATTAAATTCAAAATCTTTATTTATTTATTTATTTATTACCTTAAAAGATTTGTTTGATAAACATTTTATGATTAAAATTAATTATAAATTTAAATATCCTTAAACAACATAAATAAATTTATTTGCATTATACATATTTAAAACTCAATCAAAGTCCTCTTCGTAATCATCTTCTTAATCTTTATGTTTTTAACCTTTTTAGGTTTCTTTTGCTTTTTCCTGATCAAGTACCTCTTTTTACTATTAATCTCCTTATTGTTTATTTTCTGAATTTTTATTTTCAATTAATTCTCGGTCGGCATCATTGATTTCATACTAAGTTCCAGAGTCTTCTTCAAGTTCAAACTCCTCTTCATACTCCACAGGTTCTTCTTTTTTATTTGCTTGATTTTCTTCTTGGACAGTTTGATTCTTTTTTATATTATCTTCATTATCAATTGACTCTTTTTATTCAGGAGTTGCTTACCTATGTAAATCTGTGTTTTGATTATTATTTTGTTTTTATTTCGATTAGAATGATTCTTAACTAACATTCTTTTTGTAGCCAGTGTCATTAAAAGAAAACTTTATCATCTTTTTATTTACTTCTTCATGGGGATGGTGATTCACTATCTACTCATTAGGTTTTTCGAATTCATCTTTTTTCTTTTGCTCTTCTTCTTCATCAAACTTTTCAAAGGGATCTTCGTACTCTTCTTCTGTATTTTGCTTATCGTTATTATTAAGCTAATTTTATTTTTATTCTTCTTCATCGTCATCAAATTCATCATAATCATCTTCATATGTATTTTCAATTTGCTCTTCTGTAACTTTTTTGTCATTTTTTATTGGATTTTTTTTATTCTGTTAACTTATGGCTGCTTTATTTTGTGAGTTTTTATTGGGTTAATTTTTATTTTAAATCTATTTAGACTTTTCTATAGATTTGTCTTAATTTTTTTTCTAATTATTCTATTATACAGTTTGTGGTTGTTTATTTTTTTAATTTAAATTAGAATATTTTTAAATATTTGCTTTATTGTTTATCTCTTAATCTTTGCTAGTATTAGTTTTAGCTTTTTATTTTTCTCTTAAACCATTTTGAGATTAAATTTATTCTGAGTTTTTCTTGTGTCCCTCTTTTTGATTAGGAGAATAACTGTTTAGTCTTCTTTTTTAGCTCAATTAGGCTTCAGAGGAAGAGGGTTTGAAAAATTTTTTATTTTGGCTTTTTGTATTGCCATCTAAAGATTTGTTATGTGAACTTCCAAGTTTATTTTTTTTATAAGGCGATACATGATCATCATCGCTATCTTAGATTTCTCCTTCTTTTGAAAGCAAGTCAGTTGAATTAAAATTTTTTGTTTAATTTAATGACTTTAATTTATAAACAGTTTTTGTTTAAATAGGCAACAAGTGAACTGCTTGTTTTGGTTTCTAAAAATGAATAGTCATTTCATATTTATTCAACTGAATTCTCTTAAAAAGCTCGTTAATATCTTCGTTGCAATCTTTTCGGTAGAATTTTATTCCTTTTGATAATTTAAACAAAATTTTAATATAATTAATCTCAATTATAAAACTACCCTCTGCTTCTCTTATTGAGTGTTTATATATTTCTCCTTTAGCATTTTCTAATTGAATTATGAACTCTCTATTTTAATCATAATAGAAATCAAGATTAATTTAAAATATTTGTGATATTCTATTTATTTAAATACCCTTATTCTATTTTAATTTCAGCAAAATAAGGTTCATCATGTATGATGGCTGTCTTCCTGTAAATTATTTTTCGCTATTCTCTCATTAATTTCTTTAAGTAATTAGTTCTCTCAGTATCACCTTAATTTTTTTTAGGTAAATTTCAAAAACAAAGAAGAATAAATCATATTTTTATAAACAATTGATGTAATAAAATAAAATTTACTATGCATCGTATGATAAAATTTAGAGGGAACAGTAATGTTACTAATTACTAAAAATTTTTCTTTCTCTTAGTTATATTATTGATTATTTATTCCTATTAAGGAATGATTTTCAGTCAGCTAAATAGACTCATTATTTATATTGGTTTATTGTAATTGAACATTTGAAGAATTATTTGCATCTATTATAGAAGACTGGTCTTTGAAGATAGAAGACATATTATTTACATTACCAATTTGTGTACCACTTTTAACGTTTCCATTCTAATCATACTAAATAGAAGCTTTTAAATTCTCGTCTTTAAGTTGATTTTTTGTAGTACCAAAGTTAAAAGCAGATCCATGTTTATCACTGCTAGTTCTATGGGCTTTAAGATTTTGAGTTTGCTGATAATACTATGGAAATTCGCTTCTAACCAATAGAATTTTCTTTCTCTCTTCTGCTTCTTACTCCCATTTTTTAACATCAAATATGCTCTTTGTCTCTTAAATTCTCCTAAAAATAACTTAATTTTCTTAATCTCTTTGCTATTTTTACTTTTTAAAAAACCCTTAATGTAAAGTTCCAAGGTGTTGAATTTTATTTGTAGCTGTGACATTTCCAACAGCAGTTATCGAATTTAAATTAGTTTTATTTGAATTTGTAGCAATAGAATAATTAAGGTTAAATGTTCTCATTGAGGAATTAGCTTGTATACTTAAAAGTCGTTTAACATGAACATCATTTTATTTTTATAACTCAAGCTGCTAAAAGAAATTATGATTCTGCTTTCTTACTATACTACTTGTATTATTCTAATGATCTACGCTACATTTAACATTCTGAAGCTTTTGCTAATGAATTTCCCACTCCTTTTTTTTATCTTGGTTAAAAATGATTTTGCTTGGTGCTTTGAACATTTTGTAAACTCCTTTAATATCTTTAAGAAATAATCTTTGATACTTTACAAAATCTAAATTAATGATTTTTTTTTTTTTAATATCAAGGATTAATAATGAAAATGAAAAATTTTTTAATTAATTCAGTGAAGTTATAAATCCGTAAGTAAAGAATAAAAAGAATAAATTCATTTATAAAATCAAAAACTATTACTTATCTATAATTTTTGATGAACATTCAGTACAAAATTTATTTATTTAATTATGCTTTCACTGATTTAATTCAAGCAAAATATTACAAATCAATCATTAAGATATTTCTAAATATACAAAATAAAAATATAAATTAGTTTGTTATTTATCTAATCGATAAGATCTATTCTGTCTGTCTTGATAATTTACTAAAAAACTTTATTAAAATTAATTTTTTCAAGTACAAGATTTTTATTTTATTTATCATAGTTCCTATTATTCGATTTTCAATATGATTTATTCAGTGAAGTTATAAATCCGTAAGTATAGAATAAAAAGAATAAATTCATTTATAAAATCAAAAACTATTACTTATCTATAATTTTTGATGAACATTCAGTACAAAATTTATTTATTGAATTATGCTTTCACTGATTTAATTCAAGTAAAATATTACAAATCAATCATTAAGATATTTCTAAATATACAAAATAAAAATATAAATTAGTTTGTTATTTATCTAATCAATAAGATCTATTCTATCTGTCTTGATAAATTAATAAAAACTTTAATAAAATTAATTTTTTTAAGTACTTGATTTTTATTTTTATTTATCAGAGTTCCTATTATTCGATTTTCAATATGAATTTCCTTATGTATTGATAAGTACTTGAATTTTCCCATTAGGAAGCTATTTGTTTTATTTTATTTTAACTGAAAGTGGACTATCTACTTAGTAGTACTCTCCATCTATCTGAAAGTACGTTGTAATTGGATTTTATTTATTTTCACCTTACATTTTTTTAAATTTTAAAACAAAAGGTCCTTTACCTTATGCTACTCGAGATGCTTATCCACTTATAAACCTTTCATTAGCCAAGCTAATTGCTGATGTAAAAGATACAAATTCAACCATACCATCTCCAAAGTCTTACTTTTAAAATTAATCTTAAACTTTATTATGGTCAAACTTCTCCAAACCTACCTACCCTTTACTGCTTGTCCATATTTTGTTTGTTCCTCCAGCATAAGAGTTTATATTTAGAATAAGTAAGCAAGCAGGATTTCCTTTCAAAATATTATTATTCTTTTTATCTTCAATTTTTTTTTGCTAAGACTCCCTAAGTTATTCTATAAAATGATTAGTCAAAACAAAAATAAATAGTACTATTTACATGCTTATTATGCAGTTAATGCCATCGAAGCGCTTCTTGTATTAAAAATAACTTGCTTATTAGAAAAATTATCTTCTATTGAAATGTCTAATTCCGATATCTATTTATTGTTTTTTATTTTAGGCATATTGATTTTTTTTTTTTTTCAAATATGAATTTTAATTTCACCTTATCTTAACTAACATCTTCTTCATGAAGCTCTTCTAACGCATCAACTACCTAAGATATTTTAGAAGTCCTTAAAAATGTTTTTTTGAATCCTTCCCAACAATAAACACACTTATTGCCTATTTAAGAAGTTGTTCTATTCTTATCAAAACCGATTCCTATTCTTGCATCAATTCCTATGCTAAAATAATTTGACATAGGTTTTTTCATAATTTTCAAAATATCTCCATTACTATCCTTCATTTATTTTTTTACAGCCTTTCCATTTTCTTTCTCTATTCTTTTAAATGATCCATTCTTTATATATGAATATAATTTCTATATTATTAGTAAAAAAATAAAGAAAAAGTATATATACCTCACCTGCTTTGAATTTAATTTCCCAAATATCAAAAGGTGCTACTTTCGCTTTAATCCATTTTCTGACCATTTCCTTAAGCCCTTTGAGATTTTTACCGATATAGTCATCAGGTACGCCTCCTCCCCAACCTATAATAAATTAATTAAGTATATTAAAATAGAAGCTTACATCAAAATCAGTATTTTTAAATTCATCTTTCTTACCTAAAACTCTAGAGAAATCATTTCCTGTACCAAAAGGCACAATTCCAATAGGAATACTACTTAAATCCATTTTCTTATTCAACATTTCTTAAATAACCCACATAACAGTACCATCGCCTCCTCCTACAATTACTCTAATATTTTACCTTCCTATAAATATTAATCAAAAAATTATGGTGAACTAATAACTTTAACTAACTTAAATACCACTATCTTATTTATGTTTAAGTAATGTGAATCCCCTTTCTTTATTTTCTCCATTTTTTAAATCATAAAAAAAAACTTCAACTTATTAATTTTCTTTATCACCTTTATTCATTTCTAAAACAAAATTTATTCTTTCAGCCTAATTATTTTAAAATTTCAAGTTAAAAATGCTTATATAGTTAGCACAGTACCTATATTTTTATAAAATTTGCTGCTTAGTTGCCTCCACTAGTAGAGTTAACAAATAAGAAAAATGTAAAATTTGGGTCAAACAGATTCTCATCATAGTTATGAACTAACTATTCCTTCATACCCTTTCTTTCTAAATTAGATGTATCTCTATTTACGATTTCTATGTCATCCTAAATATCTATGTCTTTAAATATTTTATAATTATATTAATCATCAACACAAAAATTTCTTAACTATAGGTATTCGAATAAATAAAAAATTACTTTTAGATTAGTTATCTTAAGTAAAAAATGGGTTAACACTTATATTCTACTAAAAGTGTTATTAATGTTAATTAGGTTATGTATCTAAAGTTCTTGTAGTATGAATCGTTTAATATGGAACCTCTGAACCTATATTTTAATTTTTTGATTCAAGTTCTATTACATTTGTTAATTTTGCTTTTAAATCACTTTAGAATGTTTAGTCTTGATCCATTTTAATGTCTTATTCAACAATTTTAATTAATTTTTGCAAAAAAAAAAAAAATTTTGTATAAACTTAATTCTTTACAGATACCAACAACAAATTATTAAAATAAATCAAATATAAAAAAGAAATTTTTGACCTTATGACATTCTGTGTTAATAAAGTTAAAAATATTTAAGCAAAATTGATAAATAAATATATGTCATATGTTTACATAAATATTCTTAATATGCTAATTATATTTTTTTAAATTTTTAAAATAATAACTACTTTGATTAATAACATACTCTTATTTAACATTATAAATATTATCTAATATAATTTCTCTTATTGTAAATAATTAAACAATTTTGTGACAAAACTCAATATATTTCAGTTAAAAATTCTTTTAATACTTCATTTTAATATTAATAATATAATATTTGTAAATATATTTTAGACTATTTAAATAATTTTAATGATCAATATCAGAAGATTTATTTGAGAAGTCTGATTATTTTAAAATAATTTACTCCACTTAATTAGCATTTAATGTAGTTAAGTCTTAAATAAATAGAATTAGAAATTTTTGAAAAAATCAAACAAATTATTAATTAAATTTATAAACAATATTCAAAATTAGTCTATAAAGCAATATAGGAGTAGTCATTTTTTAAAATACCAAAGATAAAATAAAATAAAAGTTGAATTGATTTTTGATATCTGAAATTACTTACTTAAAAAATGGACTTAGAAAGCTAAGTAGGCCCAGAAGATTTAGCAAGGAGCCTTATTAGAGAGTTTTTTTTAAAATTAGGGTATAAAAACTCATTAGATATATTTGAAAAAGAGGATAAAAGACCTAGGGTAAAAATGACCAAGCTTGATTTAATTAAGTTTCTCTCAATGGAGAGACTAATCAAAAATAATAAACAAAAAATTCAACCATAATAGACCATGCTTGAAATCTTAACTGATTATTTATTTTCGAAATTCAAGGGAAGATAAACAAATGGAGGATTAAGTGGTGATAAAACCAATACAAATTTAGATGAAGGGTAATCTGTTTATAGTTAAAATATTAAAAATTAAGAATATTAAGACAGTCTTTATGGTTCTTAAACTAATATAACAAATAAAATATCAAATGCAACAGGATTTAATATTCATAGGCCTCTAAGTGATAATAACTATTCTAATAATGTTTCCACTGGAAATTCAAATATAAGTAACGGCAGTAATAATATTGGAGTAAATTCATATTTAAGCTAAAAAAATAATGGACATATTTCTGGATTTAGCTCCCATATTAGCAACAGTACAAATAATAGTAATAGCTAACCACATTCATCAAATTAATCATGGATTACACAAAATACTTTAAACAATCCCTAATCTATAACTGCAGAGCAATCCAGACCTCCTAAATCAGCTGGCTAGTAAACTCAAAATCCAAATAATATCAAAGGAGCATAATAATAGCAAGGTATTAAGCCCACATAATAACTAAAAGATTTCTCACAAGAAAAAGAAAGTGATTATTTATCTTATTTAGAAGACCAAAGTAAAAAAAGTAGCAACAATAGTAGCGGGTTAAATATTGGAACTCCTTAACAAGTTGTTGTAAATTCTGCAAACGCAAATAAAGACACAGCTTCTCCCTTCATAGACTAAAATTTAGCAAAAAATTTTAACTAGCCAAATATTAATAATGATGATGGAGAGTTTAAATTCGAATCCAGAAGAGGTAACATGAAAAAAATTGCAAGGCCTCCTTCCAGTGATAAAAGGAATTTACAGTAAAGTGAATAAATAACTTCTATCAGAACAAGTATCAACGGATAGTTAGATACAAATGTTACAAATAGTAATGTAACAACCACTAAAAACCAGAATTCTGAGTTCTTTAACAATTTTAATGAATTGATAAATTAAGGTAGTATCTAAAATAATAAGTTAGATTTTAATGATCCCTTATTTGGAGAAGTTACAAATTAATCTCAGTTACTTCATCAAATGCCAAACAAAATCAGTAGTAATAACAATAATAATGACTCGAACGAAAACGCTGAGTTAAAAAGACCTGTGTCACGTTAAAATAAGTCAAATGTAAATGAATAGTTTTAATCATCTAATTAAGCTTCATCTAATGTAGAGGAATCAAACAACTCTAAGCAATTCAATTTTTTCAATAAAAAGAAAAAATAGGAAGATCCATCTTAGGAAAATAATAAATAATCTTCTTAAAGTGCTATGAATTAAATACATGAGGAAGATGATTTTGATAAGATGTTAGGAGCTAATTAAGCAATTACTTCAATTAAACATATTGAGAATCCAAAGAAAAAAAAAGGAATATTTGATGAGGATGATGACGACTTAGATTTCTCATAAAATTAAAAAAGTAGAAGAAAAGCAAGTCAGTAGGATACAAAAGAATAAATAGGATCTGACTTAAATGATACTGAACATGCAAAAATTAACTTCTTTGAACCAGGAAAAGTTAATTTTGATTTCTAGCCTCCTAAGATAAACTTTTCTAAAACTGCAGGGATATAGACTTTTTCTAAGAAAAATATTTAGAGCCTAAGTGGAATTGAAGTTCAGGATATAAAAAGACTTCTTTTTAATCAGTCATAAAATAAATTTCTTCCAGCTTCATGGTCATAAGGATTTATTTTGAATGAAAATGATGATTGTTTTTATGGCCTTTTCTAAAAGGAAGGTGGTCCTTGTGGAGTCATTGCCTGCGTTTAAGCTTTCTATTTAAAATATTTATTTTTTGTCTATCCAACAACATCACAAACAGCAGGGAGAAATTTATAAGATTTCAAAAATAAGATAATAAAAGAAAACTGCTTAGTCGCTGCCTTAGCAGAAATATTATTTAACTGCAGAGGAGATGATGGAGTTATCCGCTTTGCAATTATTTAAAATTAATCAGGTGCTAACAGTTCTTCATAATCTGCCCCTATAGATTGCTGTGGATATATTTCAACAAAGGTTTAAACTATAGAGTAAGCATATGAAGCATTACATGCTTATAAATCAGACTACATTGGATAGCACAATTAAGGCGTCACAACTTTTCTTTATAGTGTTATATTAACAAAAGGAATCAAAGCTATTTAAGAAGAAATGGATAGCTCTGAAAATGCACTAATAGGGCATCATGGTCATTGTTCATAAGAATAAGTTAATTTATTCTTGACAGGTAAAGCACGTTCGAATTGTTTTGATGGAGAAAAAGTATTAGATGGTGATTACAAACTTAAAGGAATAGACAGCCGCTCTTAATTTGGTTTTCTTACAATATTTGAGCATCTTAAGTATATTGAGGTAGGTTCCTATTTAAAAACTCCCCTTTTTCCCATATGGATAATTTGTAAAGAGTATCATTACTCAGTAATTTTTGCAAAAGATTTTAGAGCTAATGAAAAAGCTTAACAACCACACTTTGATTTAGTATACTACGATGAATTGTATAATCCATAAGATAGAATTATTTTAACCGTTACATAGAAAAAATATGCAAAATCAAATTATATTTCTTCACAATCTTCAGACTAACAACACTTCTTATTTAACAAAAAAAATGACGAAGATGATGATATGATTCCTGTAATTGAGCTTGTAATGCGTACAAAATGGGGTAAAGAGATAAAAGTTGATTGGAATGGTACATAACCTATATTATGAAAATAAAAAAATAAAAGAATTCTTTATGCTTCTAAAATAATATAAAGAATAATTAAAATAATTTATAAATAAATTTTGCTTTTGATGATTCATTTAAAAATAAACTAAAAACAAATATTATGTGAAATAATTTATTTTATTTGGTTGAGTTAGTGAAAAAATTATTATTTTTAGTTTTATAAATAATTAATTAGTTAATATTATAAAAATGAATATTTTTTGTGTTTAAAAAGTGATAATTTAACAACTTGCTTAATTTTAATGCAAATTAAAATAATTTATTTCTTAATTTATAATTTTTTATTTTAAATTTAAATAATTTTATTTTAGATACATATTATTGGTATTTATTTCTTTTTTTATTTAAAGATTAATTACAATAAGGTTTGTTATCTCTTAAGTTATATCATGAAAATGATTAAATTAAATAGTTATTTACATTTCTCTAAAATAAAATACATAATTGTTAAAATAATTTTTAATTAGATTTCGCTTATGAGGATAGATAAAATTACCAAAAGATATTAATGAAATAATTCATTTTAATTAAATAATTAATAGATTAGCTAATAACCTATCTCATCAATATTAATATAAAATAAAGTAAAATAATTTATTTATTAATTTATCATTTTCGATTTAAAAATGAAAAATTCTATTTTTTAATACAAATCATTTGTACATATTTTATTTATTTATTTATTTTGTTTATTAATTATCAGTTTAAATGAATAAAGATTTAATTCTATTATCTATTACACTAAAATATTGCTTTATTTTAAAGAATTAATTATTTTAAATATTTTTCCGAAATTAATGAAAAACAAAAAGATACATACAAATTTTTATAATTTATTTCAGCTACAACTTTTTTGATAAATTTATTAATTATTTATAAGGCAATTAGTTAGGCGAAAAAATATAAATATCTTCAATAAAATGTCAAAGAAATAGCAGGCAGATATTTTGTAGCCTAAAAAAGTAACAAATCTCAAAGATTTAATGAACGTAGGCTATTTTGAGTATGCTTAAAAGGGAGATTCAATATATACTTTAGTGCCATATGTTACAAATAAATAGCTACATAATTATACTAAAATACTCGAAAAAAACAAAGATCCCTAAAATGTTTCTGAGCAAAAATAAAAAATAAAAAACGATATTAAAAGGGAAATGTAAAGAAATCATTTATTTTATTTTCACTTTAGTTAAAGGGTTATAATTTTGTATTTAAGGATGGATTATGAAAGCTAAAACATAATTTTTTAGCTTTAAATCATTTATTTTTTTACATTTTAAAGATTATGCAGAATAAATAAGCTGAAAAATTTATGCATTTTATATAATTCAAATTAGAGAAAATTTACGTAAAGAAATTGGAGGATGCTATGATGTCTTAAAGAATCTTGGTTCATTTTAAGTAGTTAAAACAGAAAGATTTGATTTACCTGACAATATTAAAGCAAAAGATGTAATTACATCTATGCTGATTCGTAAGCAAGAAATATCAGTAACTAGGAAGATGTTTTAGGATGGTTTATAATCAATTAGAGAATGTCTAGAATAGCAAGAAAATACAATTAAATAGTAGCAAAAGTATAAGCAGTCATTTTACATATCTTAAAGTTCCTAAGTATCTTCTTATAAGCCTTTCCCTTATAAAAAAATTGATAATTAGATTTATATAAACTTCTACAACATACCTATCTTTAATGATAACCAAATCGCTCCTTTAAATATATCCCCTTATTTACTATTCATCCCTCTTCAAGTAAGATTTTTTTTAAATCCTTCATCATTATTGAGAGAAATATAATTAATAACTTTTAAATAAATATAAATGAATAAAATATTTAAAATTTCTCAATAAAATTATTAGTATAAAAATGATTAAATAACTGCTAAGTTAGCTGACGTTTACAGAACAACTCCTGATATATTTGAAAAGCAGTTGATAATAAAGGTTGTTAAAAATAATACTCTAGGTCAAGATCCAGAAAAACTTGGGCCAACAATCTAATAAATATCGTTTTTATTTAAAGTAATGAATTAAATCTTTTTAACATAAATAACCATAAAACTTTAAAAATAAATAGCCTTAATTAAGTGAAGAGGATGGGGATGAAGACGATGAATCTCAGATATAAAAGATATATTAACTAAGATACAGAGTATATGAAAGGGTTATTTTTAACAAGTTAATAAATATTTGTAACAAATTCGTCCCTAAATAATTATATATCTACGACACATCAGTCTATCCAAACTTATCTGTATAATTAATTACTTCTAAATTTTTTTCTTATTAATAAACAATTAAAATACTTTAGATATTTATTGATGACAGCTATACTCTAAAATTTGAGTTGAAAAAGCTGAGCTAGGAAGAAAAACGATTCTATGATAAGAAAAATTCATACATGTCAAGAAAACAACAAGAGGAAAATATAGCAAACTAAATTTCTTATAGCACTACAAGATCTCCTTATACACTAAATTTATATAGTGTAAATAAATATTTAGATTTAAAAAATAATATTATAATCACTAATTACTATCAAATAGAATTTGTTTAATTATATGACAAAGATGCCATCACATCGCTCATTGATAAAATATATAATTGAAATTAAGATAACAATTGCTTAGAAATTGTTCCTTTATTAACCTGTAAATAAATAGATTCCAAATAAAATTATTACAACTTTAACATTTAAATTTTTAAAAATCTAGAGATTTCAAATAAATGTCATAAGAAACTAAAATGAAGAAGTTGTTTATATTGGTGCTCATATTAATAGAACTTCTTCTAAATCGAATTAGGAATAGCAGTATGATACTTAACTTAAAATTACTCCTTTTACTACAGAATTTTAGCAATTAAATAAATGTAAAATTTTCTTTGAATATTCATTTTAAAATTATTAAATTTGATTCCTTAAAATAAATATCTGAATAACTTTTTATCAAATTTAGTGAGCTATACTTTTTCAAATTCTTTAAGCGAAATTCCAAGATTCTGCAAAGAAATGTTATTTGTCTCAGATACTGGTATAATATCTCAGAGAAACCAACTCAGAAATTGGGAATTAGCTTAAATGAATCTATAATAATAGATGATGCCAGCATAAACTCCTTAATGATTAATTCAATTTAATTTGAAATATTTAAATTATTTATTTATTTATTTGTTGCATTTAATAAAAAATAAATGTTAATCTTTTGAATATTAATTAACCATTTCATGTTTCTCATAAAATAAGTATATTTAATTTAATGTCTAAAAACAATTAATATTAACCAATATAAAAAAATGTAAGTTTTATGAAATATTAATATTATCCACAAACTATTTATTTTAAATAATTACTTAACTCACTTGATTAACTCAATTAATAAAAGTAATGGTAAATGTGTGATCACTTTTCTTATTAAATTTGTATTTTGATAAAATTCAAAGGCTAATCAATTTGATGCATTTAGATATTTGAAAGATTTTATTAGCTTTTAATTTTAATGGTTTTTATTAGTTTAAAATGTAAGGAGCTCAAGCAGCATTTAAGCTAAAAGATAGCAGTTTAACACCTTTAATATATATCAAAGAAAAAAAAAGATAAATAGCAAAATTTATTAAATATTTGTATTATTTCTTGAAAATTAGTGTTTTATAAGAATAAATCTCTGTATTTAAGAATAATAATTACCTCATAAAATATTAATTAGTTAATTGATTAGTGACTATTATTTTACAATATTATTAAAAACTTAATTAATTTAGTATAATAAATATAAGATAAACTAAATAATTTAGCAAAATATTCAATACTTTTAAAGGGAGCCTTAAGAGTTAGTTAACAAAGTATTAGATTTAGCGATCTATTATTGTTTGAAATACTTAATTTCTATTGTTGCTTTTGATATTAAAATACTATAATGAATAACTAACAGAAAAGATCTGTCATTGATTGCTAGTAGCATATATTAAATCCTAAATATTAAAATGGTAGAAGAAATTTATCATCTCAGAATTCTCAAAGCACTAAATCTTAGCAAGAAGAAAAAATATAGCCAAGAAAGGCTTAAGAAAATCCAATTTTTAGAGTGACCTTAAAAGACGACTATAAATTGAATGAGATTTAATAGGATATTTGCAGCCCTTACTTTGATAATTAAGCACAAATTAAAAATAAAAAGAATGGATCACTATCTTCTTACAGAGCAAGTTAGTCTTAATAATAGTTAAATAGCAAAACATTTTACAATTGGATGAGCAATTCTTACACAAACTTTGATAATCTAGAGCCTTCAAATAATTTTGAATAACTGAAATAATAAAATTAAATTAACTAAGATACTGTTTCATACAAGTAGGTATCTACTGGCTCTTGTCACAAAGTGATTAAATTTTAGAGCTTAAATAACATAGAGTCCTAAAATACAAACAAATCAAATAGTTAGTAATTATTTTAATTAATTTCGCAATTAAATTTAATTTTATGATCAGTAGATTGATTTTTAATTAAAATTTATATAATAAATTTATAATCGGTAATTTGTTCATTAAATTATTCAAGCACCTAAGACAATTTTAGTCTACTAAGTAATAAAGGCAGGTATATTGTTCATTAAAAAGTAAAAAAATCTACGGAATCTTCTTCTGAGTTACCCTCAACATTTTTTACAACTCCATAATACAAAACTTCCAAAACTTCTTTTAATTCTCTTTAAAATTTAATAAGTAAATTATTTTTACTGATTATTTAATTCAAATAAAATAATGTTTAAATTTAATATAAGTGGATAAATCAGATTAAGAACAAAAGCCAGGAATTTTTTATGCTTCAAACTCTTTCGGAAACTAAAATAATATGTACAAAGTTAACATGAAAAATGATAAAATATTTGCTTAATTTGTGCCGTGCTTTACTTTTTCATCTTAAAATAAGCACAGATAAGCCTCATAAGCACAAGCATAATAAAATTTAACAGGAATTTAATAAAAATCTTAAACTTCTATTGGGTAAATTTATTATTTAAATAGAAAAATAAATAAAAAAATAAAATTGTTTATATTTTAAGGTAATCAAGGTCTTCTTAAAACATATAAGAATAAAAAGAAGAAAATAAGCCTAACATCTTTAAAAGCTCTTAAAACTTAGATTATGAATAGCAAAAAAAAAACATTTTATTTTAATAAAATAAAATCTAGTATAAATTTGATCTCTTAAACAATTTATTTACTAAAAGCACCCTTATTTAAGGAAAAAGTTTAAATAACGATTTGAAAAAATTTAACCAAACAAATGGTATACATTCATTTTCTTATTCTTTACACCTTAAAAATAAATAAATTTTTGATAACAAAAGGTTTCTAAAATAGAAAATAATTAGACACAAAGTAAAGTAATTTATTTAGAAACTCAAGCTAATAAGAACAAATAGACTCTTTTCAAGTACCTTAATTAAGTAGTCTTCAAAGTGATATAGAAAAGACATAGATAATCCTCAATAATATACCTGATAAAAATGGACTTTTATCTACAGCTACACCTACAGAGCAACCTGACTCTTCACTAAGCTAGGATGAAATACTCTTAAAATAAAGCAATGCTTTCAATAGCAAAGAAATAAATTTTATAGATAGAGTAAAAAGCACTGAGAATGACTAAAATCAAAAGAGCTAGCTTTAATCTTTAGAAGAAAATAAAATATTTAATAGGTATGATTGGACTATTTAAAACAATTAAAATAAGCTTATAAATCAAAATATTCAGCAGAAAGTTGATTCAGAAAATTAAAATTAAAAACTTTAAAGATAAAAACCTTTTAATAGGCATGGGTCGTTATAATTTTTAGATGAACAAGAAAATAGCACATAGTTTAATAAGCAAGGTAAAAGCTATAATGTTTCATCATATACAAAATTACCATCTTAGTGTAAGATAGGGAACTTAAATAAATAAAATATCAATTAAAATAATTAATTTAAGTCAGCCTAAGATATCTAACCCTAAAAAGAAGATTTCTAGGTTGATGAAAAAAAAATGATGGAAGATTATAGACAGTACTTATTAAGAAAAAAATTAGATATTAAATCTAAATGTGTTGCTGTTTATGATTTGGATAAAAAAGAGTTTGTTTTAAGAATAAAAGGGTAAAAACTAAGCTAAATAGCTTCTATAACCAAAATTATGACTTGTTACATTGTCTGCGATTTGCTTAACAAATATGATTTCAAAAGAAATGATGAAATTAAACTTACTTTAAAAAAGGATTAAATTATTACTGTAAGCAAAATAGCCTCTAAAATGATTGGTACATCTGCACTACTTAGGCATGGTGACTAATTAACACTATGGGATTTGCTTCATGGACTTATGCTTCCAAGTGGAAATGATGCTGCTTTTGCAATATCTGAGCATGTAGGCTCGTTGATATATGAAAGTAGTCCAATTTTTTAACAAAAAAAGTATTAAAACCCTAAATTAGTTTCTTGTAACCCCAAAGCAGGTAAATTTAAAAACTTATTAAGAAGTTTTACATTTCAATGGATTTTAAGTAATTTTTATTTATGAAATTTTAAAATCAAGGTTAAAAGGAGTTCATTAAAGTTATGAATCAGTATGCACAAAAGCTAAAACTATAAAAAACATTTTATTAAAATCCTCATGGCTTAACTAATTCAAAAAACAAATCTTGTGCAGATGATATTTGTATCCTTATATCGCATGCTATGAAAAACTAATATTTCAGAGAAATAGTAAAGACTATAGAATATACAGCTAAAATTTCTAATTCTAGGAAAGGTTCTAGAGAATAAACATGGGAAAACACAAACAAATTATTGAAGAGTTCGTGCTATTGTATAGGAGTAAAAACAGGAATTACGCCTGCAGCAGGTGCATGCTTGTCATCCTGCTTTTCAATAAATAACAGAAATTTTGTTATTGTTATACTAAATACTTTAACTTTAGAAATGAGATTTACTGAAACAATTTAAATATTTAAGTTTTTGGTTGATATTTATTAGTTGGATAAGTAATCATCAAACATTTTAAAAGAAGGTTTTGACTATCAGCCAGATTAAGCTAACATCATAGAAAATAAATATACTAAAAATGGAAGATAAATTACAAGCTCTAGTAATTTTCAATCAAACAATGATTTAGAATTAAAAGATGAAAGCGATAGTTAAGATGATTTTTAAGACGAAGATGAAGAAGATGAAGAAAATTCTGATCAAGAAGATGATTCTTAAAAAGTTAGTGCTAATAGTTTTTCAAAAAGAATTAAAAATAAAGATAATGAAAGTGATTCAGAGGAGCAATTAAGTATTAATGATATTTCCGAAATAAAATAAAATATAGATAGGAAAAGTATAAAATCTAATAATTATTCTTCTAATTCTATAAAATCAGGTGAAAATTTAATTGATAATAATTAAAAATAAGCATAAAAATAGTAAATATTTACTGACGACGATGTTATTAACAAAAAGATTTTAAAAAACCATAAAAATAGTGAAACAGAACAAAATAACGAATTCAATAACCTGATAAGATAAAATATTACTTCATAGCAAAGCTAAATTTAAAATTCATTTGACCAATAGGAAAGAAATCAAGAATTAGTTAGACATTCTAGGAGTAAAAAGTTATCAAAAATCCAAGAAGAAGAAAATTGATTTGTTTTGATAAATTAAATATTTAATTATATTTAATTAATTTTACAAAATAAATTTTAAATAAAATTTTATTTAAAATATATTTGTAAATTTTTATGAAACTATATATATTTATTTATCTTTATTTTTTTTTAAATTATTTTTTATCTTGAAGTTTATCAATAAATTTTAGACCTCATCTAAACACACGTATCAGCAAACATATATGCTAAATTAAATTTAATTTGAAGAAAGAAAATCTATAAGATAAAATAAATTAAATATTTAATATGTGTGTTAATTTTATAAAGAACTCAATCTAGTTGAAGTGATTACATAAATTTTAGATATCATAAATAATAATATAATTACGAAATAAATCAAATTCGATTTAAGGAAGAAAAACGATAAGATCAAATAAATTAAGTATTTAATTAAATTTAAATTTACAAGATATATTTTAAATAAAATTTTATTTAAAATATGGTTGTTATTTTTTTTAATTAACTCAATTTATTTTTTTGATTGTCATACATATTGAAATATTAAATAAATTGTATTCTTATAAACATACTTAATTATGTACAAACAATTTATATAGATAAATACTAATCAAAATTATTAGGAAAAAATATGTCAATATATATATGTAATTTGAAAATATTGGCTATTTTATTCAATTTATTTTTAAAATTGTTGAATTAGTTTTAATTTTAAAATAATTAAAGAATTTTATATTAATTTATATGAATTTAAAAATGAATTCAGAAGTTTTCTTAAGTATTTTTAAACTTTTAAATCATAATTTAAATTTATTAAGTAATATTGCAGAAAATAATAAATTTTTAAAAATATTTTTCAAAAATAAAAAGTCTAACTAATTATTATTATAAATATTTTTTCTTTTTTCATTTATGAAAAAGCTTTAACTTTAATTAATTAAGTAAGTTTTTAATTAGAAAAGCAAAAATTGTTTATATTTTATAAAAAAATTAAATAGAAATATAAATTATTTACATTTTATTTATTAAAAAATATTAAAAAAATTTATTTTATTTTATCTTCAAAAAAAAATAAGAAAAAAAACTAATTTTTTAAGTGAGATTATGATATTTTTGAATAGCCTAGATTTCTTAAAATCAATTAACTTTATTAAATTAATAATAGTTGATTAAGTTTATAAATCGCTTAATTTAGAGTTATTTATGGATAATAAATAAAATATGTATCAAATTAAATCTGATATATTGTAAATTTTATTTGATTTTTAATTGTATCTATAAAATGTCACAAAAAAAGCTGTATAATATAATCAAAAATAGATTCTAAAACAATAATAAGTCACAAATAAAAAGATTTTATCAATAAAAAATTACGAGGATATAGATTTAATATATAATAAGTGAATTGATAAGCTTAAACTAAACTCATACATTAAGAGAGGCATTAGGTCTTTTGGTTTGCTTCTCGTTATAAGTGAGAGAATTCTTTTATGCTTTTTCTTTTTCTTTGTTTTACATTTATTAAGATCTTGATTCGAGTTCCTTTTCTTGATCAACATCAAGAGGGGTTAAGGGGAATTCAGATTCGTTTTTAAAGAGGGCTCTTAATTCAAAGTAGTATTTAGCATAAAGAGCACTTTTTACAGTGACATTGTATTAGAGTAATTCAAGGAACTTTTGTTCTAAAGCATTGATTTCTTCAGTAACGAAGAAAGGATAGATGAAAGCAAAGTCAGCATTTGATAAGTACTTGTCATCCCATACTTTTTGTGCTACTAATAAAGAGCAAAGGATAAGAGGACGCCAGTTTGTTGGATAAAGAGGCAAACCTGTGAATGCAATCAATCTATTAATGTAAACTAAACAGATAATGCAGCATTCAGGAGAGAATTTGGCACATTCATAAAGAGCTTTCATAAATTCATAAATGTTATCTACAGATGGAGTTTCACGAAGCAAGGCACGACGAGCTTCATCGAACTCTTCTGGTTTTTCTTCAATATATTTTTCTTCAGAGAAGAAATGAAGGTCAGAACCTTTAGGAACTTCTTTTCCTGATTAGAAATCTTCGTGCATTTAAGAGTGAAGAATAGTAGCTACTGCCTAAATAATAGATTTCACATTTGGAGATGAAATCGTATGACGGATAAACAAAGTATTTGAAGTACTAAACTTTTGCTATTATGGAGCTTTTTGCATTGCTAAATTACGTTTTCTTTTTTTTACCCTATTTTGGAAATTTATTAATAAGTAAATGAGTTTATATTTATTATTATTATTTTTTGATAAATTTTCCTGCTTTTGTGCTGTTGAAGGCTATAAGTTTTTTAAAATAAAATATAAAGAAAAAATAGCATATTTTATTTTTCTTTTTGTGGATCTCAATAGATGTGCATGAATTATTTAATTATAACTAATTTAAGGCTAATTTACGCATTTTTAAATTATATATTCTTCTTTTTATATCATATTTACGAATTAAAATGGCTGGCTGAATTTTTATATTTCTTTTTTTGTTTTAAACTTTCCAATCATGTTCTGCATTAAATAAAATAAAATATAATTCAAAAAGTTTTATGGAGTTATCATCTATTCAAATGTGAAAAATAATCATTATAATAATCATTTGTCATCATAAATCTTGTAGTCCGTAGAATAAAAAATCGATATTCTTTTTAGTTTTTTATTAAAATACAATAGAAAAATTAAGATTTAAACCTAAATTGTACTTAAATAATCCAAATCAATTGAATAAATATTTATAATAAATAATTAGGTAGATCAATTTATTTTTTTTGTTTTTTAATTCAAGCTTTTACTTATTTAAATAGTAATTAAAGATAGCTCATCATCAATGAATTAATCTAGCAATTATAATTAAAGGATTTTATTTATTTGCTTATCTTTTAGATTTGGTTGATCAATTTAAACAATATTTAGTGAATGTAAATTGATATTAAAAATATTTTCAATTTTAAAGTTTTTGTAATAAAATATTTTTTTTTTGTTTACCTAAAAGCATTTGCACACTTTATATTATGAGTAAAATACCTTAAAATAAAATCATTAAAGAAAATTAGCTTGATTAATTTTGAAATTTAATATTTTTACTTTTTTAGAAGAATCTCAAGTTAATTTTTTTATTAGCTTAATTTAATTTTGCAATATTTTGTTAATAACATCTTATTTTTTCATTTTAAGTTTTTCCTATTTAATCTTTATGAATTAATATTCTATTATTTTTTTTTTGAGAACTATTAGAATAATTTTTACAAAGTTTAAACTTGAGAAGAAATTATAAAAAATAAATATATATTTATACAGGAAAACCAAAAAGAGTAATTTATTTAATATATAAATAAATAATTTGAAATATTTATAATTTAGTAGTTATATATAATTTAATTTTTGACCTCAGTTTAATTTAACTTATCTATTTATAGATGAGTTTGTTGTTTTAATAAACTTATTTTAATATTAATTAATGTATTTATTTATTTCTTTACTTAATTTTTTGCTTAGTTAATTAGTTTTTATTTATCATTTTGAGAAAATATTTGTATTATTAATTACTTTTATATGTTTTTATATTTAAAAATAATTGTAGCACCAGTCATCTAAAACACTTATTAAAATAAAATTTCAGTTATTTTTATTTTTTTTAATTGAATTATGTTAAGTTAACAAGAAAGATTGAAAAAAAGAAAGAAAACCAACCAGCCATGAAATGTTAATTTATTTTGTCAAATATTTGTTAAAGATTCATTAGTAAACTTTCTTATCCTAGACTAAAAGTAGTTTATATTTATTTATTTTTGCTCGTCTTATATATCTGATTCTTCCATATTTTTCTTTATCTAAATAATAAATATATGCTGAGATAAAAAAATATGTGAAAAAATGTACTTACTTATATTTATTTAGAAGAGGTTTAATTTTTGTTTGTTTACATTTTATAATTCTCTATAGTATCTGTTTCATCTTTTTATTCTTCTAAATCAACATCTTCTCCTTTATTTTTTTTATTATCGCTAATTAATTACTCAAGTTTTGGTTATTATTACTAGTAGTTTAAGTTTTATTAAGAACCAAAATAGCTGAATACGGCTATATCTTCATTGTATTAATTAGCAGCAGATTAAAATGATAAAATATTTTAATCTTTAATTTATCCTTACTACGAATGTAAATTAGAATTGATAAACTAGTCATCTTCATCCATAATTTAATTATCAACCTTTGCACCAGAAAAATTTTCAATTTTTATTTTGCTCATAAAATCTTGTGGGACTGTTGTAGACCCTCTTTCCATATCCAATTCTTATTTTAACTTTTATATGTAAGGACTGATAGAATTAAATTGAGATTCATTAGTCAAAGTTTTTTAAAGGTCAAGCAAAGTTTTAATTTAATTTTCTCTAGGAGCATTCATCGTTTAAACAGGTATTTATTATACCTAAAAAAAACATTTATTTATATAAATATAGTATTTTAAAATTTTATTTACGATGTTTAAAGACTGAGAATCCGCCCCATGTTCCATTAATAGTTGTATACAACCTTTGGCCTATGTAAAAAATGCCAAATGCAAAGGTGTTTCTTGATTCTTTTAATTTAATAATAAAATTATTAATATGTTATTTTTTTACTATTGTAAATATTTGTTTGGTCAATCAAAAATAATAATAAGAACTTATATTTAATTTCATTGAGTAGTATTGTTAATGAAGTAAGGATAGTATAGATTAAAATTTTAATCAAGAATTGTTTATACAATTTGATTAAGATTTACTCTACTAAATTACTAAACTGTTAATATTATAGTTTTCAGCTTATACCTTAAAAAGCTTAAGCTTTAATGGTAAATTTAATAATTATAAATTTATATACTTTATCTTTAGAATTAACGAGCTCTGCAGCTTTAGGATTTTGCAATATGAACTTCATTACATTGGTTGATTTATACCATGCTGCTAAGTGAAGTATATTCCAACCATACTTTTGTAAATAAATTATATCATAAATTATTAGTTTATCTAAAGCAATAAATAGTAAAATTTACATCTGTATATTCCATATCAAAGTATTTTTCTAGATCTTAAATCATTTTTAATCTTTACAGGTCTTCATTTTGCACACAAATATAAATCACTTTCATTTATTTTAATATTAAGTTATTTTGTTTAGATTTATTATTTTTCATAGAATTGTGTTTATTTTTATAATTCCTAAGAGTTTCTTGTATAAATGTAGACACTGAAGTGTTCTCTACCACAATTAAAAAACGTTTAATTAATTTATAACCGATTTAGCTTTTACTCTTATCTTAAAACAAGATAGCTCTTACTAATATTACACCTTACTTCTTATTTAAAAATAACTCTACACTTTCTCTTTAGCTTAAAATTATACTTAAAATAATGATTAAGGTAATTAATTATTAATAAATTAAATTAGTATTTGATGTTTAATACAGTAGGAATAGTGATTTATTTTAATTTACTATGAAAGAACATAGATTTATTAAATTTTTTGTATCCAACAATAAATTAATCGCAGTATTTTTCTAAAAATACGTTAACTTAAACAAAAAATTATCAAGCTATTTTCACTACTCTTTAAAAGATTCAAATGAAAAAAAATTTTCTCTAAATTTATAAAAAAAAAACAAAATATTTTGTTATCAATGGTTGCCTCTCCCTTACTCCCTTACTCACTCACTCATTCAATTATTAATTTATTTATCTATTTTTTATTTTTTTTTTAATTCAAAAAACAATAAAATAAATATTTTGAAGTTGATTGATTCTATAAAAATATTTAACCTTTTAATTTTATTTTTCTTATTTTTTATTAATTTTTGAGTATGAAAATTAGTAATAAGTAATCATAAAATTTTAAAAATAACACTCAGTTTTCTATTTCATATGATAAAATATTTTTGACTGCTAAAAAAGGGATAAATTTTTAGTTTACAAAAATCAATTACATATTTTTTATAATTAATTTTTGCATTAATTATTTACTATTTTTGTAAATTAAACACTCTAATTTACATTATTAATAAGTTATTGGTAATTAGATTAAATCTAGTTAAAATACAATTTTTGGAGTCTGTTATTAATTATTCAATTACATTTGAAGCAAGCATCAACGATATACATTATTACACAAAAAGATCGAAAATATAAAAAAGATAACCCAAAAATTTATATTAGAATAAAATATACCATTTAAATTGATATCTTATGGAATAGCTTTTTGCAACGTTCTATCCTAAAACACGAAAGATAGAGCCAACAATTCCTAGATCTCAAAGATACATCATTTCTGCATAAAAAAAGGCATAAACTGCTAATAGATCAAAACGACATTAGTCCTTTTCTGCTAACAGACAAAACACATAAACTAGTTCTAATTACTAAGGATAGTTAACTTACTTTGCTTAAAATTAGAATAAAATGCATAGTTAAACGAATTTCGAAGATTATATTTTAAATAAATATGAAAAATAGAAAAGTGAATAAAAATATATTCATCCATTTGTATAAAAAAAACTCTAAATGAGAGATATAAATCATGCAATTGAATCCTATAAAAATTTTAATGAGAATAGCAGTAGAAGCTTATAAAATGATTTGGATGAACAACAAAATTCCTCTTTTTTTGGGGTATAACCTAAGACTTCTAAGCAGCATATATCAAGGGAAAAGTTAAAAATCATAGTAGATCAATAAGAAAGATAAAATACTTCACCTAAATAAAAAGATTAATCTAAGGTAATCAATAACTATCAATCGTATGGTTATTAATTACCCCGCTATACCGAATTAGATGAAGAAAACAATTATTCTTCTTATTTAAGCAAAAACTCAGCTTAATAAAAAGAAAACATTAGATAATAGAGCATTTAAAATAATTTTAATAATATTCAACAAAATCATAGTTAGCATCATCGTTCTGAAAATAAACCAAAATCACCAAATTAAAAAACTAAAAATACTGAAAGAGATACTAGTCAAAGTAAAAATGAAAATCTTGATGATAGTTTCGAAGACTTTTATATCACATTACCACTCTAATAAGACATAAATTATCAAGCCAATAATGAATATAGTAAAGTTTGTTAAATAGTTAAAGACTAAGAAAATAAGTAGCTTGTTATTCAATCATCTCCGATTAAAAAGTAATATGAGAATTTCGAAGAATACTATGACAATTAAAAAAATAAAGAGATAAAAAAAAGTAAACAATATCCATTTTTCATCACAAAAATTAATATATTAGATTAACCTAACATTTATGATGTGCTTTCAGATAAAAAAATAAGTAATTAAACAGAGCCTAGGGAAAATACAGAAATTAAGCAGCCAAACTATTTTAAAGGCTTTATCAAACATGATATTCATTATATACAATCTAAAAATCTAAGAGCAGCTTTATCAGCAGCTTCAAAAAAAAGATAGAATACCTCATAATCTTCTAAGAGAAGAGATAATAGCTACTAGTAAATCACATAAACAACAGACTAAATTAGTTAGCCATAGTATATAAATACATAAATTTCAGAAAAATACCAAAACGAAGCAGAAAATAATTAAATTTTCCAAAAAGTAAAGAGATTTGAGAAAGAATTTAGGAAAAATACTCAAACATATTATAGAGACAAAATAGGATACAGTGATATAAAATCAGGAGGTGATTTTAATATAATGTATGAGAATTTTCAAGGTTAAACTGCTCATAATAGTTTTATTAAGAAAGCAAGAAACTTTAGGATTACTAAAAGCTCATAGGGTTAAAGAAATGATAGTGAAGAAAAATTAGAGGGTATGAATCTCCTTGAAAGATTAAATTGCTATAATAATGATAGAGCTAATAAATATAATTTATTGATGTAAAATTAAGTAAATATGAAACAAAATTTAGGAATTAGAAATCATTCATCTTAGTAAAACTAGAAATAAAATGATAGCTTTTCAAAGGCTTCTGGAACTCCACTTTCTTAAATTTAACATTCACCTTCAAAATAGTAAAATTTTAATTCATATTTGAAATATTTAAAATAAAATAAAATAAAATAAAAGGAAAAATAGATTAAAAACTTAAGATTAATCAACTGAATTCAATTAATGTCTTACAGTATAAAAATATCTAAAAAGAGTAAAAACACCAAATATGTAATGAATTATTATCAGTATTATTTTACTTTGAATAATTTAGAAGATAAAAAAATTTTTGTAAAACTTTTTAATTTTAGTTTAATCTAAAAATAAATTAAAAATTAACATATAACTTTGTAAATTAAAATAAAATTTTAACCTATTACCAATTAATTGATGTATCAAAAAATAATTTATTTAAGTATTAAAAAAAATTTATAAAATTAAATAAATATTTTTAAAAAAGTATATTTTATATTGTTAATTGAGATTTATAATACACAAATTAGGCATGATTATATATTTTCAAAAATTACATAATTTATATAGTTTATAGAAAATATTTTTTATGATTATATCAAGATATTTTATTTATTCAATGATAATCATTTTCATTGTAAAATTCAATTATCTTACAGTAGTTGAAGTAGATAAAGTTATTAATGTTTGAAATATGAAATATTGTAAAAGTAAAAATTTTAGTTGAATGTATCTGTCTGTCTGTCTTGTTTTAAATAGATTTATAAATAGAGATAGAATAAAAAATATGTAAAGCAATTAATTCTTGGTTGTCTTGATCAAAAATCAAGGGAAAAAAGAAGTGACAGATAAATAAATAGATAGAAATAAACTAAATAAATAAATAAGTATCGAGTGGAATCATAACAATTATAAAAGATAGATAGCCTAATTCTTCGAATATATGAACACAACTCACTCAATATATAGTAAGACAATTTAAAGCTAATTAACTAATTAATTAAATGAAATTTCTTAATAAGATTAATAAGGGAAAGAATCAAAATAAAATAAAAATAATATTAAAGCATAGATAATCCAAATAAATAAATTAAAAAATAAAAGAAATTAATAATTAACATTTACAATTAGGTAAAATAAAAAATGAGAAATTCAACCATTTTTACCATTATTGCTTTGTTTTGCTCTTTGAGTTTATTCTGTGCTAAGGAACAAGCTATGCCCTTTGCATTCCATTCTAAGAATATGTAAATATTTTAATTGATAATGTTTTAAGCATTCAAATTTTACTAATGTTATAGTGCAAAATCATTATTTTTTCAATAGGGATGTAATATTTAAATGGTTAAAAATGCGATTTAAAATAAAATATATAAGCAATAAAAATAGCAATAAACTTAAATTTAGTTTAAACATCACTCTCAAATGATGAACTTAATAATATGCTAAGAATTTCTTCAATATTACTTTATAAATAGTCTGCTTGTTTTCTAGTTTTTACAAATATTTTGAATAATTAATTATAGGCCTTTCAGTTTTGAGGATTTGTACTCAACTAAGGAATAAATTCTTGATAAGTTTTCAGCTAGCATCGCTACTTAGGTATTCAATTTATATAAAAATTAAACAAAATATAAAATGACATTTATAATTCAGAATTATTTATAAAATAAAAAACTAAAATCTTAGGTAAACAAGAATTAAATATCAAAAAAAAAAACTATTAAAATAAATGGTTGAAAAAAAGATAAAAATTACTTTTTCTTATGATAGAAAATTATTTTTGGAAAGTTATATAATAGATTTTTATAATTTTATTAATAGAAATTAGAAAGTGGTGTCAAAGCTATTGTTATTAATATCTAAACTCCTTCATCTTTAGCTGGAACAATTGATAAAATTAAAGAATATGCTAAATATTTACCTTAATTTACTGTAAATTACTTAATACTTAATAAATCAATTTTATAAAGATTTTAAGCAAACACTAATAATTTATTTGTTTTTAAATATAGAATTTAATTTAGAACTACTTCAGAAATTAGATTGTTTATGATTCAATCAGTTTCGTCTAAGAGATATAGAATAGCTTAGAAAAGTTGAACATTCAAGTCACAATTAATTCTGAAGTTAAGGTAATTAGTTTAATTATACTTCTTGCATGCAATTTTTTGTAAAATATTATTTTTAAAAAAGCCCAATCAAGTTGCTATTGAACAAATTGACGTTAAATTAGAAGATCTTGCCTAATTGGAACAAATAGTTAAGAAATCCATAGATTAAGAGGATGCTTCTGTTTTCATTATTTTCACTCAAAACTCTAGCAGCAAAGTCACAAGAGTCTTATAGCAAGCTGATGATAATAATGGTCCATCCATGGTTTAAATTCCTAACTAAACATTATTTGGCTTAATCTTAGTTTTCATTTTATTCATTCCCGTTCTTTGGATCGGTATTTCTTGTTTATATGGCATCGAATCTCCTGAAAAGTTTGCTACTCAAAACCTTGTTGTTGGTAGAGAATATTGATATAAGAAATAAATTTTCTTTAAAAAGATCTAATTGAATAGATTAATTGCTTGCATATAAAAAATATATGTATTTATCATTATCAATTTGTATTTTTTATTTTTCTTTTTGATTAACAAACACATCTTAATTTAACTAATTATTGAACTAATTTAATATATATAAAATAATTTTTTCTCTATAAATTGATGGCTTTCAATAAATAATCGAATATGTCAACTCAAGATTATGATTTAAATGATAGAATCAATTAGATTTTTTTAACAAAAATTGTTTCACAGTTAATTACTAATTTTTTTAAATATTCTCTATACACTTTTGATATTCACTTAAGCTCATTAAGTCATTTCGTAGCATTGAGTCGAAGGGATATTTCTAAAATTCTATCTCTTACTAGTTCTATTCGTTTGTGTCACTTTGGTCTTAACCATCAAATTAAATTACTTCTAATTTTTTATTTCACATAAATTTTAATTAAGTGAATTATAAAAATTTTTAAACTAAAAAAATTAAAGATTTTCATTTAAAAATGAATATTTTAATTGAAAAACTTAAATGAAATTCCATAATTTAATTTATATCTAAGATAATTTTAAAAATAATTTAACAAATTTAAAATTGAATTTACTTGCAAGCAATGCATTTAAAGAGTTTTTATTTTTTTATCCATTTTAATTTTCATCATAATCATCATCCTTTTGCTATTATAATTCTTGAGAATCGTTTTCAGATTCTTATATTTCTTGATATCTTTTTTAATCATCAAAATTAATTTTATTAAACTTTTAGCTTTAAGAATGTGGTTTTTTTATAATTTGTTATTAAGTATTATCATTTTCATCATTATCATTCGAGTCCGAATCAAAATACGAGTTGACAGGATTTTTTCTTAATTACCTAACTTTATTTTAGAATAAATCTTTGGCTTTCTATAATTTTTCATTGTGATCTTATTTAAAGAAAAATTCGCTTAGCTCTTTTTAATTAAATGAATTTTATCCTTCTAAGTAAATTTACTCCGAATTGATACTTTATTTTTCTATCAAGCTGTTAGATTGATCGTTTAGGATATTTTTAATTGTGTTTGGAAATACTTCAAGGACATATTCTAATTAATTAACTGTTTTCATATTGTTAGTAAAAGGTAGCTACTTTACCCATTTTATCCTCTATGTTAAAGTTAAATCAGTGTCTTATTTTAATTTTTTTATTAATAAATTGAAATTCTTTTGACTGAATCTATTAAAATAGCTAATATCTTCAATATATTCAGATAAAAACTTCTCATCTCTACCTAATATTTATGAGAGTTATTTAATTTTTTTGATAAAAGTATCATTTTGATGGCTTGCAAAATGGAGTATTATAGTTAGCTCTTCAAAAATTGTTAAATATTCATATAAATTGTATTCTTATTTCTGAGTTCCCTCTAAAATTTATTTGATTTTACTTAATCCTTATTAATCTTTAAGAATATTATATGTGTGTACATTTTATTGTATCGGAAATCCCATTTCTAAATCATTTTCATCAGATGAATGATCATATGATTTTTTTTTAACATTTTTAAGTGATTTATAAGGCACGCTCTTTTTGAGCTCTTCTTTAATATTCATTCTTACAATTTATAGATGTTGGATGTATAATAAAAACTAATTAATTAACTGCTACTCAAGTTATCTTCGAAAAAATTATGTTTGTAAAAGTAAAAAATTAATACCTCCAAATAATGATAATTTAAAAATATAAGAATTTCTATTAAATTTAAAATTATCAATAAAAAAATTAGCAGATTTTTATTTATTTTTACAAAAAATTATAATTTTTACATGAATAAAAAAATAAATAAATAAATTGTTAAGTAATGAAATCAAGACTTTAATTTAAAATTATTATAATTCAATTTATTAGAAATGTTATGAAAAATAACACAAAAAAAGAAAGTATTATTTAAAAAAATAAACATTTCCTTTTTATTATGCTATGATTATCATTAAATCAAATCAAATCATGAGTTGCCAAATCAGCTTAACTAATGCGATAGAATAATACTAACAAGCAAAATAGTTTAGTACATGTATCAATTACTAAAAAAGTGGGATTAATAATACTCAAATTCAGAAACTTCAGCAAGCTGAAGAAATAAAGGAAGATAGGAGTTTTATTTTGCTGATTGATTTATTGATTCATTTGCTTACTTACTTACAGATTCTGATATTTGAAACTAAGCTTAACAGTCTTTATATATTTATAATATTCATGTGATAAAAATCGATAATAATATCATTCATGCGTATACTTGATAAGATGATTGAGATAGATATTTTAAGTGTATTAAGAAAGATTTATTAATTTTTAGTTTAAGAAAAAAATATGTTTTAATTATCATAATCAGTTATTCATTTGATTGGCGTTATTATTTTAGGTATTTCCGTAACTCTAAGCAGTTGTTGAGTTGGTTAATGCTTTCTTTTCTTCATTTTTTTTATCAACTTTTCCCCTTATTTGTCTTAATAGCTCTTCACTATAATGTGTTACTTCTACCAAAGGGTTTTCTTCTTCAAGGAACTTAGATCCCTTTTTCTTGTATATTCTGAAACCGTAAATTCTAGGAATATAAGTGGAATTGTTTCTTGATGGGACTAAATCAGGGTATGTCTTTTATAATAAATTTTAAATGTTTAATTAAATGCTATCTTTATCATCTAAAGTTTTAATTACCATAAGAAGGATTTGAGGGAAGGAAACACCGAAATAACATCCATCGATATCAGGACATTTTTTCTTAGGAATATATACATCTTCACAACGAGGGCAATAAACCTATTAATTTGAAACAAAAATTAATTTTTAAGTTAGCCACATAAATAATAAAATATATTTGCAAAATAAATGCTACTCATTCAATAATAGCTTAATTTAATTTAAGTTAATTTTATTACTTTGACTCTGGATGTTCTAAGCTCTTCACTCATACCAACAGGTAAGACATTTTGTCTTTCACAAAGTACTCTAGGACAAACTCCGAAACGGCCCAACAAGAACTTTTCTCTCATTAAAGCTAATCCTGTAACATAAAATAAATAAATTAGTTAACTATTTTATTGTATTAAATTAAATAGAAGGAACAGTAGAAATAAATAAATAAATAAATAAATAGTCTATTATTTATTGTATGTAATTTATCTTTCTTAAATAATTTGAATAAAGTTCAAATTTTTTTATTTTAGAATGCAGCTAAATAAATTAAATCTTTAGTTAAACTGGCTTGCTTGCTAGCTTTAATGATATCTAAATCTATATTTTAATTGTTAAAATAAAATAATTTCAAAAATACCTTTTGGGGAAGTAATGAAACGAGCGTGAATTAAACCATAAACGTCAGTTGCTTCCTAGTAGATTTCTAAAAATCTATATTTTAAGAAAAGATAATTCGATTAAATATTTTTTTAATCTTTTGATAATATGCTAAAAATCTTAACAGTTTTTTTGATTAAATAACTTCAATAAATATCTATTTATATTAGGCTATCTTTAAAAACTTATATAAACAAAATAGCTACAGTTAATTTACTAAGTATTAGCTAAAAGCTATTCAATCATTTAAAATAAATATTTTGTTTTTGCTATTAAAAATAAACAATTTTTGTATTAATTACCTTTCATCTTCAAGATCATCATCATCGGGACTTTCACTGGATAAAATCATTTCAATAGTATCGCTGTTTAATAAAATGATTATTAATGGGTAATAAAGACTTTTAATTTAATAATTTTATTCTAATAAAAGCTTTAAAATATCTCTTTTTTCATAATTCTTTTCTTATTTAGTGACTATTAATTATGTTTGAAAAATTTGAGAACTTAAATCAAATTATCAAAAAAGAAGTGAAACAGATCTATTTTGGATATCTTTTTTACTTGTAGTGATTGAACTTTTGCTTAATTCCATAAAGATTAAAGTTATCTCTGATGTAATCATCATCAACTTCACATAAAAATTAGTGATCCTCAAGAGCACAAAACCAGCTAATCCAACCACCAGGAAGATCAGAATATTATGAGTCCTCTATTTTATTTATAATGCAAATTAATTTTAAATGAAAGTCAAACTATTGTATTTTATATTTTGCTTAATAAGCAAGGCTATTTTGTTTTGCTTTTAAACATTCTTTTAGCGTTTCGCTATAATTAGTGGTCCTAAGTAAACAAAAAAGCTAAAAAATTATTTTAAAGTACCTGACATATTTATTTGATTCTTTTTATTAATTTAATTTTTCTTCTTTCTTCTTACTAATTTCCTTTATTTAATTACTTAAGTTTTTTTTTTGAAAATTTTTATTTTTTAATGCTCTTTGTTAATATGAAAAACTCTAAGTTAAAAAATAAATCAAATTTAATTATCATTTATTATCAAACCTATATAAATAAAGACAACTCAACCATTTTGATATTATTTATTCATAGATATAAAAAATATATATATAATTAGGAGAAAAATTGTATCATTTCTAAGAATAAGTCCCTATCAAGCTAAACTATACATACATATATATATATATTTAATTATATATAGATAGATACTTATACACAAATTCATATTATTTCCTTTTAATTTATCAATCTCTCTTTTATCATTTCGAATTTTAATCATCAAATTTATTTCTTTAAATAATAACCATTTTTAATTTAAATAGTGATTTAAAAAGTAAATTAAATAATTTATTATGGATATGAACTAAATCTACAATTAATACTTATGAATCAATGATCAATCGAATAATTTATTGAATATAAATTTTTAATTTCTTAAGTTTTCTCATTAAATCTTTGCTTTAAATTTCTTCAAATTCATATTTGAATCATTAAAAAGTTAGGTATTTTGTTGAAATCCCAAATAAATAATTTAAATCCAAAAATTTTACTATTAAATTGAAAATTTTTATTTAACCGAATTTAAACAAAATATTTTAATTTTTTTAAATTCATAAAAAAACTCTTTGAAAATCTTAAATCAACAAAAAAATTTTATTTTATTAATTAATATAAAATAGATAATTTTATATAAACCAAATAAAATTTAATTTAATTTATAAATTCTCTATAACAGCTTTTTATCATCTAGAAGTAGTAGATGAATTGCTGTTGTTTCTTTGATGCTTACTGCTGGCATTTCTTTTTCTACTTTTATTTCTATTTTTTCTTGAATGGGAGCGAGAACGGGAACGAGAATCACTATGCTCATCTGAGCTAGATGAGGAAGAATATGAACTTGAAGAAGAAGAGCTAGAAGAGTTTGATGTCTGATCACTACTTAAATATCTTGGATTAGCATTTGCAATATTAAATAATTCTCTTTTTTCTTGTTTAGCTTTAATCTCATCTTCCAAAAATATTTTCTTTTTTATACTTTACTTTTTATCATGCATAACGAAACCATCCTTTTCATTTATATCAACTAATCTTTTATGGATTTAAGGAATCTTTTTCTAGAATTTTTTAAGTGCATAGCAAGCGAGTTTCTTTCTTTCCTTTCTGAAACAAGGCCAAACCCATGGAATGTTAACACTATTCATATAATTTTATGTTACAGCAACTGTATCAGTTACATTTATAACTGCATGCCACCATCCACCAGGTACGAAAACAGTTTCACCTGGTCCTTAAATAAATTCAATAATACCTTTATATTATTACAATATTTTAGAATGAAAACACTATTAATAATTGCAAAATCTAGTTTAGTTCTCCTTCAGCTTTCAAAAATGATAAAAATTTAAATAAAATTTAATTAAATAGTAAATGAAAAATAAAGGATTTTTGCCATGCTTTCCTATTTAATTAATATAAAAATTTTATATTTAATTTAAAAATATTCATAAAATCCAAAATAAACTCTAGATTGGTTGGTTGGTTGATTGCTTAGTGATAAAGATTGGTGAATGATAGAATGAATTTATGATGTTGTCTTTGATTGATGTATTTGCAGCAAGCAAGCAATGTTTCATCTCTCATAGAGTATTGATTGCTTCTTTTGTTAAAAAAGTAGTTTTTTACTACAACAAATGTAAAATCTACTTCCTCATGTAAAAATATTTGATTAAATTCTTCATCTTTAAAATGAGAGGATTATTTTTAAATTATTTTTTAAAATCATTTTTAAATAATCAATCAGTTTTCCTTTATTGAGAAGATCTTGGTTTGTTTATTTGTTTATTTATTTGTTTATTCTAGACAAAAAAATCTAAAATTGAATAAATTTAATATGATACCTAAATTTTCTCTTCCTTCTTCTTGAACTAGTTTAGGAAGCATTTTACAGAAATATTAAATAGCATCATCGTCTTCGCCAGTTGGAATAAATTTCTTAGCTTTAACTACAGATTTAGGAACATTTGGATCAAATAAAACCCATCTCTTATAACCCTAAAGAGAAGTATTCCAAGCAGATGTTTATAGAGGGTCTATGTGAACTGTAGTACCAGATCTTTCTGGTCCAATTAAAAACCATCTATAAGGAGGACGCTTACGCTCTCCAATATACTAAAAGAGATCTTCTCTGAAGTATTTGGGGACTTCATATTTTTCGATCATTTTACGTGCTTCTTTTATATCTTCCACTGCGGATTCAAACATATATAAAGGTGAATCGTCAGTGTTATAAACTAAATATTCAAAGAAATATTTCAACTTTATACGAATTTTTTTCCCTTTATCATCTTCTCCTACTTTGAAAGAGATGTCTTTATAACGATTGTAAATTTGCTAAAATGTCCAATACTTTTCTATATTGAAATTTCCTGCTGAGTTTGTGAAAATGCAAGGTTTGTTTTTAGACTCATAATTTTAAACAAAATATTCTGGAGTAGTTGTTAAATAATCAATTCTATCTATTTCGTCTGGACAATTTTCGAGTAAAAGCTAGCACCAGTTTGTTTTGTAATAACTACTCTTTCCCCACTCTTCTGGTTTTGTATATGTTCTATCTCTTTACTTAGCATCGTAAATCACATCAGCAGCGCTTGAACCCATGCGAGACTCTCTAAAGCGATCTGACTTTAATCCTAATTTTTTAGCTTTTGACTTTGGATCAAAAACAACTTCCTTAACTTTGCTTGAAAGATCATTATAGTAATAATTCGAATTTGTTTAATTTTCCATATCTATTTCCTTCTCTAAAAATGTCTGTATATTAATTAATTTTTCCTTTTTGTGCTTAGTAAGGCTACTTGTTATATTGTCTAAGGTGTAACTTTTTAAGGATATTAATTTTTTTTCTTAAATCTAAATTTTAGCTTAAAAATATTAATAATGAAATTTATTAATAATTCTTTCTTCTACTTTCTATTTTTACTAAAAAATTTTTTAGAACTCTTTCAATCATTTGTGCGCTAAAAAATCTAAATAAAATTCAAAAAGAAATAAGAATTTTGATTTATTAGGGCAAATATAAAATTATAATCAAATTAATTGTTAAATATTAATAATATTGCCTTTTATCTTTCATAAAAGTAATAAATAAATTTATATAAATTATAAAAAAAAGTATTAATCATCATCATTCACTAATTCGTTAATTAATTTTATGGAGATAAAAATTTTGTTTTAAAACAATATTTAAATGTGATATAAAATTATATTTTTAGTTTAATTAATAGTTAGTTAGGTCAGTTTAATTAATATTTCAAATCTTTTATAGTAATTTTGCACTTTAAGGTGATAAAAATAATTATTATTTTAGACCTTCATTTTAGTGCCTGTTTGGAGATATCATACTTGATGAGGAAGATATTTTTTGAAGTTCTTTCTTAGTAAATTCAATTTATTGCATCTGTTTCAGTTGTTTGGTCTTATTTTGTAAAATCTAAATTTCTTGGTTTGGTCTGGTCTTGTATGAATTAATGTTATTATAAACTATATTAGGCAATTATTAGTTCAATATGGCAGCTTTCTGACTTTGCTAATCTTTGCTTTACCTTTCAGTATTAGCTATTACTTATTTTTAAGGATTAGAAATGCTTTAACTTAAATTTGTAGAACTTTGACTTATTTAAAGCCTTGCTAAGAGAGGACTTAATTCCAATATTATACTAGAAGACTATTTTTTATCTGGTGAATTAATAAGCTTATTATATCTAACTTTTTCTGAAGAAATCCTTATTTGTTCTAACTCTAGATCTCCTTCCGTCTTTGCTTTGTAAGAACTATTGTTGATATTAAAATTATCTCCAATTTAATTTTAAGATATTATATATTTATGAGATAACTTTTTAGAAGGAGAAATCTAGGGTAGTGAAAGCTGAACAGTAGAAATACTAACTTAAGAATTCTATTTTTATTTTGCTTAAGCATTTTAATTTGGCTTCATTTATTATATACTAAAATTATTACTATCGTTTCCATTAATGAAGTTTAATTAAGGACTCGATTGTTGTTAAATATGATCATTTGTTTTCTATTATGAGTTTTACATATATTCTGAGTTTTAATTTTGATTATTTTCATTAACTGTTCTCTCTGTAATTGTTTTAATACTTGAAATAGACTATTATGTATTACTTTAACCTAACTACTAGAGAATTTATAAATCTAAATTTAGTTTTGATTTCATTTCACTTTGATTGTAAGTTTCTTAACCCTTTATTTCAGGTTATATCATCCTAAACAGATTATTTATTTGTTATTTTTCTTTTTGAAGCTATTTAGTTTTTTTTTTCATATATTTTTTAAACATTTTCAATTAATGTTGATCTAGCTTTTCAAACTAATCCTTATTTGTTTATTCTAAAGGAGGTTTGTGAATAATACCTTTTCTTTATAAATCATTTCTTAAATCAAGTTCTTTCATTTTTAAATTCTCAACACCTAAATCCCAAGTTTCTTGTAACATATAAAATTTTTTTTTATGTTTGCCTTACAAAACAGATAATTTTTTTTATATGGGATCTATATCTTCATTGCTATCATGACTACCACTACTACTACTTCCATGTTCATGGTTATTAGTACTTTCAGTATCTTGGAGTAGCAAGTATGATTCTAGTCTTTAGCTAGATTTATTTCTTTCTGTTTAGCTTTAAATTGTGGAAGGTATTTCTGTCTTTTCTGCTTCTGCTTAAAATTTAACAATCTTTTTGCTATCAGGTTTGGTATTGAACTTGATTGACTAAGTAACTGTTTCATTACTAAATTCACTTAAACTTACAGAACCCTAAGTTACATTTTAATTACTTATGTTTATAAATTGCTTAGAAGTTAATTCTTCTTATTTAGTTTCCTAAATGGGTTTTAGTGATAAATTCGGTCCTCTATTCTCTTCAGCTTTTCTAAATAAATTTTAAAAAGTATTGAAATATAAATTCTTACTCAATTAAGTTACTTTATTTTGGTAGTCTATGAGTTTGGGTGAGATTAAATTTCTTAGCTATATTTTTAAACTTTCTAAATCACTCCTTAAATTTCTTTTTGAATTTGCTTTTGTCTTTTAGCGTTCTAATCTTCGAAGGGGTTTATTAACTTTTATTCTTTTAAGCTTGTCATGTGCTGATAAATAATCTCCTTTTTCATAATGTCACAGTCTATTTTTTTAGATATTTAACTGATGTGTGAATTTTTATAATTTTATATTTTCCTGTTTTATTCTTCAGTAAGTGGTTCAACTTTTTATTTTTCTTGCTATACTTGCATAATTTTAGATGGATTATTAGAATTTTTTTATTTAAGCTTGTTTTCTTCTTCTTAACTCAATACTTTTTACCTAAAATTAACGTTATATTAGTTCATATATAATTCAAAAAAAAAAAAAAAACATACTTTTATAACTTCTCAGCATGATTGTAGAAGAAATTCGGATTAGGTTTTAATTCAGAGTTAACAGTTCTAACTACATTTGTAAGTGAAGGGATACTTTAGGATAACCTTAATTTAACGTGTTTTTAATTTTTATCAATTCCTTAAGAAAAATACTCATTTTAAATATCATTTACACTACCATTAAGATTATTTTTTACTTAATTATTAATATTAGTAAAACTACTATACCCATTTGGAAGTATATAGTTTTAACTTTCTTATAATCCATTATCTACTAGAGAAATTGATTAATTATTTGTTACTTTGCTTTTAGAAAACTAAGATCTTGAAGTAACGCTTCCATGTTAGTTATCAGTATAACTATTATCTTCTTTTTAGTTTTATTACCTTTTTGTAAAATTATTAGAAAAGCTAGCACTATTTAATTACTATCCTTATTTATCATTTATGCCCAGACTTTTCTCTTCATTATTTAATTAAAATAAATAACTTTTTTAACCATCCTATTGAGTAGGGGTATCTGCATCTTTCTTAAATTAATTACTTTTTTGCTTCTTTAATTTTATGACTTGCAAATCTTAAATAAGTGTTTTGTTGGCTTCCAAAGAGTAATTTATTTAATTTTTATAGAGAGGTAGGATACTATTTCTAACTATATTTTAGAATTGCACTTTCTTTGAAGGACTAGAGCTAGAGGATAAGGGTGTGTTTTCACCTAAAAGGTGTCCTACAATATTATTTGAGATTTTAAATTTCTTAACTAAGCTCTTTTTCATATTTATATCTTTTTTTTAATATTCTACAAAATTAGGCTATATTCTCTAAACATAGTCTTCAATTATTTTTACACGCATCTTCTTTTTTATGAGCATATTTTCTCTTAATTTCTCAACTATGTACTTTGGAAATCCATCAATTACTTTCTTTTTATCTAACCTTAAAAATTGAGAATCACTGGACAAAACAATTGATGTGAACAAATACTCAGAAGGTTTTAGATTCTTTTTATGGAAGTATATTTTAGATTTTTCTTCTAAAATTTCATCTCCAATTAGTTCTGCTGTTGTAAATTCACTGAATCTGTGTTAAAAAGTTTATTTCCTTACACTCTAACTTTCTTTTTCTTTATATTCTTCTAAAGTAATACTTTTTTCAAGAGCAACTCTACCACTTCTTAAAATATATATCTTTTTACATTTTTACAAAAAAAATTAAATTCATTTTTTTAAAAAATTTTAGTTTAATTTTATTTTAAACAAAATTCTATTGATGAAGATGATGTAAAAGTTTATTCTTTTAATTATACATTACAAAGTAATTTTTTTGTTTTTTCCTGATTGTAGATTACTTATTAAAAATTAGAAGATGTTTCAAATTAATAATTTTGTTTAATTGTCAAGTAGAATTTTATTGAAATCGATTTAATACGAAAGAAAAAAAATAATTGTTTACATAAGATCCCTTAACATTCTCTTATGTGAGGATCGTACCTTTGGAGATGCTAACATCTTCAAATAAATAAACTAATCTATCTTTCAATTAGGAGCTAACAATGTCATTAAAAAAAGGAAGAACATTTCCTATCCTTTAAATTTTATCTTATTTTATTTATTCTAGAACAGAAAGTACACCTAAAAATTTATCCCTCCATATAACTAAAAAACTTGATTATTCAAGTGTATAAACGCTCGCATTTCTAAACCCACCTTCCTTAAATAGCGCCTATTCACCAAAAGCTTTACCTGATTCTAATTCAGCAACTTTCCTACCTAGTTGAGGAAAAGGATTATTTTCTTATTATTCTGATTATTAATTTTCTTAATCACTATCACTATCGCTTTGATCCATTTGTTAATTTTCATCTATATGCTACTAATCCAATCGAAAGGTTGTTTAATTATGTTTTTAGGGAGTTGAAGCTTCATTTTACTTAGTAAAATTATTTTAATTAGAAACCTAATAGGATTAATTTCTGTTATTTTCATTATCGTTACCATCTGCATTTTATTAAGAATTTTTTCTTTCTGCTTATTAATCATTTTATTAGTTATTTTCTTTGGGTTTTGAGTTAACTTTTTATAATTTTGTAGGTTATTCGTTTTTTTCGTTACCTTGATTAAATAACTCTTCTTAAAGTGGCTTAATGTTAATACCTACTTTTCCTTTCAATATTATAAACATTTTATTATTAGAAGGCTCTTTTTCTTTAAATATTAAAGTATTTGCTTCTAACTAAGCAAACTCAACATTTCTCCAAACCTATTAACAAAAAATTAATTCATTAGTTACTATAAATTTAATATCATAAATAAATAAATATAGATAAAGTATATATTTTTAATTTGTATTTTCAATTTTTAGCGAGAATATATTAAATAACTTAAATTCTAAAGTTTTTTCTTGTTTTTTAATTCTCTTTCAAAACCAAATGAATTGCTTTAATTTTGAATAAACCTTTTATCACTATATTTATTGATCACATAATATTTAAATAGTATTGACTTCATTATCTAATACTCATTCATGCATAATTTAAGCAAATAATTTTTAATAAATTGCATTTAATTTCGATCTAAAGAATTAATCTTACTTCATGAAGAAGCAGATCGTTGATTTGTGAACCTCCCTCTGAGCGCAGCTTGTCAAAAAAACTTAAATTCTTAAAATATTCATCAAGTTATTCTGCCTAAATAGCAGGCCTATTTTGTTCTGATAGGATTTGAAGAATATTGCTTGGCTATAAAATTATTTAGATTATAAAAATGTATTAAGATGTAATTTATATTTGAGAAAATATACAAGGAATTATGATTCTAGCTACTTGAAATTGTCTGTTTCAGAACTTTTTTGTTCCAAAAAATTGCTTTAATCTAAATCTTAACTTGAAGGGTGAGTATTTTAATCTGTAAAAGTACTCATAGCTGATAGTATTTGCTTAATTTACTTTATTTATTAATTATTTAAATTAGCCAATATAATAATGATTGTTTATTTTTTTTTTATTAACCAAATTTTAATGCTTTAAAACTACCTAATAATATAATTTTGTAGTTTTTTTCATTCATATCAAGTATAAGTGATGAATACAAATAGATAATACAAATGCATAATATAAATTAAATGGCTCATATTTTTTAATCTAAAAAATTGTTTGAATATCCTGACAAATATCTGAATCATATGCATATGTACTTTACACCTTTCTGTGAAAATAATAAACAATTTTAAGCTCGTATTAGAATAAACTTATATTTTTACCTAGTTAACTATTATTTGATTTTTAATATTTTTAAAGTATGACCTAAATCTAAAGAAAAAGTTTCTATATCCTGATATTTCCTACTCAATTCAATTCAAACTCTTTATCATTTTTTAATTATTTAATTAATCAATTAATCAATTTAAAATAATTATTCTATTAGCTGTATCAATTCTTTATTTAACAAAATTAAAATAATATTAATTTAACACCATTTATTTGACTTGATTTTATAATTTAATAACTTTGTGATTATGAATTTTTTTTTTCATCATAATGAAGTAATTTTTAATAAATTAGAAGTTGGTTCAAATAATATAAATAAGTCAATTATAATTTTATGTATCTTTCAAATGAAGAAAATAAATTAAATTAAAAATTATAAGATAAAAACAATAATTTAAAATAATTTTTATTTAAATAACTTGAAAAATAAATAAACAAAAAAAATAACTTTTTTATAATAACAACCAATTGATTATTAAATTTGATGAAAAAGGTAGCTTATCTCTTTAAAATATTTATTTAATATGATTTTAAATATTAAAATTATTTAATAAGTTTTAATTACTTAATTATGTCTTAAAAATTGATATAATTGATAGATTACTATTTGCTTTTTTGAGTTATTTTTTAAATGAAAAATTAAAGATTTTTAATCCTTTTAAATTATATTTTAATATTTAATAAATTATATTTCTTTTTTCTATACAGCTCAAATTTATTTTCATTACTACTTTTGAATATATTTAAAAAATGTTTGACACTTAGACTAAAAAGTGATAAATTTGAATGAATAGTAACATAATTTATCATATAAACATAATATAAACTCTATTTACTAATTTAAATTAACAATATATTTTATTGTTTTTTATGATTTTTAAAAATTATTAAAAAAAAATAAATTATATTTACTTCATCTAAATTAGTTTTAATTAATTATTAATTTGAATTAATATCATAAAATATTTCTAATATAATAAAAATAGTTATTATTAATTAATAGTATGAGCTAATAATTTTAAGTTAATTGATTCAAATTAGATATAATATATATTCATCATAAATTTACCATTTTCTGTTTATGATCGATCTATAAACAAAACGATAAATATTTATAAATAATCAAGTCGGGAGATGATTATATCTAGTAATTAAATAATGGTACTATTCAATAAGTATTACAAAATTAATATAAAACAAATTTTATTAATAGATTTTTATTTCGAGTATTATCAAAGTCATTTGCTAACTAACATTTTGAATAATTAAGTTCATGTTTGAGTTTTTATTAAATAAATAATTTATAAAAACAGATACAAATAATGCTATAATACGTAGGAATACTATATTATTTAACTCCCACCGAGCACTAAATTTTTTAAAGAGCACAAGATAAGGCCCTAAAAAATATTTTTTTTCAATATTTAGTTGGTATTTAATTATGGCATATTTAGAATAAAGTTTTGAAGGTCTATTAAATAATATTTATTAAGAGTAAGATTAAAAATGTTACTCCAGTAAATGAAAGCGCTAAGATTTAATAATTTTGAAAGGATAATTTTATAAATAACATTTACTTTTAGTTATATTCGAATTTACAAGTGCTTATTTTTAAATGTGTAAGCTAAAAAATTATTAAAAATTCAGGTTTTTAATTAATTCTGATAGATGGTAAAGCAAATACTTTTTATCGATTTTAGTTTATTTTTAATAAATACTAATGATTAATTAAATTTATTTACATTAACTAAAGAAAGATAGAAAATGTAAGAAAGTGCTAGCTTTTGTTTTTAAATTTTGTAAATAAAGTTTTATTTCAAATAAAAATAAATATTAAGATACTTAATTGAATGTATTAAAAATTCTTAGGATTATTCACAAAAGCAAAATGAAAGTAAATTTAGTTTGAAGCTTGAAAAACAATACTTTTTTATCTTTTTTTTTGATTTTATGTGGTAACTCTTATTTATATGTCTTTAGAATTCATCCTAATGAACCTAAAAATAAGAATTTTTATTATTGATAATGAGCAATAAAAATAAATCCTCGCCTCTTACAAGCAACTAAAAAGTATTTATAAATTAAAAATTCTATTTTTTATGGAATTTTAACCTAATTCTTATTTTTCTAATTATTTATTTCTATAAATATCATTTAAATACTAATAAAAATTTTTGTAAACAATAAAATTGAAGAAATATAATAAATTAATATAAATATATATTTAATAAACTGTCCTGTATTACTGGAACAACTCGAATATATTATCTTAATTTAAAATACTATATTTAAATATCAAAATTGTTATTAAAAAAACCAATAATTCTTTTTGAATCTCGTTTTAGTAAGCAGTGTGCTTTAACAAATTGAGAAATCATAACTTAAAAATATATTTCTGAAATTTCAGCTTACTTAATAAAAATTAATTAATATCAGAACAAATACCAACCATTCTAAATATTTAATGAGTTTCATACATTAGATCAACTGTAATTTATTACTTTCATAATACGCATTTCTTAATTATTTTGAATTCATAATAAATATATGGATATTAAAATTTTTTCTAAATTTCTAATTACCACAAATTTAATTCGAGATATTTCATATCATTCATTTTTCTAGATGGAGTTAAAACATAATGCATAAAAAAGTATAAGGCAATTTAAAGGTTGTTTTGAATGACTTGAATAGAAAAAGAAACTAAATATTTTTAGCTTATAAATTTTATTTTTTAAAATACATTTGAAAAATAATCAAAAGGTTGACAGGCATTAAGGTTTTTGAGTACTGAATGTTTTTTATAGTTAAAAATCGAAGAAAAAGTAATATTTAGTTCTAATTTATTCACATTTTAATTTATTTTTAGGATTGAATTCTTCTAAAAAATAACTTTAATCTCCCCTAAATAAATACATACAAACACTCAAATATATTACCATAAATTTGATATTTCATGTAATATTGCTTTTATAATTAAAATAGCTATCTTAATTTTCAAAGTTCATTGATCGATAAATAAATAAATAAATAATTTGTATTCATTAATTAGATTGTAATTCACAAACATGATTAATATATATTGAATTATAAAAAAAGCGTTCTGCATTTAAGAATTGTTGTTATAATAAATTCATATAAATAAATAAAAAAAATTTAAAGGGATTCAATCAAAAAATAAAACAAGAATAATAAAAAGAATCAAATTTAGGTAATAGCATTAGAATAATTAAGGTTTATAAAACAGAACTGAAGAATACACTAATGTCTGAGATAGATAACAAAGGATCAAACTAAGATCCTACTGCAATGGGAGAAAACAACAATTAATATTAATAAGATGTTATGAACCATTAAAATAATGAGTCTAACCAGAAAGAAAAATTAAACTAAAATCACCATAAAGAAAAGCTCGACATCAACCTTCACTCAAATAATGATGAAAAGCTTAAGAAGTCCAATACTAAGTAAAAAGATAATAACAGTGATAAAGGCTCTGATGAAGATGACGAAGATGAAATTAAATCTATCCACTTAAAGGCTCCTGAAGACAAGGGGTGCATTGGTAAATTCGGAATTTCAAAAGAAAAGCTGATGGCCATTGCTTATGCTTGTTAAGATAGAAATTTTTCAGAAGATGTAGATCTACTTGAATCAGTAGAAGGAGTTGAAATGTTAGAAAAACACCTTCATACTAATTTTAAAGATGGATTAAATGATGACCCATAAGAATTTCTTGAAAGAAAAGAAGCGTTTGGAGATAATTAAAAAGTAGCTATCCCACTTAAAACATTTTTTGAACTATTCATAGAAGCTCTAGATGATTTCACTGTTAAACTCCTGATTGTAGCAGCAGCTGCAGCTTTAATTTTAGAAATGGCTTTAGCATCACCTGATGATAGATCAATAGCTTGGATAGATGGTTTTGGTATTTTTGTAGCAGTACTGATAGTAGGTTTTGTTACATCTACAAATAACTACTAAAAAGTAAGTATTATATAACTTAATTATTTCATTTATTATAAAAAAAGATAAAAAGTTAAATTCGAATGCACATGCAAAAAGGCATTGGTTTTTAACTATCTATAAAAAATTAAGAAAATTTTAATTATCTTTAACAAAAGATTGATAAATAAATCACTATTTATCTATCATACTGATAGAATAAACAATAAACAAAACCACCTTACAAAAGATAGACTTTTGCTTATTTATACTTTTAGAACACATATTTTTAATTATCCATTTTTAACAACAAATAAAAGGAAAGACAATTTGCAAAATTAAATTCAGTTTCAGATGAATCAAAAATAGTTACAGTAATTAGAAATGGCAAACCCTCAAACATTCATATGTCATTAGTTTAGGTTGGAGATGTTGTTGTCCTTAATGAAGGTATGGAAATACCTGCAGATGGTATAATATTGGAAGCATCAGAGTTAACAACTGATGAATCTGCTATGACTGGTGAAACAGGTATCAAAAATAAATTGAAGCAAATTAAAATAATCAACGCTTATTTTTAAATTAATATTAAAAGACCCTATAAAGAAATAAGTTTTGAAAGAATGCATTTAAATTAGAAATCAAATTATTAATAGCGGTGAAAAAAATACTTCTTCTCGCCATGAAGTACCTTCAGTAGTTATAATGTCTGGAACAAGAGTAATTATTTTAGTTTAAAATGTTATACTCAGCAAGAAAAATACTAATAATAACAGCAAAATTAATGAATTTTAATTGTAAAAAATAAAGGTTTTATAGGGAGAAGGTAAAATGGTGGTAGCTGTTGTAGGAGATTACAGTTGCGCAGGAAAAATTTCTGCTTTATTAAGAACTTAAGAACTAGCAGCTACTCCTTTGTAATAAAAATTAGAAGCTATAGCCAGAGATATTGGTTACTTTGGTCTCTACTCTGCTATTCTTATTTATGTTGTATTAGTTATAAGATTTGCTATTGAAGCTGGTATTTAGGGAAGCGATTTTGATCCTAAAAGTTTACTTGATTTGTTACACTATTTAATTCTAGCTATTACTGTTGTAGCAGTAGCTATTCCTGAAGGCTTACCTCTCTCTGTCACCATTTCTTTAGCTTTTTCGGTGAAAAAAATGCTTAAAGATTAAAATTTAGTAAAGTAATTGTAAGCTTGTGAAACAATGGGAGGTGCTAATTGCATTTGTTCAGATAAAACAGGTATTTATTTATTTAAATTCTTTATATAATCTTTTAAATGATAAAAATTTTGGTTAGATTTTTTAATAACTTGTGTATTTTTAATTAGGAACTTTAACTAAAAATGAAATGACATTAACTGATTGGTGGAACGATGAACTTAAATCCTTTGAAAGAGAAGCTTAATTCAATTTAAGATAGGATTAAAATATGTCTGAATATTCAGAGTAGATTTTTAAAGAGCAAATTGCTGTTAATTCTGCTGCCTTACTTCGCCCTTCATAAAAAGGTTCGAAAACAGAAATTGCTGCCCTTAAATTACTAGAATTAGCTGGATATAATTATGAAGACATACGTAATTAATTCTAGGCAGAGCATAAATTTCCTTTTAACTCTAAAAGAAAAAGAATGAGTGTAATTGTCAAAGTAAAATCATTGAATGGAGGTACTACTCGCAGAATTTATGTAAAAGGTGCCTCAGAATTAGTTTTAGCTTCATGTACAAAGTGGCACAAAAAGTAAGATGACCAAATTCTTCCAATTGATGAAAAAACTAGATAAAAAATGCTAGAAAGCATCAAGAATATGGCTGATAAAGCTCTAAGAACTTTAGTTTGTGCCTATAAAGATATTCCTGATAATGCTGATATTACTACTAAAAATGAGCTAGGAGTATTTAATATTGAAACAACTGACCTTACTTTACATGCTATCTTTGGTATTTATGATGTAGTTAGACCAGAAGTTCCTGGTGCAATTGAAAAATGTAAATTATTTTTTTATGCTTTAAATTATTTTTAATAATTTTGATTATATAATAGGTAAAATTGCATAGATTAAAGTTAGAATGGTTACTGGTGATAATAAAGATACAGCAAGAGCTATAGCAAAGGAATGTGGAATTATTTCTGCTGCTGATGATAGCAATCCTTATTCAGTTTTAGAAGGTATATTAAAATTTTTTTAAGAAATAATCAAAAACTCAATCTTAATTTTGTTAAATTTATTATTTTAATTTTAAATAGGTCCTGATTTTATCTAAAAGATTGGGGGTGTTGTCTGTAAAAAACATAAAACTCCTACTTGTGATTGTGCAAGAGATAAAAAAACTGCAGCAAAGAATGGAGTAGATTTAAGAGTTGATACTATTTTGAATGGAGATGTTTTTGATAAAATTGTTCCTAATTTAAATGTTCTCTCACGTTCTCGTCCTGAAGATAAATATGCATTAGTTACTGGTCTTATTGAAAGAGGTAACGTTGTTGCAGTTACTGGTGATGGTACCAATGATGCACCTGCTTTAAAGAAAGCTGATATTGGATTTGCTATGGGTATAGCTGGAACAGAAGTTGCTAAAGAAGCTGCTGATATTGTTATTCTTGATGATAACTTTAAAAGTATTCTTGCAGCAGTGCTTTGGGGGAGAAATATTTATGAATGTATCAAAAAATTCCTTTAATTCTAACTTACAGTCAATGTTGTAGCTGTCTCTATTACTTTGATTGGTGCAGCTGTTATAAAGTAGGAAGTTCTATCTCCCATTTAAATGCTTTGGTAATAAATTAATAAATTATTTTAAACGAACAGATAGATAAAATTTAATAAATAATTATAGGGTTAATCTAATCATGGATACATTTGCATCATTAGCTTTGGCTACTGAACCTCCCAGTGAATATTTACTTAAGATGAAGCCACATGATAGAGATGAATATATTATTTCTCGTAAAATGTTCAAGCACATCATCTTTTAGGCCATATTTTAACTTATTATAATGCTTATATTTATTTTTGCTGGCCCTGATTTTATTCCTGAATATAGCGATGATTTCGACCATAGATTCATAGGCGATAAAAAAAATCCTTACTATAGCACAGGTGAGTTTTGGAGAACTAAGTACAGTAATCCTCAAGGTACTAAGGTAGTTTAGGGTAGATTGATGGATATAAATGGTGTAGATAAAATGTATAAACCTGTTATGGATGAATATAATGTTCCATCCCGTCATTTCACTTGTATTTTTAACGTCTTCGTTATGATGCAAGTATTTAACTTTTTGAATTCAAGAAAAATACAGTAAATATTTTAATAATTTATCTTTTATCTGACTCTTTAATTTAATTTTTTTTTTTTAAATAAAATAGTGATGAATTTAACATTTTATCTGGTATTGAAAAGAATCCTCTTTTCTTCTTGATTATCTTTATTATCTTATTTTTCCAAGTTATCTTAATTACATTTGCAGGTATTGCCTTTAATTGTTATTCATATTATGGACTTACTGTATAGCAATGGTTTATTTGTATTGGGTTTGGTGCTTTAGGAATTATAGTTTCATTCATAGTTAAATTTATTCCTGATACAATATTCCCTGAAATAGGAAAGAAATAAGTAGATCCTATTTAAACTGAATCTAAAATATTAGCTCTCAAAGGTAATAGAGGCGAATCAGGTTTATAACGTAAATTTTCCTCTTTAAATGTTGGACATAATAAAAATCAAAATGGCGGTGGTGGTAGTATTAAAGTAAACTGAGTAAACTGATAATAACTAACATTTGATTAGTTAATCCTTAAATTTAGATAATAAAACATCAATTTAAGTGAAAAAAATTTACTTTTTCTTTTTTAATATAAATTAAAATTTAAATCAATATTAAAAATATTTTTATATACCACTAAACAAACAAAAAATTCTCTTTAATTTATAAAACTGTTAGTTAGTTCATTCATACGTATACAATTTATATTTTGTTATTACTTATAGTTTATTCAATTTTTAATTAAATATTAATTAGCATTTCTCTCTTAAATATATTTTCATTTTGGTATTAACTGTTCAATATTTTATTTAAAGGAATAATTTATATTTATTAAATTTAACTTAAATAGTCTAATTATTTCATAATAAATATTTATCGAGATCAATGTTGATTGTAACTAAAAGCCAATTGATACGTTCTTGGGTTTAGTTCATAAAACATTAATTCAACTGCAATAAAATTTTAACTTTTTCATCTTTTAAAATTAAATAAAAAATTTTTTATATACAAAATAATATGAAAATGAACTAAATAAAAAAAATTTTTAATTAAAAATAATTTTTCGAAAATATTCTAATTTTAATCATATATAATTTTAAAAAAACACTTATTAATACAATTACTTATCAATACTTTATATTCACTAAGGTGTATAAAGTATAGTTAAAAAGAAAATAATGCTTCATATAAAATAATAAAAATAAATTATAAAACATGCTTAAATAATTTTTGAAATTATTTTAATAAATTAATGAAAAAATATTTATTATTTTTTGAGAATATTAATTATTTCTTTATGATAAATAATTTAATCCTATTTATTATGACTTCAAACTATTAGATTTATTAAGAAAATATTATTTTAGAATTTAAATCAAAGCAAACTAATAATAGGATATCTCTCAGCCGAACGAACTAAATTCGCAATAAGTAATATACAGAAATCCATCAGTAGATTTATAAGATTTATATAAATCAGACAAACGCGAACCTATTTATTTTAATTTTAAAAACTTTAAAAAATAATTCATTGTAGATCAAATTCTAGTTTGTTAAAAAAATGATTATAAATTCATTTTTCTATAAATATAGTTCCAAATCTAAATGTATGTTAAATTTAATCAATTAACTACCTAAGTTTAAAAGTTTTAGCTATTCCATGAAACCGTTATGTACAAATATTGATACAGCTTCATTTTCATTTAATTTAATATTATTTCTGATTACTGATTAAACCTTCAATATGTCCATTTTGCCTTAAATAACTAGTCTTTATTTTCAAACAAAATATGGTAAAATTTTAAAATATTTTCTTTTTAAAGGTACGAATCTTATTTTTATTTAAATTTAATAAAATTACTTGAGCTTTTTAAAATCATCAAGCTTTGAATTAGGATGTTTTTCAATAATTAATGGAACATAGTCAGGATATTGATCTAAAATTTATTTACATTCTTTTATTCTCTAATTAACTGGAGTTATGTATTTGTATAGGATATGTGTTAAATCTTGATTTTACGACTTATTTTACTATATAATTTCAAATAGCCTTTACATCATTTTTATTCTTGTTGGAATTACTTTAAAATGAAAACTTTTTAAGACTTTAAATATTTTTAGAATTTTTTTCTATTTATTTTTTATCAGAAACGATAGAGTATTTTTTATTGAATTTTCTATTAATTATAATATAAGCCAGTCAAATTCCTATCAAAAATTTAATGCAATACATTAAAATTGTCTATATTAAGAATTAAATAGAAAGAAATGATATTCTTAGTGCTTAAAATGTCTATTAATCTAAATTATTTGAGTTTAAATGCCGCCAATTATAAAAATTATTTTAAATCTTCTTCTAAGGTTTTAAGAAAATTAGAAAATAAAAAAATAATATTTTTTAATTACTTAAATTAATTCCATTTTGATTTAAAAATTATTTCAAATAATTTATTTTTTAAGTATTAAAATTAATTTAATAAAATATTATTCTGTTGTTTAAAAATTTTATTAAATTACTTAAGAATTTATCTAATTTATATTTTAAATTTCTATGATATTATATGTACAAACAAATTTAAATAATATTTTTAATAGTTCCCTCATTTCTTTTTTTTTGGTTATTCATTTTAAGATTCTAAAGTTTTCATAAGCTCCTCAACTTCTTCATCATTTTAATGTTCTTCTTTTTCATGATTTTCATGCTCATCAGGATTTTCTTCGCTATATTTACCAAATTCTCCTTCAAGTGAAGGATCATTTTCTTAGATCTCTTAATTATCTTTTTTATTTTAATCCTCTTCCCCTTCTTTCTTTTCACTAGTTTCAGTTTCTTCATCAGAGCTTTCTTCATCACTATCTTATTTCTCATTAAGTTCTTCTTCTTACTTTCTTAGTTCTTCTTCTTATTTTTTTAGTTCTTCTTCTTGATTAACATTGGCATCTTCACTTTCTAAAGTACTTTCTAATATTTCATCTTAAGCATCTTTAACATCCTTTTTAGCTTCAGGTTTTTTGTCAAAAACTAAGTTTTCATCATCTAAAAATCCATTAATTTCTCTCCATTACATTTCAGCAGAATTTCCTCCTAACTATTCAACAAGCATATCTTTAGCGTTCAAAATTTTTGCTTAGATGTAAGCAGATCCTCCATTTTCGGGTTTGTTTTTTGAATACAAGAATAAGTATTGCTATATTTATAAATTAAGTATAAAATTTTATTTATTCTACCTCTAATTTTTTAATAAACTTCATTTCATTCATTATTTTTGGTAAATAACACTTTAATAAATACTTTTTTTTAGTCAAAAAGAATATAAAAATTTACTTCCATAACCATTTTGAGTGTAGGTTTAGTTTCGCTTTCAATCCCCAATATTTTGAATGCTTCCAACTAAGACATTTTATGTATATTATTTTTAGAAGTAGCATCTGTGCTCTTATTTTAAAGATTCTCAAAAGGATTAAAAGCCTTAACTTTTTCAAAGTTTAAGTAATTCAATATATTAAGTTTATGATGCTTAAAAATGTCATTCCAATCGAACTTGTATACTTTCTTCCCTTAAGCTGCATTATTTTCTTTTTTTATATTGAATTTTTATTGTTATTAATGATAATAATGCAAAGATATTTTAATTACTCTTTAATGTACTTGAGTATGCTGAACGAAATGATTTAGCAAATGAGGTAACAACTTTAATTATAACTTTTTAAAAAAAAGGATTTGGTACCATTTATTTACCTATTATCTATTTTATTTATATTTGTATTATATTAGCTTTTATTCTTATATTTAAGTTAGAAAATTTCAACCAAGCTAAGGCTTCTGATTTAGTAAAAAAGATACAATAATTAAATTAATTTGTTTTTCTTTAAAAGCTTAAAACAGTTCAAACAAATTTCTACAAGCAAGTAGCTAATCAATTAAATTTGTTTTTCTTTAAATAGGAACATCTCAAATTTTTTAGAAATTTCTATTAACAATTATATTTATAATTACTAACAATAAAATGTTAGCTTATCCTTGCATGCTTTCTAACATATTTTAAAAATAATAGATTACTATATTAATAAATTTAATTTATGATTTATTTTAGTAATTTAGATTTTGGCGTAAGAGTAAAATTTCGAATCCGAAAACATAGTTTAAATATAAAAAATAAATTTTATACTTTATATATATTAAAGATATGAAAAGGAGTTTTTTTGAAGATAAGTTAAAACTATATTATAAATTAACTTAAATAAATCAAAATAAAATACTTAATCCAATATTTTTACAAAATAACTCTCATATAGCCTATTATATATATAATTACAAATTTTAATAATATAATTGCTAATTTTTGATAAATTTAATTTAAATTTTAATCAAATAAAATTATTTCTTCTTATTTGTTAAAATTATATAAATTTTATTCAAAAAATATTATCAGTTTTTAATATGCATTTAATAAGAATTATATGTTTAAATGCTAAATTATTAACATTCTTTTTAAAAAAAATATTGTTAAATTGTCTGTCATTAGTTATGAAATAAGAAAAAATCAAGTATTAATCTATTTTATCTAAAATGAGAAATGAAATATTGAAATTAAAGCAATCACTAATCTTTAAGAAAAATTAATATTTGAGGTAATAATATAATTATAAAATCTGAGAGAATTATTTAATTTATATTTTTAATTATTGATAATTTATTGTATCTACTAGGATACAACAAAAGATACATTAATTTTTAATTCTGATAAGTTTTTTTCTTTATATACCAACCAATAAATTAAACAAATTAATAATTTAATAAAAATAAATAATTCAAAAAAAAAAATAAAACGAAATAAAAGAGAATCAAAATCCAAACTTTTAAAACAAATCAAATGAAAAAATATTAACTGTAGATAGCTATCGCTAGCTTGTGTTTGATTACTTATACATATTGCGAATAAATCAATATCTTGCTTTAAAATAATTAAGTTGGATAAGTTAATAATTACAATATATAGTTAAGTAGTTTTCAAGACTGGAATAGTACCTATTAAAATTCTTTTCCTTTAAGCATCTAATTTTATTTTCCATAAGAGTTTTAAAATGCTATATCCAATCTTAACATCATTTAAAACTAATAGACATTGCAATATTTCTCATCAGTAAGTGGAAAAAGTTATTTGGTTGAATTTTCAATAGTTATAAATAGCGGTAACTGTTAAATATGGTTTAATAATTTCTTAAATCCATCCTATTCTGGCACATACATAATTCCAATATCTATCTATGATAAATATTAGAATAGATAATATCAGAATCAGATACAGATATAATAAATTAATTCTAATAGTAATTAATTTTTTTTAATTATTTGATTTTAATAATTTTTATAAAAGATAACATATAACTGTATTTCAATAATGGATAACAAACCAACATTCAAGGTACCTTAAATCTAAATATTTAGCCATCGATTCTTCTTCCTTCTGATTTGGGCATCTCAATAAAGCTTCCTTAATATAGTGCTTCTAAACCATCAATGAATTATGTTAATAACCCTGTTACTTGCATATTGAAATAGGTAAATTTATTAGTAGAATTAAAATTAGATAAACTTTAAAATTTTTTATTTATATATTTAGTAATAGGGTAATATCAATCTGCCATGTGTTCTAAATGCTTAAAACTTGTTGAACATAACTAATATACTTACTACTTCTTAAACTACTATAACTCCATTAACCATCTAAATTGCAAACGTGCTTGCACCTATATCTACTTAACCTGTAGTAGGATTTAATGTATCTTTATACGGCTAAACAAACGGAGGTTTGATTCAATACGAAAATAACAAATCAGTAAATGCGTCATCTGCAAGCAATCCAAATTCAATAACTATAAGCTCTTCTAATTAGAATACTTTAAATACAACTAGTTTAGTAGTTAACATTAAAGCATAAACATTTTTTTCTCCATCTTATGTTATTATATTTAAGCTTCCAATAGACTTTGTAGTATCAAACTTTTAAAGTAATTAATTAATTAATAATTTACTTAAGACTTTTAATTTTTTGATTAATATTTTATATTTTAAATAAATATTTTTAAAAATTATCTTAAAAGGTTAACTCAAAGGATATACACAAGATGGAAGATAAATAACACTTTCAATTCAAAAAGATTAATCCATACTTATTTAATCAGATATAAGCGTAGCTGGAGATGATTCTAAGTTTTATTTTAGGCTAGATGGTGTCTAAAATTACTAAGGAGCTTATTAAACTTCTACCTACTTCTAAACAATAGTGTATTCTGATAATACTTTACAATACATAGTTTGCTAAGATCTCAACAGTATTCAATACTAAACACTCTCAAGCTAGCTTGTAATTAATAAGTTTAGTTTTTTGCCATAATAGGTTTAGATTGTGAGTTCATACATTTTTTAATTTAGCATGATGAATTCTCTAGATGCTACAAGTATGATTTCAAACCGTATTACTATTAATCTTCCTAGCTAAGTAAGTTACACAACAAATATGGTAAGCTCTATGCTTGGAAATGGAATTGTTAGTTGTAATAACTATATAAATTTCATTTAATTTGCTAACATTTCTGCTTCAGCAACTTGTGAAATGCCTTCTGATTCTGTTATTAGAATTTATAACTTTTTCATTTAAAATAACAACAATTTAGCAATAAACTTGAAATAAGTAGTTAATCCTTACTCTACAGCCCAAACTCAGAATTTCGTCATATAAGTAGAAATTTAAAAGAGTACTAACCCAAATTGGCTAACTGTGTATTAAAATAGCTAAAATGATGGTACTACAAGCATTGTTGCCTCAAGTGGATAAATTTCACTTCTCAAATTTTAAGGTGTAAATAACTAAATTACTTTCAATCAAAATAACTATCTTATATCCTTTAGCACTACTTCGCAATTAATACCTAATAGTTTTATTGATATTTAATTTCCACTCGATGATTTTCTATTTAAATAAATTAGCTAATCATCTTTCTCATGCTAATTTATTAGTGGATAGTTTTCTTCTTAGAATTCATGTTCTCTAAATATAGGAAATATTGTTGAAATAAACCTCTAATCCAGTCAAAGTATTCCTTCTGGATCTGTGATTACTCTTATGATAAATGGTATAATAAATCCTAGATCAACAAGGCCTACTGGATAACTCAACATCACAACTTTATCACCCACTAGAAACATAATAGATACAATATAGACCAGTAGTAGTATTGGAAGTCTAAGTATGAGCATACCTAATACTCTTTAAATATTTAGTGTCTAGCCTTAATCTTTCTTAATTGGTGATAAAACTATGTACACTTTTACTCTTTAATCTCCTGTTTAGATCCTTTCTGGAGATGTCTTAACAATAAATGTTTTAGAACTTTTGCCTCAAAATTAGTAAAGTATGATATGCAGTGGAATATAAGGTTTACCTATTACTTTAAGCTGTTCTTAGAGTGGTACAAATATTACTTTAACCATGCAATCACCAATAGCCCCTAATACCGTTATATAGTTTACAGTTTCAAATCTTTAAAATCCTTACTCTAATGTGATATCAGCTCCACTTTTATTTTGTATTTATGACTCGTAAGGCTATATAATAGCAACTTCTTAGTTTTCAGATGTGGCTAAGAGAGGAAGCTAAATAGGTTATGACTCAGTGATATTCCAATAAACATCTGTAACGCCAGATAGCTACAAAGTTGGATAGATAACAACCTATAGATTAAACTTTAATCTCCCAATCCCCATAAATTAAAGTTAATCCATAATAATTTATCTCCCTAGTGATATTGGTATCAATAACTCAAATATAAGTTGCTACTTATTATTTAAGAATTTATCATAAAATACAAACACAATATGCAGTTATCAGTAAGCTAACCATTCTATTTTAATTACAAAATTCTTGCCAATTAGTAATAGGAGATTACTTAGCTCAGGCCAATAGTATATCTAAAAGGAATACTCAGATATATAGTCCATGAACTTTTAACAAGAGTAAAGATATCTCTCAAGTATTTCAACAATACCAATAAACACAAATTTGATAATTTCTTTAACTGGTATACAAAATAAATTAAACAATGGTCCTTTCTAAAGCAATACATCCTCTTAATTTAAAGTTTCTATAAGTAATATCGATAGCTCTGGTAAAATAGTAGAGTTAGCTTCATCGATAATTAGTTTAGCACCTTCTTATACCTGTTCATCACCATGCATTAATTGTTAAGGAATCGATACTTAATGCACTTCTTGCTAAGGATCATAAATTCTTCTTCCTGAATTAAGCTAATGTGAGGCTAACTGTCCTAATAACTATGTCAGGGTATAGAGTCAAAAATATTAATAGTAAGTATGCCTGAGGTGTTTGTCTTTTGAGTCTGATATTAACTGCTCTTCATGTGATCCTTACAACTTAAATGTATGCACATAATGTGTTAATAGATATAAATTAATTTATGATTAGAATGGAACAGCTCGTTGTGAGGAAATCAGTAGCGATAATGACCCTCTTCGTGACTTTGTTTACAACATTGAGTACAATCTACCTTATATTTCCTTATACATTTTAATTGTTAGCATTTATTGTATAGTAAGAAAGATATTTAAGGTAAAGAATCTGATCTTAGTTGCAGTCTTACTCTCATGCTATTCTTTAATTGAAATCATTGTACTAATAGCTTTTATTGTTAAGATATGTCTTCTTCAATAATTTTTACCCATATTGCTTGCAGGATTGCTGATTTTGGTATATGTTGTTTCTCAGTATTTCTTTGCTTACAGATTCAAAAAATCACTTTTCAAAGATCAGGGATATAACTTATATGAACCAAACTATAAAACAGTGAGAGTTGTGTAAAAATTAGCTCTTATTTTTAACTTTAAAATATTTCTGATGTATAGAAGCAACTTTTCACATATAAAAGACATCTTTTACATACCTTTTAGTAATTCATAATTACTTTTGCACACAATAAAAAAAGGTTTATAAATTTGTCTTCTTCTAGGGATAGCAATTCTAGCATTTGATGGATGGGTTATGTATTACACATACAATTACAGGAATGTAATTATCCCTCCATTTTTCTTTATTGAATTTGCATTTTTCCATTTTTTGATTGTAATAATGCTTCTACTCCTCCTAATTCCAAATAAAAAATATAGTTTAGATATTATTTTCGATTCTGTTAACGAAAATGACATTAAGTATAAATCAAAGTAACTTGATTTAAAAAATATATCCTCTACTTTAATTTAGACCAAGACTATATAGGCTGTAGATCATTAAAATCAATTTTAAACTCATTCTATCTACATGACAGCTAAGAATCCAACTTACTCTTCATCAGACATTTAACATATAAGTGTTACTAGAAATAACATACCTAGAAGCACGACTGTTATACACTTAGATAATAATGCAAAAAAATATGGCAATTAATAAGATTAATCATTAATTTAAAACGAATAAAAAAGCAATTAAATGATCCCTCCAATAAATAATAATAGAGATAAGAAATAATTACCAGGAATGGGCAAGTAAATTATGAATAAATAAGAGAGTTAATCTTTTTTGATTCTTAATAATGGACTTTAACAAAACTTATCAAATTCCACACCAAACAACTAATCTATGAACCATGAACTCTTCCCTTCTAATTTTAATTCTTCTTCTGAATTATAAATTTAAGAAAGATTCCAAAGCCAAGCACAGAGGTCTCCTATAAATATAAATAATCACAGTAACTCATCTAACATCTAAATTTAACAATCGGAGTCAGAAGATGAAAAGAAATTAAAAAAAATAAATAACAATTATAACAATTAAGAATCTGATTAAACTAAGTCACATAAATCAAAAACTATACACAATATTGATTCTAATTTAAATAGAGACAACTATCATTAGTAAATGATATTAAATAATTAAAAATTATCTTCTGATGATAGAAGTCCTTAAAGCCACTCACCAGAATAGGTGAATACAGGAAATTTTGAAAAATAATCTACAAGTGTTTAGTCACAAAGACATTAAGAATTGAAAACACCAGATAAATTAACAAAGTCAAGCTCAAAATCCTTGTCACCTAAGGATTTAAGCAACCAAAAGCTTACTTAAAAAGAAAAAAACTTAGAAGTTTAAGCTCGTACTATTTTTTCACCTACTTAACTTTTATTGAATAATTTAGAGGAACAGAAAAATGGAATGAAAAAATCTTAAGATATAAAATAATAGAAATAATTCCAACAAATTTAATCTAGCAAAGCCTAATTAGATGAAGCTGATATAGAAGTTGATATTTAAGACTCTAATATCAGAAATCTAAAAAATTAAATGTATGCCAGTAAGCAGCATTAAAATAATTTTTATAATAAGAAATAGTAAAACAGAGTATCTCAGCAGATTTAATCTTCATAAGATCAAACTTAAAATAATCTTACTGAAAAATATACAGAGAGCTCTCAAGAAGTGGAGGAAAATCATTGCTTAAATGCTTAACTTTAGTCATTAACTAAGCACAATAATTTAAGCTAATAAAATAATCAATTCATATCTCCTAGAGTGAATATACTCCAAGCAAATGATATAACAAATTCTTATAGTACTCCTTAAATTGGGTAATAAATGAGTAATTAAACTAGCTAAATGTAAGAACATGCAAACTAAGAATTATAAGAACAATAATTGAGCAATTTCTCAAAATTTTAAGATAATAACTAATCAAACAATAATATGAATAATCAATCTGAGAATTCCCCAATAAACTTAAAAAAGAATTAAGCTTTTGATTTAAACAAAAACTAACCTCCTTCATTCTCACAAAATTTAAATATATCTAATGGTAAATAAAATAATTACCAGCAGTTATACAGTTTTAACAATAACCGATAGGCTAAGATTCCATCAACATAATACGTTTCTAGTTTTGATAAATTTTAAATGGATAATAATCAATAATAACTCCTTTCATAAAACAATCAATAACCTGTAAATACTATACAAGAAACTAGAAATATTCCTATATAAATCTAAACCAACTAATCTACTCCTACTGATTAAAAAAAAAATAGTAAAATTTTTGGCAATCTTTTACATGATATGCTTTAGAATCCTATTTCTAGTGTTATATAGAGTACTGATAGCAAAACTAGCTAATACTTCCCATAAGAGAACATCAGTAACTATTGAATATATAAAAATTTCATATTTTATTTATATATTAATTATCATTTTCATATTTTTGTAAAACAATATATTAATTTTTTTCTAAATTGAATTCAATCAGTATTATATTAAAATTTTATTTCTAAATTTTAATTACGATTTTAAAAATTTTCTTATTCTCATCTAAAAAAAATTATACAAGTATCAAATAATTTTAAATATTTAAAATTCTGCATAAATTTAAGTTATGTATCAAAATATATTTAAGAAATTTAATTTCTATTATTCATTTAACTTATTTATTTTGGTTTAAAAGCTTATGTTAAAATTAGTATTTATCCTTTTATTCAAGATTTTACCCTGTTTCATATTGCAAATTTAACTAGTAATCTTCGTGTGATATTAATAACTTAATTAAAGAATTAAAAATATTTTAAAATTAAAAGAAAAAATAATTTTTTTTAACAAAAACTATTAAAACTTATCAAGCCAATTAAAACAACTATTTATTAAAAGTATTAAATATAAACTGAATATATCTGATAAATGTTAGTTTAAATATCTAATAGTCTAATGGTTACTAATAAAAATTTTTCTTGAATGAATATTTAGTAAGATTTAACTTTAAAATTAGATATTTGTTTATTTATTAACTCTTAAAAATAATAAATATTCTAGTTTTAAACCATTTAATTCAGCAAATTTAATTAATTTCCAGTATTTATTTGGTCTTACAAAATTTAATATGAAATAGGATTCTACCAGCTAAGTAATTTATTGATTAACATTTTAATATTAATAATTTGATAATTTAAGATTTTTTTGAGTAATTAATATTATAAAAATTAAGTAAATACAAAATAGAATGTTTGACAATAAAACTCACAAAAGAGTAGGAACGATTGTAAATAATGTCAATAACTACTATTTAGAATAAGAAGAAAAAGAAAGGCTTTTGTAAGCTAGTATGTCTAACAAGAAGCCATAAAAAAAAATAATTCAAAAGCAAGTCTATATGTAGCATTTAGAAAAGAGACTTAATGAAATTACAGCAATAGGAAAAGAAATGAGAGATATTTAAGCAAATCAAACTTAATCTAAATAAAAAGAAATGGTTAAATAACTTTAAATGGAAACTTAAATAAAAGTAACTTTTAATCTCATTAAAATCCAATAAATAACTAAAACATTCATTCTGAATTTATTTCTTGTTTACTAATATTATTATTTTGAATTTAATCTTGCTTTGATTCTCATAACTTACTAATTAATTCATTTTTAATAGGATTCTAAGTAATAATAAAAGAAGCTTAGATTATGTAAATAGTTTATGTAAACAGGATTGTGTAGAAATAAAGACACATGCAAATATGCTCATTCAATATAAACATTAGATACAGAGTATTTTCCTTAAAGTAAAAATATAAATATTTGAAACTTATTAAATGCTTAAATTACTCATTTAAAGAATCAAAAATTTAATTTATTTATATTTAACAAATATTTAAGGCTGGGTTAACCACTTCAAGAGAAATATGATATTAAATAGACCGCAATCAGCAGTAAATTTAAAATCAGTATCACAAATAACTTCGCCTCCTAAGGCAGTAGATAATATATTCAACTTTTTTTATCCTTCATTATCAAATGAAAAAAAAGTAACAATTAGTCCTCAAACCTAGATATTTACTATTAACTAAAACAAATAAAACCAATAAGAATAATAACTATAATAAACTCCGTAAGTAAAGAATCCTTCTAACTCTGAAAGAATAAAATAATTTCTCACCAGAGTCTAGTCTGCTAAAATTTAAAAATAAAATCCTAAACCTATATAAGATCCAAATATTGACAAAGTTATAAATTAAAAAGGTAGAACCATGCTAATGGAGGCAGTCATACAAGGAAATATTGAAGGTATACAAAATGGAATGTTAAATACATAGTAAAATATTTAAAAATAATAAAAATAGCTGTTCGAAATTTCCTGTAGCTAGGAGCAAACCCAAATTTAACTGATTGGAAAGGTGATAACAGCATAATACATGCAATCAAAAAGAACTTTAATGATATATTAGGTGTAATCCTTGACACTAGCCAAAAATACATTAATTTAAACAACAGGTTTTTTACAAATAAAGTCACATACTTAATGATGGCAGCAAAACTATCATAAAGTGACATGGTAAAAACTTTGCTTGCAGCGAAAGCAGACCCTAATATAACAGATGAAGTAAATAATATATTTAATTGATGAAAAAATAACTCAAGGTGACCAAAAATTAGCATTATATGCAGCGAACAATTAATCTAATAATAGTTTTTAATTAAAAAATAAAATAAATTTAAAATTCATAATATAATTGATTTTAATATAGAAATATCAATAAAATTGATTTTAAAGCAAACAAATTGAAATAAAAAAAGAACTAAGATTTAACACAAAATAAGAATTGAAATAAAAATAATTAGATGGTTTTAATATAAAAAAAATTTAACAAATTAGGTTTAAATAAGTTTTATTTAGAGTTTATAATTAAGATAAGTCTTTCTATTATATATTTTAATTTTTTTTAACATTAAATATTTTAATAGGCAAATAGAACTGCTATTTTTTATTGTATTTTTAACAATGATTTAGAGAGTATATATGATTTGGTAGAAGGAGGTACTAATTTAACTATAGTTGATGATGTAATTAATGTATTTTAACTCTTTTATCAATTATTAAATCTGTAAAATTATAGAGAAAGAAGACTTGTGTAGACTATGCTTTCCAAAGAAACTAAATAGATCTTATAAATTATTTGTTTTCTAAGGGAGGTGCTTTAGCAGACACTACATAACGTAATATTTCATTAAAATTTAATTATTATTACAATTGTTCTACTTTAATCTATTTAGACCACAAAATAATGTTCTTGGCTGTTTAAAATAATAAGCTAGGGTTAGTTTATGAGCTAATCAAAAGAGGTAACTCGCCTATGTCAGTTGATGAAAATGGGAATAATCTAATGTTGTTAGCAATAAAACATTAATATTACGATTCTGCAATTGAATTATGCCAAGATTATAGTTTGAACAATATAATTACACAAAATAATAAAGTAATATTTTCAATACGGTCAATTTATTTAAAGAATTTTTTAAAACTAAAGTAAGGTGAAAATTGCATTTTCCTGTCTATTAAAGAACAAGCTTATTAGCTGGCTAAATTTTTTATAAGATAGGCAAAAAGTTTAGATTGTGTGGATAATGTAAAAAATATTTATTCAATAAATAGTTTTAAAATTTTTTAACTAACATTTGTAGGAAGGAAAGACAGCTCTTATTTATGCAGCTGAATCTAACTAAGATGATCTAGTAGAATTAGTTATGCAAAAAGATATACAAGATATTAACAAATAAGATAAAGTAAATATATTTAAGAATTTAATAAGTTATGAATTTATTTAATTCAAAAGAAAATGGGAACTGCACTGATTTATGCTGCCAAAACTGAAAACATACTTTCTATTGAACATATCCTTAAGTGTAAGCAAACAGTAAAGGCTTATTTGGTTGATTTTTATGGGAAAAAAGCAAGACACTATTGCTAAAATAAAACAGCTGCTAAAAGGATAATAAATCGCTATATGATTGATTAAGGATAGCTTTCTGAATCTCTAATAAAAGGTTTGCTAAATTTTCTTCTACTTTAATTTTTATTCATTATTTTAAATCTGAGAGATATAATAAAATTAATTATAATTAAAGAAATGGAGGAGGAAGAAGACTATTTGAACAAATAAATGTTATTTAAAATAAAAACCATACCTTAGCATGATAGTCATGATTAAAAATTTAAAAAGGTAAAATAGAATTAATAACAATATTAATCTTGAACATTCATACTAAGAATGTATAAACAAATAAATATTTTCATCTAAACTAATTATTTTAATTAATTTATATAACTATATTAGAAACTTTGTATATTATAATATATAAATTCTGTTATTTACTAAGCTTTTTGTAATTAAAATACTACTTTGTTCATTCAATTTTCATCTTCTACTTAATTTTGTGCTAATATTTGTAGCTTATTTATTAAATCATTATTGAATTTTTAATTGTATAAAGGCGAATATTGAGATAATAAAATATCAAATGATTCAAAACGAGTCTGCTCAAGACAAGGTTTGCTATCTGGTAATACCTAAATGAATTTTGATTGAAATAATTAAAAATATTTTAATTTTAACTATTTAATTAATCAATTATATGTACAATAATTCCTTCTTAGGTGCAGCATTTCAAATGGAGGACATTCTTTTCTAGTGTTGTAAATATCATTTCACATTAGTCAGTTTAGTTTGATATTATTTCTATCTTTTCTACATAGTTAAACTTTGTGAACTCCTCAACTTCTTTTTCAAAATCTATATGATTTTCGTTGTCACAATCCATAATATATGGTCTCTTTATTAATAATTTTTTTAGGATTATACAAAAATAAATAAATATCTTTATTAATTAATAATAAAAAATTCAGTACAAATTATACATTTAATTTGCTTTTTTGTTGTTTAATTTTTTTTGAAATGAATAGATTTTTGTTAATTAAGATTAGAAGATTAATTAATTTAATATTTTTTTGTTTTTGGAAAATTCGAGTATTTTTTGTAGAATTAAATATAAATAATTAGTTAAAAAAACTAAATTTTGAATAAAAATATCATTTTTCTTCTAAAATTAATAGCAATCATTATAAAATATTTGATTATTCCTTTTTTTCTTAATATTTAAAGTACATAAATAAAGAGAAAATTTAACAAGCTTTATCTTCAGTTGAAAATATCTAAAAAATTTTTAGCTATTTTTTTTTTTTGCTAAATAAAATTCGTTCCTAAATTCAACAAAGTTGCTTGAATTTAAAACTAATAGAAAAATTTGATAAAATTTATTGAATAAGATCAGAAATCAGAATACTGAAATAAAAATTTTAATTATTGTTAAACTCAAAATAACTAATAAAAAATTAGATTCTTTTTCATGAGAAATAAAGATTTAGCTTTTAAAAATTATTATCAACAAGCAATTTTATTTAAAAAATAAAAAATTATTTTACATCAAAAGTAGAAATTTATGATTATAAATAAACGCAGTGTATCAAAAATTAGTTAATTTTTCGATGCTATTGTTATTTGTTAAAAATTTATAAAATTTGAGAAATACTAATAAAAATTTTGATGCTAAAATTTTTAAAATTTAAAATTATATACTTATACAATTTATTTGGAGCAAATACTTTTTAAATTTCTTAGAATTTGCTTGTATAACTCATAAATGGTAATTTGATACTAAGAAAATGCAAAAGATAGCTTAAAAATACTTGCATAAAATGTGCATATTAATATTTTAAATTACCATTTTTATAATTAAAATAAAAATATAAACATGTTTATTTCACAATTAACTATTGACTTTATTAATAATTTTATTTTACTATAAATTTATATAAAATATTTCTTTGTATATTATTTACTATTTTATTTGCTTTTAATTTCACTCATTATCATCATCATTATCGTCATAGTTTTATTCTTCATCTGAGTCAAGAGGTGCATAATTGTATTCTGCTTTATTGTGCATAACTAGTTCATCACCTACAAAATAAAAAGAATCTGATTTTGTTTCCCATGGATTTAAAATCATTTCTTCTTTTTCTTTTTCTGAGAGAGAAGGGACATCATAAATAGATTCCCAATTATTAGTTGTGTTAGGAATACAGAAAGGGAATTTGAATTCATAAGATTGAATGAGTTTTTCTCTAAAATAGTGACGTTCAATCATTAAAAAATTCTTGACAGGTTTTTATCCTACTGAAAAAGTTAAGCTTGTTCCTATTGTTTTAATATCAAAGAAGTTATTTCCAAAATGATATCTGACAGTACGCATTTCAATTTCTTCCTCTGGTGACAATTCTTGCTACTCTAAAGCTTTTAATTCTTCTTCATCTGCTTATTCTCTGCTAATTTAAAAGAATACTTTATTTGTTTCAACATCTCTTATCCTAAAATCCAAAAATTGTATGTTGTAATGGTTAGCACTAAGAGGGCACAAAAACTATTCAGTAGGTTTAGTGAATGCTCTTACATCATCAGGTGTAAACTTCTTATTATTATCCATTTCTCCTTTTAATTTAATTCACTTTTATCTTATTTCTATCTAAAAGATGTAGTTATTTACCTCTATTTTTTAATTGAAATTTCTTTTTTTCTTTATCAATAAACTATAATTTATTTAATAAAATTTAACTTTCTATGCCTGCTGTTCAATTCTAATAATTTAGGATATAACTATCAATTCTAAAATATTTATTTTAAATAACCTGATGCTATATCGTAATTGTTATTTGTTCTCTCTTATTACATGAAGTTATTTTTTGAAATCTAAAGAGCAGCACCTTTCTTTACTTCTTTATTTTAAAGCATATATTACAAATTGATGAAATTTTTATCAATTTTAAAGTTGATGAATAAATACCCAATATTTAATAAATAAATAAATCAATGAATAAAAATCAAAATTTTATTCATACAAAAATAAAAATATTTAGCTTTAGGAATGTTTAAAAAGTAATATTTAAAAAAAATATTTTTATTTTTGTAAGTTTCTTATATAAAATCTTCTTTTTTTGAGATTTTTGATAACTTAATTATAATTTAAGCATTAACCCCTTTTATTTACTCATGAAATCATAGCAACATATATACTAATACGAGTGTAAAGTTTAAAGTTTTTAATTTTAATGAATTATAAATTGTTTTATGAAGAAATAAAAAATTTTAAGACAATTATATAATTTTTATTTATAAATTTTGCTTCTAAAAGTATAAACTAATATTTTGATTAAGATTTTTTAAATAGTTTTAATAAGCATTTTAGTGTTGATAACATTTATTATTTTATTATTTTTAATTAGATAGTAAATTTCTTTTTGTTATAAATGTTTAGCAAATTATGGGTATTTAATTTTATTAAAAGTATATAATTTTCTTTAATTTTTTTAAAATGATTAATATGATTCAAATATATTTTATTAATTTTTAAAAAGCAAATAATAATGATAATATTGATTTTTTATTTGTAAAAATGATTTTATCTTCTCAGGAAACTATTAAATTAAATCATTAAAAAATAATAATAAATTTAATTGGAAATGAGCAATAGGCTTTTTTAAGTTTCTAGAAACAAATAATTTTTAGTAAATTAATAAAGTATTCTTTTTTTGTTTTTATTAAGTTATATTTAAAATAGACTGACTAATAATAATTAAACAACAAACACTAAAATAATTATATTATTTTATAAAAACGGCAATTAATTTATTAAATGAAACCCAGCTTTATTGGTTCTTGATTATTAGCTGATTATGATTATTTAAATTTTATATATATATGCCTTCTTGTACTCCAATAATTGAAAATTGGAAGAACTACAAACAGAAGATTTGTTTTTCAAAAAGAATTCAATCAAAATTTAAAATTATTCAGAAAGGTTCAAATATGAAATTAAAATTTGCAAAATATGTTTTAATATTTTACTTTTACACTTTTAAATTTCAACTGTCTATAAAAACTTCTGATACAAAATTTCTTATTAGTTTAATTCAAAGCCTAAAATTGATTTTTTTTAAAAAAGAAACATGTAATTTATAAAAAACTGAAGAAAAATAAGTTTTTATTATTTGTAAAAAAATAAAATTAAAAATAGAGCAATTAGATTAAGAAAAATTTTAGCTTTGAAGATACCAAAACCTATCAAGTTCCTGGAAACATATGAAATCAAAATCATAAATATTAAAATTCTTATTTCAATTTATTTCTTGTTCAATTTTAAAATAATAAATATTTTATTATGTGCATTTTAAGGAATAGAATTTTTTTCTAATAGCATGATTAAAAGTTATTTAGATCGATAATTAATATAATCCCATCATTTCTATTAATAAAAATTAGAGTTATACAATTATGCTTTATGTTGTTTATTAAGAAATTAAAAATTTGCAAAATTATTTTAAAATTAGCTTTATCTAGTTTATTTTTATTTGATGATTGAGCTGATGTATTTAAAAATAAGTATATTTATTTATAACATCATTTTTTCCAAAATAACTAAGTGGATCCATTGATTTTGTTTGTAATTTTTTAGAAGGATTTTAGAATTGATTAATAAATAAATTTATAGGAAAGTAAATTCGGAGTAATAAGGAAAAGATTATCTTTGAAAATTTAATATCTCAAAGACAACATTCTTTAATGAATTAGTTAATTTTCAGATATTTTGTGTTATTATTTTATTAAGAAACTAATATAATAAAATTTACAGACTTTTTTAAATATTTGTAAAATATTTTTAAAATTATTATTAACAATTTTCATTAGTGTCATGATTTTTTTAAATTATTTATTTAGGTTTAATATATCGTTATTTATAAAAAGAGTTAAAATTGTCAATTAATTTCAATATAAAACTAAATTTACAAAAATATTGTAGATATTCTTAATAAAATTTGTTTAAAATATTTTTCTATGCCTTTAGCGCAAAATATTTTCTAAATTTACTTTGAAAATTCTATAAAAAAATCTTTGCAAAAAAAAAAAACAAACTAATTTATTTGATTTTGCTTTATAAATAATTTAGATGAAATACGAGAGATTATTTGGCAAAATAAGCCGATTTTACTAATTTTTGTTTTTCTTCTAAAATGGACTTAATAGCAGCTTAAATTAGAGACTGCAGCTTAAGTGATGCTAGTAATTTGTAATTTTTTTTCATTTTAGATGTAATCCTATTTTTCTAATAAAATCTCTTTGTTTTTTAAAAAATTTCAAACCAGAATTCAAACACTAAACAGCGTTTTATTTAGAAATCTTGTTATTTCTCAATTATTTATAACTGTCTTTACTTCAATATTAAAATAAATTTTAAATATCTGCTAGTAGGAAAAGTTATAAAAATAAATTTAAACTAAATTTTGGCTGTCTATTGCTTAAAATTATAGTTTTAAATGAGAAAACACTGCTTTCGGTTAACACTCTCTAACGCCTTTTATAAAAAATAAAAATTGTTTCATATTTTAGCTAAGATTTTGATAACTTTTTTAAAAACGAATTTAAAACTATTAGAATGGTTAAATGATAAAATTAGGAATAGGTAAAAGTTGAAATCTTTCAAAGCTTAATTTGTTTTTTATTTTTGAATTAATTTTATATGTTTTAATTTTTTTAATATCAAAGCAATTTATTTTTTATTTACTTTAAAAGTATAAATAACCAAAGGAATCTCATTTAATTATTTTTAATCTATGTAAAAGGAAAAAAAATAACATATCTTGTTTGTTTTTTATATGATCCATAAAATTGTATTAAAAGACCATTCTTATAAGATGAAAAATGTTAAATTTCAATTGGATTTTTTTTAAAAATTAAGCTATTAAAGTAGAAAGCAATTAATTATAATCATTCATACTTAGTTTGAATAAAAATAAAAGAAATTTATTTCTTTTAAGTAAACTAAGTTGGTTAACAGAATATCACCACTCTACAAAAAGAAATTCAACTTTTAAAACACTTTATGATAGATAAGATAGAGTAAGTAATATCAAAGTGAAAAACAGATAACTAAAAGTCTTGATAAAGTATTGATTAACTTATTAATTGGTAAAAATCAAAAATTTCTAAGAAAAAAGCACATATTAAATTTAAATAGATAAAGATTATTAAAATTTTAGAAGAAAAGAGAGAGGAAAACTAATATATTTAAATAAATTAAAATGAATGAGTAATTTTATAACACTAGTCATATTCTATTATAAGGAAGAGATAAACATTGTTCTATGCAATCACAAGAGTACTCTGCCCAAACTAAAAGTACTATTCTATTATAAGAGATTCAAAAACAAAGCGTACAATCTCTTAAAAAAACAGCCAGTTTGCGAGTAATTATTATGTTCAATGGCTGTTTATAATTATTATATCGAATTTAAATTTTATTAATATAATACAACTTACCTTGAAATTTTATTTAAGTATATCATTCAGTTATAACATTTTCGAAATTGATATTATTTTTTAACAAATTAGAGCATTAACTTTGATAGCATCTTGCATAGTGGCCGAGAAAGTATAATCACTATTATAAGTACTGTCCGTGAGAAATAGTAATCACAGTAATAAGAATTAGATTAAGATTGTGATTTAAACGATAATGTTTTAAATGAATAGCCCAAATATAATTGTCTTTAATTTGAGAATGCAATAAATAATTAACAATATTAGAAGCCTATCGCAAATTATAAATATATATATCAATCTAATGTAAATTAAATTTTAGAAAAGTTGTCACATTCTGAATAAATAAATTAGAATTAAACTGAAATACTAACTTTAAATCCTTAAGAAAGAGAGTTGCAGTTGATAGAGCTAAGGTAGTAGCTCTTCGAGTATAATGAAATAGTGTCAAATCCTTACCTTTTCCATTTAAAAAATTTAACTCGTGAAGAATAAATTTATCATCTTCTTTCAAAGAACTCATTTGAACATCCTTTTTCCTAATTTTTATTGGAAAATACTCATCCACTATAAAATAGCAAACAATAAAATCTCATTTTATAGAGTGCGACTAAATCTAAAAGCATTATATCTTCCATCTCAATTTCTGGTATATAAGATTAAAACTCTTTTTGTGAAAAGACACTAGATTACAATATTACTTAAGAAAATCAAATAAAAAAAAATAATGATTTAATAGATCAAAGCAAAATGTATTATTTATAGAAGTAATAGTAGTTATTGATATAACCACTCTAAGATACTGATATGAGAATAATTCAATTGAAAACTAGTGGTTAAGAGTTGGATAACCTATAAATTGTAGAATTATATTTAAATGGATAAAGCAAGTTATAATTTAGTAAAATAAAGGATTGGATTGAAGACTTTATTAACTAGAAAAAACCTTATGATAACTACATCCACAAATTCATTTTTCATAAAAAATACAAAGACTTTGAGTCAGAAGAGTAAAAGTATAAAGGCGTATCACGCTTTCATAACTTAAATCGTATGTTTATGCACACTATCATTAAAATTCTATCAAAGGAAAACCTTAAATAATTCTGTTTACCTCTAATTATAATGAATAAAATATCAAATATTATAAATGGAATTAAAAACGAGGCGTTTAAGAAATATAATAACGGTAAGAGCAAAACCTGCTTTTTTAACCACTATCACTATAATCTGCTTTTTCTTTAAATCAATAAAGAGACGCTTAAACTGTTTTAAAAAAATAGTAAAGATCTAGAAATGCACCAGTCTATTTTTAGAATAAATTTAGAAAATGAAATGTTGAGCTGCTCTGATATCATTTACTGTAATTTAATTAAGTTTTATATTTATAGAATTGTTAATACTACAATCCAATATAATATTCAATCCAATGACTATAATAACTGTGTGAGACTATAATATGTTGAAAGAGTACTAAATGGGATAAAAAAACTTAGCGAAGGATAAGCAATAAAACGCTTTTGAATAGTTTTTTTTGAGCTCATTAGATTAAAAGACTCTAGAAAACTAAAGAATTAGAAATTCTTAATAATAACTACTTAATTTAGTAATCAATTTTACATCAGATTATAAAAATAATTAATATTGCTTCTTCTTTTCTAAACAAATAATTATCTATATTAATTTCTAAGATACTGACTATAATTTTCTTTTAATCTTAAAAAAACATCATTCTAATTTCGAAAAAGCATCCACTAAATTAAATCTTATAAATATAATATTAACAGACAATACAAGCTATATTTAATATAAGGAAGAAAAATTGTGCAACAGAGTAAAATAATTAGAAAGATTTTTCTATTATCAATCAAAGCTGCTAGCTTGTAATTTTGAATTCAACAACTTTTTTCCTTTTTTGAATAACTTCTTAATATAAAAATCTATTTTAGCGCAATATATAAAAACTCTTAAATGTATAATAAAATTTCTATCATAAATCATTATTCTTAAATATTCTATATTTAAAAATCCTTTTTGTGTATTGATTTACATTAAAAACTATTTTCTAATATTATATCTGCTTTTTATTTAATCAATTAATCATTATATTAATATAAATAGCGTATCCATATCTTTATAAATTCATTTATTTTTAAAACTTTTAGCTTAATCATTATATATAATTAATGTTAGATTTAAATTTTCATTCAATTTAGACGTTAGAGAAAAACTCTCAGATTCCTTCCAGACATTTTTGCGTTTCATATTTTTTTCTCTTTTTTATCTTATTACAGATTAATATTTCTACTTAAGTATGTTAAACTTATTTTTGTTAAATTTTTTTTTTTAAAATCATGGTTTATTATTTTTAAAATATATGTTTTACAGATTATCGATATCAGCCGCTATTTTTAAATTGTTAATTTATTTAAAGTCTGTCAAATAGTTGCTTGTAATATATCTTTAAGTTAATAAAATTTGAGCAAAAAACTAATACTTACTCTAAGTATATCATCAAGACTAAATAAACAGATTTTAAACAGTTTAATGCTAGAATCTTATATATTTTTAACAAAATAGATGTTTCAAAATTCATCTATTTGTACCATTTTAGTCATTTACAAACACTTATTTTAACGCTGCTTTTGATTACTGATTTAACATAAAAATAATGTTGTTTATATGCTAATCATCATGGTTAAATTAATCACAATAATGTATAATTAATGCATTTCAATTATTTAAATTCTTTTTAATCATTAAGATTAAAAAAAAAGAAGGAACAAACTAATTAACCATTTTAATTTTCGGTAAGTATTTAAGGTGATACTTATTCTATTTTATATAATATTTGAATATAGAAAATATAAAATTAACAAAAATAAAAACATAAAAGATATTTAATTTACATCCGAAGTATATAAAAGATGCTAATGTATTTAGGATATTGATTTTTTCTACTAGCATTATTTAAAACACACCAATCTTGAAAAGCAAGAGAATATTTAGCTACATGATTTGTATTTCCTTCTAAAAAAACTAATCATTCACAGAAAACTTTTTTATTTCTTTATTACTAAACATATTTAATTTATGACGTAAATAATTGTCCACGTATCCTTTTATTTATCTTTATATTATCTAAATCTTATTTAATTATAAAATCAACAAATTAGCTATTTTTCTAATGAAAATCAAAAACAGTTTAAAATTTTAAACAATTTTTTTTTAATTTAATATAAAAAGAAATTTTATTAAAAAATAAAATTAAATTTTCATTAAAATACCAATTACCAAATACGTTAAAATAATTTTATCAATTTTCTATTTTATATTTTTATTTTATCTTTTTATTTGAAAATTTTTTTCAAAAAGTTTAAATTAAATCATTTAGTCAGTAAGAAGAAGAGTTAAATAGCAAAAAATTAACTATTTGAGAAACTTAGATATATTATTTTGACACAAAAATAAATAGAAAAAAATTACAGATTTTAAAAATTATAATTTTATTTTTTCAATTTATGTTTTGTTAGAACCAAAAATTAAAATAGTAATTTTAAATTAGTTGATTAAAATAATTTTAGATTGTGTTTTTTTCAAAAAAGATTTAATTAATTCATTAAAAATAATAAACCAATAAATAAATAATTGCAGTGGTAATTAGCACAGAAATATGATAATATATTTGATTTGTAAATTAAATATAATCAGTAGATTTTGCAAGTAATAAAGAGTACTTCTAATAAAAAATTGTAAAGGAAAATTATTCATTCATTTTATTAAAAAACACAGAGAATTGAAATCAATATCTTAGTAGATCAATCTGATTAGCTAGCTCTTCATTTATTTATTATTAATTGAAAAATTAATTTGCTTTATTAAAATTAAGTTTTAAAAGTGATAAAGAAAAGTAATTATAATAATAATAATAATTAAGGAAAGGATGTAGTAAGAAATGTTGAATTCAAGCTACTGTATACAATTATTTTAGAAAATTTATAATAGTTTCAAGCAAGCAATTTAAGGTTATGTTTTTTTAATAAATAGAGGGATCTTAGTCAGGAGTTTAGGAATAAGCTCATTCTGAGTAGCAAGAAGAAAACTTCATTTATTAAATATTTGATAGTAAAGATTTCTTTTCTGTTGAAGATTAAGTAATTGATTTATTTCCATGGTTTTAAATTACTATTTATCTATTTAAATATATGATTTTTTATCAACATTTAAAATTAATTGAAAAGGTTATTGTCCCATTTAAAGATACTGGTGTCCCTGATTACTATGGATCTTTTAGCATAACTTTAAACTTTATTTTGAAAAAAAATGAACCTAAAAGAAGTAAGCTTTAAATTATAATCATTTATTTTTATAAAAATGATTTTCAATCCAACAAAATAAAATATTAAAATAAACAGAGGAGAATTTGACCTTGTTTTAGACAGGTTAAACTCATAAAAAGAATTTAATAATAGCTATCACTCCTTAAAATACACTAAAAGTGACATTCAGGTATTTTAAATACATTTTTACTTCAAGAAAAAAATTGGTTGAAAGATCTAAAATATAACAAATAATAAAAAAGATAAGGGCAAGAGTAGGAATTCATGTACTCGCAGACAAAAGTGAAACCTAATATATCTTATGATTTATGCATAGTCTACGAAGTTGTTAGAGAACAAGATGAAATAATGTTTTATAATATCACCCTCTACTTAAATGGTAAAAGTGAAACGAATGTAATATTATACTTCTATTTATATAAATATCTTTCTTTCTTTCTAAGTATGTATAATATTTTAACCTGAAACTAATTCAATAATGCCCACTGAAATATTATTACACTTACTTTATATTTTATCAACATTATAACTCATTAAAGAGGATTAGTCTACTTTTTCTTTTTAACTATATCTTTAATCTAATTATTTTCTCAATTAATAAATATAATTGATACTTTTTTCCATCTCTTTAGTTTTTATTTCACTGGAAAAATATTATCAATCAAGCAAAAAAATCTTTATTATTATCTTATAATAATCCTCTTAAATTTTACTCAATTTTTTTGTTTCTTAAGTGGTACATACTTCTTCAATCTTCATTAATAAAATGCAATATTCACATTTTATTTTATTAAAAAAGCTGTCATTAAACTCTGAAATCACAAAACCTAGTGGAAACATTTACTTTGGTTCTGAATCTGCTTTGGGAACATTTGTAGGTGAAATTTCTCATGCATATTTTGTCACTAGAAACTTATCTGAAGGAGAAATTATTAGTTTACATAATGAAAAAAAACTTAATCCTATGGATCCTAAAAATCCTCATGCAATTTTAGAAGAAGCTTAACAATCCTAATTTGGAGGAGGTAATCAAGATTTACATAATGCTTCTCGCAGAAGTGTACCTGCAACTTTATAAAGGACACACATTACAATTCTTTAGAATCACATATCAGGTTAAAGTTAGATGGTTGTACTTGACAATAAATCTATTAGATCTATGAATAAACAACAGTTTGAATAGGCTGAATTAAACGCTATCTTTTCTCGCGATCCTTATCTCGAATAGCAATTCCGTCAGCTTTCATATCATTTTAAATGGGTTATGTGTACTTTATAATAATTATCTCCACCAATCGAAGAAATTGGCAAGGCTAGTCTTCCTTTTACTTGCTTGCAAAATTTGATAGCTTCTGGGCGTATCTAATCAAAATTATCTCTACCTCTTTATGTAAACAAATAAAATTAAAAAACCAAATATTTGAATAATCCATTATGGCTTTATTATCATTAAAAAATAAAAATTTTTTTGATATTTAATTAATAATTTTTATTTTTTTGTACCCTCTATGAATTTTAAAATAGAAATATGTCTTAGAATAAAATATCAAAATAGCATTTGAAGAATTTGTAAAGAAAATATTATGTGAAAATAAATATTATTTAAATAAAAACAGATTATAGAATTCAAAAGATTTATGAAAGTATTGAGATATGCTGATATTAGAATATCTGAAGAAAATATTATGTAAATAGCCAATATAACTAAGACATATTATGAGTTTAAAACTGGTGATCCTGAATTTGAAGAATTTCAGTAGCAGTTCAGAAAGAACTATGGATGTATACATATGAATGTTACAAAATAATCTGAAGAAGATGAGTTTAAATTTAAAGGTGTTATATATGATAAGCTACTTATAGCAATCAGAGACACCGTTTTACTTCCAGAAGAAGTTGATAATATTAGACGTGAATATTCTGACGTTCCTGGCGTTATTGACGAAGTTAATATGGAAGAAGCAACCCCTGCCTCTGCTAAAAGATCCCCGTAAAAAAGAATTTTTACCTAAAATTCATAGTAGGATGTTGTTGATAATAAAGCCTAAGAAGAGGAATCTCGTAAAAGATAAGAATTAGCTAATTAATTATATGAAGAAAAGTTGAAAATTCTGAATTGTCAGCCTTTACTACACTATCAAGCAGGATAAAATGTTGTTTATAATTCATATAATGCACTCTTAAATTTACTAGAAATATCCAAGAAAGATATTTCGGAAGCTAATTTATACGTATTTAAAGGAATTTTCCTGCAAAGAACTTACCTAGGAGCTAATATTTAATACCCTAACATTCTTGAACTTCACAGAAAGTTTTTCTAAGTATTTTTTCAATTTTCTAAAGGAATGCATTATTAATAATATTTAATTTTTATAAAAAGAGTGTTGCTTCAAAGGGCAATATTTTCTCACAAATGGAAATCATATTTAAAAATATGTGCACTCAGGGATAAGAAGAACTAGATTTCAACTCATTTTTTAACTATTGGACAAAGAGTATTTCAGGAAATGACTCGAAATCAGATGTTTAGCAAGTATTTGAGGATATGCAAATTACTAAAAACGGATTTATAACTATAAAAGATATGTATTACTATTTCTAAAGCTATGAAATTGTATTCTTGTACCAAAAAAAAGATACAGACACACATGTTATGTTTGGCCTTTACAACAACCAAACAGAAGAAAATATTGTTCGCTCTGAAATATGCCCTAATAATTACAGTTCTATAAGATCAATGGCTTTCACATCTAAAAGACATCCTAAAACTGATTAAAAATTCTTTGTTTTACACTCCCTAAAGCAAACCTATCGTAATGAAAAAAATGAACTTGTTGATTTGAAAGCTTTTGAAAACTTTGTTCTTGACTAAAATGTTTAATACGAATTATAAGAATTATCTTATTCTCCTATAAGTCCATAGGATAGCTATGGTATTGAAATAACTGTCAATTTACTTGTAAACTAGGAAGTATTCGGAAATCATTAAATTGATTATTCTTTACTTTAAGTAAAGCCTCTTTATAAGCATGAAGCAGAGGCTTCCTAATAAATAGTTAAGTAAATTAATGAAAAACACAAATAAATTTTAGGCCCTATCGCTTAGTAATAAGCAGAGCCTCAGTCTCCAACTGTTTCACCAAGAGCTGTAAATAAATTATAAGAATTAAAAATTTTTTGTATTACTAATTTTGTTTTTAATTTTTAAGTAATCAGATATTGGTCCTGACTAAATTGAAGAAAGAGAATAACTCCCTGTACCTGATCCATCTTGGAATTAGGGAAAATTTATTATTAATGTAAACAGATGCACTCATTGCGATACTCATACCACAACCACTTGGCATGATGAAGTTGATTTTATCGAAAAATTCAACCATTTTGGTGAGTCAATGAAATAAATTTTCCCTAACTGCGAAATTGTTGGTAATTATGATAAACCTGGAGTCCACTATGAAAATTTCGATGTTTATATCAGAGGTGTTGGTCCTGAATCAGATAGAGACAGTCAAGGAAGAATTTGGTTGTATAGTAAGACAGAAGGAATTTTTTCTTTCTTGTATTACTTCGGTTTAAGAATACTAAAAGTAAATATTTAAATTGTGTAAAAGCGATTTAATAATTAAATAAAAATATAATATAGGCTTATGATAAGTTAGTATTACTAGCATCTGGTTACGGAAATACTATTGAAATGGAAAAGGTATAAGAATATTATCTTAGCAGATTTGAGAGTATGATACCCTAGAAATGGTCTGAGTCCCATTCTTTCCCATTGGAAGTACCAAAAAGAAAAGTAGAAATCTAAAGAGAAATAGAAGAAGTAATATATATTATTTAATTACCTAAATTTAGATAATGAATTTTTTATTAATACAAAAAGGAAAATATGGTAAAGGAAGGAACTAGAATGATATGTAGGAATTGGGGTTGTGGGAAGGCATATGATTTTACTGCAGATCCTATATCTACAAAATATGCTTGCAGATATCACCCAGGAACTTATCAATTGGGATCTATTCATGCTCTTTGGCCAGAAAGTTGGACTTGTTGTCGTGGTGAATGGGCTTCACAAGGTTTTACTTATTTTATTGAAATATGAATTTTAAAGTGTATATAAAAATTTAAAATAGGCTGCAGAAAAGGACCTCATAAAGGAGTTGTTGAAAAGAAATATTTATTTTTATGCTTAAATGTTGGAGAAAAAAATCCTAGAACAAAAAGACCAGACTCAGCATGTGGAAAGCTTTATAATGATGATTTCCCATCTGACTGTGTAATTCATCCTGGATTTTTCAAGAGAAGTAAACCTAATTCTGAAGAAGGAGAATGGACATGCTGCTAAGATGGAAACCCAAATTCAGGTGGATGTCAAGCATAACCTTCTCATACTAAAGCAGAATGGCCTGATGTAGAAGCTAAAAAATATTTTGTCGAAAAATAAATAACTGTAAAATCATCTTTTTAATTTATTTTATTTTGCTAAAAATATAATTTTTTTAATTAGAACCCTGGGCTAATAAAGTATGATGGAAAAAAGCTTCCAGTTGTAAGTTAAAGTCAAATTGAACCATACAAAAAGGCTGCTTTGAGAGCTTGTGTTTATAGAGAAAGTCTTCCATATACTCCATTTGTTAATTAAGAAAAACGTAAAAAAGAAGAGAGAAAGCTAAATGAAAACGAATTAAGAGTATGTATACACTATGGATGTATTAAAAAAATAGATGGCAGATACAAACATTTAGTTGAGTTTTCTGACATAGAAAACGACAAATTTAGAGAGAAGAGAAAAAGAAATTGCAGATATCATCCAGGTACCTTTGACTTTGGTCACACTGGTGTTACAAGTGTTTCATAGGCTTCGACAGATACTCTTTGGAAACCTCATTGGACATGCTGTAGATAAGAATGGGAATCAGAAGGTTGTGAAAAAGGATATCATGATGGTATATTTTAAAATATTTTTATAATATCATAAGTTAAAAATAAAATAATCTGCTAAAGGACCTCTACTTAAAGAATTTGTTGAAGAGTTGAGAGAAAAGGCTAAAGCTGTATATGATGAATGGAAGTAGAAAGAAGATTTCTTGAAATAAATTAAAATGCAAGAAGATCATATAAATGATAGATTTAGCAGAGATGAAGCTGAAAGAAATAATGAATTAGCTAAACTTCCTTTAAGATATAATTAATAAGATCATATGAGAGCTCAAGAAATTGTTCTCGCTTACTCAAGTTTACTTGATTAGGCCAAAAAAAATAATAGAGTTCTTATAGATTTCTATGACAAAGAATTTTGGCCAAATATAAGAGCATAAAAAAGATTCTAAAAGCAAATATCCAGTTTATGGAAAAGTAAACTGGAAGGTTATAAAGTGGGTGACCATGAAGTCAAAGGACTCTACGTTGATGCAAATGAATTAAGAAATTACTGGCAATTAGTTTTCAAAAAAGAAGAAGTAAATAAGCATACATTTAATATTTATTTAAGCAATACTATTATAAAAAAAAGTCCGTTTCGTTTGGAAGACTGCCCAGTTTATGTGATAAACTTCATTTGCACTTATTTGCCGTTAGTGATAGACTTGATTATCATTATAAATTCTGGGATGTTGTTAATAAGGATCTATAATGGCTAACAAATACAGATACAATTTCAAGAGAATAGTAAATAAAATAATACAAAATAAATTAGTTTTATAAAAATAAATAAATTAAAGGTTTATTGAGTGGTGGTTCATGGAAACTGATGAGTATCTTGAAAGAAAAGAAAGCTATAAAGAAGAATAAAGAAGAAAATAATAGCAAAGCAAATTTTGATTAAATAATTTAAACATTATAATTTACTTTTGTAATAAATATGAACTTTTTTAAGGTGTTATTATTTTATTTCGAAAATACTTCAATTAATAAATAACTAGTTAAAATTAAGATAAAATTTAAAATGTTTATTAAATACTAAAAATTCTTAAAAAGATATAGAGTATAACAATAAATTTTATTTATTTATTTATAATAACTTTTGATCTAATAAAAATAACTTTAAAATTTTTAATTTGTTAAAAGAAAAGAATAATTCTCTTTATAATTTGATATTTCTTTGATGCTAAAAACAACCAATATTTTTCAAATTATTAAATTGATTAAAATTTGTTTCTTTTATCAATTTTAAGAAAAAACAAGAGTGAATTTTAAGAATATGAGAGGATTTTTTTTAAGAATGGTAATCACTCTATCATTATATTAAATCAAAGGTTTTAGTATAATTTGATAAATTTAAATAATTTTAAAGATAAAAAATGAGTTCGATAACTGATAATGTGAGCAAAATTTGTGTATATCGTATTTTAGCAGATTAAGAATAATTTTTACTTATTTTGTGAGTGATTACTGCTTTATGAAAAAAGATTTCCAACAAATATTTATACATAAAAAAAAGTAAATAATAACTTATTAACTATGCTGGCATTTTAACTCAAAATATGCTCATACATTTTAAATCTACTATAGTAGGATTTAATTTACTAATAACAAATTTTAAGTGCTAATTCATTTTAGAATAATATATATGCCTTCTAAGTTGTTTTTAGTTTTATTTATTTTTATGAAAATCTAAATCATTTTAAAAAAGCGCACATAAAAGGTTGAATCAATATCCATAATAAATATTTTATGCTTGCTATTCGTTGTCTTAAAACATACAATTTAAGAAAAATTTTATTTAAAATGTAAAAATTTAGTCCATAACTAGAAATTGAAAAATTATTAATTGAATTGCTTTATTTTCATTAAAATGTTAAAATTTAGATTATTTTTCTTGCAAAAAATGAAATATTTATTTTTTAAGTTTGTAATTTTCTTTATATGAAATGATTTATATTTTTATTGTTTAAACAACTTAAAGTATATTGTATTAATTTTTTTTTCAATAAATTTTATTTTGATATTTTTATTCATTATTCTTTTTATTTCTAATTTTTTAACGGTTAGTTTCTTAATTTAGTTGGCTGTTAATTTTATTTTAGTATATATTTTATTAACTCAATTATAAAACGAGAGTATGGATAGTTATGTGGAAAAAAAATAAATGCTTTAATATTATCTAAGAAATCTTTTATCTGACTGTTATATTATATTTTTGACAATGCTGATGAAAAGAAATAGTAGTATTAGATTTTTAAATCATAAGTTTGCCTGCACTAACAATATTTAAAATAAGAGAGTATTATTCAATAAATATATTGATGATAAAATTTTTTATTCGATTAATCCTATTATCAATTGATAATAAATAGCAAAAATAAATTTTCAAAGCGATGGTAAATGCTCAAAAATTTTAGGTTGAATTATAAGATATTATAAAAAGATCTGACCCTGAAGCTTGTCATATCATAAGATTTTGAGTATTAGCAATATTAAAAATAATTATGCTTTCTTAGATTGACAATTAGATTTATTATCTTTTACTTCAAGAGTGTTTATGTGTATGGTTGATTCTTTAGTAGGAAATAATATCTTCGATAATCCATTATACTTATTTAAAAACTGTGGTAAAATGTTTAAAAACTTTTGTTTGCTTTGGTAAATTTATTTTTCTGCTCATATTATTTTTAGTTTAATTTGTTTGTTTGTTCGTTTCTATTTTTACTTTATAATTTTTTTTAATTATATTTTGTTAATATCCTTTCAATTTGTTATTCATATAAATTAATTAAATTTTACCACTAAATTTTATTAAATTAATATAATTGAAATCTAATTAGTTATTAAAAATTAGAATTTCATATTAGTTTGCAGTATATTTATTTCTTAAAATTATACAAGTGCTTTAATATAATTCTAAAATAAATTAGTTTATTTGATATTAATAATTTTTTTAATATTAATGTTATAAATTAAAAAAAATTTTTGATAAAATGATAATTAATTCATTAAAAATTTTATTTTATTTTAAATTTTATGGCTATTTGTAGAGTATTAAAATTAATAAATATTTTTGATAAGATAAATATCATTTCAATTAGGAAGAATAAATTTATAAAATATTTTTTCAGAATTTTATGAACAAATTTTAATTGCAAATAATTATACTTAAATAAAAAATAATTTTTTGCTTATTTAGTTTTTTAGAGCTTCTAAATTATTTAAATTTATTATTAAATACAAATTTATTTAGTTTGAATGCTAATAACTATATTAAAAAAAAAATATAATATAAAATACATGCTTGAATGAAGTCTATTTTTCATAAATATTAATTTTCCTTAAAATAGATAGATAATTAATCATGCTTAAAGATATGAATGATTGTATTTTATTTGATAAAAAATATTAATTTTAGTCTAATTAACTGATTGAGATATCTATTTTTTTTAGCCAAAATATTAGAGTATAAAATTCAATATTTTTATTTGGTGTTAGAAAAAAAATAAAATAAAAATTTAGTTACAGATTAAATTGCTATTTTGAAAATAAAAGCTTTAGTTTTTTGATATCTAATTTTAATTTACTCATTTAAACTTACTTAGAGCTATAAATCATTGAATATTATTGTTACTGACACTAGTTTATAAAATTTGCAAATATTTTAGAAAGCATTGAAAAAATGAAATATAAATTAAGTGAATTTAAATAATTCAAGCAAATAAAATTTTGAATCTGATTTATCATGAATAATGAAATTTATATACGAATGAATAAAGACAGAAAGATATAGAGACTTATAAAAGATTTAGTTAAGACAGATAAATAATATTAATAATTAAGAAGATGAGATTAATTATGTATATAGTAATTTTTGTGATTATATAAGATTAAGAAAAGAAAGACCCTTTAAAGATTGACATTTTTATTATTAGTTGGTGAGAAGTTTGTTTAGGTTTAATTTACTTTTTAAATTAATTTCCAAATTTATATTGATTGATGAATCAAAAGGATTTATTGTTAATTTTTTGGAAACTTTATTAAGTTTTAAATAATTATATAAATAGTTATTAATGTAATGCTAGATTGAACCTTAAAGATCATTAGGCAGACATTATCGATGATTGATTTTATTATTTTCAATCATCACATAAATCGTTAAAGATATCAAATGTGTCTCCAATTAAATACTTAGCTAATTTATTTTTGTAAGCTAAAAAGGAGAGAATGCTCGAATGTCTTTAATATGCAGCAGATTCTAATATATCTAATTTACAAGCATTTTACTAAGATTAATTTTCTAAGTTTCTATATTAAAAAAAATTAATATTTAAACATTTTTTCTTTAAACAAATAAATTGCGAAATATGTTGAATTTTTATTTTGATATTAAATTAGATTGATTTTAAAATAAAAAATATTACCTTGGAATTAATGTTATTTTTCTGAGTAGTGGATTGGTAGAAAGATTTTCGCAAAGAGAAGATACATCAGCTCTGTGATAATTGTTACCACTTTTAATAAAATAAAATTAATATTTCAAATATTTTAAGGAAATATTACATTAAATTAATGGAGAGTTCTTCAAGAGAGTAATTATTTTTAAGCTAGTTAAGCAAACAACTAATTGAGGAGCCGTTCATGCCATTGTTGCTTAAATCAAGTTTTAGTACTCTTAAATTTGCAGAAAAGAAGATTTATAATGCAAGTGAGTAACCGGCACCTCTTCCAATCTTATTATTGCTATTGATATATAAATTAAGTTTAGTATTATTTAAATATTATCTTTTATATTTATAATTAATCTTTAATCAATTATTAATTAGATAAAGAGATTTTTAAATTTCAGTCTGGGTAAATATTTTTTATTTATAACTAACCAAAAAAAAATTTAATTCACCTTAAATTTATTTCTAATGTTTCCATGGTATCTGACTTAAAGAGTTAATCTAAGAATTAAGCTCCCTTCTTGAATAATTAATTATTTGATAAGTCAACTTTGAGTTTATTTAGTACGCGCAATGATTTGAAGGAGGTTTCTAGCATCAGAGAAAATTCATCATCTAATTCGTTGAATCTATTTTGAAATAAAATAAATTAGTTATATTTTTAATGTTGTATAAAAGTAAATGTTTTTCGAGAAATTTTCTCTTTAAAAATTAGTAAATTATTAATGAATTAATAAATTAATTACGAAAAGTCAAGTTCTAGCTCTTTTAATTCAAACATTTTGATTAGACTCTTTCCAAGATTTACAAAGTCAGATGATTTCAATTTATAGTTTCTATTTGTATTTAAAAATATTTTAAGAAAAAATAATATAATTATAATATTAGATACCTTAAAGCAAAAGAGAGCTTTTGGAGATTCTTCTATGATTTTAAAAGGCAAGAAAGATAATGAGCACTCTTGTTTGTAATTTTATTTTAGCTTTTTATATTATAAAGATATTCAAAAATCAATTCGCTTATTTGGATTTAAAATAATAAAGTCTAAATTTTAAATTACTTAAAATTGAAGGAGAGCTCATCAAGCTTAAAATCATCAACAAATAAATTTTCGCACATTTAGTAAATTCCATCATCTGAAATTTAATTGTTTTCGTAATTGAGATGAAGAGATTTCAATTTTTTTAATTAGCTAACATGATATGAAAGTATTGATAACATTTTGTTATTTATTCCACAATTTTAAAGTTCCAACTTCAAATGATTTAAATTGGTCATATCTTCAAATAGATTACTTAAAAAAAGCATGCATTCAATCTCAATTTTGTTTTAGCTAATTTAGATAAGCAAAAAGATTAAATAAAGAGTTTTAAGAATTTTTAGGGATTGAATAAGAAATATAATTGGGTGATTTTTGCATATGAAATAGCTTTTATTAGATATTACTTTCTATTCCTTTAAACAATTTATTTCTGAGTAAATAAAAAAAAAATAGTAAAAATCTATTTAATTTAAATACAATTTTTTTGGTTGTTCCCGATCCATAAAAATAAATAAGTAGAGGGAGTTTCTTTAAGAAATTTGATTTCAAAATAATATTTGAATACCCTCATGAAATGTTAATTATTTTCCTATAAAAATCCCCAATTCATAAAGTTAATAATTTGATTCGTTACTTTAAGAGTAAAGAAACTCTCTTAAGGTTAGTTAGATTCAAATGCTTTAATTCTGTAATTAAAGAAATCATAAACTGATCTTTTATAGCACATCCTGTAAAGTTTAATTCGATATCATTAATAAATGCCATATCCTTCATTATCCTAGATATGCTTGAGGTTACGTTTGGGCTTTCAAATGAACAATAGCTTTTTATTTATTGTATAAATTAATTGATATTTATAAATTTTAAGGTAATAAAAATGTAAGTATTCATAGTAAATTAAGAAAGATAAAAATAGACTTTTTTTGTTTTTTACTGTCCAACTTTTCTATTTACACTACTTAATAATTATTATGAATACTTGTAACATATACAAAGTAGCAAATTAAATTTATAAAGTACCTTAAGTCAAGAGATATTTTAGTTATACCAATAAAGTAATCCATAATTTATTTTATTTCTTGCATAATTAAATGATCTTCAGATATCATCATTTTTTAGAATTGAATTTGAATAGTTGAAATGCGCTCAATTTCAGACAAGCAGATTTCATCAATTTTATTTTATTCACCTTCATATTAGAATTTTTGATTTTGGTTCTGGTTCTTGAATGGTTATCTGTATATAATGATATAAATAAAAATGTAATTTCGTTAGCTCCATATAAATTATAATTAAATTATTTACTATAAACAGACTTTAATGACTAGAGCATTTTATACAACTTTTAATTATAAATTTAGGCCTTCTGTGTCTTATTATCTATTTTTTATGCATTATATGTTTAGAATTATTTTAAAAACAAGGATATTTCTAATTTACATGGGTGAATTTGTTTACAAGTTTTCAAGATTTGTGTATGTTTACTTGGAAATTTTACTTTATATAGGAATAATAGTAGAAAGAGTTTTAGGTTTCTAAACAGGACTTATACTGTCGATGTTAAATAAAGTAGTAGCGGCATCAGAGTCAGCATCATCTAACTTTCTTTAATTATAAAATACAATTTATATTATCAAATGGTAGACTTGAGATGTAATTATAATAGCAAGTCGCTATTTTATTCAATCATTTAGCAAATTTTTTGCTAAAATGTAAGAAAAGTTATGAATAGATGTTTGCATCTTTTTAATCAATATTTACTTGCATGAAATTATCTTTGGCATAGTAGAAGCATCAGAAAATTCAGATATACTCTTAATTGAGAGTATTCTGTTCAAAGATTTTTATTCCAATTTCTTAAAAATCATTTTTTATGTAGGAGCGAACCAGTATTATAAATTATTGTATATTGATTTCAAATATTTAAGATTTATTTTTTTTAGCAAATATTTGTTAAGAGTATTGATTAATTGTCTGTCTCTTTTACTAATTTTTGTTTGTTTGTATTTTTAATAAATTATTTGGTTTTTAATTATTATAAAAACATTAGAAAAAAATACTTCTTGACCTTGCTTGCTTAATATTTGTAAAGACTACAGAAACCTACTCTAATTAATTAATACATTTATTAAATAGAAATCAAAAGATGAAGCAATTTCATTCATTAATTAATTAATTATATATCTTGCTTTACTTTGGTAATTAGCTTTTGCCTATCTATTATAAAATAATCTCCAAAGAATATAATTAATTTTTGATATAAATTAAATTTTTTTCACTCAAAAATATTAGTATAATTTACTCAAACCTTTATTATTTTAAAAATAGTCCTTATAATTAGTGCATAATTATTTACATTGTTTGCTAACTCATTCAATCTGTCTATTGTATTTTAAGCATCATCACAATTTTATATTTTCAAAACATAAATTTCCAGTCTTAAAAATATACTAATTCTTTTCTCTACTAAATTGCTTAAAATCTTTATTTAGTACTTAGTATTTTTTTTTGCTAATTTACAAATATTCTGAAGAACTACTAATCTATCTAATATATTTGGATATATCATTTTTTTTGAATAAAATGAAAGCTGATACTCATGAATATTTTATTATTCAGTTACAAATTATTTAAAATTGTTTTAAAAAAAATTTATGTTCAATATTAAAAATATAACTTTTAATTTTTCTATTTTGAAATTCATTCTTTTATTCTATACTTAAATTAATATAAATCTTTTTGAATTATGTAAATATAAAAAGATTATTAATGATCTAAAAATACTTCGAGTAACTTTATAACAATTTACTGAATTTATTTTAAATTTATATTATTAAATTTGTTTACTGGTAATAGTAAACCAATTTCTTTAATCTATTATCTATTGATTGATTGATTGATAAAAAGTATAGGTCTATTTATATATTCATCAAATAACATATTACCAAATAATTACTTAATTAATGAAACTATAATTTTACAAATAATTTCAAAAACGAATTTTTCGGAATTTATCAAAATTTTTTAGTAGATGAAAAAACGAATAAAACAAACACTAAATAATTCTATAGCAAATTATTAAAAAATTATAAAAATTTGATTATTAAAAAAATTTATTACTAATAGTTGATAAATTTATTTATATTTTGTAATAAATAGACAAAAAAATTAATAAATATAGAACGGTTCTAGTACATAATTCAGTCAGTTGCTTTCAAAAGTTGTAAAATATATATGGCTTCACTTTTCAAAGTAAATATTAATTTTTATTTTTAATAGAAAAAATTTAATTAATCTATATTATCTAAGATTAATTTTTAAGTAAAATAAGTATTGAATGAATTTCTAAAAATTAACAAAATAGAGAGAATGTTCTAAAAAAATAAATAAATTTAAATGTAATCATAAGTATTTTTATTAAAAAGACAAAATAACAAATAAAAGAATAATTTTCATATTTAATTTCATTTTTACAAAAAAATATAAAAAAACAGACATTTCTTTTTAAATAAATTTATTAACAACAAATTAATAATTAAAAAACTTCTTTTTTTAATATAATTCATTAGATCCTTTTAAATATTACTTAATATGATAATTATCACTTAATTGTTTAAAAATGGGGTTGGGGTTGGGGTTGGGGTTGGGGTTGGGGTTGGGGTTGGGGTTGGGGTTGGGGTTGGGGTTGGGGTTGGGGTTGGGGTTGGGGTTGGGGTTGGGGTTGGGGTTGGGGTTGGGGTTGGGGTTGGGGTTGGG